AGTTATTAAGTATAAATGCATATATGGACTAGATTTCCTTTTTATATAAAAGGTTTTTTTATAATTATCTACTAATAAATTAAAGTGTAAGTAGGCTAGTTAAGCGCCTAACTATAGGCCTAAGGAAGCGCCTATATAAAATAAAGAGAAATAGTAAAAATTTCTTAATTTAAACATATTTAAAAAAAAATAAAAAAGGATTAAATTCTTTTAACTACTTAAAAGAGGGGTAAATAAATATTTTTTTATATAGGGTATTTATAAGTATAAAGGCCCTTACTAACTTAATATTTTAAAAGTATTTTAAAAATTTATTAAAAGGGTTTAATTTAAATAATTTATAAAAGTTATAAAGTATAAAGGGCTTAATCTTTATAAGCTTTATAAAAAAAAGGATATTTAATTTAATAAATATAGCTTAAAGGTTATTTTATTAATTAGAATATTAATTAAGCTATACTTAAAGGAAAAAAAGAATTTTATTAGTTTTTAATAATAATAATAATAAAAGGATTTATTATTATAATAAGGGTTATTAAATAATTATTTAATAGATTATTAAATAAATATTAAAAATATATATTCTATAAAGTTTATAAAGGTTGCCTAACTAATTAATTAGCTTTATTTAATATTAGGCCTTATAATTAGGTTAGTTATTTAATAAAAGGGTTAAAAGCTTATTAAAGTAGTTTCCTTTATTTAATAAGGTAAAGAAGTTATATAATAAATTTTAAAGGATTTTTAAATAAAGAAAGTAGTAATTAAGTATATAAAAGATATAGTTAATAATAGGAAGTAATTAAAGAAAGGAAAGTTATTTATTTTAAGTAAATAAAATAAATTAAATATTTAATATTAAGTATTTAATTAATTAGGTAGATTTATTTATAGTTAATTTATTTATTTTAACTTTTAATTATTAATTTAATTATTTAACTTATAAATAATACTTTTTATTTATATAACTTTATTTAATTAAAATTTTATTAATTTTAATTTTTATAACTTTTAATTAGAACTATTATATTTATTTTATTTTATACTTTTTTAATATTTATATATAGTAAAAATATTTTTAAATAGTTTTAGTTCTAGATTTAACCTTTTAGGTATAAAAATAAAATTAAATAAAATTTTTATTTAAATTATAGTTTAATAACTTATATTAGTATTAATAATATAAATAATATTTTAAGTTATTAAAATATACTTTAATAGGATTAAAATTAAGGAAATATAAAGGTAAATATTTATATTTTATACTTTTATATTTATTACTTTAATTATTTCTATTTTATAATACTAAAAGTATTATTTATTATAAAATTAACTTTAAGTTTAAATATAAATTTATTTTTAATAAAATATTTTCTTTTAGTTATTAAAAGAAAACTTTTTTATTATATAACTTTTATATATTATAATAATAAGTAAGCTATTTAATATAATTATAGGGAGGATATAAAGGTAAGTTCCTTACTTAAAAGACTTTTAATTTATAAAGTATACTTAATAGGTATCTAACCTATTTTTTTATATTATCTTATTTATTAAAATTAAATTTATTAATAAAGATAAATATTTTTATTATATAGCTTAGCTAATATACCTATTAAAAATAGTAATTATAAAGCTTTTATTATATTAGTAGGTTAGTATATATATTTATTTATTACTTTATATATAAGCTTTAAGAGTATTACCTATTATTTTTATAATAATATTAATTTATAACTATTTAATAAAGAAGTATTATATTTTATTAAGATATAAGTTTAGCTTATTAAGTAGAAGATCTTTTAGCTTTTAATTTATATAGCCTATATATTAATTATACTTTATAATATTATTATAAAAGTAGGTTAATAAACTTTTATAGCTTATTATTTTAATTTAATTATATTTAATAGTAATAATAATAGTATACTTAGAGCGACTATATAGGTAGTAGTAACCCTTTAATAGTATTTTTTAATTATAATATAATTAATTTTAAATTTAGTTTATAGCTATTTATTTAGTAGAGATAGGTTAAAGTATAAATAAAACTCTAATTATTAGAGTTTATAGTTTAATAAGTAATAGCTTACTATTATTAGCCTTTCTTTTTCCTTTTTTAAGGTATAGATAGTATTAAATATAGTGTTTTATTGAAAATATAGGGTTTTTTATTCTACTAGTAAAGTTTTAGTTTAACTAAGGAATAGGGGGTATTTAACCGGGGGGGGGGGCAACTCTCATTTTTCTAAGATAGCAGTTCCCAAGGGTCTAAGGCCAGAACCAACACTAATGCAACCCCACTGCTGTAATAGCACAATCTCAGCCGCCCGACCTTGAAGAGACCTGAAGGTTATGTTAAGCGTGGTGTTATTTTTGGGAGCTGAAATATCTCCTAGATTTGCAGCTTAAAGCGCAAATCCAATAAGCCTCTATGAGCAGCGGCATTGCCTTGTTCTTCTAGGGCACCCACTAATCTTCCAGCGTAGAAGAGGAAATCAAAATACACAAATGGTCCTGAGAGCCGCCGCAGTAAAGGCAACAGGGGTGGGCTCAACAGTCTGGGATGTTACAGCGCACGGTATCGATATGAATAATCTTGTACTCCCCTACTTAAATAACAACTTACTCTTCCTAAAAAAGAAAGGTTAATCTAACTTTAATTTTTACATTTTTAAAAATACTTATTAGTACCTTCTTTCTCTTTTTTTTATATTTTAAAACTCTAACTATTAACTTAAACTTTAACTATTAACCTTAACTCTAACTATTAACTTTAATATTAATTATAAAGGTTTTATCTTTAAACTTTTATTAAAAAAAACCTTTTTAAACTTTTTAATAAAAAGTAATTAAAATATTTTTAAGTATTTAAATAATTTAATATTTAAGGTTATAATTAGGTAGGGTAGTAGTAGGGTGGACTAGTTCTCTTTAAGAGGAGTAAGTTATTATTTAAGTAGGGGAGTGTAAGATTATTTATATTGATAGTGTAGGTGTGGACCTTGAAGGTGTGTGCGGTAGGCCTTGGAAAGAAGAGATGGGACGAGCCAACGAGATTATAGCACACAACTTTAAGATATGCAGTTGGTTGTAAGCGCCCTAGGTGTCTAATCGCTTACGCACTTATGCCTTCCCAGGGAACCCTACCTAGGTACATTTGAAAGTCGCACTGCCCAAAATCTGCCCAGAAGATCGACCAGCGCCCCATAACAACCAGCACAGTAGGGCTTAGACTAGATCTCGAGAGTCTTGCAACAGTGAGAAAGTCATGTTTCTCTATTCTAAAGAAACGAGGCCAGAACGCATTATGCCAGAAGCCAGCATGCACAGCTTGTTAGTTGGGTACGCCTTTGGCGTGGCTTTTACTTATTAGACACGCCATATATTCGGCCTCGGGCCATTTCGTTTGACTTTCATTCTCCGCTGCTGAAGAACTACTACGTATCTCAATTTATCATCCAATTGCCCGTACCAATATCAACGTTCCTAAGGGATAAGCTTATCCCGTGCTGACCCCGCCACATTTCTTTATACGCTGTCCATACCCACCTGTCGTGCCCTTTAAGCTACAAGCAAATCGTATACAGGCTCCCAGTATCGCACGGACATATCTGCCGAGATATGCACGTTGGCTTTCTAGGTTTTCCCTCTTGGACCCCTTAACCCATTCCAGTCTTAGCATAGCTGCAGTGATGGCGATCAAGCGCATCATCCCGCGTCTTCTACTTCTGTCTTTCCCTCTCGGTTCCACCGTCCCACTGCAGTCCACTCATCTGGTTTCGCTTCTATTTTGTATACGTCCGAAACCATACACGGCGTGTTCATACAGTGATAAACGCTAAAAGACCGCGGTCCACTCGAAGTTATAAAAGTCGCATTACACCACAATCTCACCAATGGTAGACGAAATGTAGATACTCCAGGAACTCCGAGGTGTCCTTTTCCCTTGCTCTCTTCTTTCATACTGGTGTCCAGCCATCGAATAATACTACCGGTGTGGATCTCCGACCTCCTGGTTGTTTCTGTAGCCGCGCAACTTCACTCAGCATTTGTGTCCCAGACCAGCAGAACTCCCCAGCGAGTCTCGGGGAATTCACATAAGTGTGAGCAGATCAGCCACGTATAGTGATTTGGTGCTTGCTCCGTATACCTGCCGAGGGCTTAGAATTAGTAAGGATCTGCGTGCACCGGTCAGGTGATGCAAGAACATTGCTTACCTATGTACCTAAGTATCCATAGTACTGTTTTTCTAGGCTTTCACTTTGAACTCGACACGTGGCCCTCTCTTCGAATGGATCAGTTTCCTCAAGCACACGTGTGCGTCATAACCACAAATCACGAGCTGTCATCTATAGCGCGTGGCCGGTCTGTGCCCCGTCGTAGAACGCCGTGTCCTTGAGTTTGACCCAAGACGAGATGATACAGGGTCGAATGACCTGAAGTGCGTCCCTAGCGGCTCGGGTATCTTATGCCAACTCTACTGATTGATAAACGACTCTATCTCACGGCATCATGTTCCCAAGCCAAACGACCGTGCTTCCCTGAGTAAATAGACTAACATTGTAGGAACTCCGCCATCTGCCTTTTAGGATTCGACTACTCCTATCCGCGTCGGGAATGTGGACAAGCCGTCAGATCGACGGCCTTCTAATCATGGTGATTGAAGCCACCTAGTTTAGCACCGTCAAGCACTATATTCAACAGACTTTGCCTTACATCTTAGTCCATCGCACATGAAATGTGGTATAAAATCGTCATTCCTGAGAGGACCCTCCCTCGAACACGCAAGTTCAATACAAACCCTTAACAGTCCGCCGAGGCCTTGTCACTCAAGAAAATCCAACACAGGGCATTATTTTAACGAACATAGCCGCCCCTTGTATTCGTTTAACGCCCTGAACCGACCTAGTAAAACAGCCTCGCCCCATCGCGCGGATCACCTGAGCTGACAGTGCTGCCAGCCCTCCCGCCACAAGATCAAAACGCGGTCGTCCACCATGAAGCTCCCATCCCTCTTAACCTGCTCATCTGTCACGCTTGTTGGCCTCGTCGGCATGGCGACTGCCGACGCTGTGTGCGCCCGCAATAATTATGCGCTCGAAAAGAAGTGGGTAGTCACCATCGCCCCGGTGCCGAAAGACCAAGTCGGACCCACCTGTCACGAGCTCTGGAAGGGCCTCAAGCGACAGTGGCTGCTGTGCATGGTTATGTCGCCCCACGGCTGCGAAGAGTATTATAACGACAAGGGACATCTTGGTCCAGTCGGGAACGGCCTTCAGTGGGTCTTCACCACGGGTCTCCTCTGCAACGCTGGCATGGTTGAATCTGCATTCTGGGAGGCGACCCACAACAACCACGGGGCAGTTGATTGCCCCTGAGACTTACGCAGAGGCAGGTAGATACTAGTACCTGTGTTTTGAAGTGTCTACTATGTAGACTACCGGGATGCCAGTTGGCCCACAATTTGAATATGAAATTCTTGTGCGCAATGTGTTCTCCTCGATAAGACATATTGCATTTGGTTATAACTCGGCCCAAGAAGCATGATTGATGGTAAATTTCCCTCGTCCTCTCCGGCTTACCTCGTATCGTATTTCTAGCACTGTTATCAACACTACGCTTTTTAAACGCTGGGTCCTGAGCGTTTGCCACTACTAGTATATGAGGGCGACATGTTTGTCTTCGGACGCATGCGAAACAGAAGCGATCGAAAACGCCCATGTGGAATCCGCAATCACCAGCACCGTGGGCAAGCATGGGCTTTCTATCATGAAGTCCTCAACTAGCAGTAAATCCTGGGTATCTAGGTAGTTGTTTCCACGAATACTAGAGCATCACGATCGGACGTCGTTTTCCCAATACTGAAGTACTGCGTATCATATTGGAACTTGGCGCAGAACCGACTCGGGCGAGAGTCCTGACGGCATCGCGGTTTGAACATCTTGGCTATCTAGGTACCAACCTTGGAAGGCTGCACCACCAGGCGACACACGTTGAAGCTACCAGTGTCCCTCTGAAGTACGACGCGGACACGGAGCTCCGACCATCATGGTTCGCATCTAGACCCTTGATACTGAAGATGGAGCCAGTTGCCACGCCAGTCTCGCCTGCACCTGCTGAGAGGACCACCGGGGCTGTGCACCCACACGCCTACAGAGCTGCAGGAGGGCATTGACCACACTGATGAAAAGGACACCCAAGCCCGGGTCCATTATTGGAATCTTCATCTCATCTCACTTTGACCTCTTGAGACCGGTATGTGTTGGCTCTTTTCTCGGTGAGTCTGTGGCGTGGCACCTCCCGTGGAGTTGGGGAGGCCCGGGGTGGAGGAGGGGAGGGGGCGGCATTGGAGAACATGAGTGAAACTCACCGGTGTTGTTCGTCCGTTCGACTCTATCTCAGCTGTGGTTATCACCACGGACCGGGCCATTGGTGACAGCGGCGCAGTCCAATCAACCTGAACGTGTCGCCTACGTGAAATGTGTTGAGTTTGGTTGAATATCATTGATGCGCCATTCCCGACTGCCTGGTCGTGATATCATGTTAATTTCCTCCCAGGGCTGTCATACCCCAAAGCTGGGCACCCCTTCCCCAAAATTGGGTAAGCTGACGCCGATTAGCCGGACAGGATGCGTATAGCCGGTGACTTTGTGCTGGAATCTACTTCACTATTGGCAATATGACAGCAAAATAAGCAAGTGTCCGCCATCTGCGAAGATATCACTCACATGCAAGCTTGCTTCTTCCCTCAAAATGGCGATTGAGCGGCGGGCAGGAGATTGACAACCAGAGAACGAGCCCGTTTCCAAGAAGTTACAGTTCGCGGTGACGTGTGGGTTCGGGCTAGTATATGGACGATCACGACAGGAGGAACGGGTGCGGCTGATTTGACTTTTCTCCATCGGTACAATGGAAGAATGGGGCCCCGGGAACCTGGGTGCAAGTACTTTTAGAAGGCCGCCACACGGGATACACCGAAGTGAGCCGATTGTGTTCAGGGTTAGGCCCGTATTGGCCGCATGGAAAAAGCAAAGACAGCGGCCATGTGAGCCTTTTATGGTTTTGCACAAACGTTATCGAGGAATGAGAGATGACGCTAGGCTGACGGAACTGCCGGCTACTCAGGGGGGCAAACCGGGCAGCCCAATCGGCATTTTGTCCTGCGGTGTTGGGATATGCGACACACTCCTGGCGTGTCAGTGTGGCCAGTGTGCCCGCGGTGCGACTCTGACCCAACGCCCCCGTGTAACCGCTGGATATGGCTTGGTCAGGGCGTGCGCATGTGCAGGCAGGCGGCAGGTTCTGTGCTCATGTCAAGAAGTTGCCGCATGAATTATGTGATGTATGCACGAACGACTTCCCCGGCGCTCCCCCGTCCTCGAGGCGGGACATGCCAATCAGGAATACATTCCCGGTCTCGTCAGAGAAACCAATTGTGTCGCACCCCGACCCTACAGTTGGCTGGGGAAATGTGAGGAGTCACAAGCCAGAGACACTAGGCGCTCAGCTCTTGGGATCCACAGACGTCCTCTCCCCAGAAACCCCAACGACGGTAGGTGCTCCTGGTCGAATCAACCCCCAAGCAATCCAGCCTCATGTCCGCCTTCACACGTCTTGGGGGGGCATGCGCTTGACATGTTTCACTCCGGGCAAAGGTACCACCCCATCCCACGAGAGGGCTGACACACGGCCCAGCGGCCACTTAGTAGTTAGTATCCAGGTGATCGGCCATACTTACCTCGAGCGCAGCCAGCTCCAGGACTCGGTCAACTGGCCGGAGCGTTGCACGTGTGTGGCTACATGGCGAGCTTGACTTGCGGCCGTCAGCTTGCCATCCACCTTGTGTTGTCTCACTGCTGGGGATGTTTGTGTCTGACTAGCCACGCCTTGCCCACGCCGCCGTCACTCGTTTGGTTCGCGGTCTAATAGCGTGTGTGAGAAGTTGCCTTCATGCCTCCATTGAGCCACGCCATCGCGCCTGCTCAGCTCAATGGAGACACCCCGAATCACTCCCCATCGATCTTGCCTTTACAAGAACCCGCTGCCTCAATAGAGGACCTCGGCATCAGCACGGCATCAGCATAAGAACCCCCAGGATTCCAATGGAGGGAGGTACCAATCCATCTACAGCTCCGGACGTTGCAGACCCAGACCCAGACCCAGACCCAAACCCACGAAGCATCACCGACCGAAGGGGCAAGCAACGAGAAGAAATGCCTGGAGGAGCAACAGCAGCCATGTGCGACCATTCCTTCCTCCACTCGTCCCGCCTTGACGGACAAGCCAGCCAGACCTGGGTCGACCGGCGACTTGGCTACCAGATCCACGTGGGCACCAGTGACCTGCAGCTTAGGGATGTGGGCGAGGATGACTACCCGTACTCGATGGGTGTCAGCCCCGTTAGTAACGGACCGGCCAGACGCATTGCCTTTATGAGTGGCAACGATGACTTCCGGGCAGCCAGACTCCGATGCGCGCTCGCCTGCCAGGCATACAACAAGCTCCCCGAGGACGTCTCGATCGAGGACCGAGTGAGCGGATGGAAATGGTAAGTCACGGATCGCCCTGACCTGCACCCCCTCTGCTGTGGCTGCAAAGTTATTCAGCAACATACCGGGATGCTCAAGTGAGACACCAATAGATGCACCGGGTCGAAAAGCACGGAATGGAAGAACCTGAAGTGTCAGACTGACCACACCACTCCACTCTAGCATCGTCGACCCCAACAAGACCAACAGAGACGCCAGTGCCGGCCCCGCCGTGGACTTCTCGGCCATATTCAAGCGCCCGGCCAAGACGGAGGCCCCCGACTCGACCGCCCAGCACACGCCGCCCGTGACCCCGGTCTCGGCCAGCCCGCCCCCGCGCCCGACGATCCCCTACGTCAAGCAGCCGATCTACATGGACTACGGGCTGCGCGTGAGGATCGCCCCGACGACCTTTATCAACCGCAACTGCACCATCCTCGACACCCCCGTCGCCGACATCGTCATCGGCGAGCGGTGCTCCTTCGGCCCGGGCGTCACCATCATCGGCGTCGGGCACCCGGTCCGGTTCGAGGAGCGCTCCGAGTTCATCACGGGCAAGCCGGGCAGCTGGGGCGCCAAGGTCGTCATCGGCGACGGCGTCTGGGTCGGCGCCGGCGTCGTCGTCCTGCCCGGCGTCACCATCGGGTCGTACTCCACCATCGGCGCCGGCAGCGTCGTCACCAAGGACGTGCCGCCCAGCTGTGTCGCTATGGGCAACCCGGCCTCGGTGCGGTACTACGTCGACAGCGAGAAGGGCCGCGAGCCCGTCGTGGTCGACGAGACGGCCAACACGCTGGAGGACGCGTTGAAGGTAGACAGGGAGGAGTGAGTAGTGGGGCACGTAGGCGAGGGTGGTCAAGATGGGGGTGGGTGGGGCTGGGCGGATCTGAACTATACATTGCGATTGCGCGATACTAGAGCAGGAGGACGCAAGTCAAGCCTTTTTCTCATCGAAGATATGGGCGCATTTTGGGCGGCCAGCCGGCAGCTTACCTAGCAATCTTGGCCAGGCTGATGTCGTCGTGTTAGAGATACCCAAGGCTATTATTAATGGACAATTTGCATGCGCTGGCTTCTACTTAAACGCATCACCTCTTGTAAATCCACTTCTTGTCGACATGTTTTGTCGAGTGGCTTCTCATGTTGTTCATTCTTCTGCTCCTCGGGGTGATGACGATTGATCGGACGCTGACAAGTACTCAGAAATTATCGCAGAGAACCTGACATCACAGGAGGTGCTCTACTTTCAGAAATCTGATATTCTTATTCATACGCTACCTGCGGGTTTCTATTTTTGAATTGAGCCGCTTACGTCCGTCTCGCTTTGATGAGACCTTTACGAACTAGACTCGAACCCAGAATCAGAATCCCTCTGAAACATCTCAAGCCCCGCGGAGATTTCAGGAAGGGAATCAAAATGTCCCGTGGTCCGTGATTGTATCTGTGTCGAGGTATCCCTGGGAAAAGGGCCTCCGCCGTTTACCAAATCCCGGACATAAACGCTGGACTCACCGAACAAGTCGGGATCCAATTTCCCAATCTCCCTGTACTCTTTCGCTATCATGTCCCGCACCCGCGACGAGGGAGGATCTGTCTCGCACGCCTCGAGCTCTTCGGCGCTGACCTGTGCCTTGGGCGGCTGCCTTCCACTGATGTCTGCCTTGGGTGGTTGCCTTCGACGGCCCCTTGCCCAGCGGAGCATTGTGTGGTCCTCGTCGGTTACCGTGTCCCAGACCAGAACTGACGGTCGGGCGAGGTCGGTGATGATCTGTCTGACGGGCACGTTGGGGCAGAAGGAAACCACGGCACAGTTATCGGTCACGCCGAGGAAACCCTGAGGATCGTTGACAACCGTGATGCTTTCCACTGCTAGGAGATTCTTGTCGGCTCTGGTGTATGCGGGATCCTGGGCGAAACACTGGATCGTTTTCCCGAACTTTCCCATGAGGTCCTGTCTTAGAGACACTATGAAGGCGTGTTGTGCTGCGGATCGCCGTCGCTGTTCGTTGTCGCTACCCGACAATGACCCGCACGCGAATGCGAAGATTTGGTCGACGGGAAATCTCACCAACCTGAAAAGCGTAGCTCTCATGTTTGTGTATCCGCTGCTGTGTTGTAATTTGCGTCGTTGCCTATGCAATGCCAGTGCATCCCAGGCGGCGACAAAGCTACGAGGACTTGGTTGCTGCACTTCGATCTGGTTCTTGTAGCATATTTGTAGAGCACAGGGGGGCTGATCGGAGTAGTATCTGCTGTGTAGCAAGGCTTGGTAAGAAGTGTATAATATGCATGGTTCAACTCTGTTTGCGCTGTCAGCTTCAATCAAGGAACAGGTGTAAGGCACACCATAATTCTCTGATAGATACCTCATAAGAGGGTATCTCTTGAATGATTGGGGAGGTGATACCGTGGCCACATAGCGGACACCCGAGCAAGGACTGTCGCGATAAATCTATTTCGAGCAGGATACATACCTCCGTTCCGGTTCTCCAAAGAGCCGCATACCCTCTGAATGTCCATTCATAATCGCGCGCCGGACTGGCAGCCCAGTGACGGACAAGAAGCCGAAGTAATTAAGTTCCTGGCCATCTGTCGATGCCTCCTTCTTGGCCGCCTCGATCTGCCGTTGGAGATCTTCCATAGCCGTCTTGCTGAAGAAGGGAGCACCGCTTTCGAACAGTCTCTGGACCTTTCGTTTCTCCAGGGCTGCGAAGTTCGGGTTGTCCATGGTGCTGTTGACTTTGTCTTGTGAGGCCGACAGCTTCTCCTTTGCGAGGTCTGGGTCGATGGGGCGGGCAGCGGCGGCAAAGCTTGAGGGCCGAGCGGGGGGCGAATCGTCTGTTCCTTCAGCCAGGTCTGAGAATGCTTCTGAACATTGTCGTCGTTCCGAGGATGTACAGCTGCTTCGGATAGAACTTGTGCCCCTTGTACACACTGGGGGTGGGTCGTTCTGCCTCTCAAGTCCCGGGTCGTTGCTGAGAGCAGGTGCGTCCCCGTGTCGCACGAGACGTGGGTCGTCCATCATTGATATCAGGTCCACATTTCCCGTGGACGGTAATTCCTCAGACCGACAAGATCATCTTCCCCGCTGGCAGGCTCACCGAGGTCGTGATCTTGTCCCGTGATGATTCGAGTTGCGACTAGGGCTTGTGAGACATCATTTTATATTGTAAAGAAGCATGCTGCGATTGAGAACAAAGACACGCGGTAGGCGACCGCGGATCCCCATGATGCTAACTAAATACGTGGAGCCCGCTAGAGGCGTTCTACCACCCGATGATTTCACCAGTCTACAAGCGCCATGTAACTACGTAGGTACCTGGGTAGTCTTCCGGGCTTTCCCGCCCAACAAATCCCCGCCAGGTTAGTCGCACCTTTAATACCCACACTATCCGTAATAACACTTAGTGTATAAATCACCTTTACTATCCCTCCAGCTCTAGTATGCACCAAGGCTAGTTTGTTCCCTTACGGGATCAACTAACTTAAAGCAACTACTACCGCCCCATAACACCAGAACCCCAGCCACTAGATAGCAATACACGGGCAGGAGAAGAGGGCCTAGTTTCCAGGAGCCTCTTCCTCCAGCCAAACAATTAGCTGCCCTTGTTACCTAGCTACCAGAGTCCTATACTTCAGGTGGCCGCTTTCTGGTGAGCTTCCTTTTCCTTGATTGTTTTATAAGCCAACCCTTATCATGAGAACCACTCAGTCCGAATGACTCTCTTTTGGAATTAGGTATTGACCACCCCGCCATAGTTATCGACACCGTATATTTTTCAAGCGTTGGGTCTTGAGCGTTTACCATCGTATGAAGGCGGCATGTATGTCCTCGGACGTATACAGAACAGAAGCGAAACCAAATAAACGTTACGCGGGGGGAAGAACACCTCGTGCCTGTAGCATTTCCTGCAGCTGTGGGGCGTAGCTCATGTTAGTCGGTTAACGTATTAGAGAGTAACCTACAATGCTCTTCAGATCCACAAGCCATATCCATATAAGCAAGACCCGCCTTCTTCTGTTGTAAAAGCCTCTTCCTCTCCCTCTATTCCAGCTCCCTTGGCTGAGGTGGTATGGCTTCCAACTCCTTGGGCCTAAGTGGCGTCGGCTCCAACTCTTGCGGCCAACGCTGAACCCCGTGATCGTACCCATAACCATGGTACGGTGTCGACCACTCCTCCCCTACTGCCTGTTGCGCCTTCTTTTCATCCTCTTTCAACCTCTTCTCTGACACCCGGTGGCCCCTCGCAACGCCGCGGCGGTACAGAAGCCAGCCGCGAGGACGACCAGGAGAGCCGCCGCCGGAACGCCCACGCCCAACCCGATTGCTGCGCTCGTGGAGAGTCCGGTAGCTTGCACCTGTGCAGTAGTAGTGGCAGTCGGGCTGATGCTGGGGCTACTGAGGAGCTGTGAAGTACCGTCTGTGGTAGCAGCGGGGGCTCCGCCACTGCTTTCGGCTGTCGCTGCTGGCGTTGGATTCTGGCTGCTGGAGCTCTTGTTCGACTTAGTTATGTTAGCAGGAGGTTCATTGAAGATTGTGATACCTTCCATGAGTGAAGGCAAGAAGAGGGTGCCTGAAAACGAAGAAAACTTACCGTGGAGGTTATCAGAACGGCCATCGCCCACAGGACGGAACCGGGCCCGCGAATATCAGATGCAATGATCGGCCCCGTGGTCGTCACAACCGTATGCGTCCTTGAGCCCTGATCATTGATCGCTAGTTGGGCCGTATAAGACGCGATACTCTGCATGGACGGTCCGAACACCGTAAATGTTGATGTGACCCACTCCGACGTGGCATCGGTGGGATAAATAGAACCGCAGAACAAAGTCCCCGTGCCTAGTGGCGTCGACACATCGCAGTGGAACTGGTAGGCGCTAGGAAAACGAAGAGTACCAATTAGTTCTAGATTCTATTCACACTACTCAGAGCAAGAAAAACTTTGTGAATTTCAAAAAGGAATCGGGATCTGCCACAGTGATGGATGATGTTGCAGCAAGTACGATACTGACGTTGGACAGCAGATAGACCACTAGTTCCCGTCTGTCTGCGTCGAACACGCAGCTGTGAAAGCAGACGGACATTTGTTAGTGGCATAGATTATCACTGGGTCTGGGTCGTAGTCCGGTGGATAGCAATGGCCCATCGCTGCTGGCCCACCGACCATGTCGAGGTAGGGGCCGTCGGAAATCTGCCAACCCCACAGGTCCCCGGAGGATAAACAACCGGGGCTCTGTGACCATTCCGCCGGGATGGTCCGAGCCATGAGCACGCCAGCCTACACTTAGAGGAAGAGCGAAGCAACGAGGACCCCGAAGAGAAAGAGGTGGAGCTTGGAAAGGTAAGGGATTCCGTCGTATCGCACTTGCAAGAGCGCGCAGAGAGTAGGAGGAGAATTTACAAAATCATTACTCGGGGCGAAGCCACGGAACCGTGGTTTTTTTGGTCAATGAAGCGGCCGCCCCCCTCCCCTTTTTTTCCGCTTGTAATGGTGGACTGCCCATCTTGGTGGCCAGATCACGTTTAAATTATGGCCCCCGTCCTCACATACTGTTTTGCTTTCTGGGGGCTGGTAGGGGCGGACCCGTGAAGAAACCTGTTCACTCATTGGCGGACCAGCTTGAGAAAACAAGCACTGGCTGTGCTTGAAAGTGCATTTATTGTACGACACTGAATGTGTTGATGAAAAACGACGCATGCAAGATTGAAAGCCCTGAAGAACCCGTGTTGTGCTGATTGAGGACAATTATAAGTGTGTGATGGTTATGTCCATGTTGATGGGGAACTGGATGATGCTCTATGACAAAAGGCTGAGAGGCTGCATGTGATTGCAAAACAACCATCTGCCCGCGTAGGCTGAGGCATCTACCCCCGGTGTACTGGCTTTTATAATTCGGGCTGGTCATCCTACACCTCCTGTTATTCCCTTTAAGAGGGTTGCCAGCTAACCATTTTTACATGAGTGCCCGTGGGATACCTAGGTAGGCTCGGATAGAGCCTCAGGCCCTGACTCCGTCAGTTCGCATTTCCGCACTCCCCACCCCCTAACCTCCTTGATGCCCAACCTCTAGCCCTTTGACATCCTATCTCCTACCATCTAGCTACCTAAATCCTGGGTTCCTAACTCCTGGGTCCCTACTTCATGGCCTGTTGTGATGACCTCCCAGCTCGCGGCCTTGCTGCTTCAGACACCGTAATTGGCCTAATTCAACGAAGCCAGGGGACTGATAACTCTCGAAACAAGCGCGGGAAATAATTTACATAATGAGATAGACCAAGGGTGCGGGGAAGAACTGCCTGGGGCCTTGCGGGCTAGGCTTGGAGCAAACCTTGGAACTCTGAGCACCTGCCCAGGTGGGCATTCAGACCCGCGTTGCTCGCGCACGCGTTTCGCTTCGGCGTTGGTCACGTCAAACGTGGGGCTTAGTAGACCACGTATGAAAGAACGACACATAGTCCATAAGATAGACCAATGTAGAACTTACGATGCCTAGGGAAATTCCGTGTCAAAGTTCCATATACCTAGGTACTTGCCGAGGTATCTGATATAATTGACGTGAAAAATTGCCAAGGCTTCGGAACTTAGGAGATTATCTGGAATCCGTAGGATCTGACCCCTGAACTGCATTGGAAGTCAGCTGTAGTTGAAAGGAGGACATGATTCAGACTGAGTGTATGGTAGTTGCATCCCACACCTTCCATGCATTCTTTCGCTTTCATTGCTGCCTGGCCCCGGGGGTGGTTTCGTTTTGAATACCCATACATATTCATTGCTGCCTACATGCACATTATAAATCCACTCAATCAGGGGTCGAATGCGCCTCGTCTCGCCATGGAAAGTAACCATTGATGTGTGACAACATGCCCATGTTACGTTACACTTATACGACACAGACCAAGGGGTTCGGCGGACTGCGCAATATTGAAAACGCATATAAACTTGCAAAGTTCTTATTATCCTTAAACAATTGCTGATAGAGTCCAACACTCAGATGCCGGATCCGTCAGCCTCAAGATGAAAACCTTCTTCGCCCTCGCTCTGTTGGCCGCCATGGCGCGGGCATCAATCTCTCTTGCTCCTTCCGGCGGGAATTCCACATCTTGGATGGGAACTAACCTGTATTATCTTCAAGGCCTCTCTGACTCGGACCAGGATGCCTACATTGGCCAAATGGCCGCAGATGGGGCGAAGGTGGTACGGGTGTGGGTCAATGCACAGAACGCTGGCTGCGAGAAGGGCAGTCGGATCGCCGTCACGGTGCCTCCTCTCGAGTCCACCATCGGCAAATATAATGATGAGACACTGGATGCACTTGACAAGACGATCACAAAGTTGAGTCGTCACGGTATCAAGGCGTTGATCTCGCCGCACGACGCCAACTCCCTTTTGGGGGACTATCGAAAGTACATTTTGCGCTCCCCTCTCCAAATGATATAGGAGCTACCAAGACTGAACTCGATTCCACAGGGATATTTACTACGACACATGGGGTGCTGGATACTTCTACGAGTTACCAGAAGCATTTGCAGCTTATGATGCCCGCCTGACTCATATACTTAATTACAAGGGCGCGACATCGGGCCGAGTGTGGAAAGAATGGAGCGAGGCCATCATGGGCTTCAACCTGCAGGTACGAACGTCCCGTCTTACCTACCAAAGAGTCCCCTTCATGGGGTCCCATCACTCACGCCAAGCGCGCAGAACGAGCCCATGACGGCCAAGCTATCCGAGTGCACCGGCGGCGACGCGCACGGCTGGATCTGCGGCCGGGCGACGCACATGCGCGACCAGCTCGGCCGGGACAACCCCATCATCATCACCTCGGGCGGGATCGGGGGCGACTTCAGCCACGGCTGCACCTTCGTGGAGGCCGCGGTCAGCTGCCCGGCCCTGGACGCCATCGCGGTACACAGGTACGCATCGGTGCCCGGCAACTGGGCCGCCAGCGCCGGCGGCTGGGTCACGCAGGCCAAGGGCAAGCTGGTCTACCTGGAGGAATGGGGCGTCGACGCGGCCAGGTATGACCAGGGCGTGGCCTTCCCGAGTGAGGCGGCCGACATGAACTCGGTCGGCCTCCCGGGCTTGTATTGGCAGATCATCCCGCCTGCTGTGGGGGGGTGTGAGTACGACCCGGCCAAAGATAGTGGGGACCCGTTTGGGATTGTTTATGGCTCTGGCGTTGATCTTGGTGGGCCTCTTCACGAGGCTGCGGGAAGTCCTGCTCTTCAGGACTGGGCAGGTATCGTTTGAGTGATCGGAGAGGTCCTGATGGAGGGACAGCGGAAGGACCAGCCATATTGTCATTCAATCTTGATTGATATATCTGTACATTGAGCGCTGCTTCGCAGATTCACCCAGGTGTTGACACAAGCAATGTCACACGCAATTCTAAGACCTGATAGTCATACATGCGCAGTGTACGTAGGAATAATTCAGGGTCCTGGACGACCTTTCAGCAGATACAGTCAAGATGATCTTGGTTGTTGCGCCTGGTGGGGAATACACTATGTCTTATTCAGGGTGTGTCTCATGTACAATATTACACATCCAAACGGCGCCTCCACATCCATCCGCCTCGATGACACTAGAGATGAAGTGCGAACATCACACACAGTCCAGACAAACTTGGCTGAGTTATCCCCAAGCAAATTCTGGTACATACAGTAGTTAAGAGGTAGTTAAATAGGGCGTGGTTATTCATAGTGAACACCCCCCCCCCTTAAGCTGTTAACTTGAATTGTCTGTGTGTGGATAGCTTCATCCACAAGTCAAGGTCCTTCGCTGAGGACGTGCCCCTGTCCATCGCTTGAATATTGGCGCGTAATCGCGTTATCACGTGGTCCTTTATCGGTGTTACTTTTTTGGGGGTATATATATAGAGGCAGCCGCAACCATGGTAGCCTGACGTGCCCGACTTCATCTCGGGTCTTGCAATCCTGCGACCTTTTCTTGTGACATCCTTGTCTTTTTCGGGCATTCGCTAGCGTTCCCAACGTCCCACGCGGCAGCCAAAACCCCTACCATCTCATCTTATCTCTTTATTGCGCCTCTCTCATCAACGACATACCTACTCGGTAACTCACTCACTCAAGCACGACCTGCCGTCACAAACCTCAACCAGAGAGATGCCTAGAGCAGTCCTCAACCCAGGCATACGCCTCGAGGCCCTCGCGTCCCACTCAGACCCATCCGTCCCGCTCGTCAGCGTGCACTCGCCGTTCCGCAAGCCGACGCCCGACCCAGACTACCCGGACGACACCGACGCCGTCCCAGCAGAGCCGCGGCCCCGGCCCTCCCTACAGGTCTACTACACCCCGCCGCTCACAACCGCGGACGAGCTGGAGCAGGCCGCCCGCGCCCTCGAGACCGTCGTCCTCAGGAACCGCCTCGACACCTACGGCGCCCCCTACGAGCGCCTGGACGTCTACTCGCTGCCCCCCACGACAACAGGCGACGAGGCCGATGAGGACGCCCGGGACGGGCTCTTCGCCTCCGCCGCCGGCGCAGACGCCGCCGTGCGCCGCTGCGTCGCGCACCAGCGGGCCGAGATCGCCGCGCGCAGGGAGCGAGGCGGCAAGGAGTGGTTCATCCAGCGCTACGACGTGCCCAAGGGCGACTGGGGCCGTGCCATCGTCGTGGTGCGCACGCACGTGGCCGAGTGGGAGTGGGAGAGGCCCGACAAGACGGGCCGCGGGCTGGTGCTGTCGACGGTCATGTTTGACCACACCGAGGAGGGCGCGGCGCCCGACGAGGTGTGGGTCGCGTCGGGCTCCGCCGAGGGGGACGTCTGGGTGCTGGTCCACGAGGTGAGGTCCGAGCTGAACTGGGAGCACAGCTATGTGCAGTTTTTGGATTAGGTGTAGGCGGGCGGGCGTATGGCACGGTTACGCTTCAAGGAATTGCTACCTAGGTAGCATCGAGTCGTCGGCTGAGGGGGATTGCGTGGCCGCGGCTAACGTTGGGACCTGAGAGCAACGCCACTCGTCTGGCAGTAGTCGTGATAACATTTGAAGATTGAAGTGACTGAGAGGAACGTATAGCGCGAGTACAGAGCCGAGGGTCGCGGAACTTGCATATCAAGTCGTGCATGGATAAAGACAAGTCCTGCCCTAATAAAGACGCAGGCAAAGTCCGCCGAGAGTCATCGCTCAACTACAAGTCTGAAAGAGTAACTAGATGGTTGAATTCAAGGTTGCGACAGACTCAGACTGATAAGTACGTGAATCATGCATCAACCAACAATGGATTATGGATGTTCTCTATTCATCGTGTTGATGGAACCACTTTGTCCGTGCCTAGTACGATAAAAACTTTCATAGTCATTGGCCCTGCAGGAGAAACCAACGGCTCTCAGGCTGCTTCCTATTTGGTTTGTTATTAGAGCAGCATACATGTCTATCACTTGCTTTTCGCTGTCAAAATTGAGGCCGGACGATCCGTGGAAGCTTCTGATAGCATATGAGAAAAAAGTTAAAGTCATTGGCCAGGATGGGCCCATCGGAAATAGGCACCAGTCGGCGTACATGATGGCATGTAACTCCATAGTTCCTACAACACGATGCATGCCCCCGAGCAAACGCAGCATACGGGATTAGTTTGGATTTCCCAATGGCCCGGTCATCTTTAGGCTTCGCACAGGAGACTTCCCAATGGATTTATAGTCGAGATCAGACCTGAATGCTGGATAATTGTACGCTTGTATTGCGCCTCTGTCGGTGACATTTGCTGTAATCACTTCCATGCAACGTTGTTCTCTTCCATTTCTCTTCCATCTTACTCATTTCATTCTGAACGTCCACTTGAATTCGAAAATCAAAAGTATTAATTTATACCAAAGAAACGTAGAGCGAGATACTAAAGGCGATCGACAGTAGCCATGTGGAGTGCTTCGCCATGAAATGATCTCGCCAATGTACCAATTTTTCGCAACTTGTCTTCCGTGACAGTCAGCTCACAAGTTAGCCCGACTCCTTCTCGGCTCTTCCAGCCCCGTTTTCTTGTAGCCGAACAAGTAAGCAGCAACCTTCCGCATCTGCACCTCCTCACTCCCCTCCGTGATTCGATACCGCCTGAAATGCCGCCATATGTGTTCAAAAGGATAGTGCCTCGAGTACCCATCCCCGCCGTGGATCTGGATAGCCCGGTCGGCAGCCTGGCAGACCAGCCTGTTCGCATAGTAGTTGCACATGCTGATCTTGTGCCCAAGCTGCCTCTCGATGGCGACCCACGGCAGCTCCCCGGCGGCCTGGGCCCGCGCCGAGACCTGGTCCATCTCCACGGCCGTGCGCAGGATCAGGAGCCTCAGCATCTCCTCCTGCGTCGAGAGCTCCACCAGGGGCCACTGGATGGCCTGGTTGGAGGACAGCGGCCTCCCGAACACCTCGCGCCGGTTGGCGTGCTCGACGCTCCGGTCGATGCAGTACCGCGTGGCCCCGCAGCTCGAGGCGGCCTGGCGGATCCTGTTCTCGTGCGTGAACGTCTGCGCGATGGCCAGCCCCCCGCCGAGGGGGCCCAGGACCGCCGAGGCCGGGACGCGGACGTCCTGCAGCATGACTGTCGCGTGGTCGGTGGGCATGTTCAGTGTCCATTCGTACGACGCCACGCTGAGGCCCGGGGTTTCCCGGGGGACGAGGAACGCCGTGATGCCCTTGGCGTCGCCCGCCTTGCCGGCCGTCCGGGCGAAGATGATGCAGTGGGTGGCGGTGTGCATCCCCGTCTGCCACTTTTTGTTCCCGTTGATCTCGTACCCGGGCTCGCCTGAGGCAAGCGTGACCGGCCGGGCTGTCGTCTTCATGTGAGTGGCGTCGGAGCCGTGGTCGATCTCGGTTAACCCGAAGGTGGCTCTCAACTCGCCGCGGATGGTAGCTGGTATGAAGTCCCTCCGCTGCTGGGGGGTGCCGTAGTGATGCATCATGATGACGACGGGGTGGTTGCCGACAACACTGTGCTCGTTCTGTATGTCGTTGGCTAGGCTTACACCGCCGCCGTACACAGGATGAGAGGACAGGTGGTACCGGATCGCGCACATGTGGAGGTTGAGTGAGTCTTTGCCAGATCCGCCATATTCTTTGGGGCATGCGAAACGGTAGAAGCCTGCCTTGTCGGCAAGCCTCCTGGCTCGGCTAAGCAGGTCTTCCCAGTCCTTGGTAGGGAGGCCTTGATTGTTCCATTGTGTCCTTGAAGCTTCGCGACGGTGGTCAAAGAAGCGATTGTTGTCGTCGCTATGTTGCACCGGAAGGATGGTGGAGGTGATAAAGGCATCAACACGTGACAAATAGTCCTGAACGTCTTCGGGGAGCTCAAAATTCATATTTGTCGCTTTGGAATGGCTGGATGTGGACTGTCTTCCAATCTAGATATTCAACATCACTTCAAGATGGTTAATAGTCACGGGCTTGTGATGACCTCGGGAGCCATGGGTCGGAAAGACTCGTTGTCTTGGGGCGTCTCTTGATAGCGCTGCTTGTTCGTCGAAGAGGGTTGTACTGATGCCATGCTCAAGTGGACTCCATGCCCGCAGACCTCGGCTTCGATAGCACTGCGCATTATGCAGAAGCTACCCCCTCACGGATCAAACGAACCCCAGCGCCGTGCCAAGGCGTATGCTGGCTGCTCGTGGGGCACCTCGGCATCGCTGCGGCTTTCCCCGCAGTGGTAGCCGTACAGAGCCAACAAGCATGACTGGCTTAACGTATGCCAGGTAACCTTAAAAGGAGGTACATGCGAGCGACCTATTGCCGAGCCCCTCGTGGATGTGTCTGACAACGACCTCAAAGGCCAAAGATGGGTTCAGGAACTGCATCCACTGCTGGCTCAAGCCATGACCTTGATGACAGCGCTCTGGGACGATACCTCGCCAAGACTGGGAGAATCGCCAACCTGAAATTACCTATCGTAACCAGCAAGATCGGGTATGGCCAGAGCAACCCAACCTACTTTGTGGATGATGCAGCGTAAGTACACACCATGCGACACCTATATGTTTCCACCTACCTGCCGAGAAGTGACCAGACGGCTGTTACAGCGGCACCCGGTTCATTCTCAGGAAGAAGCCCCCAGGCCAGGCCATCAGTCCCGTGGCGCATCAGGTCGATCGGGAGTACAGAGTGCTCAAAGCACTTGGCTCGGTGAAGGGTTTCCCCGTGCCCAAAGTCTTCGACCTGTGCGAGGACAGTTCGATAATCGGAACCCCATTCTACGTCAGTACGCCGGCTTGCCAACTGCGTATATATGTACTATATGCTAACTGCCAAGGATAGCTGATGGAGTTCGTAAAAGGCAGGATCATGACCGACATGGACCTGGGGGAGCTTTCACCAAGCGATAGACGAAGGGCGTGAGTTATTGTCCTATGATATCCTACGTGATTAAATGCACCCAAAGATGACAACTCATGTGGCTAGTTGGTTTTCCGCTATTGAGACTCTCGCATGGCTTCATTCCCTGGACCCCGACCAAATTGGGCTCAAGGATTACGGCAAGAAGACCGGATTCTATAATCGTCACTGCAACACGTGGAGTCGTATTGAGGCGCAACAAGCCGGGGTCAAAGACGTCAAGACGGGCAAACCACTGGGCCGGGCCCATGAAAATTACGACAAGATCGTCGAGTACGTGAGAAACAACTTGCCGGGCGAAAGATATGCTATCATCCATGGAGATTTCAAATTCGACAATCTGGTACGTGCGCATCACATCAGTCCCTCAGGTAGGGTTATACTGAGCCAGCCGCTTGATTCTAGATTCTGCATCCTACCGAGCCAAGGGTTATCGCAGTTCTTGACTGGGAATTGTCAACTATTGGACATCCCTTAATGGACCTCGTCTACTTGCTCAGCCCCTTCTTCGACGATTACCACAAGGTAGGGCGTAACGTTACAGCCTCATCACCCGCAGACTCCCCCAACCCTTACAAAACGGAGAATCGAAGGACGAGTGGCATACCGGAGCCGCAGGAACTCCTGGACCGTTATGCGGAGATTGTCGGCTTCGACCTTCACAAGGACGGCGGCGGGAAAGACTGGGACACGGCCGTCATCTTCCACTACCTCCGATCTGGCACGATCAGTCACGGTATCCAGGCGCGGACCATCACAGGCCAGGCGAGCAGCAAGTTTAGTCATATCTACTTTGGACAAACTAAGGCATCTTTGGATGCGGCCTTTCGGCGGGTCAAGCAGCTCGAGTCGGGGAAGGGTGGAGGCCCCAAGCTTTAATTATAGAGCTGTCAACTATGACTACTTCCCGCTAAGAGAAATGAAGCTCGTATTTGTAACGTATTCTTCCACCATGGGTTCGGTATTCTTGGGGGAACCTCTCACAGCACTGCCTGAGGTGGCACGGAACTGACCCAGGGTGGTTCCCAGGCTTTTGACACCCAGCCATGACTAGCCATTCCTGCAAGTCGGCGACGGCGACGGCTGTTCCAAGGGCTAATTACTGCTAACAGAAGTGCGACGGCGGCGGCGGCGGGGTGCTCGGGCACCTGAAACAGCGGGCTTGGCCGGTGGAGGACCTGCCGATCTCCATTATCCATTTCATCTCTACTCGGGGGAACAGATTTACGAGAATCAACATGAATTAGGACGCTGGAGGATATTAAATGATCTCTGCCGTGTGACCTGTAGTCTCTCTAAATCCCCCAGACGCCAGCCTTGAATAAAACTTCCCGTCTGTGCGAGGTCTCTTTGATTTTCCACGATCCCAAACCGAACTCCAACCAGGCGCGATGAGCGTCGAACGCCCAGCGCCCCACTGGATCCCACTGTCACAAAAAGGAAAATTACAAAGATGGTAGAACGAGAATAGACCAGAAGGCCAGTAGTCTCCAAGACGGAGCCCCGACCAAGTCCGAGTCTCACTAGAACCGATGAGCCACTCTCCTCGGCACAGTCAGAGTATCCTCTCTGGAGTAGACAAAACTCGGCCTCGGCGTGATCCCGTCCTCGCCGACTGGGTGCCCAGGGTGCCCAGGATGCGCCGGTGCCCTCGTAATTGTGTCGCCGCCGCCAGTGGCCACGTTGTTGTCCTCCACCACGACCGTAGTGGTAGTCTTAGTCGTGATACCATTAAGCTTCTTGTCCTCCGAAGCCACCGTGCCGCCGAGCGACTCCCACCCGACGCCCTTGCGCCGGTCCGCCCGCGGCCCTTCCCGCCTCAGCCTCCTCGTCAGCGGCTGCAGGCAGTCGGCAGAAGCGCCGTGGTGCCGCCCGCCGCCGCGGCGCGCCCCGCCGCCCCCGGCCTCGACCCACACCATGTTTCCGTACTCGACCGACGGGGTCCGCAGGAACTTGAAGTCGGCCAGCCCGGCGTCCTTGATGTCGGCGGGCGCGAGGAAGATCATGGTGCAGCTCCACAGCACGACGTCGAGCCACCCGTTGCTGGCGATCATGGCGCCCGCCCACAGGAAGTAGCCCTGCTTGACCGTCACGCCCGACGCCAGGATCATGGGGCCGATGGCCATGGGCGCGCAGCACACGAAGTAGACGAGCGGGTAGATGAGGAAGGCCGGGTGGTGGCCCGACCGGCGCGGGTTGCGCAGGCTGAGGCGGGCCCTGGCCAGCCGCCGCAGGAGGCCTGGCCGTGTCCGCCGCGTGTCGTGGGCTGGGCGCGCGACGCGGACCTCGACGGCGGTGAGGATGAGGCCCAGGATGATGATGCCCATCATGGCGAGCACCCAGCTGAAGTGTGTCCAGAGGCGGTAGCCTGCGTACTCCTGGCTGATCCAGCACTGTTGATGCGGGCGAGTCTTGTCAGTATGAGTTCGCATGCAAGCAAAGCAACCAAGTGAGAAGAATGGGTGAGTTGGAGCTTATTATTACCCAGGTGTCAACCCTCGCGAAATAGCCGCCGTGATCCCTTCCGTTGTTGGATGCCCACACCCCGGCGGCAACGATGACGAAGCTGAACGACCACACGGTCGCCACGATCAGGCGCAGGGCCTTGGAGGGCATGCTGTAGTGGTGGACGACAAGGAGGTAGGTGTTGATGGAGACGGCTGCGGCGAACATGGCGCTTGCTATATCACCCTGCGACCGCAACCACCCCTGGGCCCAGCAGGACTCGGACCGGACTGTGATGGCATTGTGGTCGACCCAGACGAGGTTGGGGATGAACGAGGCCGACTGGATGATGTCGGCGATGAGAAGCATGTAGATGAGCACCAGCAGCGGGTTGTATCCCTGGTACCGCAGGCGGATGTTGGGTACCGTGCCGACAGCATTGGGACCCTCTTCGTCGGCGGCCACGCCGTCCTGGAGGTGTGACCGCGGGCACGGGTCGCCGCCTGGTGACAGCGGGGACTTGGCTGCCCCCGTCAGTGTATTTGACGATGCCTGCCTGCACAACTGGTGTTCCTCGGGCTGGGCCCTTGGCGTCAGCGGTGTGGCCCGGCGAGAGAACAGCCTAGATCCGGTGTACCGGGTCCGGTGCGGGGCTGTCAGCCGGCCCTGGACGACGCGGAATGTTATGAAGGAGAACAGGCTCGTGCATAGGATGAGGGAGACGACAGCCAGCGCGCCTATGACTGCGAGGCCTGCTCTCAGGTTGTCGCCCAGCGGTGAAAGGTCCTCTGTGCCTGGAGGCTGTGTCGGCCCGTAGTTGTCCCAGACGTGAGACATTGCGTGTTATGTCCCCCGGCGGGCTGTTGAATTAAAAGTAGTGTTTGGTGGAAAGTCCTTATTTTAAGTCCTTATTTTGCCTGGGGTACGTCTGTAGTCGTATTCGGCTCGGTCGATGTGCGGCGCACATGTCTGCCATGTGGCCTGGCGGGAGCATATGGGTGACAGCTGAGGCCCCTTCAGCCCTCGCACGAACCAGGGCGGGCCACTGGGCTACAAATATGGACCATGCGTCAAGGCAGATATACGCAGCTGGGTGGAGATGGCAAAGAGATGATCGTCAGCCTTTTGTTTCCCCCCAGGCTCTGGGGGCCCGGCCAACGACTCCGCACGGCGGTGATGGTTTGTTGAATCTTCGGTCGGTTTTGGCGCCCTGAATCAGGGCGTGACTCGGAGGGCGCAACGCTATTCTGGCAAGCAAACTTCTGAAGGGCTCTTTATTAAGTTTTCTCCACGTGCGCAGCGCACACTGGGAGGAATCGAGAAACAGAGGACCGCATCCAGAAGTGATGGACGGTCGGGCCTCCGATGCCCAGACACCGCCGAGTCCGTTCGTTAAGAAATACCACCCAATGCTATAGTCTAGAGGTCTGGATTGTCCAGACTCGTGAATATCCAGACAGGTGGGTTCGCAGGGATGGCTTGGCGTGCGCACGATGTCATGTGTCCAGCCAAGCTTTGTTATTCGCTCCGAGCGGACGTGCCTTTGCAGGCGTTAGATTGATTTGCAGGGCTGATGACGATCAATGTGCCCAGCTGACAGGGCCGCCTTGTCGGCTGTTATTGGCCGCGCACGGGTGGCAGAATGGAAGTTAACCAAAAGGTTGGAGAACGCCGTGGGATTTGAGTTTCCGCCCCAGCTTGGAAGACGAAGATGGCCCAAGTGCTCCGCGGCTTGGCCCGCTGTCTGAAGATTTTAAATGCCGGTGAGGAGTCTTGATTTTCCAGTCTCGTCCCATCTCAGTCCCCGAGGGTCTGCTCGGAAGAAAAGAATCAAACTCCAAGGCTGTCATGTCGGCGTTTAATCGCCCCAAGCATGTTCACGTCTGTTATGCCTCACAAGAAACCATCACCCGGAGACAGGCAAAACTATACCAAAATCTGAACCTCGGACACCAATGCTCTGGAGTTTGCGAGCAAAGTGTATCACACTGCAACCTTGGACCGTACGATAGCCTCGCCCGTCGGCGGCGCACGTGCCATTAGTTCAACGACGATTCAATCGAGTGCTACCCACAATGACGTTCCACAAAGTTCCTCAGCTGGAGAGCTGCAGTAGCCTCACCATAGCCCTCGCGTGGTGGAAGGGATCTCCCCGCCCGACGCGAAGACTCGGTCGACCGAAAAAAAGCTCGGGGTAGTAGGCCATTCAACGGCGACTTGGGCGACAAGCCTTTGGGCTGGGATGTGGGGTACTCGCTGGACACCTGAATGCGGTCATTTCATATATTCGCTACATGCCCCACACAAGCGAGGGCCAGCTGGCCAGCCGTTGCAGTCTGCACGTCCCTCTTGCGCACGAATATATCGATCATGGGTATAGCTAAGGTACACGAGTCACGCTAAAGCTATCACCCGTTTTTGGAATTGTGGCAAAGTCTAAGAGAGTATGCTACAACGGTAGGGTTAAAGAGACCAGCCCCGGGAAATTAGTTTTCCCAATGGGCTTTTGTTGGTTGGAAATATGCGCTGCGGACTAGTATGCACAAAATTGGAATTATATACTCAAATACGAGGCGGGGCTACACCGATGGCAATAAGTATCAGCGCAGGGCAATGACTGCTTCAAAAGACAAAGCTCAGGCCGGCCACATTTTGAGACTAGTGCTGAATTCTGCGCCGGCCTCTCCCTATTCAGTAGGTAATGGCTGTCCTGGGAGCCTCAGCAATGTGGAACACGACTATCGTGGAACTGAGCTTTGTTATTAATACTATACCCGAGAGCAAGTGGTTTCGTTTTTAATCCCTATATATATAAAATATACATAGCGCCTTTATATAGTAATAAACACTTAAAACTTAATATTTAAAGAAATATAGTATTAATAATAATAGAAAGAAAATATAATATATTTATAGGTATATAGCTAAACTTTATACTATATAAATAAAGTTAGAAGGTATTACTTTTAATAGCACTATACTAAAAAGTTAGTAAAATAGTTATATAATAAAATTAAAATAGTCTTTTAAAATAGCCCTTATAAAAAGAAGAATCCTATAATATAAGACCTAATAAGCTAGCTCTTCCCTATTAATATACTTAATAACTACTTAAATCTATTTTTATTAAATAAGTTAAATATATTATAATCTCTATTATAAGTATATAATTAATAAAATAATAATATTATAATAGTAAACTTATTTAAGAAAACCTTTTATATAAATTTTATAAAAGATTAAAACTTTTAAAAAGTTAAGTAGAGTTTATTTATTATATATTAAATAAATATTATATAAAGAAAGTAAAAGTTTAAATATTTAGAAATTAAATCTTCCTTTTTTAGGTATATTTTTTTATTATTAAGGATTTATTTATTTTTATATAATATATAAAAAATATAGTAAAAAAGAGAGCCTTATAAAAGAAGTTAGTAACTCTATTATATATAAATAAGTTTAAGGGTATATATTAAATAATTATTAACTTTATATTTAAGGTATAAGCTAATAGTTAATCTAAAAGTTAAAAAGATAATAAATAGATAAATAGTTAAATAAAAAATATAATGTGGCCGAAGCTATGTTTGTGACCAATGTACACGAAACGGGAAAGGTGCCATTGCGAATCTTCCCGATATTAATTACACTCCGTCTTCGTTATCTCACCGAGTGAGTTATTTGCTCAACTCCATCTGCTGAGCGAGAACACTAGGTGAAGGTTCTCAGAGCTCTGCTGCTTTTGATCTGCATGAGCGCAGCCAATTACCCGGTTACACGGCTGAAGACGGGTTACTCCGACAGTAATCACACACAATCATCAATCAATTGCGATTCGAGTATCAGACCGGATCTGACTCATAGAAATGATGACAGAAGAATGATGTAATGCTGCTTCACCGCCAGCCAGCATACCTAGGTATCATCGAGAGTGACGACTGACTCAACAGCCTGCATTTTATCCCGTCGCTGTCGATTCAAAATATGTGCTACGCCAGAGACTTCAGAATGGCATGGTGTAATCTTTGGAAGCTAATGTTGTTTGTTTCTTTGTACTGAACTACCTAGGTACATGCTCTCAGACGTGGTCTGCAACAGGCACGAAAAGTGCCCTTTCGGTGCTGAAAGCTCTAACCTCGTGGATGTTGCTGTTCTTCTGGAAAACAACTTAAAGGCTGCCAGTCTAGTAACTGTATCCCTGGGAAGTCATGACCCATGATGAAGCTCTGTCACTGAAGGTTAGCATGTTGTTTTCTAGTTTTACGTTCCTAATAGAGTCTTCTAAGGAAAATTTGATGTTTCAATGTTCAGTTGCTTCTGTAGGTAATTTCGAAAACAAATGAGTTTGCGGAAAGCTGAATTAAACGATTTCGGATCTAATCCCTATACACATAAGCATTTATAGCGCCCTCTAATAGTAGCAAACACTGAAACCCCAGCATTCTAAAAACCACAATCCCAACAACAGCTCAGAGAGAATACCCTGTGTGGGCACATGACCTTGGCCTCGTGCCGTATAGACAAGGCCGAGAAGCATCACTACTCTTTATTGTGAGCTACTAGTCCCACAGGTAGAAATAGAGCGGGTTGGTGGCACATATGGCAGGGCTCAGGTACGTCTCGCCTGTTGGCTCTCTGTCTATATGACCCCGGCCGCACATTGTACTTCTATATGGAAATAATGCGTTAGTGATTTCGGTCTAAACCGGAGAAAAATCGCGAATGCGTACAGTCCCCTAATCCAGTTGACGCCCAATGACCCAATGCTTGTTTTCTGAAAAACGGGAATCTTTTGATAGCTGTTTGGAGTATCTGCTTAGAAGATAGTAGTATCTTTTACTTCGATATCAGAGCTGACACATTCCAGCCACCCAGACTGGCTGTATTTCAAAAGGCTCGGGACCCGAACAAAAACAAACAGTGTATCACTAACAAGAATTTTACTCGACCGGCCATCCTTTGGCTCAAATTGAAGCCAACTGCAAATCATTTACCTCGAGGATGACGAAGTCGAATCGTTGGCATGGCCGTTTGTTTTCGGGGTCATATATCATATACGTTCCCGAATCAGGCAAAAGCAAAACAATCTTGGATTGCCAATCGAAATGAGAGATCCGTTGCCAAGGACTCACCGGGGACGTGGCTAACCCGGCAACACATGCATGTGCCCGCTTTTGTTTAGCTGCACAGAACTGAGCCAACGCGACATCTGTCGACGTCGGAGGAGATGTGGAAAACTGAGTACCCGACTCTTCTGAAGCTCTCCACTTTCCACCCGATAAGCTACCAACACTGCAGACATGTCTTCTGGGACGCTGCGCCGACTGGTGCTGAGTGCCACCGGAGATGCCTCGCCGGCCGCTGCCTTGGCATTACCACGCCGTACGATTCCGTCCTTGAGCTCAAGCTTGACCTCGTGTCCTCCATCGACAAGACAAAGTGGAGCTGCTCCGCTACAGCTGCGTAAGTTCGCGTTGTCTAGTCGTATCCGTTTGAAGGACTCGTTTGCTGAGTACGCCCAGGCTGCTTCCACCCCACCCCTGCCACCAGGCTGTATATCCCCAACGAAGTTGTATTTGCGCTCGCAGGTGGTGGAATACTGCTCGCCCGATTTCTACTCAAACGCGTCAATATCGTGATCGCAAGAACCGGTCCCGGATCCATGACTTTCCCGCCGATCTCCTGGGTTAGATCTTGTGACCAAAAGACGCGCCACGAGGTCGCAACAATCGTGACTGCGGGCTTCGACATGGCAATGCGGAAACCGACACGGCTCCGAGACCAGGCGTACAGAGAAGCCAGCTTCCAGGTTCCACATGAGATTGCCAGGCTCAACACGGCAGCCCCGCGCTTCAAAATCGAGGAAATGGCGCCCTTGACGTGTGTCCGTAAGGAATTGGGGCGCTTGCGAAGAGGTGACCCCGACCTAGAGTTTTCATTCGATATCGAAAAGGACGCGCAGCTCTTCCTGTATTTTCCAAACGACTCGCCCAAAGCAGCGGCCGCGTTCCTGGCTATCAACACTAAATTTGACACTCGGGTCAGGAATTCCGAGGTGCCGCCTACTGATGAGCAGGCTCGTTTGCTCGCCTACGGTATGGCCCTCTTTAAATTGCAATGTAGGCACTGGGCGGATAAACGCCCTGAGATCTTGCGCCGCATTGGGCCAGCTCTGCTGCCAGTCATCATCAGCTTCCGCGGAACGGCCTGCGGGCTTTTGTATGACATGCGCAGTGGACGTCTGGTGAGATCAGGCTCTGATACAGCGTCCATAGTGAATTTCGATCAAAACAGGCGATAAGTCATTATCGTGGAAGCTAAACCTGGGAACCTCTCCCAAAAGCGGGCTGGGGATCTCCGCTTACGATCAACATCGGTATCATGAACGTAGGTCACTCAAGGGGTTAGAAGGTTCTCAGTTAGGTCTTTTCATGTTTTTTCAACTGAAGCCGTTTTAGTTTGGTGAAATTGGGAAGTTTGAGATTCAAACACCAGTTCTTAGGATCTCTGCGCTTGAGAGAACCGGGTATGAGTAGCGGAAGTGTATTATACCACGCCCCTTCGGCTGTCCGTACAGGCAAGATGGCATGGCGATTTGAGACTTGACTATATATTTGTCGTGAAATACGGACTACGTGCCTATAGTAAGTGGCGGCGTCGCTTTCTGTACAAATAGTGCAGTGGTAATTAATCGTGACAATCTTATTGCCTGAGTTCATGGGTGTATTAGGCAAGTGAACACGCAATAATAGTACAACATGCCATGCCGTTGAATGAATATGCATCAATCGAGACTTTACCACTTGCGCCCACCTAGTCCCGCCTTTGTTTGTCAATATTCCGTCACGCTTATAGTGCGCCAGATTCACTGGGCGTCTTGCGTTATTATGATGGCAGCAAATACCTATTGGGCTATTGATGGTGATAATTGCCGCAACCATGGAGAGGAACCATCCTTGAAAGAAAGGTCGTACACCGAACCAGGAGGCGATGTGTATGTAGTATACGGCTTTTAAGAAGACAACATGTCCTATCCAGAGAATCAGGAGTAGGAACTTCTGATTTAGGAAAGAGTGTGTCGTAGATCTAATCTCTTGCCATTGGTCCCAAGTTGACGTAAAATGCAATGTTGACAGCTCCACTGGTTCTCCGTCCGAACGCTGAACCTTTGGTGGCCGGTTGAGAAGAATGGCGATAAAGGATTAGAGTGTGATAAGAATCAGGTAAAATGATTGCTATATCGTGCATTAGTCGGTACTTGAGATAGTTACTATAACTATCTATATTCCTCTTATTACCTATTAAGTGGTTGGGTGGGTGATTTCGCTTCTATTCCGTATATGTGGTTTCGCTTCTATTCCGTATACGTCCGAGGACATACATGGCGCCTTCATACGGTGGTAAGCGCTCAAGACCCAGCGCTTGAAAAGGACACGATGCCTATAACGATAGTCATATTAAATCATATAAACTCCTAGTTTAAATAGGTGCTTTGATTAGAACGTGGGATAGCTTTGCAGCTGAGCCTCGAACAACAGCTTTCACTCTTTTACTCCTTTTCGGATCCTTTATAATTCAAATGCCGTTCTCTACGATGGTTAGGTGCGGGTACTAACTGGTATGATCAAGCGTGACAATCGTTACGTTCTTCATCCCGGTTTCTCTAACCCGCTCGACTATTACTTGCTAGGACGACAGAAATTGTGTCTCGTCCTTGGTAGTACCAACGTATGTGACTATGACTCTCCTCTAAGCACACCTGGGAAATGATACAGCTCGAATGACTAAGTGTCGCCGCATATGCGGAACCCATTTCCTCATCGCCAAGATCGTTGATAAGCTGGCCCTGCAGGTCGCTCATCCTGCAGTTCCCATTCCTCTTGTGTGTCAAGCGTCAGTGGACCATACTTCGTGTAATTATCTCAGTAGATGTGCACCTTCTGCAACACAAGCTGGGGTAGGATCCGATGCAACCAACCAGTTGACCGCACCAAGCGTCACCGCATTGCGTCGTTACGTTATAGCCCAGTGGCTGTGTGCAATGTGTGTTGGAGCACAGCATAGCCAGCTGAAAAAGAAATAAAACACAAAAATGAGAATTGAAAAAAAGAAAAAAATAAAGAAATCGCGCAGTTCATGGCAAGAACGTGCGACCCTGCCTGCCTCGGCTGCCACACAGCCTTCCGCTACATACCTAGGTATCTAGATATTACTTGACCTCACGTTATTTATCCAACAGGCTCTGCTCCTCAGTGTTGCAGTGTGCTCGCCTCATATTGGGAGCCAATTTCAAAACGTGCCCATTTTCCCATGCCAAAATGCGCCCAACAAGGCTACCTGCCACAAGCCCGCAGGTTGAATCTGACGATCGAGTTGATGATCCAGTCACCTAGCTCCTGTTACACATGCTTTTGATTGGTGTAAGAACTACCTCACTCTAGAGTATGGCTCATTAACAAAGCAGGGGGACCCTTTCTGATCGACTGCTGCGCCTTGCAGCTGACTTACCTGGGTTTATGGCCTACACATATGTAGTTGGGTAAGCTGGAACTTACCATCTTCCTAGGTACCAACCGAACTCCTCTTTCTACCTTCCATGTATCAGCAGCAGATATCTATCTCCAATATTGAGCATGCTTCTGCTGGACTTTGACGAGGAGTCATCATCCTTCAAATGACATTCGTTGACTTGCATCTCTGCTCCATCGTCACGGGCTTAAATTCTTACCTCCATGGACTATCATAAATCGAATGCATGCTCTCGAAATAGGATTGTAAACTGTTCTTCCACATACAATTCTACCCTCATTTTGCCCATAGTTTCATGTCTCTTCGTGCTTCATATACGAGTCAGATTCACTGCCCAACCATATCCGTCCTGCTCTTTTCATTTTGGTCCGGTTCCAGAATGACACAAAATTCCTCCCAAGTTCTCCACCCCCCAGTTGTAACACCGAAACATGCCATCTGGTTGATAGTAGCATCAGTGATGATATTTCTATCAACTATTATGGTTATACTACGTTTCGTCCAGCGGAAAAGATTGGTTTGCGACCAAAAGAGGTTTTGGTGGGATGACTGGTTCATACTTGCCGCTTTACTTTGCGCCTATGGTTATTTGGGCGGCGGCATCGCGGCTAAGTACACTGGCTACCATATTACAGAATACACCGTTGAGGAATTGAATGATCTCAGCAAAGTGAGTGCCTCACTGTACTGAAAAGGATGAATCTTTTGAAACCAGTGGCTGACTTGATGTGTCTACTATAGGCCGCCCTTGTTGAAGAAACCCTTTACAGCACCAGCGTCGCGCTTTCAAAAGCCTCGTTGCTATTCTTCTATAGTCGCATATTTTCCGTGGACAAGACTCTGTTGCTCTCATTCCGCGTGATAGGCTTCATGGTCTTCGGGTACTGTATGGCTGCCGACTTTGGCGCTATCCTTTCCAAACACCTCTCGGAGGCCGAGTGGAATGTCACCCACCGTCACACAAGTATCGACGACATGGCCTTCTGGATCTCAACGGCCGTAATCAATATCTGCCTCGACGTTGTTATCCTGGCTATCCCTCAGATCAAAGTTAGAAAATTGCATATGTCACGAAGACGTATGATGGCTGTTCAAGGAGTTTTCTTGCTGGGAGCTTTGTAAGTTACTGCTGCAGTGATCTCTTCCTTTGTACGGCATTTTCAGTTGTTGACCAAGACAATGTGCCTGACCACTCTTAGTGTGATAATTGCCAGCATCACACGCATCGTTTATCTGGCCACAACTGATCTGACAGACATCACTTGTGAGTCTTTTTGATTCCGCCCGTTTCAACTGCCCCTACTCCTGCCCTTCCCTTGGTGGTCCTTTTTCTGATACGGCTTGATAACAGACACAATTACGCCCATATTAATTTGGACGAGCATAGAAATGAACCTCTCCATCGTCTGTGCATGCTTGCCCACGGTCTACGGTTTATTCAAGCCCCCGACGCTGCGTTCAACATGGACACGACCGAGCAACGTACTCGCTCCGTCTCTATCTCGTCGCAGTCTCTTCAACAGCAAAACTAATCCCTCAGATACGGATATCGAAGACCCACCATTTCTGGGCAGTCAAGTCTACCTCCCAAGCACGTCGCTCCAAGGCCCTGCATGGACTTGCCAGCAGTCACAAGAAATCATGCCTCTCCAGCCAGTCTGCCAGAAAGCTTCATTGAATGGTGGATCCAGCTAAAGAGTCGAGGGCGGGGGCCTAAGAAAGTAGCGATGCGCGCAGAATACTACACGAGGAGAGTTCACACTACTATCCTGTTGCATCCTACGGTAGTATGAGATGGTCAGCGGAGAAGCAGTCACTGCGCATCATGTGGCTCTTTGCTAAAGCGTCGAGGTCTTTGATATTGTGGACGCTATGACGTGGTCTGGTTTATTTGTCTCTATTTACGTCAAAGTAAAAATCTAAGTTGTCCGTAATTCCTCACTGTCGTTATACAATAACTAGTAATCATATGCTGCCATTTCTCACCCTCTGTAGAATCTTGAGCAATCGAATGGCCATTGTCAAAGGTCTCCAGGAGAGCGCGATAGACAGCTCCGTCTCTGTCAACGTGATTTTCAAAGCTGAAGTAGCCGATCCGCCGGAATTTGCCCTTGGAGCTGCCGATAGACTGGATGCCAAGGCCGCGGATAGCTTAACGGGCTCGGCTGGGACCGTTGTTGCTGATCCATGCTTCGCCAGGATCAGCAGCCGCAGGAGGGGCACAGGAAAGCTCCAGATCACTTGAGGTCCAACGGGGAAATCTTTACCACTTCTGGGTATGAGGTACGGGTTCTTGACAAAGCGAGGCACGGTGTTTCAAGAGTACGACGAATGACCAACGACGAATGACCATCGACAGATGCCCATGACCAACTCGGGGCCCGACACGGTCGCGGTCTCAGGCTTTTAAGCTGTTATTTACCATTTCTAAACCTCTACAACCCATCACTGACTGAGATAGGTTATCATAAATACTGGAACTCCTTAAACCCCCGACTTGTTATTACAAGCAGCCTGGCGACTAATCACCTAACAGTCCGTTGTACTTGATGGTCTAGTCTTCCGTTCTGTCACGGAACAAAACAGCTCATTTCAGTATATGTCAAAATGAGCTCCCTATATACCTGTTACTATATGTTTATGCGTTGGTAACTAGGTAAAACTGTTTTCTTGTCTTTGATGCGGTCCTAGAGGATCTAGAAATGAGTCCTTGAGCATGGCAGTCAATACACATACCGGACACTCGTACTAGTAGAAGACGCCCGACAGAGCCCTGTTGATAAAGTCTTTTTGAGAATATATCCAGCATATCAAAGCATCGTCTCACAGGAGTCTTGAGCTTGTGGCGGTGGCGTTGGAAAGCCCGGGCTCGATCCGGATGTCCAAGACTCGTACAACTCAAAAACAAGCTTTTAGGCTTGTTGGTGCAAGGTGAGTTTAATTAGGCCACTTGCTCCGCCAATAGGAACTTCAAGATCACATTGTGGGAAATTCATCGAGCGGGGAGGCCTGTTACACCGCGTGCTTTGTGGTGATCCTATTCTTAATGATAGATAGGTGTATAAATACTTGGCAGTACTCCGAGTGGCCATTTCGCATTACCCACTCATTTGTCCAGGAACAAGAGCCCTTAGCTCTATCATTGTCAAGGCAAACCTTTCACGACTGTGCATCCATCTTTTCGCAAGATCGGCAACATGAGAGTCATCCACACCAAAGACTTCTATTTCAGCTCCGACCAGGACGGGTTAGATCTCCGCAAGGAACCTTGGAAGGCTACGCAATTCTTTCCCATCGGTGGATCTCATACGAGAACGGCGGTGAAATCCCATTCCATCAATATGAACAACATATCGAAAAGCTCAAGTCCGACTCGACAGACTTGAGCCCACAACTGGACAAGATACGCGGCGCTTGTAGAATTGCACGAAGCAAGAAGATCAACTGAATGTGGATCGACTCCTGCTGTATCAACAAGCTTGATCCGACCGAACTGACCACATCAATCAACTCGATGCACTTGTGGTACCATGATTCATCGTTGTGCATTACCTCTCTGTGGGATGTCGAGTTGAATCCCCGAGGTCCAACAATATCGCCGTCGGACCCGCGGATCTTCAACTCCAGCGTTAACAATAAGCCGGCCTCATGGTTCTCTCGAGGGTGGACGCTGCAGGAGCTTTTGAACTCGCAGAGAATAGAGTTCTACGATAAGAATTGGACTCTCATCGGTACAAAGAGGGACCTACTGTCCCCACTCAGCAAGCTCACAGGGATCGATGAGAACTATCTCACTGGTATGGAGGACTTCCGCGACGCATCTGTGGCTACCAAGATGAGTTGGATGGCGAACCGAACAACCACTCTTGAAGAAGATCTCGCCTATAGTATGCTCAGCATTTTCGGAGTCAACATGACGCCCAACTACGGTGAAGGCCCATGCGCCTTCATGCGCCTACAAGAAGCCATATTATCTGGCTCATCTATGGACGAGTCCCTGTTTGCCTGGAAGATGCCGAATGCCAACTCCGGGGAACGGTACAACCGCCAGAACAGCGCATGGGAGGGATACGAGTGGGGCCTCTTGGCGCCATGCCCAGCGTGGTTCGCGGCCTCTGGGGGCGTCAGGGCCCTGCCCAACGCCACACGACGCCGTGGGCCGTTCGAGGTGACAGGAGAAGGCGTCAAGGCACCCGTCGGCCGAGCTGCCACACAGTCCAGCGTCAGCGTCTGGCACTTCATTGCCATTTCCGGCCTGGCGGCTGGTATCATCCCCGGCCTGCCGGCAATGATGTACCTGAAGCACATCGTCAAGGAGGCGTTGAACTCGGATGCCACGTTTGGGCTCAACTGTGGGAGGAGGAAGCAGGTGGGCATCTATCTCCGGCCCGTGTCCCGGGTTGAGAACGGGGACATAAGGACTCGCTTCCCGTCCTTTGCCAGGACTGGCCCCGTGAAAAGGGTCCGGTGCAACGAGTTTGGGCTTAAAGCCGAGAGCTTTTCAAGCGCCCCGGGCCTCGTGGTTCAACCAGCGCCGGCCAACGCATACAGAATACGAAAGACCAGTGCTGACCTTGCCTGATTGGAGTATGTTGGAGGATATAACGAGTACATGATGTACTTTTCTGGCGGGGTCGTATTCAGAATTCTTGCGGGTCTGTCGATGTCCCTCCCACTTCCGTTTTCTTTTCTTTTCGTGTGTGTGTGTGTGTATGTGTGGGGCAGGGTTGCCGTTCACTACACTCAGTGTAATAGTATAGTATAGTAGGTGTAAATAAGCCCACTACACTCCATTACACTAAGGGTATTTTTAAGTCTACTATATTACACTAAGCAGCCTAGTATATACAATATAGTGGGTTTAAGTGTAAATAGGGGGGGAGGTAGGGGGAGGAGAGTAATAGAGGGAAAGGGAGGGTAGAAAAGAGAGAAGAAAGCTAACTAAGCCGCTAGATAAGATAAGATAAGAAGAGGAGGAGGAAAAAGGACTATTTACTTACCTATTTACTTACCTATTTACTTACCTATTTACTTACCTATTTACTTACTTATTTACTTACCTATTTTTCTAACCTATTTTTCTAACCTATTTTATTTCTTTTATTTCTTTTTTTATTTCTTTTTTTATTTCTTTTTTTATTTCTTTTTTTATTTCTTTTTTATATCTTTTTTTATTTCTTTTATTTCTTTTTTTATTTCTTTTTATTTCTTTTATTTCTTTTATTTCTTTTTATTTCTTTTATTTCTTTTATTTCTTTTTATTTTTTTATTTCTTTTTTTATTTCTTTTTTTATTTCTTCTTTTATTTCTTCTTTTATTTCTTCTTTTATTTCTTCTTTTATTTCTTCTTTTATTTCTTTTTTTATTTCTTTTTTTATTTCTTCTTCCTCTCTCTAACCCACCCTTCTATATTTTAACTTACTATATTATATATACTTATATTAAAGGCCTATATACTATACTATATTTACACTAAAAGTATTTTAAAGTACACTATATTATACTAATAAGCCTAATGTGTGTAGTGTAGTGGGTGGTAACCCTAGTGTGGGGGGGTTCACTTTCAGGTCTACAGATGTTATTCAAGCAATCCTCGGCTACGTCCACCCATTGGAACTTGGCTTGATGGCTGCCAAGGAGAGGGGATTCAAATGAATCCAGAATGCATTACAAGGTTGGGTAGGGCCCCTACATCATCGGCACCTTTGCCTTCACTGTGCTTGGTGGGGTTGCCGGTGCGGCGGCCTGCCTGTGCCCTCTACGCCCTGGGCGGTTCAGGCCTAGCGGGCCTGCCTCGGCCGCGCCGAGCAGGAGGAGGCCGACGACGACGAGCACGAGCTGGCCGACCGCCAGCAGAGGCAGCAGCAGCCCCAGCAGCAAGAGCAGCAAGAGCAGCACCTCGTGGCGGCGGCGGCGGCGGCGGCGGAGGCGTGGCGGTCCTGAGTTCGGGCGGGGGCGCTGGGGCGCATTGGTGCTGATCTTTTTTGTTGTTTGTTGAATATATATATATACAATGAGTCTGAATAGACCTCGCCTTTCTTTCTGCTTGCACTTTCCCTCTGCTGACCTTTCACTGAACATGCTTTCCGCCTCCCTCATTGCACATTTTATAATGTTGATGAGTCCTCAAGCCTGTCGTGGTTCGTCGTGACGGCCAGTCCGCCCAACTTGAAGAACAGACCTAGGGAATTGGACGCAAGGAGAAAAGTCTGTTTCGTTTCACAGATCTATGCATAATAACTGTGGTAGGAAGACTTTTTCAGGCAATTCTGCTTTGTTCATGTTCCAAATAGGCTTATGGCAAGCTCCGCGAGTAGAACGGATGCAAGCCATCATTTTCTATACCTCTCACCATACGACCAAGCCCCATTCTTCCCTGATAGATTCACTGCCATGTAATTTCCGTGAACAAAGATGCCGTAGAAGTAATTTGAACCTCATTAGAGGTGTGGCTTGGTCCAAAGCCCTCCATAAAACTCAGCTTAAAAAGCTAAGCAGCGTGACTAGCCCTTGGCAGTTATGTCTCAATAGGTTGGTGAAGGTATTGTAAGACCATGAACCACAAGTTTACTCAGACAAAAGAGAACCTGTTTGTGACGAAGAGGTCAGACGATGGATGTCGTAGATACTAAATGGCCAAGCCACTATGGGCTTGATGCCAGCATCGGCGACCATAGCTGCGTGAGTAGCAGCTTCCAGCGCATTCGTTTGGCGTGATCTACATCGATCACGCTGACTATTGTCTCGATGGTCTTCAACGAGAAGCAAAGCAGAGCTCTCCGCTGCAGTAACAGCCGCAACGAACGCAGCATATGAGCGTGTGGTAGACACAGCCACAGCGATCGCTTGGGCCGTGCGCGCAGCGACCATTGTGGGATTCGGCTCATCCAGGGCGCGAAGCATTCTGATGACAGCGGCTTGAGCCGCAAGTTCAGTTGCTTGGAGCGGCCTGGTCTCGTCTCGGGGCGGGCGTAAGACTGCGCGGGTGGAAGGCGGCGGAGTGTAAAAATACCCTATTTATTGACGGTTCTATGTCTGTCTATAGCCTAATATAAACTACTATTTTAGTCCTCTAAATATAAGGCACTAATTTATATAAGGAATACTTATTTCTCTTAATTTCTATAATATTTTAGTAAGTAGTTAGAGGATTTGCTTTTATTTATAAAAGGGATTATTCTCTCCCTTTTAAATAGATTTATAGTTAAAAAAAATCTATCCCTTTATTCTTATAGGTTATATACTTTAATTACCTTAATTAATTAAATTATAGTAAACTTTACTTATCTATTTTAAAAATTAATACTTTATATTAAACCTATTAAGCTTATACTTAATTAAATTACTTTTTTAATTACCTTTTAATTAAGTTAATTAAACCTTACCTTTTTAAATTAAAGTTAATAAATACTTTAAACTATCTATATCTACCTTTAATATTATTAACTTTAAATACTTTTTAATTACTCTACTATTATAAAACCTACCTTATTATAAGGTATACTATTTAATTTATTTTAATAAATAAATTTTAATTATATTATTTTTAACTATTTAAACCTTTAATTTTAATAAATTATTATATAACTTTTTTAATTTCCTTTAAAAAATTTTTAAATTAACTTCTTTATTAAAAACTCTTTAAATATCTACTAAAAATCCTCCTCTTAACCCTACCCTTTTAAATTTTTACTCTATAAATCCTTAATTAAATTTTCTATAAAAATACTATTTAAAACTTTAAATTTTCCTTAATTTTTAATAATATTTATATTACTATTTTAATTAATTAATAAGACCTTAAATTTTTAAAGTACTTATTAATAATACTTTAATATTTAAATTTTATAATTTATTTAAAATTAATTATTTTAGTTAGTTTTTAATATTTAAATAAAGTTAATATATACTATATTTAATATTTAATTTATAAGAAAATATTTAAAAATATTTTTAATATTATTATAAAAATTATTATTATTATAACTTTATAAAATATCCTTTTAAAACTTATAACCTTATTATTAAATATAACCCTTTAATTTATTATATTATATTTAATATAATTAAAAATTATAAAAATATTTTTAATTTTAAAAAAGGATAAAACTTTTTTAAAAAAACTATAAAAAACTAAAAATATATTAAATATAGTAAAAATATATTTAAAAGTATTATTATATAAGGTTTTAACTTATTTTTATAATATAAGTTCTTTTCTTTTAATAAAAAAGTCTTTTAAATATAAGAATTTTTATAAAATTTTATAGCTTTATATAATAAATATAATATTTTTAATTATTTAATATAAAAATTATCTATATTAAAGTATAAAATTATAACTTTCTTTATAAAAAGGTTTAATTAGAAATAATAATAATTTATAAAACCTTTTAGTTAATAAAACTATAAAATTAATACCTTAATATATTTAATATATAAAAGGACTTTTATATATATAAAATATAAAAATATAACTATAAAGTTTTAAAATATTTTTAAAAATCTTTATAAACTTAATAAATTTATTATAAAATATTTAATTTTAAAAAGCTTTAAAATATTTTTAAAAGAATTTAATATTATAAAAAATATTTAAATAAAATTAAATAATTAACTAAAAATTTAAAAATAAATAATATTAACCTTTTAAATAAATAATTATTACTTAAATATTAAATTTATTTAATAATAATTATAAGGATTTATATAAAATATTATATAAAGCTTAAAGAAAGATTTTAAAACCTATATAATTAATACTTTATTTATTAATTTAATAGATAAATTAAAAGGAAAAGAAAAACTTTTATAAAAGCTTTATTTATAAAAATAATAATAATAATAAAAATAAAAATAATAAGGTATTTTTATTATAACTTAAAAGGGTATATTAAAGAAAATTACTATTTCTTTAATTTTAATAAGGTACTAAAAGCTTGAAAAATAAAGAAAAAGAAGAGAAAATATTTATATATATAAATTAAATTTTAGTAGGTTAAATTGAAATAAAAGATTAATAAATTACTCTTTATAGTTATTAAATTAAAGAGGTAAAATATTAATCCTTTTAATAAATTAAAGGATGAAGAAAATAAAGAGAATTTATTAAAAAAATTCTAAAAATTACTACCACTTATATATTATATAAATTATTTATAAATAAGATAGATATAAGTAAAATAACTAATAACTTTAAAGATGTTAACCTATTAGGTCTTGAATAAGAGACTATATAGAACTATACCTATAGAATTTATATTAGATAGTAGAGTAAATATAATTAGTTTTTATAATAAAAACTATTTAAAACATTAAAATCTATAAATAAAGAAGTTAAGTGGGATAAAGTAAGTATAATAAATGTTAAATATATTGGAGAAAGTAATATATTATTCTTAAATAATAATTATAAGCTTAAAGTACTAAATATATATTATATATTTTTATTAAGTTTAAATATACTTGGTTATAGTGTTATAAGTTATATTATATGAGCTATATTAAAAGGAAATATAATTAAACTTTATTTTATTAAGTTTAATAGACTTATAGGTAAAGGATATAAAAAATAGCTTATATTATATTAAAGTTAAAATATTTAATAATAATTTTAATAATATATAAATAAATACTTTAATTATATAAAAGAGAAAATAGCCTCTTTAAATAATATATATTATTAGTATTACTATTTAAGCTATATAGGTCTTATTCTATTTATATAAATACTTAAAAGTAATAAAATAAATATTAAAATCCCTATTAAAACTTTATAAACCTTTAAATGTAATATTTGTTTATAAACTAAATATATAATTAAATATAATAAAAAGAGTTTAAATAATAAAGAATATAATATTCTTGAAAGAATATATAGTAATATAGATAGACTACTTATATCTATATATAATAAATATAAATATTATATTTTATTTTTAATAAAAAGACTAAATACTTATATAGATATTTATTAAAAGGAAAGGATGAGGTTTTAAAAGTCTTTAAAGACTTTAAAAATAAAGAAGAGAATAATAGTAATAAAACTATTAAAGAATTCTTTTTTGATAATGGGACTAAATTTATTAATAAAAAATTTAAATCTATACTTAATAAAAGTAGTATATATTACTTTACTACTCTTATATATATAAAAAAAACCTAATAGGGTTATAAAAAATTAAATCTTATTATAATAAATAAAGTTTAAAGCTTAATAATAGCCTCTAATTTACTATATATATTGTAGAGAGACACTTTTAGAACTACTATATATTTATATAATATAACCCTATATACCTCTTTAAATTTTAAGAGTCCTTATAAAATAAAAATAATAAAATACCTAATATTAATAATATAAAACTTAGAGTTTTATAATTTATTACAATAATAATAAATATAAAACTAAGCTAAAAGTTAGAAATAAAAAAGGTCTCTTAATAGGCTATATTCCTAAAATATATATATATAGAGTTTAGAATATAGAGACTAATAAACCTATATTAATATAGGATATATAAATTTTAGAAGGAAAATTCCTTAATAAATTTAATAAATTTAAAAATAAAAATAATATTAAAAATTCTATAAAGGAAGAAATACCTATAGAAGAAGATAAAACTTAAGAAAAATTCCTATAAGGGAAGAGATATTTATAAAAGATAAAATAATAATAAAAGGGTATAAAGAACTATATTCTATTAAAAATACTTATATAAATACTATTATAAATAATTTTAATAATTCTTCTATTATTATAATAGTTAGTACTATAGCTAAACCTCTAATATAAAAGAAATATTAAATTCTTTTAAAAAGATTTATAGTTTAAATCTATAATAAATAAAAGAATAGTTTAAAAGAATAAAATTCTTATAAAATAACTACACTATTTAAAGATAAAATAATATTATCTGGTAGATAGGTATTAAAAGAAAATATATAAATAATCCTAATATAATAAAATGTAGCTGGATAGTTAATAAAGAAAAACTATTAGATATAAAGCTAAATAGGTTATTTATGGCTATAAATAACGATTTAAAATAGATTTTTAAAGATTTTTTAACTATTTGTAGGTTAGAGACTTATAATATGCTATTAATTATAGTAATTAATAAAAGTTAATATATATTAAGTTATAATATAAAAATATCTTTTATACTTTAATATAAACTATAAAATATATATTAAACTCTTTAACTTTATATATAATAAAGATAAATATAAAAATAAAGTTACTTTATTATTAAAAGCTATATATAGCCTTAAATAAGTACTTTTATTATAGTATAAATATTTAATTAATATTTTAATAAAAGTTAGATTTAAAATATATCCTTATAATAAAGGTATATTTATAAATATAAATTTATAAATAATATTTATATATTATATAGACGATATAATAATCTTAAAGTCTAATATAAATATTATAAATAATTTAATTTCCTTAATATCTAAGGATATAAATCTTAATTTCTAAAAGAATTAAATAGTTTCTTAAAAATAATATTAAAATTAATAAAAATAATAAAATTATTACTATAAATTAAAATTAATATACTTTTAAAATTCTTTAAAATTTAATATCTTTAAAAATAATTATATTAATAATATTAAAATAAAACTAGAATTAATATTTTATACTTTTAAAAAGCCTTAAAGAGAAATATAAATTAAGCCTCTAAAAAAGAAATAAAAGCTTTTTAATAATAAATAAGCTCTCTTTTATATATTAGTTTAAAAACTAGGTTAGATATATACTTTTTAGTATCTAAATTAGCTAGATATATGTCTAACCCTAGTATAGAGTATTTTAAAAAATTAAATAAATTATAGGGATATTTATTAAAATTCCTTAATATATATAAAAAATTCTAGTATTTAAGAGAAAATACTTTATATATAATAGGTTATTATAACTTAAGCTAGGGTAATAATATAAATAATAGAAAATCTACCTTAAGCTATATATTCTCTTTATCTATAGGAAATAAAGAAATATTTAATTCTATTAGTTAATCCTCCTAATAATAAAAAATATCTGTATTAAGTACTTATAAGGTTGAATATATAGTTTTAAAAGAAGCTATTAAAGAAGGAATTTATTTATATAATTTACTAACTTATTTTAATAATTTTTAAAATTAGGTATAATATTCCTAAAAGTGAAATATATGAAGATAATAATACTGCTTTAAAATTAACTAAAATTAAGTATTTTATAAATAAACTAAATATATAGATATTATATATTACTTTAATAAATATATAGTTAAAGAAAATCTAATTAAAATTATTAGAATAAATATGAAAAATAACCTTATAGATTAGTTAATAAAGCCTATAGTTAGGTAAGAATTTAAGTTAGTTAAAGAAAGGTATAATTTATATAAAAATAAATATAAAAATATTCTATATATATATAAAAGAGTTTTAAAATAAAAGAATATTTTAAAATAATAAATAAACTATAAATGTCTACTATAATATATTTAATAAAGAGAAGTATTTTTCTGAAAAATAATGAGCTCTTTAATAAAAATACTCGGTTTTACTCTCTATAAATAGATTATTTTCTCCTTTAAAAACTATAATTAACTTTATATATTAAAAGGTTTTAACTATTAAAAATTCTTATTAAAAATAAAATTTTTCTATATTTTATAAGTTATTAAAAATATATTAAAAATATATTAAATAAGCCTTAAAAATACTATTAAATAAAAGTCTAAGGTAACTCTCTTAACTTATAATATATAATATACTATATACTACTATAACCACTATACTCAACCTATACTTATAAGCCTATAAATTTATATATATTTTATAATTTATAGTATATATAATATAATAGTTTAGATATAGTAATTAAATTATATAAAATTATACCTATATGTAAATAAATGTAATAATGTATAAATATAACTGTAAAATCTTTTAATAAAATAACTATAATTATATGTTAAAGTTCTAAGTTTAATTACTAATATAATTAAACTTTTTAAACTTTTAGTTTTTATTTTACTAATAAATCGGACTTTTATAAAAGCTAACTTATATATATATATATAAGGCCTATATATAAAACTAAGCTTTCCTTATAAAGGTTTTATTTAATTAGATAACTTATTTATAATTATAATTATTAAGTTTTTTATCCTTACATAAAGGTTTTTCTTAATAATAAATCCTTAAAAATTAAGCTTAAATAATATTTATATTTTTATAAGAAGTTATTTAAATAATTTATATTATATATCTAATTTTTAGGGGACTATAAAAATACCCTATTTATTAATGGTTCTATATCCGTTTATAGTTTAATATAAACTATTATTTTAGTCCTCTAAATATAAGGTATTAATCTATATGAGGAATACTTATTTCTCTTGATTTCTATAGTATTTTAGTGGGTAGTTAGAGGACTTGCTTTTGTCTATAAAAGGGACTGTCCTTTCCCTCCTAGATAGGTCTATAGTTGAGAGAAATCTATCCCTTTATTCTTACACGGAGTCGCTGGGTTCCGGGCGCGAAGGACTTCGAGGCTCTCACTCCCGTCTATACTCGATGGGAGCTCATGTGTGCTCGGGGATGGATGGTCCAGTGTATTATAAGGTGGTGGTGGGAAGTCTTGTTGCTTGCTGGGGGTCGCGGTCTGTTGCAGTGATGTACCGAACGCGCGACTCCTTTTCTTGCCTCGAAAATTCAGTCTGCGTCGCAGCCAGGTGCGAAGACGGTGGGCCATTTTTTATGTCCTATTCTCGACGAAATCAATGCTAGTGGGCTATTATGATGCTGTGGGTATGCGTAGTGCTGTTCTCACTTGATTATCAACGTCCCCGGGTCGGGTCCAAGGTTCTTGAGAGTTCAGAGGCTGTTGGAGCTGTACGCCGTTCATCATGATGAGTGCAAAAGAAAGGCCCGCAGAGCCAATATCAGTTTACGTGGCTTATTTAGGCAATCCCTAGCCTGAGTCACATGGGAGAGGTAGTGCTTTGTGATAGTGCTCAACGGCGTCGGACTAGGTTGACCTTCGGTCTGCGAAAGCTTCAACCTTAATGGATGGACAGCACCGGAGCGGACTGAAACGGATCAACGCTTAGACTTATCGCGCAACATGATGGCATCTTAAAAGAGAGACCGGGTGCCAGTATGCTGTGTATTTCGCTCTAGCCAATCCTTGCCCAGTCAAATCGAGCCGCGGCTTCGCTCTCTATAGCATTTCTAGATTGAATTTGATTCTGACGGCGCCTAAGTTTGAGTGTACCTAGGTAGTTTCGACAGGGGCTCCTCATGCCTTTTTATTAGGTCGGAATGACTATAATCTTCTCGACAATCGCTAACCTGCACTCCTCATAGAGCTGCTTAGAAACCAGCGTGATTTCTTTAAGTTTTTTAAAGGTACTAAGTTATTACTAATAAGGGTTATTAAAACATTATATTAAAAGTATATCTTTAAGTATATTAATCGTTTTAATAAGTATGAATATCTGTTTTCTTAATAATAACTATAATAAAACTTAACTTATTTTAATAGATTTTAAATTAGTATTATATAAGGAGTACTTTATTAATTCATATAGTAATGAGGAATACTGTGCTTGTTAGTATTTTCTCACTTTTTACAAAACACCTCCTTGCTAGGCTGAGTAAGCCAGCATATATTATGGTTGTCCGAGTGAAAACAAAGGCCCGCAGGTAGATGGTCAGTAAGGTCGTGTCCAAGTAAATACCAGGCACGCCAGTATTAGTTCAGTCTGACGTCACGGTCTCTGTGGTAATGTCTTCCCTGTCCACCCTAATGCTCAACGTGAAGAAGGGCGATAATAGCGCGAGAAGCCACAATACTGGATGGATACTCAAAAGGAGTCCAGAGTAGTATGAACGAGAGATATTTCAAACATTTTGCCACATTCCAGGGTATGTCAAACAAACCAAGTAAGCGTAATAACATTGAAGATAATCAGCCCCCTGGCAACCACGAGTGACGTCCAACTGGCTTATGCATGGCCTCTACCTACTCCTAGTATTTGCTCGCGTTCCTGATGGGCCGTGCACAGCCGAGATACCAAGGCCGACAGAACACGGAGCTGCAAGGCCGGAAGGGCCGGGATAGCGCGGGGCTTACTGTGTAAAATGCCTCTTCAAGTTTGGCTGGAAAACTGGCAGCTGGCAGCTGGCAGCTGGGCGGGCTAGGACAACCTCGGATACCCTGGATAGGCGGCATTTTAGTCTGTATATGCATGCGGGAAATACCTGGATGAGCTTGATATCAGTTACGGCCGCAGGATGAGGGTGTGGGGGGGGGCGCTCACTCAGCAACGGCCTTAGACACCTGGGCATAGTGGTGTCGTTCCCCCGGCCCCCTCCCCTGTATCGCCTAGGACTGCGCTACGGCAATGCTGTGGAATATTCGTGGCCTAGATTATACATGGCGGTCTTCTTGATCTTGTCTCTCCCTCTCTACACTACTACTACTGCTACTATATGTTCTTTTCAGGCTATGACACAGAGGGACCCTCAGCTGCGACAATACTCGGCGGAAATGGGAATCGGCGTTGCTGTCCCAGATCGGCAGAGGCTCTTTGTGAACCCAGGTGAGTGGTCCCACAGCACAGCTCGTCAGGATGGGGCCTGAGCCAGAAACAAGAGCTGCTGCACTAAATAAATGGCAGACAGGGGGGGAGGGGGCAGGGGAGCTCCGTTCCGTCAAAAAAGACCCCACCTGGCCCCACGAGAAAGGAACAAACCCCACCCCCACCTCGCATATTGTACCACCACCACCTTGGTTCTGAGATGGTGTCTTGATACCCCCCCCCCCCGATTTCCCCTTTGACGATCAGGAACAGGAGATGGAGTGTAGCAGTGTAGTCGGCCATCTATCTGACCATACTAGTACCTCCCTACACCTGTCGGTCGACAACCTGAGGAGCGTAGATGCTGCCCGTCCGTAGGTGAGGGTATTCGTGACCCAAGCCTCATGCTGTCAACATGCTATGCTGTATGGATGATGCCGGCCACCAGCCTCTGGTCTCAATGTGCGCCCCTGCGTTGGACATGGCTGCTGGCTGCTGCGCTGCTGCGCTGGCTGAGACAACCCGCTGGCCACGCCGATCTGGTGGCTTGCCTGGTGATGCTTGGTGATGCTGAGGAAAGCATTTGAAATGGCAACGGCATAGACATGTGCCGTCTTGTTAGAGCAGCTGGAGAACAGCTCGTCCCACCCCGAATTTGTTTTCCCAAGCGACCCATCAAGGTACCGAGCCATCAAACACTCGCCAATGGCTGCAGTTGACATGCTGCTGCTCGCCTCTTGGTGTAACCTGGGCCACTGCAGTCATTGTCCTTGGCCAGCTCGGCTTGGGTACTGCTGCTACGGCCGAGGTCTGTCTCACTGGCAGTGCGGCGGAAGGGCGGGATGTACGGGGTACAGCATGCTGCTCATCACCGAGAACATTAACCGCGCGGGTGTGTTGGATTCATGTCTTTGTTCAATGGCTCTCTCTTATTAGACAGTAGTAGTATATGCAGCCACAATTGCCCTATCATATTTACTTCACCGGATAGGTGATGTGCCACCAGTGACAGTACCTGGTGGAGCCTAGCTCGGCAGTGGGCGATACGTCAGGCCTGGGGCCATTTTAGCTCCATGATGAAGTCAAGTCTCCATTCCCAGTGGAGCAGTGGGCCGGCGCTTGAGAGCTCGTGTGGGCCAGCCGGGTTGGTGTGCAGTCAGGGCCATTACATCCATGATGTCACTAGCCCCTGGTGGAGGAATGGATGGCTCTCAGGAACCCGAGCCGACTTGGAAGTGAGTCCTATTTTGGAGGTGAGGAGAGGTGGTGTGTTGCGGGCATTTTGGCATCCATGGATCCCCGAGTATGTACACTACGTATGTACGTACATCTCCCCCCATCCTTGGATTCTCGGCACTTTGTGTGACGCTGGTCTGGTGTGGTCAGTCTGGTCTGTCATGTATATTAGTAGAGCCGGACGCCCGTCCTTTCTGATTCCCATGTCTCGCAGGCTCTCACTCTTCTCCCACCATCTCAACAATCCCATACTACCAAAGATACCCATACTACAACCACCACCACCAACACCACCGACAACCTCCACCTCACCCTACACCACCACCACACCAGCCAAAATGCCTCAGCAGCCCGCCGCCGCCTCCAGCCTCAAGGACCTCTTCTCCCTCAAGGGGAAAGTCGTCGTGGTGACGGGGGCCTCGGGCCCCAAGGGCATGGGCATCGAGGCGGCACGGGGTTGCGCCGAGATGGGCGCCGACGTGGCCATCACATATGCCTCCCGCAAGGAGGGCGCCGAGAAGAACGTCGAGGAGCTGACCAAGGAGTACGGCACCAAGGTCAAGGCCTACAAGTGCAACGTCGGCGAGTACCAGCAGTGCGAGGACCTGGTGCAGGCCGTGCTCAAGGACTTTGGCAAGATCGATGCCTTTATCGCCAAGTATGTGTTGTCCTGTCCCGTGTTCTGCCTCTATATGCATGCCACATAAGAAGAAGAAGAAGAAGAAAGAAAAGAAAGCTGATCGATCATTCACCCCCCAGTGCCGGCGCCACCGCCAACAGCGGCGTCATCGACGGCTCCAAGGAGGAGTGGGACCGCGTCATCAACACGGACCTCAACGGCACGGCGTACTGCGCCAAGGCGATCGGCCCCGTGTTCAAGAAGCAGGGCCACGGGTCGCTGGTCATCACGGCGTCCATGTCGGGCCACATCGCCAACTTCCCGCAGGAGCAGACGTCGTACAACGTGGCCAAGGCGGGCTGCATCCACATGGCGCGGTCGCTGGCCAACGAGTGGCGCGACTTTGCGCGCGTCAACTCCATCAGCCCCGGCTACATCGACACGGGCCTGTCCGACTTTGTCGACAAGAGCGTGCAGAAGCTGTGGCACGACATGATCCCCATGGGCCGTGACGGCCTGGCCAAGGAGCTCAAGGGGGCGTATGTTTATCTCGTGTCGGATGCTAGTACTTATACTACTGGTGCTGATATGGTTATTGATGGTGGGTACACGTGCAGGTAATGCGTGGGGGAGGGATGTTTCGGTGCTGATGTTGCTGTATAATAAATTGGCTGGATATTTGGGCTCGGAAGGGCTGGCTGAAGAGCGTGGATGAGCTGATGCGACACGACCTGACAATTCAAAAGTTAAATCATCAAAAGTTGATTGTGCTGTGATCGTGATGTTTTGTTGGTTTGGGCTGCAACACAAGATGATATCTGCTTATCAGTATGACGGCCAAGTCAGGCTGGATGGACACAGCTCGTGAAGCTTGCAGGTGAGCTCTCGCGATGGCGGGGTGCTGTGGCGGGGTAGCTCGACTCAACGGCTGAGTGGGACCGTCAACGTCACCGTTATGCCTTCCGTATGGCCGCGAGGTCCGTTTCTAGACCAGCTGCACCTGCACCGTCAAAGAACATTGGATAAATCATTTTCAACCCAGCACATCGCATCAGCCTCCATCATCATCACCACTCCAACTACAGCCTACAGCCAACTTACCAACTGTCGCAGCCGTCTTTGTCCCCCCTCAGCCACGAGCAGCAGGCACCTGCAAGCTCGAGTCACACAGCCAGGCCAGCATAAAGAGATTGGAAATTCGCCAAACCCACCCGGTTGAATGCCCCTCCGTCTCCTCTCCTCCTCCTTCTTCGTCGCAACAACCGCTACCAGGCGACTCAACCTCCTCCTGACCACCACCGCCATCACCACCCTCCGACCCTTCACGATGACGGCCAAGACCCAAGAACCCGTGATAAACTCCATCACCGACCTCGCCCAAGGAAAGCATCTAAACCTCAAGAACATCAACTTCACAGACGAGACGGGCAAGCCCCGGGTCTGGGAGGTGGCAGGCCGCGCGAACCGCTCCGCGACGGCGGGCGTCGACGCCGTGTCCATAGGCAACATCCTCCTCCCGCCGCCCTCCCAGAAATCCACCCGGCCCGCCTCGACGATCCTCGTGGTCCAGTACCGGCCCCCGCTGGACGCCTACACGGTCGAGTGGCCCGCGGGCCTCATCGACCCCAAGGAGGACGTCGAGACCGCGGCGCTGCGCGAGCTAAAAGAAGAGACGGGCTACGAGGCGTCCAGGGTCCTCAGCGTCAGCCCCCCGCAGGCCGCGGACCCGGGCATGAGCAGCGCCACCGTGCAGCTCGTCATGGTCGAGGTGCAGCTGCCCGAGGGGTGCGACGGCGCCGACGGGGAGCTGGCGATGCCGCCGCAGAAGCTCGACGACGGCGAGCACATCGAGCGCGTGGTCGTCCCGCTTGCCGACCTGTACGGGAGGCTTGTCGAGTACGCCGGCAGGGAGAGGCATGTCGTTGCTGCGAAGCTGTTTCACTTTGCGCAGGGGATGGAGTTTATGAAGGGGCAGAAGTACTTCTAGGGGGAAAAGGATGCGGATGAGGGGTTTGGGTTCTCTGCCGTGGCTCTGCGGCGGCGTGGTCGCGCATGGCTGGCTGGCTGGGGGTCTCGGTGGTGAGCACAGCCCAGAGGAATCAGGTTCTGTGCCGGCAGGGGTTCTCAGCGACGGAAAGTAAGCACTGGCAGACGCGGTGGCAGTACAAAGGGCTGCTGGGTGGACGTGGTTCCGGCATGGCGCCCAAGGATCGATCATCCCGATTATACCGTCGCTGACCATCGCACCTCATGCCCTGTGGGTGTGCTCGCGTGGAGCCCGCAGCCTGCGGCCCATCGACATTACGGCATCGTGAAAGCACTTGTTCCTAACCAAGGTTTGGAGTTGATGGCATAGAGAGGATGGTCTCTTCTCGATGAATAGACAGCTACAGGTACGAATACAGGAATTTTGGACGACGGATGATTAACTTGTCACCTTTGAAAAGAATACACGGCATCACCTCTTCTGGTTGGATACTCTTCTCCTCCTTTCCATTCTCACCTCTCCCCCAGCCCGTTCACTCGCCCACCTTCACAACCACTCACATCCGACTAAGCCCAACTTCTTCACGGGTCAGTCGCCATCCCCCGCCCCCAATCAGCCCGACGGCAACTCGGCCGCCTGGCTCCCGTGGTCAGGCAGCTCCGCAATCACCTCGCCCCCGTGCCGCCGCGGCTTCTCGACGAGCCCGGCCGCCCCGCCGCCGAGGGACGTGCTGCCCGTCGAGCTCCGCGACGCCAGCGTGTACGTCGTGATGGGGCTGACGCTGTCCGGGGAGAGGGGGCGCCCCGGCGACGCGGACGACATGGCCGACACGCTGGCGGCGTCGGCGGTCGTCGACAACACCACCTCGCCTGCGTTGTTGTTGGTGTTGCGCTGATGCTCACCACCACCACCACCAGGAGGAGGAGGAGGGGGAACAGCCGCCCTCGCCGTCGCCCTGGCTGCTATGCCACCACCCTGGCCGCCGCCGCTCTCCTCGCTGACCAGCCTCCTCGGGAAGCCAGAGATGGGCAGTGCCGCCGCGCACGTCGTCGCCCCGTCCCCGCGGGAGTACGGCTCCATCTGCAGGGTGAGCGAGATGCTCGTCGCCCTGCCGTGCTTGCTGGTGGTGTCTGCCGTGAAGATGGTCAGCGGCTCGAGGTCAAAGTACCCCGCCGTCTGCATGTCGAGGACGAGGGCGTCCGAGAGGATGATCTGCCGCCGCCGCCTCGTGCCGCCCCCGCTGTCGTCGTCCATGTCGTCCTCGACCAGGAAATAGGGCCTGAAGTCGCCCGCGCAGCAGGACCGCAGGAACGAGCCGAGCGCCATCAGCTCAGGGGAGGACTGGCGGAAGCGGCAGAATATCGAGCCTGTCAAGGGGAAAGTCAGCGTCAGGCTCGGTTGTGGCACGGAACTTGGTCCATGTTCGTCCCCTCCCCCGGCATTGAGTGAGATATAAGCACTCACCTGTGCAAACGTATCCCGACGACGACGACGACGCACCCTGCCTGGTCGACCCACCACCCTCCGCCTCAAAGAAGAACGTGCTAGCCACAAGCCGGTGCGCAGCCAGCACGACCGCACCGACCATCTCCTCCCGCCGCAGCGCAACTTCAACATCACGCTCCAGCTCCTCCATCCGCGCCGCCTCCTCGAACCGCGGGACCTGCGACGCCAGCAGCGCGGGGGAGATCCGGGCGTACCGGCCCCCATCATCATCGTCGTCCGCCTCCCCGTGCCCGTGGTGCCCAGCCGCAAACCCTTCCCAGGCGTGCTCGCACCTCCGGTGGTTGTAGAGCCCCCCATCGTCGCTCGTGCTCGTTGCATGGTCGGGCGGTGGTGGCTGGTGGTGCTGTTTGGGCGCAAACGACAGCAGCAGCGGCGTCTTGGGGTCCCGCACGAAGAAGATGCCCGTCTGGATGGGCCCCCCGACGGCGGACGCGCTGGCGGGCGTCGTCTCGACGCGCTTGTAGTTGCCCACGCCGCCGCGGCCGGAGCGCACCATCTGCCCGCCCGCGAGAGGCACCGGTGTGGTGGCGCTCTTGGTCACGGTGGGGGGCTGCTGCCGCCGGGCCGGGGCGTCTGTTGTGCTCGCGGTGGACCTGGAGGAGCGCGACGGGGGTCTCGAGGCGGCGGCCTGCTCGCCCTCGACCCGGCCCGTGCCGATCGAGAGCATCATGTCCGGCGGGAGGTCTGCCGCGTCCGGCCAGATGGCGCGCGCCTCGGCGTGGGCCACCTTTGCCGGGCACCCGTGGGACCTGGTGCCGTCGGCGTACTCGGTGTTTGTCTCGGGGGCCACGAAGGGCTTGAAGAAGGGCGGTGCTGCTGATGCTGCCCGGGCACTTTTGGAAGAGGGAGGTCAGAAATTACTCACCGACTCGTTCATTTCACCTCTCTCAGGACAATCGAAGGATATATCCACTTACACTTCCCACACACTCAACTCCTTGGACGGCACATCAGACCGGATGAACTGGTACGGGGCTGCCTTGCCCCCCACCGGGTCAGGCCGGTTGTAGTTGGCAAAGACGACGGGCTGGAAGGCGGTCGTGGCCGTCACGGCGACCTTGACCGGGGTGTTGAGGCCGTGGCGGGACCGCGCGCCGCCGAAGAAGGGCGTGTCCGAGAAGTACCTCTTGAGGATGCGCTCGAGCGGCTGCGTCTTGAACACGCTGCCGTGGTACATCTTGGTCAGGGCCCCGATCAGCGGCACCCTCTGCATCTCGCGCGGCGTGAAGGCCTCCCTGCAGATGTCGCGGAACTTGTCCGTGGCCGCCTCGACGGTCCACCGCTTGACGCCCAGGCCGATGGCGATGATGCCGCCGGTGCTGAATAGATCACAGAGAACGTCAGACATCGATCCGGCCTGCCTGGTATCCACCTCATTGAGAACTGGACAACTTACTTGGTCCCCACCATCAGGTCAAAGAACAGCTGTATCGGCAGGCCCGGCCCGAGGACCCGCTCGATCTCGCGGAGCACGCGCAGCTGCACGAGCCCCCTGACGCCGCCGCCGTCGAGGCACAGCACCCGCACGCCCGCCCGCGCGGGCTTGACGGCCACGGCCCACGGCGGCTCGGCGACGACGTCGCCCCCGTGCAGCGGGCAGCGGCTGATCTCGACGCAGGTGCGCGAGGCCCGCGTGCCGTACAGCTCCAGGCAGGGCAGGCAGAGGACGTGGCCGCAGGGGAGGGCGCACTCGGGCAGCTCGCGCAGGCACGACAGGCAGGCCGAGTGGCTGGCGAAGGCCGTGGCGCCCCCCGCGGCCCGGTAGAAGCCGTCCAGCCGCTCGCGGTGCACCAGCGCCGCCGTCACCAGCTCCGCCCGGCCCGGGTAGGCCTGGCTCAGCTTGGCCATGGTGGCCTCGATGGCGTCGAGGCTGCGGCGGATCTGGGAGAGCCACTCTGCCGCGAAGGCCTCCGGGTCCAGGGACGACTGGTAGCTGCCGCTGGCTATCACTTTGCCCTGGGCGTTTTGGTGGCCCTTGGGGTTGTGGCCGGACCTGTTGGGTGTTTGTCTCTGTCAGTGATTCCGGGGTTTGTCACTGTGGTTTCTGAGTGTATCATATCGACAGACAACTCACCTCACGTTGCAGCACCTGCCCGCCTCCCCGAGACCCGGGCTCGAGAAGCTGCACGGCCAGTACATGTCCGCAAATGTCTGCAGCGCGGCGGCGCACGGCCCGGCGTACTTGTCATCCAGCAGCCTCGTCGCCGTGCCGAGCAGGTTCTGCCGCACCGCGTCGAGCATGACACACGAGGCGATCATGGGCGCCATGGCGAGGAAGATGCGCCGCGCATCCACGTCATCATCACCACCACCATCCTCCCTTGCGCCCACCAGCGCCGACTTGTTATGATTATTATTACTGTTATCCCGCACCGCGACCGCGAGGCTCAGCACGTTGCCCTGGAAGTTGCGCGCGGCGGGGAACTTGCGCAGCGCCTCGCGCACAAAGTCGAAGGGCGCGTCGAGGCTCCGCGTGAAGTGGTCGTACGCCGCCTGCAGGTAGACGCCCAGCCTCTCGGCGGTCGCGAGCATGCGCAGCCGCCGCCTGGCCGCGTGGCCCTCGGCGCAGCGCGCCCGCACGACGCCCATCAGCTTGCCCGCCTGCGCGTCCATGAGCATGTACGAGCCCCCGCCCCCGCCCCCCGCCCCCGTGTGCGGGACGCGCACCACGCTCACCGAGGCGTAGTAGCACGCCAGCAGGTCCGCCGTGCCGCGTATCTCGCGCCCGCGCCGCGCCCACCCCGCCGCGTACGCCTGCAGGGCCGGGTCGCGGCGCACGGCGCCCTCGACGTCGGCCAGCAGGCGCGCCGTGGCCGTGGCGACGTCCCACTCGCCCTCGTCGACGCTGCCCGCCGTCGCGTTGAGCACGACCACCGCGTGCGGCAGGGCCGGCTGGTTCAGCGAGGCGTCGATGCTGCGCGCGCCCCACGACACCAGGCGCCCCAGCACCGTCGACTCGAAGGAGCGCGGGTTGCGCAGCACGAAGACCACCACGTCCGAGAAGGTGTACAGCACGCGCGGGTACAGCTGCGAGACGGCGTGTTCCCTCCTGCGCGTCTGGGGGGTCCGGGCCCATGCTATGGGGCGCTTGGAGACGTGGCGGGGGCGGACGGGGCGGGTCCCGTGGTCGGCGGCGGGTGTTGTTGGTGTTGCCTGCTCGTAGGGCGGGGGCGGTGCTGCCCCTGCTGCTGCTGCTGCTGCTGGGGTTGATGAACGGCCAGGAGTGGCGGCTAGCCCTTGGTCCTGGGATGGTTGCATATGGTGGTGGTGGTGGTGCCTCAGCTGTTTCGGCATGGCCTCGCCGCCGTTGAGGCCCTCGCAGTCCACGAAGAGGAGGGGCGTCGTGCTGAACGCGCTGGACGGGTCCGCGTAGATGTGCACGTCGCCCGTGGTCGCCGTCCGGTCCTGGTTGGACGACGTGACGGGCGAGTAGTACCTGGACCCGTCCCGGGCGCCCGGGGCCTGGCGGTCGATGAGCATCTTGATGAGCGTGCTCTTCCCGGCTCCTGTTTTTGAAAAGGTCAGTCAGTCAGTCGGTCCCAATGTGATCCTTCAGGGCCTCATCGACTCGTGTTTGTGTGAGCTGGCCCCCGGCCCCCAGCCCCCAGACTCACCCGTCTCCCCGATCACAGACACCAGCTGCGGGTAGATGTCCCCCGGCGCGTGGGAGACCAGCTCGCTCATGATGGCCGAGAACCTGCCGTAGTCGTAGAACACGGGCTGCCCCGCCGAGTCGCGCCCGAACCCGAACCAGGTCGTGTCCTCGTCCTCCAGCAGCTCGGACGCGTGCTCGGCCTCGGTCCGCGCGGGCTCGAGGATCTGGCGGAGGGTGTGGACGACGGCCGGGTCTGCCTTTTCATGCGGCCTGCCGTTCCTGTTGCGAAAGCCAGGATAATCGTTAGAATTCTTGATCCTAATCAAGGCCCCTTCGCTTTCGCGGTTGGTCCTGAAACTCACCATCCGACCGCGCCTTCGGCATGTAATACCCATTTCGGCCAGCATGGCTCGCAGAATGCGAGGTTGTTACACTGCGAAGAGAGTCAGACTTCCTCGAACCACCTGTCTCATGCCCGAGGTACGAGCCTGGTCCCTACCTGGACGCAAGTGAACCTCTTCTCCTCCGTGGCGCCGCAGGTCTGGCAAGGCTGGACATCGGGAGCTGCCAGTGACACCGACATGATGTGGCTTGGCCTTGGGGGAACAGAGATGTCAAGCTAGTTAGTCTGGCTCATGTTAGGTAACAGAAACGTGTCTGGGTCGGACTCGGAGTCGTTCCTGTCACAAATCCACGGGAAGAAGATCATTGGGACCCTTTTTTTTCACCCCCTTCAAGTGCTTAGTAGGCGTCTACACCCCTCGGGTTTCCTGCATTTCCACGTGTTCCGTTACACAATATAAGACATGCAGGACTTGGCGCGGGCTTGGGTGGTCAGAATGTCGGCCTCGAAAAAGTACATATGTCGTGAGCGCAGCGAGTGTTCGGGGACCGCACTAGGGCCGAAGCAGTTGGGTGCTGGCGTGCCGGCATGCAGGTCGGGCGCCTGCAAATGTTCCGGATAAGTGTGGTGGATTTAAGAGGCCAGGGGGGCCCGGAAGAGCGCGCCGGTGGTACTTTCTTTTTTGTCCTGTGCTGCTGACCTTTTGCATTTTGTCGAGATTGTTTGTAGCTTATCTTCCGAGGTTGCAAAGACGTCGAGGTGATTGAGTTTTCACAACAGCAAATTATAATACCATGTGGGTGCAACCCTTGACCGACCGGCCAAGGTCAAAAGCAAATCGTTATCTATGGCTCCAATTCAAATGAGAATCTCGAGTCTATCCTCGCAAAAATACAACAGGAACACCCATGGCACCGCACAAGGTCGAATCCCCGGACAGAAAGACTAGCACAATCATTGGCTGGCAAATGAAGTGTTTAAAGCGGCGGCAGAAGTGGGCATCAAGACCTTTTTAAATAAAAGAATAGTAAAATATTACATGTATTAACTTTTAGTAAATAATCTGATAAGAGACTGTACTCATAATAAACGGAGGAATTAATATAATGTATCCTGGGGCCTGCAGGAATTCTAATCTTGAAAACCATAATAAATTGCTCAGGCAGCCCGTTTCTTCCTCCCCGGCGTTCCCATCTCGAACTGGCAGTTTCTCACATGGATCTTGTGTCTCTCCATGTCCATTTCTTCGATCTCGCACTTGCACCTGTAAGTCTTGAACTCAAAACGCGCCCATCTCTGGCACGGCATGCAATCACCTATACTTTTGCGCTCTCTACACTTGCATTTGCAGGATTTCAGGTGGTCCTCGTGTTTGTCCTTGCGTGTCTGTTCTCCCCCGCAAATACAGCGGTAACGCGGGCCCGACCTGTGCTTGTCTCTCACATGCCGGCGCAGGTCTTTTTCTATGGTGAATGTGGCACCGCATCCATCGACCATGCACCGCGGTCGAGAGGGTTCAGTTATGCTGCTGGAGTAAGCACTTAGAGCTGACGTAGACGGAACAGACAATGGCTTACATGTCAGAACTGTCTCGTCCTGGTCCTGGGGTTAGATTAACCTCGTCTTGTTCGTCGGCGGCGAGTGAACCCTCTGGTTCTGTGAACTCCCTGGGATTCTGGTTTGAAGAACCGGCATCGGGAATGGCCATCGAAATCCGTGTGGTTCGGTTATACAATTCACATGGTTGTACGACCTGCAGGGTTTCTGGCGCAGGCGGGGAGCCGCCAAACCCATTGTCCCCAACAAATATTCCCTGCTCAAGGCCACCGGCAGGCGGTGTGTCTCTGTCAAAATGCTGGAGACGCGCGCGGAGCACGTCCTCCGGTACAGGAGTCCTACTCCCGCCGGGGCAAGGGGGCGGAGAGGGCAGATGCGAGCAATCGCTCCTGGTGACGGTGCTATCCCATTCTTGTTTGTTGTAAATAAAGCCGTCCGGACTCGCTGGGCCTTCTGGACCCCTTGGACCTGCCGAACCTCTGTCGCCTCTGTTGCCAATACTATCCCTTGCAGTAATAGTATTCTTATACCCATCTGGAGGGGGACTTCCCCTTCCTCCCTCAGCAGTCTTGAGGCCTGGGGGCCTGCACAGATCCTCCAACAAGCGGCGGATGGCCACCAGCTCCGTCATGTTCCCCAGGAGAAGCTCGACCATGTCCATGTCTTGATAACGCTCTGGGTCCAGCCGCAAAGCCTGGAGGCGTGAGATGGCCTCATCTTCATCTCTTGGGCCATGGTGTGGTGGCTCCACTGGTGGGTGGCTGTCGCCCTGATTCTCGGTCTCGCCGGCCGGTTGCTGTGGATCAACTTCGCCACAACCCCGTGTCTTTGGAGGATCCTGTGAAGAGGAAATAGATGTTGCTTGCGAGTCTCCGTCATCCTGGTTTCTGGTAAACAGAGTTGAGTTAACCGACTGTTCAGTGGACTCATATGTAGATGCCTTGCTTTCACAGTCTGGCGGTGTCGAACGTTTTCCCCGGGAGTTATTGTTGCCAAGTCCTGTGTAACGTCCGGACAATACAAAACTTCGGCCAAGATCTTGGTTGGAGGTGTTATCAGAGTCAACTTGGTCGTGGGTAATGCCGGTTACCTGGAGTGTTAAGTGGAAGAGGGGGGTCGTCCGTTTGCACCAGAAAGCATCAATGATAGCAGCCAGAAACAGGGAGAAAGTGATGAAAGTTAGGAAAATGGCGATGGTAACTGCCAGGAAAATGGGCAGGAAGACAAGAAAAACAACAGGAAAGCCGGCGAGATATGCCATGGCTGGTGGAAGGTTTAAGGGCCTTGCCGAATTGTGTCAATAATCAACAGAAATATAGGGATCAATAAACTCTGCAGTACCTAGGTATCTGAGGAAATCTTTGAAAGAAAATCAAAACACTTTCTGGGAATTAAATAGTTTCCAAAGGTTACGCTGGTTGTCAAAACTTTTGGGGCCATTTAGCTGCTATTGGGCAGCATCATAGCTTGGGGACGGCATTGAAAATTTGGGGCCAGTTTCCTCTGATTTGCCAGCATTGGTTCGCCTTATCTGACCTTCCGCATGCATGCACATGAGAATCCCCCGCGTTGTGTGACGTGCGCTTCCTGTTCTCTCAGATCACCACTCAAGCACTTGAAAGACGATGAAGAAATCGGCCAGCTGCGCACACCACTATCTTGGCATTCCCAATACCTCTCGTAGTAGATGTCCACCGAGACACATCTGTCAGGAAAGCGTAGCAGACAGTGCTCGAATGCTATATGTTGTGGAGGGTGACCTCCCGGCAAGCCCAAATAGCACCTTGGTTACGTAGGCACTTAACTAATAAGTATGCAACGGGTGCTCAAATTGAATTCTCCCGGTGCGGTTGTATGGCAATTTTCAAACCTATACCTACTAGTATTCTGTTTGAGATTTGAGACAACCGCCGACACCATAAACCAGATAACATGAGCTGGTTGATCTATGAGGTACCCACACCCAGAGACACATCAACGAAGATGCGAGCTCAACTTGGCCATCAGCAGCATCGGGTATTAGGCGAGTTCTGTAAGTGAGTATGTAAAATGTATTAGATTAGGTCATGAGGGTAGCATATCCAAGTAGCAGATAAAGACGGCCTCACGCAGGGCGACATGCAACGGTTGTGGTCACAGTCAAGGCTGGTACTATTTTAAACAACATTGGACAGATCTGCTGGAAATGGTGCAAGGCTTGGTCAGCAATAGGGTAATAGGCAGGACCGATAGCCGCTTCGGCGCGAGTGAAGCTCGGGATGCAGGCCGCGGAGGCATTGCACGCGATAAACTTTGGGGGCTGGGCCAGAGCGTGATGGACTTATCAACGGGCGCCCTTAAGACCGCCGGGACGCGTCGAGCAGGGATGGGGGGAGGGGAGGGAGGCATCCCTACCCCCCTAGATTACTAGGTAGGTACCTAGGTAGGTACCTTCGCGTTGGTAACATTCTTCGCGTTGTGATAAGGTTTGTGTAATTCAACGACTTCAGGGGTGTTCTCCGCTCCCACTTTATAAGTTAAAACCCAACATGGCCCCATGGCCCCCTGGCCCTCTTTGACGAATCTTGGACTTTAAACCCCCTCTCTATACATTGACCGGATTCCAATATTTTAAAATCCTTCTCACAATGGCCCAGACCGCGTTGCCACACCACGGCCGGCCTCAGGTGCCGCAGACGACGGCGGACCTGCTGGAGGAGATCGCCTCACTGCGCAGGCAGAACGAGGAGCAGCGACGCGAGCTGGAGCACCTGCGGGGTGACGCCGTCGCGTCGCCCACAGGACAGCCCGCCCAGCCCACGACGATGCACCGGTTCAACGACTTCCCGCCCGAGATCAGGGAGATGATCTGGGAGCGCTCCTTCCCGCAGCAGATCGTCTGCAACCAGGACACGATGGCGAAGCGCATCGTCCCGGTCGACCTGCACGTCCCGGCGGTGGGCCAGGCATGCCGGGAGTCCCGGCGGATCGCCTCGTCCAGGAACCACAGCAGGGCGCTCCCGGGCGCCGCCCTGCCCAGCCCCGTCCCGGGGGAGATGCTGCTGGCGCGCCACAGGAACCCGACGCCGGCGGGCTGGGCGTGGTTCTCGCCGCGCAGCGACGCGGTGGTGGTCGCCTCGGAGGGGTTCGCGGGCGAGGCGCACGGCGCGAACCACGTCCTGGCGCGGGCGGCAGAGCACGTCATCGTGGAGGACGCGCAGTTCTGGGAGGGCTACTACGACGTCTCGGAGGGCATATACCAGAACGGCATGTACGACCTGGGGCCGGGCGTCCTGCTGGACGACGTCACGAGGTGGGTGCACAGGGTCTACGCGACGGCGCCGCCGTGCTCCGGGGGCGAGGACCACGCCCGCGCCTGCAGGCTGCGGACCGTCGACTTCCGGATGCGGGAGGCGACGCCGATACACCCGGGCTCGCCCCCCGAGCTCCTGCGGCGCCTGTTCGGGGACGCCACCTTCAAGGTCGTCGACCTCCGGGACACGGGCGAGTTCCTGCGGGCGGTCTGCCACGAGCGGTCCCAGGGGATGGACCCTGGCCTCCTCGTCAGGTGCATCAGCGACCTCGGGAACGCCCTGGATATCTACCAGTCCGTGGCCGACAGGTACTTCAGACACCTCGGGCCGTTCGTGCTGAAGGCCCTGGCCGGTGCCCTCTTTGAGGCTTCCAACAAGGGATCCCCAGAGGGGCAGGGGGGCCTGCCGACGCCGTTCAAGCCCGGCGGCTCCAAGCTGAACATGGAGGTCGCGTGGGTGAGGGAGCTCAGCGAGCGCCTCACTGTTCGGCCTGTCCACGTCTTTGTCTTGGGGGAGGATGGGTCGGAGGATATGGAGGAGGACTGAGCGGCGGGGACTCTAGCACTCGACATGTAGCATACGTCAGGGACAACGGCGGACCACTGCTGGTCATTTGTGGGGAATATGGAGGTTACCTAGGTATAATATACACGATCTCTTTCTTCGGCTAACTGCATGCGTGGCTATCACCGTGGACGAGTTGAGGCAGACTACGCTTCCTCTATATTCAGTATTAAACCTACCATGATAGTATCGTAATCCAGAAAGGCTGGGGCTCACTGTACGCCCATTCACGGCAAATATCAGGTCCCATCGCTCACACAACCCGCGAGGGATCACAACCCCCAAGCCGCGCGCTGACTGCCTCCCCATCAAACACGATCTCGCTCACCAGCTTCCCCGTGCCGGGGGCATTCTGGATGCCCCAGCACGTGTGCCCCGCCGCGACCACGACCCCGTCGTGGCCAGGCACAGGCCCGATGAACGGCCCGCCCTGGGGCAGGTAACACGCCTGGCGCGCGAGGACCTCCCCGCCGCGGCCGAGCTCGTCGCTGACGGCGCCGGCCTGCGCGGCGATGTCGTCGCAGCGGGCGCGGTCGACCTCGACCCCGGCGGCCGTCAGCGGCAGCGGCACGGCCGAGTCGGTCGGCCCGCAGGCGTAGGCGGTGCCGTCCGGGCGGGCGTAGATCTCCGGCTCGACGGTCTGCTGCTGCTGCTGCTGCTGCTGCGACGGCGACGGCGAGGGGAAGCCGGCCGGGAGGGCGATGGAGGTGAAGAGGGCGTAGGGCGAGAGGGGCCGCGGCGTCCGGATCACGACCGAGTGGGCGCGCGACGCCTGCACGGGGATCCCGGGGAGGAGCCGCGGCGTCCACGGGCCGGCGGCGACGATGCAGTCCGTCGTCGGGAGGTGCTCCTCCCTCCCGTCCCCGTCCTTGGTGTTGATGTACGTCACGCCCTCCACGCGACCGCCGTTGCTGCTATCATCCCTCGTGATGGCCGTGGCCCTCGCCCCCGTGACGATCCGCACGCCCCCCTCCTCGGCGAGCTGCGCTATGCTCCGCGTGAACAGCTCCGGGTGCACCTGCGCCGTGTCGTCGGGCGTGCCCATGCCGTCGTACGCGACCAGCGCCTCCTCCGCGTCGAGCCAGTCGAGGTCCTGCGGCGCGCCGAGCGTCCTGAGCCTGCCCGGGCCGCTGCCGCCGATGGCCCTCCTGTGGTCCTTGTGCAGGCCCTTGGTCACCTCCTCCACCTCCTCCCCCTCCCCGTCGGCGGCAGCTAGAGCATATTCTCCTGCTCCCCCGCCCGGCATCCGCGCCCTGCACTCGACCTGGCCCGCGTGGCACCGCCGGTACCCCCACCGCGCGGCGCCGCCGTGCTCCCTGGCCAGCTCGTCGTGCAGCCCGAAGCTGAGCGGCACGATGTTGGCCGGGAACGCCCACCGTGCCAGCAGCCCGCCGGCCTTGCCGCTCGCCCCGCCCGCGATGCCGTCGTGCGCGGGGTTGATCTCTTGCGCGCGCCCCGGTTCGCCGGCGAGGGCGCCCGGGTCCGTGATGCTGTCCCCCGTGCGCCCGCCGCTGCTGGTCGATGCGGCCTCCAGGAGCGTGATGCGGTGGGCCGAGGGCGAGTAGGACGGGTGGCGCGTGAGGAAGTATGCCGTGGTGCAGCCGATGATGCCGCCGCCTATGATGGTGATGTCTCGCTGCTTGGTCTGGTCGGTGGGAGGCATGGTGGTGGGGCGTGAGTATGATCGTGTCAGAGAAGTTAAAGGCTAACTTATTAGACTGTGCATCAAAAGCGTCAACTGGTATAGATCTTGGCGGCGCAGATTGAAACGCTCTCTGTGTGTGGCAACTTTAGTTATTATCGAATTCAAGAGTGACGTTGAAAAGACTCTACTCTACGTCATACCATGATCGCTCCACCAAAGAGGGAGACACCTTTCCACAATCCACTGAAAGGCGACCACACCAATAAAGCAGCAACATTGCTCAACCATCACGACCCTCACTCCGGCCATTCTTCAAGGTTCATCTAATTTGGCTTCTTTTCCGCATACGCCCGAGGACATATATAGCGCCTTCATACTGTGATCAACGGTCTCAACACCCAGTGTTTAAAAATAATATACTATTAATAACAGTGGTCAAGACACGATAGGTGCAGGTGGCCTTAGCCTTCAGTGTTGCCACGCATAGGCAGGGTTAAGAGGCACCGTCTACCTGGGATCCGTGGGGCCCGAGGCTGAGTGGGCCGTGGCTGGTGGCAGGGTCCTCACTGGCCGATACCATTTTGTCAGCGTCCCGAAAGAGCTCAAGTCTCGTGTGTCTGAAAAGGGGGGAAGAGGCCCCCCCCCCCCGGATGGTGAAGAAGTTGGAGCAGCACCGAGCCGGTTTGGCCAGCACCTTGTTCTGGAAGGAGATACCGGAAGCCAGCCTTGGTGCCGGTATGTTGAGGGTGGAAGTCAAGGCTGTTGGGATGAACTTCAAGGTGAGCAGGCTGCAATTCATTTGTCCCCACAAGATACGTTTATCACAGCTGTAACCCAGAGCTGACACGGCAGCAAATAGGACGTGCTCATCTCAGTCGGAGTAGTCGCCGGGCCATCAGCTATAGGAAGAGGCCTAGGCTGCGAGTGTAGCGGTGTTATTACGGATATTGGGCCCGGCGTGTCAAAGCACCGCGTGGGTGATCGCGTCATGGTGTGCTCCAGCGGGTCGTTTACGACCAGCATGGACGTGTCCGAACACCTCTGCGTCGTCACGCCGGACACGTTGACATTCGAGCAAGCTGCCAGCATGCCAGTGGTGTACAGCACCGTCATATACGGTCTCCTTGATGTTGCGAGGCTAGCTGAAGGGATGGTGAGTAGCACCAGGCAAGTTGTGCATGATACGCGTCATATAGAACCACTGACACTGTGACGATACCCAGTCCGTTCTCATTCACTCGGCAGCTGGTGGCGTGGGAATCGCAGCAATTCAGATTGCTCAGATGGTTGGAGCTGAGGTAAGTGGAGTAGAAACCTGTCTCCACGCGCTCCCGAACAGGCCGAAGCTTACAGCAGCAATTGCCTAGATTTCCTGCACGGTAGGAACCCAGACGAATGTCGAGTTTCTCACGACGAGCTTTGGAATCCCGCACGATCGGATCTTCAACTCACGCGATGCCGGCTTCCTGCATGGTATCAAACAGGCCACTGGAGGCAGAGGTGTCGACGTCGTCCTCAATGCCCTATCTGGTGAGCTTCTACACGCCTCGTGGAAGTGCGTCGCCGAGTGCGGCGCGTTTGTCGAGATTGGGCGCCGTGACTTTGTGGGCCAAGGTATGCTGGCGATGGAGGGCTTCTTGTCGAACCGGACGTTCGTGGGGTTTGACTTGGCGCATCTCGCGGACAAGCGGCCGCTCGTCACAGGAGAGTAAGTGAAAAAAGAAACACTGGCATGTCTCATCCGTTCTGAATTCATGTTCAAGCATCTGGCACTGCACAGCCTCAGGTGTTTGTTTTGAAAGTCAATGCTTACAGCCTGCTCAGCCTCTTGCGTCGCACCGTCGAGTTCTATCAACAGGGCCATATCAGACCGATCCATCCCCTGAAGACGTTCAATGCCTGCACAATCTCGGAGCCAATTCCAACAATGCAGAAAGGAGACCATATAGGGAAACTAGTCGTGAGAATGCCACATGACCACGCGGACCTGCCGTCGGAGACAGGATACGATGAGTTGTGCCTCCGGAGCGATGGCACATACCTCTTCGTGGGCGGCTTAGGTGGTCTAGGGCGATCGATAACCACATAGCTGGCGGAGAAAGGAGCGAAATGTCTAGTGTTACTCTCACGCTCGGCCGGGCAAGTACGTGATGATGACCCGTTTGTCCTCGAGCTCCAGAGCCTGGGTTGTACGGTCACCAGGGTGTCCGGTGATGTTACCATCTATGAAGACGTAGCCCGCGCCGTCAGAGCGGCGGGCCGGCCCATCGTTGGCGTTTTGCAAGCATCGATGATTCTGCAGGTGAGTTCGAATGTGATTGACGTGGTCTGTATTGTTCAGGACTAAGGAAATATGCAACAGGACACAAGTCTCAATGACATGTCGTGGACCCAATGGACCGCAGCGTCCCGGCCCAAGATCCAAGGGACATGGAATCTACACAACGCCCTCCTCCACGAGCAGGCAGATCATCCTGTGGACCACTTCCTTCTTTTCAGCTCCCTCGGTGCCATGACGGGCCAGTGGGGCCAGGCAAACTACAACGCCGGAAACACCTTCCTGGATGCCTTCGTCTCGTACCGCCACTCGCTCGGCCTCGCCGCCAGCGTCGTGAACATCGGCGTCGTCGGAGACGTCGGCTATGTGAGCGAGAACCCCTCCGTGCTCGACTCGCTGAGGGCCACGGGGCAGTATCTCATGAGGGAGCCGGAGCTGCTGGACTGCCTGGAGCTGAAGCGGGCTGAAGGGGAGCTGGACCTCGACGCGCCGCTGGGGGCGGTCGGCATTGACTCGCTGGTCAGCATCGAGCTGAGGAACTGGATCCGGAGGACGCTGGGCGCGGAGGTGTCGGTGCTTGAGATTGCGCGTGTGGAGAGCCGGGCCCGGCTGGGCGAGACGGTTCAGGGCAAGCTCATTGAGAAGTATCAGGCGAGACGATGATGGGGCCCAGGATCAGCGTTGTCCGGCACACATTGAGTTGTAAGCCAGTGTGCTTTCGATGATCACCGAAGCGTTTCGTTGATCAGAGGAAGAGCATGCGATCATGGACAAGATTCTCAATTTTGTTGAGCGAATCCTCGATTTCGTAATATGTACTGCTAGGTGTTCCTCATTCGCTGCCTGACTATAGACATCTTCTAGTTGCTGGGGAAAAAACAATTCTAACGCATCCACATAGGTGTGGCTCTTCCCCTGCTGGCGGAGTTGGCAACTCTCCCGCCGGCGGAGTTGGCAACTCTCCCACCGGCGGAGTTGGCAACACCACCGCCCTCATAGTAGGTAGCAGCATCATTGACCGCTCTCCCGTAGGTAGTGTTGACACCGAAGCTGATCCAAGCGAGGAGGCCGTCGCCGACCTCCTCGCCCAAGAGGACGTAGTTGACCATGGCGTCCCCGGTGGCCAAGCTCGAGTCAATCAGCATGTCGTCGTAGTTGGTGGTGATGGCCTGCGTGTTGGAAGCGTACGGCTCGTAGGTCTCAACCTGGTCGGAAAGCGCCTGATCAAAGTAGATCTGGCCCACGTGGCTGGCGGTCGTGTCGAGGATGGTGTCGTTCTCGCGTGCGGTGGCGTTGGGGTGCACAATGACGTGGATGTGCTGTGTGCGGCCCTGGTAGTGTCCTGGGTACAGAGTGTCGAACTGCACAGCGCCGTCGCTGTCGGACAGCTGGAGGCCGCGGAGGAAGCTGGTCTCCAGGTTCTGCGGGGCCGGAGTGTAGTTGGCCCCAGAAGGTACACCTGAGTAGATACCCGTGGAATTGCAAGCTAGATTTGCGTGTGAGCAGGGCTGCCCCAAAGTAAGGTGTCGTGTATCCAGATGTACTTACACCAGATTTCGATATAGCTCTGGGGAATAGGTTCACAGGTGTCGACGTCGTAGACGGCGATATCAACTGTCAAGGCGACACCCTTCTCCTCTTCTGTGAGGTCTCGGCGAATGCGCTCTCCCGAGACGTCTAAAGAGTTAGAAATGTATCAGTACCTAAATCAAGGTGGGGGGGGGGGGGGCAAAGCATGCCATTCCAATATAGAACTTACAATAGGGACCCTCGGTCACCTCTGGACTCAGGAGGCAGGACTTGTTGGTTGCAAACATCACATCGAGAGGCGTGTTGAGATCGTAATCGGCAGTGGAAAGATGCGACTTGTTCTTGTCCGCAACCTCACGTGCGGTGATGCCACGCTTGGCTTTGGCATCAGCAATGGCTTTGCGACGTTGCACAGCCCTGGCCTCTACTCCTCTGGCCTTCAGCTTCTCGGCGCAATGCCCGAGATCGCTGCGGGCTACGTTCTGGATGAACTGTCGACGTTCGACAACCTCGGCTGCATGATCGTGCCCGGGGTGGGCTGCGGCTAGGCTGGCAAAGGTAGCGACGACAACGGCGGGGAAATGCATCTTGGCTTGAACAACGAGGTGAGAAGAGAGAGAGAACTGAAGCTAAAGATAACGATGATCGTCAGGAATAGACAAGTATTTGGTGAGGGATCTATCTTTTAAAGAATGTAGGAAGGTACGCTCTCTATCGCGCTCCGGTAGCGCATAAGACAGCCCTACTTCTCGTTCTACCTTCCCATCTGGAATCTATGCCTCGGACGCGCAATCATTGTACTGACCTTGCGACGACTCTTCTGTCGCCAAGCCACCGTGATTGCTTTTATTGAATGCGTATGTACGCATCGACGAATGAACGTCTCGCCTTTAGTAAAAACGACATTCGGTGGATCCCATAAATGGTGCTATGTCGGTGTAGGGGGTAGCACAGTAGCATACGCGTAAGCTGTGGATACTGTACGGGGAATTGGGAAGTCTGCCTCCCGAACCGTACTTTCATGTGGGGCTGGCTGTCCAGGACCCACTGCGCACGAGTTCCAACTTGATCCGGGGGCTAAACATGACTCCGAGCAGACCACGATTGTAGAATACATGAGACTGCTATCTGGGAAAAACGAAGTTGCACCCCCCCCTTTTTTATTACCCCTGCAAAGATTTACACATTCACTTCACACACATACCTATGTGTATTCTTGCCCGTACCCACGTATCAGAACACCAGAATTCGTGAGGAATCTGACGTCTGAAGGTGTAGGTAGTTGGGTTATTCATTAGAAGAATCAGCTATCGTAGGGCGCCTGCAGAAGCGTGGTTTTGGCTGCCTGCAGGGCTTGCTTACGTAACTAGACTACGGATCCACACCTACACAGTATAACTTAGGCTTCTTCTAATCCTTACAAAACTACCTTCTAAACCTACTTTTTAAATTTACCTTTAACTCTTTTTTTAAACTTTATTTATAGAATTTTATACTTATAAATTTAATTATCTTAAATAAAACAATATTTTTAAATCTCTTAAATAAAATAAAAAGTCTTATTTATATATATAAAGTGAATGTGTAAATTTTTATAGGGGTAATGAAACAGGGGGGGGGGCGCAACTTCGTTTTCCCCAGACAGTGGTCCATGTCCTCCAAGCCACGTAGCTCACATGCACGACAAGGTTTATCGACGACATTTGATGACAGACGTGCCGTGCCGTCTGCTCCACATTCTTATCCGACCACCCGCGAAGAAAACCTCGGCTCCCGTTACGCCGCCGCACCGATACCGTCTGGTAAATATTTCTTTCGGGACAGTGATAGGACGATAGATGTATACAAATTGCGGACGAAACCAATCATCAGAGAATGAGTGAGTTACATTCTACCAGAGGACAATATCCTGTACTCTATTTCGTGCCTGAGCCTACCCTATTGGCTGTTTCATATGCACCCAATCCCAACGTCCACTTCTTCCTCTGTGAGCTGGTGAACATGAAGTATAAGGTTTCAGAGATCCAAGCGTTTATCCAAATGCTCACGGAGCTACACACTAGGAGTTGAGCAGTTTTCATTCTTAATTTATATATTTTAAAAGTATATATTCCCTTTCAGTTGCTAACATGGAAGGAGCTAAACCAACCCTCTATCTCAAACTTGAGATCTGCCTGGCGTCCAATGGATCACAGGACCGTCTCTCCTATAAGTAAAATACAGGAATAAACAGGTCAGCCAGTCATTACTGGCCAGACATGTGGACTTTGACTTTGACTCACCGTGACAATGAAGACCCTTGGCGTGGTTGCGTTTGCGTCCGACACGGCGAGCTCGAGGGCACAGCTGCGTACTTCGGCCTTGTTCAATGTTAGCTGCGTTGGATCCGAACTTCAACGGTCCTGTGGAGAAAAGGAGGAAGAAAGGAAGCCTCGAATACTTCTAAGTTTAGAAAAGCATGGGGTCTTAGATGCCGCAGGTCCGGCAATAACATTATTCGGCTAAATTTAATCACGTCGAATTCCTGTCTTTGCATTGCCTTATTTGGGACTAACATTGAAGTGTTGTGGCCGTGCCGGGCTGCACACAGACCACCTGCAGCGTGTGAGATCCTTATTATTAGCCGTTCTAGACTTGACTGCCCAGATGTGTCGGAGGATTTCTTTCCTCCTTGCTCCTCTTCTTACTCAGATGAGGCATGATTTCAGATCATTCAATTTCTGAGCAAAAGTTCAGTCCTCACTCAGCCAGGTGGGTGGACTCGTGCTCCAGTAGACCTCAATTTGCTTTTGTTGAGGCTGCCAGCAAGTCACTTTGCAATATATTTTGGTATTCGTTTTGCTATTAGGGATCAAGAACGTCTCAAAATCTGGAATATTGGTTATATTCGCCTCCAATTAATTGGAGGTAAAAGTCATGCAGACTATGCAACAAACATGGAACTTGCTGACTACATACTTAGGTCGTTATGTAGGCCGCCGGTCACTACCACTGGCAGATCCAGCGTTGCTTGAAATGTTTCACTGACACTTAGCTACCATATGCTTTGGAGGATCCAATGCATGTACTGTCGCGTACAGGATTTTCTGTCACGGCCTCTACGGTCTCTTGGGGCCCGAAATAGGGGTTTGATCAATCCACTAGGATGAGGTCTGACCAGACAAGATGAGGCTCCCAAATCTAAAGTTAGTCTCTGGCCAGGCCACATTAAGGCACACTGATATCGTGGTGGCCTATAATAAATCTCGGCCTCTACACTGTCTCTCCCAATCGAACGAACACTCCATCTTTCTTCCCAATAGCTATTACTCAAAAAAGAAAAACCCCGACGATCTTCTCTAATTACCCACTCGAACCCCCCGCTACCAAAAGACAAAATGTCCGACTTCTTTGCACAACAGACTAGAGTTGCCCTATGGCACCAAGAGGAAAGGGTCCACTCCATTTATGCCATGGGACTGGGCTGGGAGGTCTGGGCACAGATCGAGCTCGCCCTGGTCATGACCCAGGCAGTGAGCGCGGGCGCCGCCCAGCACCAATTCGGCCAGTTCCAGCGCGAGGCTGCGGTATACGAGGGCTCGATGCAGCGCTGTGACTTTATGTACGAGAGGAACCTCGCCCACGTCAGCCACCTACACTTTGTGGAGCTGAAATGCCTCAAAGGGTCCGAGAGCCCGGCGACCTTTGCCGGCAGGGTGAGGCAGGACGTGGACAAGGTCAAGAGGGCGCGGCCGAGAGGCAGTTGGATAAGCAGGGGCCGGCGTGTCGAAGGCCTTGTCCTTGCCATTACCGTTGAGACGGGGCGCAGGGATGCGGCGGACATTGACGCCGCGATGGGCAGTTTGGCGCGGGTGGAGGGGATCCGGTGGAAGGTTTGCGACCTTGCTAGCGATGGAAGCGTCAAGATGTGGGCATGGAGTAAGGTGTTCTACGACCAGGGCAGACCTGTGTGATACGGGAATTTCTGCACGGGATTTTACAGGTCTCAATAGGGGGTGATACTCGACTGGCATGCCTTCCGAGGTCCCCCGGACACGCAGGATAGGTCTCAGTATTTGCTTTTGTTTGGTGGTGCAACATCATGTAGGTAGCTATATGGAAATTCGGGTCAACAAGAGCATCGTATTAAGAGCATCAATGGTGTCGTCTTACTCCAGGCGAGACTGTTCGCCACTCGCATAGACCGCCGCCAGAGACCATGATGGCCAGTCCGATACATTATTGTTGTTATTGTGTTTTTTTCTCCTTTTTTTTCAAACACTGACTCCTGGATTGTTTATCATCTGCATTTTATCAAGGCACCGTATGCCTCCGGGATGTGTGCGGATCGAGAATGGAATATCCGCCTATCAACACTAAATTATTCTATACTAGTAGTTCAAATGTTACTAGTGGCACACACTAGTGGCACACGAAGCGTATGCTTTCTTCTCACCAAGTTTCCAGGATCGGTGCAGGGCCAGAGTTGCAACTGATGAGTGCCATCTTGTTTTCAGCCAGTCCACTCACGCCTAGTTTGTACTGCGTGGCATCCATGGATGTAGTTGGACCAGGATAGTTGTGCTTGCAACATGTGCCCAGCCCTGGAGGTGATTTAATAAAGGGTTGGTGTGTTCTTGGCAATCATTACGAATGTACTTAGGTACTCCATACTCCATACAAACTCGGTATTACAGAGTAGATCCCAAACAAGCTGCCTGGCTGTGGACGGATGTAATCGTGATGTTTCTTGGAGTACAAGTTTCTGTCCAAACAATTCATTTATAGCAACATGATGATCAGTCATACACAAGAACAAACCGTCGGTGTCTAGGTACCTAGGTACTCAAGTACTTGGAGAGGGCTCGCTATAAAATCCTCTAGTGCTCATTATTACGGGCCCGTCCTACGTCCCTTATCGATTGCCAGGATCTTATCGCTTATCGCATCACCCAGAATTTGGGGAAGGAACCCTCGAACATCTGAACCTCGCCCGTCAATTTCGTCGCCTCCAGCCGTGACCTCAAGCTGCATCCCCTTGGTCGACCAGATCTCTCTCTCTGCCGCAGCCACAGGATGTCGTCCCACTCGCTTGCCTGCCGAATATGAGATCCCTGATCGTGAGTTCTGGTCAGTTCCTTGGATGTCGAGGTGACTTGACTTACTTTCAAGCTGGCAGCTGACAATGGGCATTGCTTCCAGGCCAATCGTGCATCAGCGAGGTTGTACAGCTCGAGTCTGCGCTTCTGCTCACTCCGTCCTCTGCCTCGCCCCCCTCCGTTCCACGACCATCATGGCAAATCAACCTCTGCGGTTGCCATCTTTTCCACTTCGTCCAGCTTCTGTCGATTCCCTAGGCGCGGCCCGAAGACACGCGTGCAGCGACAAGTACGCGATCTGATCGAGGACCTTGACTCGAAAGCCCCAAAGCCAGTCAAGAAGCAAGCACCCAAGAAGTCCGCGGCCCGCAGGGAAAATAGACCACAGCATTCAGGGACCTCGTCGTCGGGAGATGCCTGGTCCAAGCACGAGGGAAAGCCCTCTCTAGGGCCGGAACTGGCTAATCTTGTTCCAGACTCGGGAGAGAGCGAACTAGCCTTCAGTGAAGAGAACCTCAGGCTATCCCCAGATCTGCCGCTTCCGACGCCTCAGCAAATTTCCAGCTTGCCAGGAGCTTCCAAAGCACTCTCCAAAGGGGACGCCGAGCATGCCAACCTCGTGCAGCGAGCCGTCTTTGCAGCCGTCAAAAGTCTCGGTGGAGAAGCAGCCGTACATCAGAGTAAAGAGACGCTCCTAGACCAGGAAAGGCCATTTTTTCGGACTGTGATTACTGTCAACCTCTCAAACCACAATATCCTGGTTGCCAATGGCGATAGCTACTTACGTGAAGGGGCGACGCGTGCTGCGGCGCTGCATGCACTGGCTATGCTATGTGATCAGGGCCTGCTGACGCTTCCTGGTTCGTCCATGAAAACAGCCTTCCCAGGCGAGACGGACCGCCTGCTTGAGGTCTACAACTACGCGGCCCGCTATCGCTGCATACCCAGTGTCGAGACTCGGGAGTGCCAAGGTTTTTACAGTATCACCATCCAAATGCCGGAACATGGGATCAACGTGGCAATACACAACGTGCCTGCTGTAGCATATGCTGAGGCGGCTGCGGCCTCCGAGTTCAAGAGACAGGCTAAGCTCTACCATCTCAGCCAGGGCACTGACAGGATCGTCTCGAGGGACCGATATGCCCTGAGTACCCGCAACTGCAATGACTTCTTTGCGTTCTGTCGTGACTCGGGCGAAACCTCGGGCAACCTCGGCGTGGCGATAAAAAAGATCAGGGGCCTCTACGTGGGCGTGCCAAAATTCGAAGACCTTGGCCCCTTCTGGCCCTCCCCCGGGGTCAAGCCCGAGGTCAGAACAGGGAGCGAACTCCATACAAAATCGGCTGCGACTCTTGTTGCGGCACTGACGGTTTCCAACATGCAACCGCGCCTATTCGACGAATTCAGGCACGCTTTGCGTGCAGGCCATGGCAGGTACCTTGAAAAGCTCAGCCCCAAGGACATGATCTTGGAACCTGGAGTCATCAAGGAATTGGATTTGATACAAAATCTGGAATGGCCACGCCGGTCAAATCCAAGCGGCAGTCAAGTCGCTCGGCCCCACGACGAAGACTCACGGGGAACCACAAATAAGCATGCTCAGACCCCAGAGCAGCTGGCGAAAAAATCATCTCGCCTGAAGGAGGCGATGGATGATTACAGGGCGCGAGGCGACCTGGCAGATCTGCGCCAGGCACGTTCCGAACTTCCGATGACCCAGTATGCTCCTCAGGTGAGGCAGATTGTGCGTGACAATGTCTACTGCATCATCATTGGGGCGACTGGAAGCGGCAAAACGACCCAGGTTCCTCAGATCCTCCTGGACGAGGCTATCGAGAATGGACATGGCGCCTCTTGCAACGTCATCTGCACACAGCCTCGCCGCATCGCGGCAACGTCTGTGGCCCGAAGGGTGGCGGTCGAGCGAGCCGAAAACCTGCAGGAATCCGTCGGGTACCAGGTTCGGGCCGACGCAATGCCCCCGGCCCCCGGTGGCAGCATATTGTACTGCACAACTGGCGTCCTGCTCCGGCGGCTTATGCATGCCCCAGACGACGTTTTGGACCATGTGTCCCACCTGGTCATTGACGAGGTGCATGACAGAGACATCATCCTCGACTTCCTCTTAACCACGCTCAAAAGCATCATGGCCGCCCGTGCCGCACAGGGGAAAAAGCTGCCCCGTGTTGTCTTTATGAGTGCAACAATAGAAGCGGAGCAGTTCGCCGCGTATTTTGGAAACAGCCTGCCATCCGAGAAGCCAAATGACTGCCCAACGCTAAGTGTGCCAGGGAGGACCTTCCCAGTTCAAGAGTACTATCTGGACGATGTGCTTAAGCGAATGAAGAGCCGACATGGCAGGAACAACCTCAGACTTTTGCGCACGGACAAAGACACCATTGAATATCTCCTCGCTGAGAGTCTCGGCATTAGCAATACGGCCTCGTACGCAGGCACCTTCAACGAGTCTTCGGTTGACCGGAAGAACGAAGTCACCGTATCAGGAGTTGAAAGCTCCGTCGACACAGACAACGCGGATGACGCGTTAGTACCGCTCGGCCTCGTAGCCACAACAGTCGCTCATATTGCCAGGACCTCCAAGAGCGGCGCGATCCTCGTCTTCGTCCCTGGCCTCAACGAAATATTAGGCATGGACAAGCTGCTGCGCTTCACATCCCCCCTTGGTGTCAGATTTAACGACGCCAAGCGGTTCCAGATCATAATGCTGCACTCTACCCTACAGGGCAGTCAGAAGTCAGTGTTCGACCGGGTTCCGCAAGGCTGTAGGAAGATTATCCTAAGCACGAACATTGCCGAAACGTCTGTGACGATCCCAGATGTGCGCTTCGTGGTCGACACCGGCAAGATCCGAGAGAATCACTACGACCAGACGCGGCGTATCACACACCTCCAGACCAAATGGATAACCAAGTCCAACGCCAAACAGCGAGCGGGACGAGCCGGGCGTGTACAGGACGGAGAGTACTACGCATTGTACACCAAGCCTCGGCGGGAGTCCATGAGGGCAGTCCCGCTGCCGGCACTGTTGCGCACAGACTTGCAAGAGATTTGTCTGGATATCAAGTCGCAAGCCTTGAAAGTGCCGGTCGCCGACTTCCTCGCCGGAGCCATAGAGCCGCCACCACCATCCGCTGTCGACATCGCACTGCAGAATCTCATGTCTCTGGGCGCTATGACTGACGAGGAAGAGCTGACGCCGCTGGGACGTGTGCTCGCGTCATTGCCCGTCCACCCGACGCTGGGGAAGATGATTGTGCTAGGAATCATCTTCAAATGTTTGGATCCGATGATAATCCTTGGCGCGGCGGCCCGTGATCGCCCAATTTTCCAGGGTGACCTGAACCTAAGGCGGGAAGTCGACTCCAAAAAGAGGGAGTGGGCGGGCAACTCCGGCAGTGATCACGCGGTGATTCTGGAAGCATTCACGAGGGCGCGAAGCTTCGAAGCTCGCCCTCCAGAGAAAACATGGGGGAACACATCTGATGACTTCTTCCGGGACAATTTCGTCAGCCGCATGGCTTTCAAGAGCATTGAGTTGACATCGCGCGAGATTGTGACCATTCTGGCCGAGGCCGGGCTCATCCACGTCGAGACTTCCGAATCGTCGCTCCAGTACGGTGGTCCGAAGCTGAACGAGAACTCGCACTCCCAGCCGCTCATCAAGGCCCTGCTGGTCTCTGCGCTATACCCCAACCTCGCCGTGCCCACCGACACGGTCTTCCGCACAGCCTCCGAGAAGGGCGCCACGGTCCACCCGGGGTCGGTCAACAGGTCTGCCCAACCGGGCTCGACGCTCTTCACCTTCAACGACCTCTCGCTCTCCACCGACGGCGACACCATGTACATGCGGGAGACGTCGGCCGTCTCGCCGCTGGCGGCCATGCTCTTCGGCGGCCCCCTCACCCAGTACGGCGCCGTGCTCGAGATGGACGGCTGGCTGCCCATGTCCGTCAGGGACACTGGCCTGCCCGACCCGCGCCTCGCGGACAAGGTCGTGGCCCTGCGCCGCCTGCTCGACCGGATGCTGGCGTCCGCGTTTGACGACCTCGCCTCGCACGCGCCCCTGGCCGGCGGCTGGGGCAGGGAGGACGGCATGCGCGGGGAGCTGGCGGCCAGGCTGGCTCTGGTCCTGGGCGCGGACAGGGCCACGCTGGGGAAGCTGAAGTTTGATGAGGCCACCCAGAAGAAGAAGAAGACGGCGACGAAGAAACAGACGGTGACGAAGAAGCAGACAGCGAGGGGGGAGGAGACGGACGCCCCGAGCGAGTACCCCAACCCGGACAGGAAGCAGGGCAGGACGAGTAGGAAGAGCAAGGCGGCGCGGCGCAGGAACGCCAAGGGCGCCGAGAAGGTCCGGGATGAGCTGGCGATGACGCTCCGCAGGCTCGGGGCGGCGCCCCGCGGTGTGCCGCCGGCTGTGAGCTCGACCTCCGGGGGCGGGGCTCCGGCGGGCAACCTCGCGGTGCGGGAGGCGGTGCGGCAGCGGCTTGATGCGTGGGATCCTTGGCTGTGATCCGGCCAGACACCGTATCAAGGGGCCATGCACATTTTGTCCTCAGACGTTTGCGGAATAGGAGCGAGACCAGATACTTCGGCCGAGTAGGCTGCTGGGTCTGAAGGGACCACGCCACCTGGCCCGGCCCTGCTCTTGTGGTCGAGGCTCTGCAGCCCTTCGAAGGGGGGTGGCGTTGGCGAGCACCGACGCGGGCCCGCCGTCGTGGGCGGGTTCAGGTACATTTGGGGCGTTGGTGTGCTTCATCAAACGCACCCGTATGTTGTACCATTCACGTCAAGTACTTCATGTGAGCATCTTCTCTGGGCATGTGCATTGAGTGCATGGCTTTCCCGTGGTTATAGACATCCATAATTTTCAAAAGTAAACACATTTCACACTTACTTTGCTGTAACTGCCTCGCGCCCACTTTGGAGGGATGACGTCCAGCGATCACTTCACCGGTTGAAATGGACGTTAGCCACTCTTTGCTGTGCTTCCGCAAGATGTTGTGGCCAAATCGGCTGTCTGTTTCCCCAGGGCTGTCTGTTTCCCCAGGGCTGTTTTCGTTCGTCCTTTGGTGCTTGACAACGCGTCGCGTCGCGTCCCTCGTGTTTCTTGCGTACCGGTGCGGCATTCCGAACGAAATCACGCCGGACCTGGGTGCCCTTGAGCTCAAGTCTGTCGATGGCATTGATCCCTATGAGGTCGTTCTGGTGTCTGGTTTTCGACACTGATGGATGGGCTGAAGCATGACATCCGGAATCATGGTCCGTGGCACATTTCGGAGGGCAAAGAATGGAGTGATGCGGCGGGCTTTTCGGGCAGAATGGGGCACTTTTCGCATTATGGCCCCGGACGCCGGTCTCCATGGTGAGTCAATTTGAGGGCCTGATCTAAAAATTGCGGGCGGGTTCTTGACGGTGCTTCTAGTCGCTTGTGGAGTTGTGGCTTAGGAGGGTCTATTCTCTGTTAGTTGATGCTCTTTCAACCGCTGGTGTATGACCAAGGAGACCTGGGTGGTTGTCCAGTTGCGTAGCCAGACGCCGCCAGAACTGGTCCTCGCGGGCTAGCCTTCCATTAGGCACTTACACTGGTATGGCAAGGCTGCCTATAATTCCCCGGCTACGCGCCACAACGATGTTCTAGCACTTTACTATCACAAAAGTTTGGTTTATTGCGATACAGAACGGAACGCGCATAGCTTCTATATACCTAGCAATAGTCCCCCAATTCCTGCCCCAAGGCAGTCCTCATGTCATTCTAGAACGACTGAAGCCAGAGGCTGGCTATCACCAACAACCTTTCAAACAGCCACAACAGAAGTCGTATCTCATTAACTGCTCGGTGGCCCAGCTGCCGAGACAAACCTGACTGCCGCCCTATATTCACCTTCCTGCAGGGGGCAGCCTCCATTGTGTTCAACAAGGGCCCCGAGGACCTGAAATTTCGAGGGTGAATGCTGGAGAAAGGGGCCCTGGTGAACCGTCCAAGTTAGTTCTCACGGCGCGAAGACTTCACTTTTGAACAACCCCTCCATTTAAACCCACGACTTCCCGACCTTCGTGGGCACGAACTTCCACACATCTTCCCTTCAGGACACCAACTCGAGAGACCCTCCTGTGTGTAGCAACAAGTGTTCATCTTGCCTCAGCCCAGCAATCTCTCATGCTTGTTGATTCCCTTCATCTTCTTTGGTACCCATCATCCTTGTTAGCGTTTGTCACCGTCGTCGATCCTTTGCCCTGCCGCCTGTCGAGGTCTACTAGATATCTCGCCAGTCACCGCATCGACCATCACGATGAAGATCCTACAGACACCCGAGGAGCAGCTCGCTGTTGCCAGAGCCACCATCAAGCGACAGGAGCAGGAGATTCTACAGTTGAGAATCGCGGTGCGCCAACTCCAGCGAGCCTCGAAGAACAGGGGCCAGCCCGCTGTCAATCAGCACACGCAAACCCTCCAGCAACGTCTCGCTTCAGGTACCAACGATGCGAGGTGAGCAAATGATTGCGATCGGAGTCAATCTATTGATTGCCCGAGTCTCTATAACTTGCTGGGCGTGCTAACCACTCTGGAAGTCGCAGGCCTCAGAGGGGATTGGATACTCCATCCTTTGCCCGCTCGACAAAAGCGTCGACCCTCAAACAATCCGCATCGCCTAGTTCGAGCGGCTCATCCACTCCAGCCACCTCCATCTCTTCATCCACCACTTCCAATGACTCCAAACAAGCGCCACAACGCTTCGTCTTGAAGGGAGTGGCATACACCTACAAGAACGGCAAGCTTGGACCGAGCGGGCCCGGTTACCTGCGATCCACTGAGGCCTCGGTCAACAAGTTTGGCAGCTACGAGCGCCGGAGGGAGCTAAAGGGCGGCATCGAGCGCCCTTCTCCGGATCTAGTCGACTGGTGGATCTCGAACGTGACACCTGACGCTGTTATGACAATCGGGCGCAATGTTGTCGTTAAGAAACAACAGCCGGTGCAGATCATGTCACGAGAATGGCTCGACGACAGAACCGAGAAGAGACGACTGGAAATCCAGACGCGCCTCTCTGACAACGCCTGGGTGTCGGAGCGCGCTAACAACGTATGGCTTGACAACAACAAGACATACGAGATCCTATTCACCGCCGAGCGGCTGGGCAAGGAGTGTTTCCGGGAATGGCTGCGGGTCAACCGGCCCAAATCATGCCCCCGCTACTTGTCAGATGTCGACTTTGGCCGAGACTGGCTGACTCGTTTCATGGACAAAGAGACTGCTGGATACCGCGCCACTGACTGCTACGAGCTCCTCTGGGCTCTAGAGACGATGATTGATCTCAGAAATATGGTGCACCACTTCAGGGGATGCTGTCTGATGTCGGCCGAAGAACACCTGCAAAAAGTGCAGAAACTGGCAGTGTACCTGTACGATGAGGAGGGTGCGCATGCCGCCAGGGCCCTGAGGGACCGGCTTCGTGGCGAGGCTGAGGAGGTAGCCCGGGAGCTCGAGACGGCCACCCTCCTGACGGCGCTTCCTTTCACCGGAGACTTCCGGTGGAAGCCTAACCACACCGAACTGTTCCAGCACATCAACTGGCATAATGATGAGCGCTTTTACGAGGATCATTCGCCGGCGGTTGTCTTTGGCGCCATGGAGTGGGCCAGGCGGGGCTCTGATGTGAGCTGGGACTGCGGGAGGGCCGTGGAACCCAGCCTGGCCACGGTCCCGAGACTAGAGGGCGTTGGCTGTGGGAGTGTGCGGGCTTCTGTTGCGGAGGATCGGCAGGGCCGCGTGCCAGTGAGGCGTGACGAGGCGGTGGATCCTCGTTGGAGGAGTGCATCTGCCAACGGTCCTCGAAGGCTCCGCGGCAAGCCTGCCCCCAAACAGGGCGCTGCACGCCGGGGGAGCTTCAGCGTCGGGGAAGGTGACAGGTCGATGTTGTAGATTCATCGTGGGCGGCCTGTCAGGTGGAGACCCTCATTTTGAGATTGGCATTGTGGTTGTAGACAATCGGTTTGGCACAAGATGTTCATCTGGGCACTCAAACTTTCGCCCACCAGGTTGAGAACACTTCAGTATACATAGCTTTTGACAGTCAGGTTTACCGAGCGGATTCCATGATTTAATTCTGCTGACCTGTATTAAACCGCAATAAGATCCCTGTACATGCTTGCATATTTCCACTTGCTTGGCCCGGTGCACCAAAATTGCAATGCGGTGCACCACCGTCCCACTTCCTACATTCGTAACTATCAGGTGATGTTCCGCGATTGAGTTGTTGTGTAAGCCCGGATTACACCACAAACTATGCTACTAATCGTCTCAAATATACTTGAATACCATGACTTTCGCATCTGCCACCGGCCCCCCTAGGGCTTCAAGTTGAAGCCGGGTGATACTAATTCAGCACTAGTAACGGCGGGCTGTTGGCCGGCTGGTTTTTCAAGGAATTTCGAGTCACTAGATTTTAGGGCAGCTTGAGGCTCCAAAATCGGAGGATTTGATACTGGTTGGAAAACTAGGTGACCCAAAAGTATGCACTTTTCTCCTCGTCATAACATAAACTTGATCAATTTTATCTTTTGCCTTATTATACAAAACACTGCCTTGCCAACTGAGTTGGTATTCTTGATTGTCTTCAAATAGTCGGCCAACTCGGTGTTCAAGAAGAACATCACGATATCATTCAAATACTTTTCAGCACCCGGATCTCAGTGTACCCGACGGCAAAAATGAAGTTCGTATCGTCAATCGCTCACCAACTGTCCAAGGCGGAGGACAGAATTGAGTCTTTAACAAAATCAAACCGAGAACTTCAAGAAGAAGTTAGGCGCCTTCGACTCAGATTGGCTCGGGCGACGAGATTACAGCCACAAATGTCATCCATGAGGCCCGCTGCACTACCTAAGGTCACTTGTTCAACCATATCTGAGGATAAGACCCCGTCTTACGCTCGAACGACGAAGGCATTCCGTCTCCGCAGTCTGCCCTCGTGGAGACAGCAGGCTACTGCAAAACCGTCGACGCCATCTCGGCCTCGTCCGGCATGCACATCCGGGGAAACAGATCCATCGTATGCTCGGTCCACAGACTCGTCCCGCCTCCGCAGATCTTACTGCTTACTGGGTGGCACGTCAAGCACACTGCCGGAAATTGATTTGTCACCAATCATTACCCCAAGTCCAACATGCCTCACCATACACGGCAAGCACTGTACCTATGAAGATGGCAAGCTCAATGTCATGAAATCCGGAGGCTGCAGGACGACCGCTTCTCGACCCACTAGCTATGATGTCTCACAGGTCCCCAGCGCAGTCGACTCCCTGACTGCCACGTGGGTCCGGTTGTGTTCCCTGCTGAAGAACCACAATCGTGCCTGTGCGAGCAGCCTCGACCGCGCGGCTACATCCAAGCCACCAAAAGCGCCGAAGACCGTGCCAAAGACAGAACTTGAAGAGTGGACAGACCAGGCCATTCAAGAAGGAATCGCATCACGTACCCGACTGGCTGACAAAGCGTGGATCAATGGCTTATTTCTCAAGGTCTACATCAACCACGACTGTCTGCACAAGATCCTTTCTGAAGGCCAAAAATTGGCGAAGGAGTGCGTATGGACATGGGTACGCATTCATCGGCCAGAGTATCTCGGCCGGCTTGGCTATCTTTCCGACGTTGATTTTGGCGGAGACGTTTTCGGCCGTTTTATCAATGACATGCCGGCCAAATTCTTCACCTTTCGACACAGCAAACCTTCGCAGATACAGCGGAAGCTCCTCAATCTCATTGGTCTGCGGAACCTGATGTGCCACTTCAACGGCTCACAAGATGTCCGCCACATGGACGTATATCTCGAAAACATCCACGAACTAGCCGTGCTCTTCTACGACGAGCCGCGCGCCCTCCTCGCTAGGGCCCTGCGGGACCGGCTCCACGCCGAGGCCGAGCGAACACTGCAAGAGATCGAGACCCTGACGATGCTGACAACGTTGCCGGAGGCCGGAGACCCATGGCTGTTGCACCACAGAAACACGGTTTGCAATGCTGTCGACGAGCTCGCCAGGGGCTATCACCTCCCGTCGCAGAAGCATCCAATCCTCGTTGCTGCGGCCCGGGAGTGGGCCGCCCACGAGGCGCGCTGGCCTGCCCACCACATGGGCTGGGAGTACGGCACCTCCATACCCATCCCTGAGGTCGAGGATATCACGGCGGCGAGGGCCGGATCTTCAGATGAGGCGGGCCTGTCAGGCATGATGACGGAAGGTAGATCTTTAGACGAGGCGGATTTGTCGGACAGGGGTGTCAGTGAACCACAGAAAGACGTGCTCGACGAGGAAGACAGTCTTGCCGAAGATTTCATCCTTGTCGACGACGTTATGCTTAAAGGTGGAGACATGTCCGAAGAATAAAGCGAATCAGAGTGGGAGGTGGCGTAGCATTTCCAGCAACCTTGTGGCACATCATCCATTGCTGTGGGTGACTTGAAGATATCGGAAAAGTAGGCGGCCGGCCGGCATATGATTTGGGATGGAACCGTGCAGCCCTGGTATGTCCATCCGCAGGATATGAGAGAAGAGCCCGGCCGGAAGCTGCAACATACAAGTAGGAGAAAAGATCATGTCAACTAGTTTCATAGTTTCAGTCATTACAGTTCTTGAATCAAAACTTTTGCAGCCAGTGAGCAGCAAGCTCGAGGTATGAATGTTGAGTTGGGTTGAGACCTCCATGACAGTTCTCACAACGGCGTTCCAGGGCGTCTGTGCAGCTGTCATGTCAACAGCTGTCACGTCGACAAAGGCTGTGTCTGTGCTTCGCCTTCTGTCTCACACAACTTCGAGGTTGGTTCATTGATTATCAGCCATGGAGGCTGTGATACATCTTCAGTGGGGGCGCTCCCCGGGGGAATGTCCGGAGGTCCCTTGAAACAAAAGTGGCATTGACCTTGGCGGCGAAGCCAAGCTGTTATACGAACCGGTTGCCAGCGCGAACCAGCGGCCCGGGCACCATATGCAGCCCACCCTGGAAAGCAGCCGGGCGTCTTGCCCCCAAATACCGGCACTCATGAATTTCCCATTGCTGACTAGCGCTGGTCCTGACATCCCAATTTCTTAACCTTGATGGAACCGCGATCAAAGTGTCAATTTAGTGTCATCCAACAGTGGGACACCAGATCAAACCAGGGAATCTATGTCATTTCCCTGACAGACGATGAGGGCCTGGAAAGGGTAATTTTATGAAGCCCACCCTCGTGAGACGACATGTCGTTCGGGGCCTGTCGTTCGGGGCCAGATAGGACGGACTGGCAGGCACAGCTAGGTAGAGCACGGTGAATAATGGCGCAGCAGCTGGGCACTTGGGCCAACTGGCAGCCTCACGACATGACGGGCAACGACGGGTTTGAGGGTGGGGGCGGATAACGGTTTGTGCATTCATATTATCATGCACTTGAGCATGAAGTCAAGTCTGTGCTGAGGAAATGGTTGGCTGAATGGTAGTATTCTACATGCACACAGTAACATTTGACCACTTACCATCTGCCGCACCCATTTCATTTTGGTGAATAGTTCAGCCTTGTGAGGCACTTGGAATCGATTGTCAGAGCACTAGTACTGGTATCAATGAGTGCGACCCGGGACTCGGATGTCACGGTCACAGCCGATCATGACTGCGACCCATGGCATGGATGTACTAGCAGGTCCTCACAGTCAGCGAATTGGAACACAATATTTAAGCCGGAATCTTTGAATTGACCTGGTTCGGCTTCGGCTCCAAGACTTGGTATCGCACCGATCAATGCTCCTACCCCAGAGGACTTTTGAATGAAGCAGACCAAGAAGAGCAGCCTGACATCACAACAAGAGAAGTTCGGTTCAAACGGCCACGCATATCAATCACATACTACCATGAAATCCCTCAAACTATTACTGGCTATGATTTTGGCGGCTGGGTCGGGCTCGTCCGCCCACGCCAGCTCGGCGCGTGCGCATGCGACTGAGACAGTCCGGTCGATACAATCGCTAGCGGTGCCAGCCCCTGTTACTATCAATGGACTGTCCCCGTTTCAATTCCCCACTGACTATAACGCGAGCACCCCTTACAGCAATGGGATGCCAGATTCGTGGCTTTATTGCAGCAATAACAAGACCGACTGGATCACGATGGACCATGTAGACGAGTTGGTGAAGTGGAGATTCCTGGAGAGCACCCTTGACAACGGGACGATCCCTTTCCAGACCGGATGGGTGTGGTACGTGCCGATGGGCGCACACAGCACCCAGATCTACGTCTGTAATCACAGCCGGCGGTTTAACTTCCCGTTCAGCGCGGGCCTCTTCCGTGAGGTCGACGAGCTGCTGGACCGGTTCTGCGGGATCACCATGGCGGGATACGTGTACCTGGACACCCCCTGGGACGTTGCCATCGGGCGAGACACGACGACCCCACAGGGCTTTGCCAAATCCGAGTGTGGGGGCGAGGTGTCATAGATAGGCGTCCACCGCACCATAGCGCAGGTTCATAATTAGAATATGCACAGGCTTTACCATAGCGCAGCCTGAATACACTAGAACGAGGTTACTTCAGCCTTTTTTGCTCCGATTCGAAAGTTCCCTGTGAAGATCATGATCCCACGGAAAGACCCCCGGGATGTCGTAGGCGAGCAGGAAGCCATCCCGCTGCAACTCAATCTCTGCAGTTGGGAAAACGCAATCTCATATCACCATCCTCGGTCAATATGTGTCCGCGTCTCATCAGGCTTAGTTTTTGCACAGCTTCGCAGGATGAACATTGTGACAAGATGGTCCAGCCCGTAATAATCCGTTGCCGGGGAGGCACTCGCTTGCTCTCCGCCCGGGGTTCACAAACGTTATTTGGATTCCGAAACAAGCGAGATGGGCCAACAGCTTATAACTGGCTACCGACAGAGTGACCGTCGCACGTCGTTCGTGTGTCGTTCCTGTCGTTCCCCAACGGTTCCAAGGTTAATTGCAATGGGGCGACAATAAGGGTCTGCGAACGAGTCTTTCAGTCTGCCTCGTCAACGGCTATTTTTTGGACTACATTCCAAGGTTGAAAACAGCCAATTGTGATGGTGAATCGAGGTGATGTTTCCGCGCATAAACGCAAAGACAATACCCGCACGTCATGCGCCTCCCTCAGCCTTCCAAGAACGTCAAAGTGCGGGCTTGGTAGCTACAAGCTATTGCCAACCTGCTTGGTCCTTGGCGCGTCCCATCGGCAGGGGCAGCTAGTCTCAGTACGGTCAGCCCTACAGCTGTTCTAACCCGCGAGGCACACTCGATGCTATGCTGCCGGGTGGTGGTGCAGGGTTCACGAGGTTACACCCGCCTGGCCTGATGTTTACATCCGATCTTGAAACATTCGGCCGAAGCTCAGAACGCAGCCCTTGGGGGCGCTTGGGTGCTCTCGTGCGGCGCTTTAGCCTCCCACTAGGACACATGTTTGGGTTTCAAGACTTACAAACCGTTCGACCATTTGGGATGATGAATGCGGAAAGGGTCACGACCTGCCTCCACGCTGGCCCTCAGGCGCGAGCGCGACTCAGGGACAGCTCGGGACAGGACGCCGTCAGATGGTCTTTTAATGTACATCACCTCGTCCCCCCAAACCTCCGATGGTAACGTTTGATCGATCTGTAAAATATTATTTCATTCTCTTCGTACCCGTTTTCGCTCGTGAAAGTGGACTCACATTTAGCCCAGGAGCTTCCAACAATCTTTATGTAATCCAAACTTACAACTTACGTGTCTTAATACCATTGCGTTCGCTAATACACCTTCGGCACGATGAAGGCCGCTCTGATCTTGCTCGCGGCTGTGCTGCAGAGCATCGCAGTGACGGCCCTCCCATTGACCTTGGATGCGAGGTCGCCGGCGAACCCTTTTGCAGCCGCGGTGGGGCCGCGGGCGCTGGGACGTAACAGAGACGAGTCTGTCCCTCAAGCAGCCAAAGCCTTCGCCGGTGATGTTGCCATCGTGTCTTCGTCCCTCAATGGCAGTGCGTATATCTCCCCGCGCCTAGTTGGCCTGAACCAAGAACATGTACTGACCAGGCTATGCTTAATAGTGGGCCAGACGATGGACGAGAGGGAGATCAGTACCATGGCACGCCGGGCCTTCATCGCTGAGAAAGACGAGGACCAGCACCGTGCTGTGCTAGATAACGCCGCCGACGGAAGGGACGCCAGGCAGTCGAACAGGAAAATCGTCGACAACACGCCCATCGTTCTAGACGGCCTCCAGTCCATGATGAGGAATCCATCCATGAGGAACGTCATGCGACAACTGTCAAGAGTTGAAGAGGCAAGGTGAGAGGCTCCTGACCGCAAGCATCAAATTCTCACCATGATATGTTTGTGAATCCCGGCATACACTAGCAGTGCTAACAAGTGCCCCCCAGGAACGCAAACATCCTGCCCAGCATCACGCAGCTATCCAACAGCGCGCTGGAGAACAGCGGAAGCAGCGGACAACAAAAGGTGTTCGAGCCAACCACCGGAACTCAGAGCCTGCGGCAGCTGATGGCGGGTGGCGGGACTTCCGCCACAGGAAACACTGGCGGCGCCGCTTCCACTGGACAGGGCAAAGGAGCCGGCGCTGCGGGTGCGGGAACCACGACACAGAAGGGAGGCGCCGGTTCTGGGACGGCTACAGGAAACACCGCTTCCAAAGGGAACTCACCAGCTGCTTCCAAGGGTACAGGTGCCAACACCGGAGCTGCGACACAGAAAGGAGGCGCCGGCGCTGGAAAAGCTACAGGGAAAACCGCCGCCCAGGGGAACTCCACAGCTGCGGCCTCTGGCAAGGGCAAAGGTGCCGAAGGCGCTGCCAATATCGGAGGCGAGACCCAGAAGGCCGGAGCCGGCGCAGCTACGGGAAACACTGCGGCCAAGGGGAACTCGACCACAACTGCGACCTCTAGCAAAGGCAAAGGTGCCGAAGGCGCTGCCAATATCGGAGGCGAGACCCAGAAGGCCGGAGCCGGCGCAGCTACAGGGAACATCGCTTCCAAGGGGAACTCAACAACAGCGGCAACCTCGGGTCAGGGCAAAGGCGCCGGAGCCGCTACCAATGTTGCTGGTGAACCTACAGGAGCCATCGCTTCCAAGGGGAACTCAACGATAGCTGCAGCCGCCACCAAGGGCAATGGCACCGCGACCTCGGGCAGCACGGCTTCGAAGGGCGGTGCTTCGGCCGAGGGAGCAAGCAACGAAGCCGCCGGCTCGAGAGGTGGCGCCTCCGCTGAGACGGCCGCGGCGTCAGAAAATGCCAGCACGAAAGGGGCCGGTGCTGCCACCACCAAAGGCGGAGCAGACAACGCTGCCGCCGCTGCTGGAGAGGACAATCCGGCCGCCAGCCAGGGGGCTGCCGCCAAAGGCAAGACGAATGGCGCACAGAATGGGGGAGGTGCTGCGGGTGATGAAGATGAGGAGGACGACGATAATTAGATATACGAACCTAATTGGGGCTAAACCAGGGGCCCCCTTTCACGATCGCAGCTGGATTGCATCATCACCCACCTGGGCAAGCTTGTACTGGGACTCAGACGATCGCGGGTCGAGTCTGCAGGTCTCGTGTGTCAGGCTGACTGTCGACATTGTGTTGTGCGTGCTAATCATATTCACTCGCTAAATTCGTCGCTTCGTGCACATGGCGTTGCATCGTGACATGCTTTGTAGGCTTGCTAGTTTCGGATTGACTGTTGAGTTGCATCATGTAGACATTTGTTAGGCCACTTGTGCCCCTGCTTATCAGGAGATATTATTGTGTTTCAGGACGACGGTTGACAGTGGGGGACTGGAAATGGCCAGTGGGTGTACTGAATATAGGAGACGATTTGGATGGGTTGGGGGCATTTATATAGAAGGGTTTTGTATGGATAATCATTCAGAACCGAACCTCGGGAGTTTTGATAAACTCTCCAGACACATGTTAGTTAGACTCTCGGTACGTTGATGTCACATGGTACAAAGGCAGTTGAGAACGTCAGGTATACCTAGGTAAACAGCTGCCAGTGCACTGATCCCTTGATTTTCAGCCCGAACTCATCCCTTATCCCCATCGCCAAGGTTATATGCGACATCATAATAACGAGGGATAAGTTCTTCTTGTCATCAATGGCACATGCCAACTTGTTGAGAAACATCTTTTATGCGCTTTCTGACGAGATTTCGGCTATGACGAAGGCCTGGTCGCAGAAAACTTTTAGGTGATATACTGAGGTTTATCCACATCCCCCGAGGTCTTTGAGAGAGCAATTCCCTGGCTGCAGTGATGCATTGAAAGTTCATCCCGAAACATCACGCTGGGTACATCAGTCTTGGTATAAGCTGTAGTCGTTGAAAGAAATATCATATCAGGAAGCAATGTAGTGGCAGTCCGTATCAGAGCAAAATTTGGTGTTTGGTTGAATAGTTGAGAGACCAACTGGACTGAACAAGATTGGACGAGCTGCTGGGACTTATAAATTAGCCGAGTACCGTTAATGAAAAAAGAGTCTATAAGTTGTGATGTGTGATGATAGCTAAGGCGAAAAGTAGTGAAGTCAAATATTATTATGATATTTGCAGACGTGGGTAGATCTGGCAGGAGATATCATACACATCCAAAACGCTGGGGCCGGCAGTAGGGAGTGTCTACATTGACTGGTTATCGAGAATCTTTGGTCACTATAAATCCTAGGAGGCCAGAAGTAACCTCTTACAACATTCTGTATAGTCAACACACTCTATTAGTATCGCCTGGCTGATACGGCTCCAAACTCCCTGGAGGGTTGGAATGTTGGATGCTGCGGATCGTCTGCCACGAATCCCGCGGGGAAAACACTCTGTAATCCGGACCAAACCCTACAAATCCTTCCCCAAGACAGGGACATCCACCTGCCTTGGTTTACTACCGCTACTCTCTGGATCTGAATGGACGCCTTCAACAACCTCTGATTCTGGCACGACTCCAAGCTTGAGGGCCTCGTCAGGTGTAAAGGTACCATAGTAGTCCACCTCGTCAACCACGCCCAGCCCGGCGGGTGGCCAGATCCTGTTCAGTACATAGTGCGCCACAAAGGAGATCGTGAAGCCCAGCGGGAACGCCAGGTAGAACAGCTCGCTCCAGGCGCGCCCGACGCTGACGCTGTCAGGCGTGACGTTGGCGGCGAACCCAGGCAGCTGGGTGGCGAAGCCGAGGACCCAGGCCACGAAGCTGCGCGGGTTGAACCCGCCGGCGAAGTAGTAGATGCCCTCCCGGCGCGGGTGGTACAGGTCGGACAGCTTGATCCTCTGCCGCCTGACGAGCCAGTAGTCGCAGATCTGTATGCCGATGATGGGGCCGAGGAAGACGCTGTAGGCCGACAGGACCGAGATGAACACCGCGGCCGACGAGAGCAGCTCCCAGGGGCAGAGGGCGACGCTGAGGAGGAGTCCGATGTACGCCCCTCGGCGGATGTTTATGTAGGAGCAGAAAAGGCCCGCGAGGTCCATCCCTGCGCTGTAGGCGTTGTCGACTACGTTGATGGCGAGCTGGCAGGCGAGGAGGCCGACGCCTGCGAAGAAGGCGCCGGCCCTGGAGGAAGAGCTATAATCATTGTCGAGCCACCTCTGGGCCATGTCGGCTTTTGTCGCGGGTGGTCAGCTACAAGTCGTTGAAAAGAGAGAGTTCTATGTTTTCCCTGGGACTTACGTGGGTTCCATATTGCCTCGCCCCAAAGACCCTGTGTTGCAGAGGCGGCTAGACAGCCGAGGAACGGGAAGATTGTGCCAAAGAATCTAATGTGGCTCGTTTAGCAAGGAGAAGCAGGGCATAATCATAGTACTAGTGACCAACTTCCGAGTTTTTACTCACATTATCGAAAACCACTGACCAAAGACTTGGTCTCCAGGCCGCCTCGCAAAACGCGAGTAGTCGTTGGCATTCGTCAGGCCGACAGCGATGCCTCCGATGACGGTGGTCACACCTGACACGATCGACCACCCAAGATCCCGAGATGTCATGGGTTTCGCGCCCTGGGACAGTAACGGCCCGCCACCCTTGGCTGCGGCCAGCGACCAGATCAACATGGCCACGAGAGTCGTAGCCGCGAGCAGGTTCAACACCAGAAGCAGGCGCTTGATCTTGTGAGGCGGTATGTACAGCACGGGCGCCATGGCCACGTTGAAGAGGATCCACCCGACGAACTGCTTCGTCTCGAGGTGCGACGACTCGGGGAAGACGTTTGGCAAGTTGTGGAAGCTGGGGAAGATGGCAGACAGGATCACGGCGATGCACAGGCCCCCCGTCCAGCTCTGCACAGAGAACCACACCAAGCTGAGGATGATCCGTTGCACGATCTGGAGGAAGGCGCCGTAGGGTCCCCAGACGTACCGAGAGACGACTGGAAAGCCTATGTGCCATGTTGCTCCGACGTAGCCGTTGAATATGGCCACCAGGGATATTATGATCTTGCCGATGAGTGTCGCGAGGACGGCCTGCCACACACTGAGACCGGTTGCCACTAAGGACCCACCAAGTTGCCAATTTGAAACTTGTCAAGAGTTATCTGTCAGCAAGCTGTTTCTTTCAGACTACATATTCACAGGAGGCGAGTTCGCTTACTGGCGATCTGGTTGGTGAGCCAGAAGGAGATGAATGTCCAAGTTGTCCACGTTCTGCGCGGAGGAGGCAAAGGTCGAATGTCATCGTTGATCCATATGTTGGCCACTGACTTATCCGTACCGGACAGTCGGATCGCGCTCAGAAAACGTTGTAGCCTCATGTTAGAGGAGGTGATGTGCCTGTGTGCGGTGTCGTCTACATCTGTGTCAACCAGGTGGTTTCCGACAGGATGGAAACGAGTCGGCTAGTGCAAGAAGCAATGGAGAATGCCGTAGTGCATCATACGACCAAGGTTGCAGCGGCCGGAATGATTCTAATAGCAGCATTTAGAGACTGGCAACTTATCATCCGTCGGCACCCCAAACGTGCCCAGGTGTTCACCCGCCAGGAAGCAACAAACCTTGATAAGGCTAGAAAACACCTCCAGTTCCTACTAGTGGTGACCGGCGGCGGACTTTTCCTATCTCTAGGCGCGTCGGTTCAGCGTTGTGCCACGCTGTTAGCATGCCGAGATCGACCTGGTCCGATCTCGTTAGGAAGCCTATCCCTGGCAAAGTCCCCCGCCCGCCGGTACTGCACCGGATGTCTTTGCCGGTTGAACCAGTGGAGAACCATCTGGTCGGTATTTGTGAATGATAACGATCTCGGAGTGTCACCAATACTATGAAGTATTAGCGAAGGTTTCCGGCTACGACGATTTGGTCTTCTCAGTGCCCCGATTACAGGTCTGGCTCATTTCTCCTGAAATGGCGAGCGGGCATCTGCCCCAAGCCTAAATTCTCGTCATACCGATCCTGAGGTCACACCCGAGCTATAAACAGCGTACTGTGTGTTGGCCTGACCAGTGCCTGTCCTCCCGTTGTACCATTACACCTCCCCATGACAAAACATGACACTTGATAAATCCATACGCATAGGCGTGGACGTCGGTGGCACAAACACTGATGCAGTGGCCGTCGATGTGGCACTCGCTTCTCGAGGCCACCCAGAGCGAGGCGTGCTCGCCTTCAAGAAGACGCCAACTACTCCAGATGCCACCTCCGGCATCGAGACGGCAGTACGAGCCGTTCTGAGATCGGCCGGAGGCGGAGGCGGCATCAATACGGAGCGTATCGCCAGCGTCACCGTGGGCACCACCCACTTCATCAACAGCGTGGTGGAGAGGGACTCGCGCCGCCTGCAAAAGGTCGCCGTCATCCGCCTCTCGCGCTCGTTCCTGCGAGAGGTTCCGCCATTTGCAGACTTCCCGGAGGACCTGGCGGCAATACTGAACGGCTACTGCGGGATCGTGGACGGCGGCCTGCACATTGACGGCTCACAGGAGGCGCCGCTGAAGGAGGCGCAGGTTGTCGCCGAGTGCCAGAAGATCAAGGCTTTGGGGCTGACGGCCGTGGTGGTGGCAGGGGTATTCTCGCCCATCGACGAGACCTTCCAGCAGGAGAACCGTGCGAGGGAGATCATCCTCCGCGAGCTGCCGGGCATCGACGTCGTCTGCTCGCATGAGGTGGCAAACATCGGGCTGCTGGAGCGGGAGAATGCGAGCATCTTGAACGCGGCCATCCTCAGCTACGCCAGGAAGACGGTGGGGCGATTCAGGCTGGCCATGAGGACGCTGGGCCTGTCGTGCCCCCTGTTTATCACCCAGAACGACGGCACCATATTGGACTCCTCCTCAGCCGCCAGAATGCCCATCAAGACGTTCTCTTCAGGCGCGACCAACTCGATGCGCGGCGCTGCATACCTCTCTGGGCTTGATGCGGGCGGAAGTCAGTCTGCTGTTGTGGTTGATATTGGAGGCACCACATCCGACGTGGGTGTGATCCTCGCCAGTGGCCTCCCGCGGCAGGCTTCCGCCTACGTCAAGGTCGCAGGAGTGAGGGTGAATTACTCGATGCCCCACCTGCATTCTATTGGCCTCGGTGGCGGATCTCTTGTCCGAGAGGTGGACGGCGGCGTGCGAGTCGGACCAGAGTCCGTGGGGCACTTCCTTACCGAGGAAGCACTGGTGTTTGGTGGCCAGACCTGCACAGCCTCGGATATCGCAGTGGCGCTGGGAAGAGCAGAGATCGGTACAGCGACCGCAGTGAAGCATCTCAGCGACGGCTTCCTCAGCTCTGCGCGAGACCGCATCAAGACTCTTCTTGACGCCGCTATCGACGTGGTGAAGACGTCCGCAGACCCGATCCCCGTGCTGCTTGTAGGCGGGGGTGCTGTGCTGGCCCCTGAGGACATTGCGGGCGCGTCTGAGGTTGTGCGGCCTCCCTTCCACGATGTCGCTAACGCGGTGGGGGCGGCCATCTCGAGAGTCTGCGGCAGTGTCGACATCGTCCAGAACACGAGCGAGCAGACCGAGGCGCAGGCGATCCAGCGCGCCAAGGACCTGGCAGTGCAGCGCGCCATATCGGCGGGGGCTGTCGAGAGTAGCATCTCGATCGCGGAGGTGGAAAGCATGCCGCTGCAGTACGTCACGAATCAGGTGCGGACCATCGTCAAGGCAGTCGGAGACATCGACTTCAGGGCCCCCATGCTTGACAACGCGGCCGACGAGGATCTGTCCGATATTGACGACAGGATTGAGGAGCACAAGAATCTACATATCAAGACCGTTGACGCCCAAAGGGTTGACCCGTTCGCATACAAGCCTCGCATCGAGAAGAATGCGCAGGGCATACGGGAGTGGCTTCTCAGCGAGACCGATCTGGCATGGCTTGCGGATGGCTGTTACGTGCTTGGCTGCGCGGGTGGAGGCAGCCCTGCAGCAAGCGTCCTTCAGCTTCGCGACATAATCAGAGACGGCCACAAGATCCGGATAATAGACCAGTCCTCTTTGAGAGACGACGCCCTGATCTACTGGGGCGGTCACATGGGGTCCCCAGCTGTCTCTGTTGAGAGGCTGCAGGCCCTAGAGACGGTCCAGGCGTTCGAGGTTCTGATGGAGTACATGGGCCATGACAAGTTCGACGCCGTGATGGGCTTAGAGATTGGCGGCGCCAATGGGATGGAGCCCATGCTGGTGGGCTCTTCAAAGTTCTTTGACAGCCCCATCATCGACGGCGACTGGATGGGTAGGGCCTACCCGACCTATTGGCAAACAACTCTGGCCGTTCACCGCCCGCTTGAGCTTTGCCCCTGCGCCATAGACTCGGGTGATGGCAAAAGTATAGTCATGACACGGGCTCCCGATGACGAGATCGTTGATAGAGCACTCAGAGCGTCGTGCTCCGAGATGGGCAGCCGTGTGGGCATGGCGGCCAAACCCACTACGACTGAACTCGTGAGAAAATACGGCGTCCTCAACACGTGCTCCCTCGCTTGGAGAATAGGCAGATGCATTGCAAGGTGCGAAGCTAGCAACACGCTTTCCACGGTCGCCGAGTCCATCATCAACGAGGCAGGTGGGCCAGGTGCTGCGAAAGTCCTGTTCAGGGGTAAGATTGTGGCGGTGGAGCGCCGTCTTGTCAAAGGACACTCGTACGGTACTGTTCACATCGCCGCCTTTGAAAACAACGACTTGGATGATGAGGCAGGGAGTTCGTCCATGACCAGGTCGGCCGCCGTGGCGTCTGGAGGCACTCTCAAGATTCCCTTCAAGAACGAAAACATTTTTGCAGAGCACACCGCTGCGGACGGTACCCAGAAGGTGATAGCATCGGTGCCGGACCTTATCGCAATCCTGGACAATGGTTCCGGTAGAGCACTCGGTGTGCCGGAGTTTAAATATGGGTATCGCGTAACCGTGGTTGGCATTACCTGTTCACCGAGGTGGACAGATGTGCCCGCAGGCCTCGACATTGGCGGCACCAGGGCATTTGGATACGATGATATTGAGTACCGGCCTCTGGGGCACTACGTTGAGCCTAGAAGTGTGATCGCAGAGTATGGTCTCGCCTAGGAGTGCGTGAAAATTTAGAATTATGAGTAGTTCGGGGCACAACCTATCAGCTTCGAAGACATAACATTGAGACCAAGCATTATAGATACTCTTTAGCAAATGCCGGAGAGCTACACGGTGTCTGGCCGACGTGCTACAATCCCTAGCTTACGCACATGTTGAGTTCGCTATGAGAGCCCACAGTTTGCTGAACAATGTCGAGAGGCCACTCACTAGAGGCACAGAGGGCGAGGGTGCCCAAGTACTGTGATTCTTGCTGGCAAAAGTCCCTGGGTACCAGGATAAAGGGTTTCTTGTTCGAGGTCGAAGGAGTAGTGAAGCCGTAACTATGAACTCATGGGCACGAAATGAAGTCAGAGGAACAGTCCGTGCCGCGAAGTCTGACTCCTGCGACAGTCAACCTGTCGCTCCGTGAAAGGGGGAGCGCGGGGCAGGCTGGCCGTCGGATCTTCGCTTGAGCCACTCAGCGTGCCACCGAGAGGATTGCAGGTTTGCATGATGTTGGCTCTACACATTCCAAATTGGGAGACGATCATCCTCCGAGCCAAAACCAAGCAGGTTGTGTTTTCATTCTGTGCTGTTGCCTGCAATTCTGCCAACCGGGAAAACTTGGCTCGCATGAAGTCACATCTGTTCTAATAGGTTCCTGCCTTGCAAAACGTCGATGTTGGCTGCACGACAGAAACCGCTTTGAGTGAATTCTTGTCCTTTCCAACCAGTTACTCCGTTCAATCAGGATATTATGATCGGTCATCTGCATGCTGCTGCCCAACAGCATGACACTGGAGCCTTGGCAGACGTGGGAGCCTCCACATGTGCACAAGTACGACGCGGCTTCTGGAGCCCGTGTCAGTGACGGGAGAACGTACGCACTACCCCTACATCCTTGTGAGAATTACTTAAGTAGGCAGATCTAACAGCAACCCCAGCTTTCTCACCTCATTCTGACCTTCCTTGGTACAAAGGTCCTTGGCAATAGCCGTTCACTGTGACAAAGCACCGCCTCCATCCTCTTGCCAATCCATAGAAACAATGGCGTCTTCAGTTCCAGGGCGTCTTCAGTTCCAGGGCGTCTTCAGTTCCAGGGCGTCTTCAGTTCCAGGGCGTCTTCAGTTCCAGGGCGTCTTCAGTTCCAGGAGCGCCAGAGCTCATTTTCGGCTGCGGTGGCCTTGGGAGTGAGTTCAAGGGAAAGGGCTCGATAGCAGAGGTCCTCCAAACGCTCAAAGATATGGGTGTCAACCGTCTCGATACGGCGGCTCTATACCCCCCGGACGATATGGGAGCATCGCAGCGTCTTCTCGGAGAGGCCGAAGCCGCACAAATGGGGTTTGAGATCGATACAAAGGTTAAGATCGGCTTGACCGGATTCAAGGGAACCCTAGAGCCGAAGAAGATCGCAAGCTCTATTACAGAGAGCTACAATAGCTTGAAGCTAGATGATCGGGTTATCAACGTCTTTTACCCACATACCCCAGACGTAGCCACCCCTTTAGAGGAGCAGGCTGATGGGTTTGACGCACAATACAGAAAGGGGCTGTTCAAGAAGGTTAGCAAATATCAGGATGTTTCCAAGGATGAGAAAACTACTTCAGCTGGTCAGATGTTGATCTTCACTACAGCTCGGCGTTTGCAACTTCTCGGCCGACATGCTCGCTGAGTTCATCGACATCTGTGAGCGCAAGGGCTACGTCAAACCCACGGTATACCAGGGCCTATACAACCTCATCGACCGCCGCCACGAGGGACCGGTGGTTGACCTAGTCCGCAAGCACGGGATGCAGTTCGTCGCCCATAGCCCGCATGCCAGCGGGTTCCTACGTGGGTCTCTGACAACCGGTCAGGTAGAGGGGACTCGCTTTTCCGAGGGGAATATCATGTCTCTGGACGCGCGCCGGTACGACAAAGAGAAGTACCACGCCGCCATCCGCCTTCTCGACAGTACGCTCGAGCCTTACGGCATCCCCAAAACGGAGGTCTCGCTGCGGTGGCTCGCATTTCACTCGAAGCTCACCACCCAGGATGCTATTATCTTCGGGGCGAGCAAGATGCATCAGCTCGAGCAGAACATCGCAGCAATTGGCAAGGGTCCGCTTCCTGAAGAGGTTGTCGAGGCTTTGGATCGCTTCTGGGAGGCTTGGCAGTAGACAGTTATGGATGCGGACAATAGGGCCTTCATTAAGAGTCCAGACCGGGATGGGAAACTGGCCCTGGGAATTCTGAGTTTATTTGTTCCGTAATTTGACTCTCAGTATGCTTGTAACTTGCTGTATTTGTTTGTCGTGATTTGGTTGTCAGATGACTTAGGAAGTTGCATCGCGTACTGAGTGTTACAGGCACTTTTTCACACAATTAAGACAGTTACAGCCTCATATGTTACCAATTCGCACTAATCACGGTCCAGAGATCCTCCAGACCAGTCGTGCTCTCGGCTCATGTTCTGAATCAATGGTTTGAACGGCGAACACACGATGCTTGCACTCGACACCGGGACCATAATTCCCCCGCGGCAGAGGACATAAAATATCGTTGAGGTCTAAAGCCACTTTCAAACTCAGATTTGAACTAGGAAAACATAATGTGCCCAATGAGACACAAAATTCCAACCCAAAACATTGTATAGATCACTGTCAGTCGGTTCGTTGGGAATCAGGGACTCAATGACATGTAGTGGCCGATTTATGAGCTGCAGTAGAGACCAATGGTGGAACGGTCGGACGAGTACTGAGGCTTCGGCGGCCTGGCAGAGTTTCTCTGCCAAATGCTTGTGGAGGCGTGCATTCGCTTACTGAGGCATCTGACAGCACAAGGCAAGCAGATGGGGCAACACATTGTCGGAGGAACCGAAGGCGGACAAGGACGCCTGTGTGGTGTACATAAGCGCGTGTTGCGGGGGCCATGTCCAGACCGCAGCGGCTGCAGACGAGGTCTAGCGAATCAACATGTTAACTATTTTGGGACAAGCCAATCCTTCGCGTCGGCATACAGTATTTAGGGTCCCCTTTGCCTCGATGTTCAACGCAAGCGTCAAATTGATCTACTTACATCGACACCATGACTGAAGGTGAGTGGTCCTTTTCCAGTGGAGGTAAAAACCATTCGATTTGGATAAACAAAGGCTAAAAGTCGTAGCAGCTCCCATCTCACCAGGCCTTGATGCTGAGAGCCTGGCGGAATTGAGGGTCAAGCTCGATGACTGCACCCGAAATCACCAGTGCGTCGGCGCGAGAAATGCAGAACTACCCAAGCGCCTTCTAGATCTCAAACCTTACACCACGAGCCCAGACCGCATCAGGCTGGTAGAAACGGCGGAAGACGTCCCCAGGATCTCGGACCAGATAATCGACTATGCCGTCTTGTCGTACTGTTGGGGAACAATGACTGCCTTCACTACCACATCTGCCACCCTAAGAAGTCGCCGGGGCGGCTTTGACGTAGCCCCGATGCCTGCGACGCTGAGAGATACAGTTGAGGTCGCTCGCAACATGGGCTTCCGCTACCTCTGGATAGACGCCTTGTGCATACTTCAGGGAACCCGGGAAGATGAAGTGGCTGCAGCGGACTGGCAGGAAGAGGCGGCGCGGATGCACTGGATCTACGGCAATGCTTCTCTCTGCATCGTCGCGGCCGGGGCGTCAGACTCGTGCCAAGGACTGATGCACAAGGTATGCTCCGCAAATTGCGATCCAGCTTAGGGGGAAATCCCCAATTGGGACTGCAACACTGACAGATGTTCTTCAAAGGATCCGAGGGTCACCACCGACGAGGGAATAGCGGAATGGCTAGCCAAGGGGAAGATCCCCATCGGCTGCGAACCCATCTCCAGCCGCGCATGGTGTTTCCAGGAATGGCTCCTACCCAGTCGCCTGCTGGTATCCGCCAGTACGGGGGTATATTACACATGCGGGCAGCATGTCCTCAACGCTTCCGACCCGGACTACGACTTCAGGTTCCCCCGCTCCCGTCAGGATCTCATAGCCCTGGAGGACGAGGCGCCCGCGAGCCGCAGGAATGGCAGCTGGCAGATCATGGCGATGAACTACTGCAACCGCAGCATGACCGTGCCGGATGACAAGCTTCCCGCGCTGTCTGGCATGGCGCAGAGGTACGCCAGCCTCATGGGCTGGCCGCACGGGGACTACCTCGCCGGGCTGTGGAGGAGCACCCTGGTCAGCGACCTTCTCTTGGTCCGCCAGGAAGGCATCTCGTCCATCTCGGCGTCGCCTGAGCCCTCCACGACAGGCCGCCGCTATTCACGGGCGCCGTCCTGGTCGTGGGCCTCGATGGACGGGAGCATCGTGTACCACTCGTTGCGGGACCCGCAGGTCCCGGAGACCGTGCACGTGCACAGTTGTGTCACCACGAAAGCAGGTGTTGGGGGGGATCCGTTTGGTCAGGTCGTGTCTGGCCAACTAGATCTGGGTTGTCCTTACATGAAGGCATGGGCCCGGCCGTTGGTCCAAGAGGAGGGTGAACTGTACTTCCTGCTTCTCGACGCAGACGATGAGTTTGTTAGCCTGCTGACAGTGGATGATCCCGCCGAGATGGATGCAGACCGTGTTATTATGTCCACGGGGCTGAGGTTCCTGCCAACAGGTCCATCTGATCAATCGAAAGATATCATGGTATACTGTCTGGGGCTTATGTTCGGAGACAGTGCACGCAAAAGCGATGATGGAGTTCGTTGGGAGGGAATTGCTGTGCGACAACTGGCCGACAACAATTATGCTCGCGTGGGTACATGGGGGACTGAGGAGTTCAAACCTGTAGGAGAATCGAGGTTCATAATTGTCTAGATGTTTGGATTGAGTTGCTTCTATGTGTTCAACACCCAAGAGAACACGCCTCTCAACTAACGACATCTACGGGAGACTAATGTGGATTTGCCTCTTTGACTAGTCCTTCTACATCTGCTAGATCACCAGAACAGTCTGTGACATTTACCTCAAAGGGAGGGTTTTCAGCTTCTGTTGGCTAGTCAGCCTGTAGTTGATGCAAAAGAGACCAATCACATCGGCCCTACACTCTACGCAAGGAAGCTGGCTAATTCCACGAGGACCATCTACCCCTGGCCCCTGACCTTAGCATCGACCTGGGGTTCGTTCGTGGGGTGTGGGTTCGCTCCCGCGCATCCAATAGGCGGGCAACCACTAGCCAAGTGTGGCAGGTGGCCGAGTCTTGGGGCCTCCCTTCGCCCTTATTCAGGTGCTACGTCCGCCGCAGGTTCGTCCGGCGTGGCGGAGGGGGCGTCCTTGATTGGCCTTTGCAGCCCTCGCCGCCCTTCGACGCGCATTTAACGATGTCGCCGCCCAGAGCTGGACGGGGCAAACAAGGACTTTAGACCCGGGGACAGCAATCTATTTCATTGGGGCCAGCTTGAAGGGGGAAATTTCACATGCAGCACCGTTAGAAGGGTTCGCAGTGTAGCTTTTTTTTCTTGAGGGGAATTTCGTCGTGGATAAATAATCGTTTGCCCGCGTGATATGACCACCTGGGCACTCGGTCAGGCTGGTCTGTCTGTCGAGTCAGTCATCACGGGGGAGATCGACACCGCGACGGCCCTTACATTCGCTTCCATTTATTCAGCGCTCGTTTGTGGGACACACCTTACTTCACAATCAACGTAATTCGTCCTCTCCGCCCAAAACAATATGGGCATCCGTTCGTTCTTCTCAGGGGCCGCTGTCGCGGCACTCGCCGTGTCAGGATGCCAGGGTATCCGCATCATCCAGTCCAATGACGACGGTTGGGCGGAGCTGTACCTGCGGTCCTTCCACGACTCGCTCCTCAGCGGAGGTCACGACGCCGTGGTCTCGGCCCCGGCGGAGAACCAGAGCGGCAGAAGTAAGTCACTCCCGGCGGTGAATCACTCACCGTCCTGGCACTGAGACGGGCTCTGCTCTGCCACGTCTGATACTCGTCCCTGAATGAGAGCTGATTCCATCCCTCAGGCTCACTCGACGCCGATCCGGGTCGTCGCACGGCAGCATGCCAGTACGACAGCTGCCCGGCCAACACCAACGCCCCGACGGGCACCAACTCGTCTGACACCCGTCTGAACTGGGTCAACTCGTTCCCGGTCACGTCGATGCGCTTTGGCATCAACAGCATCGGCCCTAGCCACTGGGGCGGGGCGGCACCCGAGCTGGCCGTTGCGGGACCCAACGTGGGCTCCAACGTGTATCGTAAGCATATATGAAAGACCCCGAGTCCTACCCTGACTGGCGCAACCCACCTTGTTCGGGGAATAGTTCTCCGGGGGTGGATCCACCGCGGGCTTCCGGACCAGGTGGACTAACACACAGCAGTCCAGGTGCAGTTCTCCGGCACCGTCGGCGCCGCATGCTACGCGGTCGGCGAGGCAGGACTACCAGCCATCGCCTTCTCGGGCCTCACGGACGGCACCCTCCCCTGGAACACGGTACCCGTGCCCGCCCGCAGCCTGATCTACGCCGACCTGGCCGCGAACCTGACCAACGCCATCATCGGCGCCGGCGCCCCCTACCTGCCCCCGGGCATCTTCCTCAACGTCAACTTCCCCGAGGTCACGGGCGCGTGCACAAACGCCGACAACTTCAAGTGGGTCATGAGCCGCATCAACCCGCGCACCATCTTCTCGGCCCCGGACGTCGACACGTGCGGCAGCACGGCGCTGCCCACCGACATGAGCGTCGTTGATGCCGAGGGGTGTCACGTGTCCGTCAGCGTTGGCGAGTGCAGGGACAAGTCGACGGCGGACGCGGCGAACCAGAAGGTCGTGCTGGACAAGCTTGGCAGTTTCTTCTCGTGCTTGCCGTGAGCTGGGGGCTTTCTGGGTACATATTGTTGTTACTGTTCAAGTTGTCTGCATCGAGAGGCTCGAGAGGATGTTTCGGCACGGCTCATGCGACTTCAGTATATATAAAATCAGCGTTGATATCGGCCAAAATTCAAAGGCGCATTAGTGATCTCCACGTTGCACGTGTTGTTCAGACACTCTTGTCGGGTTTGATTCTCGTTGCAGCTTTTGCGTGACTCGCTTGGCGTGTCAATCCGGCCCGACTCGGCACATATAATTGCACAGTGATTGGGTTTATGACAGACAAAGTTTTGTCGATCGGTTGGCATGAGCAGATAGAAATGGTAATGATGATGACCACCGAGGAGGATGGACATTGTCATGACTTGCCACAAGCTTCTGATTATGCCGACAATAAAGTTCTGACATTACCACAGGATGGCAGAACCCAATCACAAGCCAAGTAGTATGTAGATTATCTAACCACATCCAAGCACACCTCGCAAACTCTATTCGGACTCTTGGCCCGCCCGAGATAGCATCTTGCAAACGTAGGTTTCCATTGCCTATTTACCATGCCCCTATAACCTGTTCATTAGGTTGCATTTTAACGTTACGGGTTGAGCCGAATAATATTTTGCCGAGGGAATAGTTCCGCTGCGCCGCTGTGCCGCCCGTCTGCCGCTCCTCACGGCGTACGACAGCTGAGTCGGGACAAAACTTGTCGCCGCAGCAATCCCTGGTACTGCTCGTCATTTGTCTGCTCGCAGTGGTTCGGATCTGAAAGACGGGCTTGGCCCTACCGGGCCTACTGATTGTTCCCCAGGTCTGGGGGAAACAAATTAGCGCAGCCAGGCACACACACCTGACTGACAGCACTGACAGCCTCAAACCGCTAAGCTTGTACTGTGGCCCAGTCTGTGGGATGCTTAGCCCAGCTAGGCCACAAAAGTGTGATCGACGCGTACTCGACTGCCCCAGCCCGCAGGGGACAACGGCCGCTAGAGAGGGCGGGAACTCGCCTGGAGTGATACAAGGCGTGTGCCCAGGGTGCTTGGCAGAGGCGACGGCGCCCACTCGCGGGAGGACACAGGAGAATACAGCCATCACAAGCAATACACCATGTCGGGGACTTGCTTGGACGCCGGCAAATATCACCGCTGATAATACCGCGTCGAGAAAGTGCCAAGATCACTGGCCCTGTACCCCGCAGATTTGTGTTCTTGGCTTGATCCACAGACTTGGTTCCCTTGGCCCTTTTTTTTTCCCATCCCCGTCCAGGATTCGAAAATTTGATGCCGTTGGGCGGGATGGATCTCCCGTGCGTTGGCCTGGATGGCGCATCATTGCTATAACAAGACTGACTTCCCCTGTGTCAGTCCACGTCTTTTTGCTGGTGGCGGTGCCTGCTGTTACATCTAGATAGATCGTCATCAGTCTGCCCCTGGCTAAGTACGGGTGCACTCCCGATTCTCGCGGGTAGAAAACCTTACCCGGTCGACTTCTTGTTCACGAAGACGTCCATAACTCGCAAACATTCTGGGCTGCATTTGTGCTTTACGAGATGGAGAAGGCAATCGCAAGTATGACACCTCGAACGATGCTTGGGCGACGAACAACTTTGCTGACGTGACTCGCAGTCGAGAAGGATGTGCTGCAGAGCCCGTCCGAGTCCAAGTCTGAGCTGGGCAATGGCTTACAATGGACAGAGGAGGAGGAGACCATCCTGAGGCACAAGATGGACTGGCGCACGGTGCCATGGGTAACGGTCCTATACCTGCTCTGCTTCCTCGACCGCATCAACATCGGCAACGCCAGGATCCAGGGCATGCAGCAGGACCTGCAGCTCGAGGGCCTCAGGTTCAACTGGGCCCTCTCCATCTTCTACATCGTCTACCTCACCGTCGAGGTCCCGAGCAACATCATCCTGAAGCGCGTGGGGCCCCGGTACTACCTCCCCTCCCTGGTCGTCGGCTTCGGCCTCGTCTCGATGTGCTCCGCCTTCATCCAGAGCTACGGGGGCCTGCTGGCAGCCCGTGCCGTCCTGGGGGTGTTCGAGGGCGGAGCCATGCCCGGGTTCGCCTTCTACCTCAGCTCCTTCTACAAGCGCAAGGAGCTCCTCTTCCGCATCGGCATCTACGTGTCGGCGGCGAGCATGGCGGGCGCGTTCGGCGGCCTGCTGGCGACGGGCCTGTCCCGCATCCCGGACTGGGGCGTGGCGTCGATGCGCATCCACACGTGGCGCAACATCTTCTTCTTCGAGGGCATCATCACCATGATCATCGGGCTCATCGCCCCCATCTGGCTGCCCGGGTCCCCGGCCTCGTGCATGTTCCTCACGGACCGCGAGCGCATGATCGCCACCGAGCGCCTGGTCCGCGAGCACCGCTCCCAGCCCGACGAGAAGGTCACCCTCGCCCACGTCAAGCGCGCCGTCACCAACATCCACAACTACACCTGCGGCCTGGGCTTCTTCCTCATCAACATCACCGTCCAGGGCCTGTCCGTGTTCCTGCCCACCATCCTCCGCGACCTCGACTGGACCGACACCAAGGCCCAGCTCTACAGCGTCCCGCCGTATGTCTGCGCCTGCGTCGTCGCCGTCGCCATCGCCTACGCCAGCGACAAGACGCGCCACAGGGGTGCCTTCCTGGCTGCCTTCTCGCTGCTGGCTATCATCGGCTTTGCCATCCTGCGGTGGGAGACCAACCCGAATATCAGGTACATGGGCGTCTTCTTCGTGACCGTTGGGGCGTTCCCTGGTGGTCCGGGTTTCCTGGCCTGGGCGATCAATAATGCTGCTGGGCCAGCTGTGCGTGCCGTGACTAGTGCTTACGTCGTGACTGTCGGAACGATCGGTGGAATCGTTGCTACGTAAGTCTCCTCGACCCTCTGTTGATCTTCTCTTTTTACGCGACCAGTCTTGTGGATCCTAACAACGTGTAGATGGACGTACATCCCCGCGGACGGCCCAGCCTATCGTACAGGCCACACGATAAACCTCGTCGGACAGATCGTGGTCGTATGTCTGTCACTGTTTGGTATTGCCTACTGCAGCTGGGAGAACAAGCTGCGCGCAGCCGGGAAGCGTGACCATCGTCTCGAGGGCCGCACCCAGGAGGAGATTGACCAGCTTGGTTACAGACATCCAGAGTTCAGGTACATAAAGTAGCGCGGCACATTGGACATTACATCAGCTTGCATAATACTGTACGAATTTAGATTTGATTTCTTGATTGTGGTGCTCTGAACCATGCTTGTACATGGTCCTATCCCTGATCCCGACCTTATCGTCCCCCTTCCCCTCTCCTGGAAGCTACTACTTTTGATATGCGGAATAGAGGTCCTCGTAATCACTCCTAGTTTGATCCATCAGGTCAGTGAGGACAGCCAGCTGGGAAAATGGACCGCTGCTCGTGTTTGCAGACACTGGCGGGATGGCGATCCGACGCTTCTTTTTTGGCCTTGGAGAAGGATCGGACTTAGAAGGGCCAGTAGTCCAGTCTTCGCCAGGGGGTTGATCTACATCTGAGTTCGAGTCCGCCCTTGCATCTTTATCCTCTTTGTCGTGCGACCGGTGACTAGGCTCATCAGGCTGTTTCGGCAACAGCTCCTCGCGGTCGACTTGGCAAAGCGGCCAACGGTGACCCTTCTGACGACAAAGCTCGGCGTCCGAGCCGCCACACCAGCATTGGGCCTCGGCGGATTCGATAATCTCGAAGTCTTCTGTGCCAATATCTGCGCCTGCTTTGACTACGACCCAGTCGGTGTCCTCATTACACTGCGAGGGACGATCGTGCCCCTCGTTTGCTTGCGTGCTACTACTCGCCATTATTGATCACAGGTTGTTAATGTGGCAAATTGATAGTTCCATAGGAAGAGTATTCCCTGGAGCTCATAACCGCTCCTTTTCTCTCTGGGTTTAAATAACATGTTGAAGTATTACAGTCACGGATGTGAGTTGACACCTAACTGGGTAGGTGACTGACAAAACCAACGTGACATTGAGGGCAATGAGTAAACCTCAAGTTCGAATTATCCTCGTCAAATACTAAGTGAGGGACGAAAAGGGGTGAGACACATTTGAAGTGACTGGTTTAGAGTTCAAGTACAACGGCGATTGTCAAAATTGCCCAGGTGATCGATACTCGGGACCCAAGGGTGATACCATGTTTCCAACTTGACCCCCTCTCTGGTATTAATAATATGTGCAACGACTCAGCGCTATGACGCAGCAGTCCCAATCCGCCCGGCTCTGGGCAGCGGGCTCCAGACGTGCGTTCTTCCCACCATCGCTAAGGGTGAGATGCTACCACCGGATGCCCAATATGCAAGAAATACTAGCTTCCAATTCATGATTCACCAATCACAGTTACAAATTTTTCTAGGCACAGTCTGCTGCTGTCTGTTCCACGAATGCGCCACTATGCAGCACCACCACATGCATATACAGTAAGTACCAATGTCCGGGCGAGAAAATACGCCACCATATGCAGCTAGTTTTCATGCACGAAGATTTTGGACAGCTTTCTTGTGCGACACAGGCAGCTCATTCCCGGACCTTAGCCAAGCCCCCGAGCCTTGCGCCCTGAAGTGTTTCCAGTGTAGACTTCGAGAGTCGCATGCAAGTATAAGATCCCGAACACCCCGCAGTTTGTCATTCATTTCTTTCTAGTTGTTGACATAGCTTTCCATATTCATCCATAAATCCCTGCCTTATATTTACCTGATTCTTTCTCCAACCTCATTCAAAACACCTAATCCCACAATGTTGTCTGCATTTGAGCGTCGTCAAGCCAACGAGGACAACAAACTCTGGCGCGAAAACGCAGTTGCAATCCGTCAGCTATATCAGGATAAAAAGAAGACCCTCAAGGAAGTGAAGGCGATCATGGAAAATGAACAGGGTTTTCCCGTGACGCCGTAAGTAGACTGCCTTCGTTGTAACTGTCGCCTTTGGGCATCCCGTGGAGGGGCCAGAGCTGATTTTAAACTAATTGGGTTTTAGATTATCAACATGGGAAGTCAAATTACGAGAACTTGGAGTACTAAAGAAGCTCAAGGCTCAGGACTGGTCTGTCATTTACCAGAACATCTGTCCGCGATTGAAACATCACGGGAAGAAAGAATTCCAGAAGCCAACAGTCATACACATTCATGGTACCAAGAGACCTTGGGACAAGTGTTGGAAGGAGATCAGGAGAAACCGTGCCTTGATGCAAAGGCATCATGAAGGTTTGTAAAAATAATATTACTCCATACTGGCAGATTCAATGCATTTAGCATTCATTAGCTAATCTTGCCCCATACAGGTCCCCTTCCTCCACTTCCCAGTTTCGTAACTATACGCACACCATCGCCAGAACTGCTCGGAACTATTTTCCAGAGAAAGTCACCCAAGCGTCTTCATTTGCTCATCCAGCAACTGTTTCAAACAACACTTCTCAGTCTGCAGCCGATCTTCGAGATCGATTCGTCATCTCTCCACGAACAGAACCACACATCGGTTTGCCCGACCCCGGACTCAGTGTACAAGCTATGCCTCCAAGGCATTCCATTCACTACCCTCCTTGAGAGAGCGTCATGTATGTTACGTTCCATGTTGGTCTTGGTTTCATCAAAACCACTAACAAGTGTGGAAGCGCAAATGCTCTCTCCTCGCCCTGCTCTCGGATCCGGAGAAAGCCAACATTGTGACAACCGAATCATTCAAGCAAGCGACCCCTCAAGCACTTTTGCTAGTTCTGGCCATACCAAGCAACTGGAATCTCAACTGAGTAGCTTCTATGCTCGGCTCTCATTGGAATTCGCGTCTGAACAATTAGCACTTAATTTTGATAGCCACCACTACTTGTCCATGGCCATTTATCTGCTCTCGAACAGCAAAATATCAAACATCTCATCATCGTTCGAAGTTTCGATGTCAGACATTCTTCGAACATTTCTTGAATTTGTTTCCAGGCGATTGCTCTCAGACCTCTTCCAAAGTCAATTGCTGAGTATCAAAGCTGCCTGGGAAAGCCTGCTCAATGGTGCTCAAGAGCTCAAGAACAAAGAAGCCTTCGAGTTCCTCATCAACATCGGGATGCATAATGAGTGGCTAGAGATACACCACAGTGGACACGAGTATCTGTTTTCCGCGGCCCGCATGGATTGCCGAGAGATACTCACGGCTCTCTTGGACAGAGGTTTCCGAGTAACTTCATATCCCTTTCTATTCCCCAAGGACCATGATTCAATTATTGTGGAGGTACTTGATCGCAGCAACCTTGAATGCGCAAAGCTTCTAGTGCAGCACTGCGACGTCAACCACGAGTTTGAATATAGCAATTATAAGTCAAATCACTTTGCTATGTTCATCACAGACTTTGACGACACCAGGCTGGACCATATTCATTGTCTGAGATTCCTCCTGGAACAAGGTGGCAATGTTGACTACGTATTTCATACGAACTGTCCCCTCTTCTTGCTGTCTTATGAGGAGTTTGATTATGCAGTCCATGAAGAGATTCAGAGAGTATGGCCGATTTCCATACTTGACTACGTTTACTACTACCATCGCTCATTTTTCATTGAGCTGAAGACGTATAGTAAGACGACAGCACATTTCAGACGAGCGATAGCTCTCTGGAACCTTGAACAGGGCGTGGATGCGCTTCGACAGTATTTAGATTCCGCCAGGCCTTTCGCAGCAACAGTTAACAACAGTACGGTTGACCAGAAAACCCTGGAGCGAAAGGATCAATACCTCGAGATACTCTTGGCAGAACAATTTCTCCTCATCACAGTACTTCCCGAGAAAATGGTTTTATGGAACAGAGTGACAGCCTTGTTAGAGATGGTGACGAACATCGTATGGTTGCCAAAGACAAAAAATATACCGGCCATCATGCTATACGCCACTGCTTGCCTCGCTACTTCAGAGGATGGGCAACACAGTCAGAAGGGATTGGAGATTATGCAATGGCTTCTGGCAAGAGGTTTCAGAGTCAACAGCGAGGCTCTACTGGTTGCTTATGAATACGGTGACATTGCCGTCATGCAATACCTTGCCTCATTTTGCGATGATATCAAGGTCGGGGGCGAAAGCGTTCTTATTGCTGCCGTTAGGAATGACGACCTTAAATCAGCAAGATTGCTTCTGGATATCGGTGTGAACCCCAATTCCAGCACAATCACGGAAGATGGTTGGGATATGAACGTTTTCGAGGCCGCCGGGTGTGGATCGACTCTTGCTACGATGAAGTATCTGGTCCAAGTAGGGGTGAAGCCAAGGGTTGGAATGTTCGGCCCTCGCCCTTCACTCGCACTGGTCCACATGTTTCATTGTTTGAAGGTTGACGACATGCTCAACAAAGTCCAGTACATAGTTGAACAGCATGTGCTGAAAGACGAGCCACGATGGTCATCCTTGCCTCTTCTTGAGTTATGTCTCCACGATAGGGTTCACGGCATAACTCAGGGTGCCAACGACCTACCTGTGAGAAGGGAGATCTTCAATTTCTTGTTGAGTAAAGGGGCAGGAATAAACTCGGGGTCTCCTCTTGCGGATTGGATAGCTACAGGCGGTGGACACGACCTTGTCCAACGGATGCTGAGTGCAGGAGCAGATCCGAATGCGTACTCATTTACCGTACGTGATCCAGATTACCCGAAGAACCACTGGTATGACCATCGGGCAATAATAAGCAGAACACCACTACAGGCCGCAGCTGGGATTGGGGATTATACACTAGTCTGCTTACTGCTAGAACACGGAGCAGACCTGAACGCACCAGCGCTTGGTGGACACCTGCAGGGCCACACAGCGCTGCAGGCTATCTGCGCGTGGGACCCAGTGCGACGGGAGGAAAGGCTCCGGAAAGACAAGATCGTACAGCTGTTACTTGACAAAGGTGCACACGTTAATGCTGCAAACTCTTCTGGACGTACAGCATTGATGGAAGCTGCAGTGCTCGGAGATATATCAACTGCCTTTGTTCTCCTAAAGTATGGTGCTACACCTAACGCAATATCGAAAGAGGACGACTGGGATGGACCAGTGACGGCTTTGGACCGTGCCGCTACGTGTGGCCGTCTGGACATGGTCAAATTCCTTCTCAACGCCAACGCATTGAGTTCAACAGCGTGGTCCAACGGTGGAGACTACGAGGGGGCAATAGAAAAGGCCAAGACCAACGACTATTTTGGAGTCTCGCAGCTGATCCAGAGCCACTCAGCCGAACGAGACCGATGGAATGCGCCGTCCGGAATGTCCGTCGCGTCAAGCATTGACACACGATATATGCAGCAACCGCCAATGCTCCGAACCAACTCGCCCACGACCGCTCGGCCCCAGTCTCGAACGCAGTTTATTGCCGCAGAAAGCCCCTCCAGTGCAACATCTTTGGACCAGACACATGACCCATGCCAGACGCGTGATAGAGAAGCATTCGAGAGCAGTCCCAGTGCTCAGGAATCAGAAGCGCATGGAATACCCGGGGCAGAGGTGAACGATGTGACTTGGCCGTCCGAGTTCGAGGATGTTGTGGATGGACCACAACTGGCAATCGCCTGGAGGGACGAGTCCAGAGATGAAACCCACGGAGAGACTGGAGATCAGGCTCTTCATATCGAGGAGACTTCGTCAGGGAATGACGCATCGTTGTATGAACCAACAGGGCAGTGTTGGGTCGTGGAGAATCAGGGCTCGGCCCTGCTGGGGCCAAGCAGGATGGCTGAGAATGTGTTTATGGGCTTCCCGGGATCTCAAAGTCCTTGAACGCGATTTCATTGATGTCTGTATTGTCAAATGAATCTCATAGCTGCAGAGTGTGTGAATGCCTTCCTCATTACACACAACTCTGTATCTGTCAGGTTCACCTTAGGGTCGCATATTCGAGGGCGCACGTAGGCAGGATCAACATGTGCTTCTTGATGGTTCCAACTTCAGTACATCCAGCTACCTAGGTACTACCCTACCCGCATCGACCACTAATGATCATGATTCTATATCAGCACTTGTTCATGGTTATAAGCTACGTATATAACAGAATCAATTTACAGCCCCTCCGGCGGGGTTCTCTTAATCTCGTGGGCCTCCACGGCCGAAGGAGATGAGGGAGTGCGGAGATGTGAGCACGCAATAACCTCTGGGAGCACACCATCTGGCAGCCACTTGGCGGAGTGTGGCATCCGAACCGCACCAGAATGTTGATGATAGCTCCTTTGCAGATGTTCAGTACGAGCGTCATCGGAAGTCGTAGTCTGCGTCCCGGATATCGCAGTGTTCATCTGGAAGGATTCGGGGCCAGCTCAACCTCGACACTGCCGAATGGGCACATCCTCGGCAGCACCCCATTCGGGCCCTGCCAAGCACCACTTTAGCCCCAGAATTATTGGGACTCCTAATGTGGAATACGTGCTTTTTCTGCTGCTCTGAGCTATAGTGGATCGATATATAGCCCCTACAGACTGGAGCTCTTGCCTCGATGAAGCTAACTCCTGCGGCTGCCACATGCCCGTAACGCTGTCTAAGGTGGAAGTGTGTAGGCCGATCACGCTTCAGCTGCAGCTATATGACCTGAAAATGGCATTCAGGTGTTCTTGTAGAAACCTCCCCTTGGTTTGTTGCTACTGTACCATTTCCCCATGTCTGATTGCGTTTCTCGTCGTAGACAATGTCGACCGAAGGGGATATAAAGACAAAAAGCCGCGGACCTTCGAGGTTACCGTTAATCGGTGTCTTTAAAGAGGTCTTTAACTGGTACCCATCTGAGTATCCAGCGGCAGAGAAAAGTAAGTGGGGATCAAGAATGTCCACAAAGAAGACAAATACTCAAGACCTGCCAGATTGCTACTCAAGCTCGATATCTCCATCCTCGTGTTTGCCTGCTTATGTTGTGAGCTCTCGGTCAACGCGCAGTCCCGGAATGATGACACTGATTGGCCTTGATAGTCTTCGTAAAATATCTAGGTAAATACGCAAGTTCTAATGTTCGCGGCAAAGGCAAGAGCTAATCCCTAAAGATCAAACAAATATCAGTAATGCCTACGTGAGCGGGCTAAAAGAGGACTTCAGCCTTAACGGAAATGAGCTCAACTACTTCAACGTCTGCTATGCCACATCGAATGTGGTCTTCCAGGTGCCGGGTATGCTCCTCATGTCGCGGCCAAAGCTGGCCCGGTGGCTCCTCCCGACCCTCGAGGTCCTCTGGGGCATGGCGACCTTCGCTCAGAGCCGCGTCACGAACGTCCACCAGCTGTACGTCCTCCGGTTCCTGGTCGGCATGCTTGAGGCGCCCGTGTTCGCGGGGACGCACTTCATCCTCGGGTCCTGGTACAGCGGCCCGGAGCTCTTCCGCCGCGCCGGCACGTGGTTCATCTGCAACCCCCTGGGCTCCATGATCAGCGGCTACCTGCAGGCCGCCGCGTACACGAACCTCTCGGGTTTCGGGGGCATGGCGGGGTGGCGGTGGCTCTTTATCATAATCACGATCCCCGTTGCGCTGCTGGGCTATGTCGTCTTACCCGGTATCCCGGACTCGCCGAGGCCGTTCTACCTCACTGAGGATGACACTGAGCTGGCCAAGACCCGCCTGGAGAGGTTTCGCACCCGGAGACCCGGAAAGCTCGGATAGGACGTTATCAAGCGGACGCTGAGCCGGTGGCACATCTGGGTGTTTGTGTTCTGTTACATGTGAGTGCCTCTCATATTGTAGTCTCTCTTCTTTGGATGACAAGGAGTCACTGACAGGGCGAGCTCTAGCTGCATGATCATATCATCATACCTCTCGCAGTACATGAACCTTTGGCTGAAGGCTGAAGGCTACAGTACGGTTAAGGCTAACGAGCTGCCCTCCGTGACGTATGCCATCCAAGCCCTTGCGTCTTGGCTCAGTGCGACATTGGCGGCCATCTATCCTTCCCGGGCCATCTACAGCATCGAGACTACCTGTGTGCTCTTCTCTTCCATATGTATGATTATCTGGAATATTCCGAAGCCTTTAAAGTGGGTCGCTTTTCCTTCGTATTCGAGTGTTAGTATACCGCTAGCTGACCCCCCCGGGAAAAGGTTCTTTACGTGGTACCTACCGTACCGGGCCCTACAGGCAGCCCGCAAGAGTTGCGGGGGCCCGCAAGGCTTGCTTCGTTTTCAAAACTTATACCTACCGCAAGGCTTACACCCACCGCAAGAGTTACCCTTTCGCAAAAGTTAGAGAATTTAGGTGTAGAAGTCACGTAAGGACTTTTTAGGAGAGAAGTAAGTACATACCTACCTAAATACCTACCCTAGAGTAGGAAGAGGTAGGCACCTGGGTAGTCACAAAGAGGCAGTCACAAAGAGGCAGTCACGAAGAGGCAGTCACAAAGAGGCAGTCACGAAGAGGAAGAAGAAGAAAAAGATAAAGACGAAGACGAAGACGAAGATAAAACCACACCCTAGAGTAGGCTAAAAAACCTTAAAATCGCTCCAGAAGAAGAATCCTTCTCAGCCATCCTCCACACCTAAGCAAGCAAAGCAACTCTTAGATCACCAAAATCTTATCACATAATTTTTACACCTTAATTCTCTAACTCTTACAAAAGGGGTCAACTCTTACAGTCAGTATAAGTCTTACAGTAGGCGTAACGCTTACAGAGGGCCATAATGCTTATAGATCCCCCCTATTTACCAGTACGATATTCAGCGTGTCCGGGTGCGCCAGTCCGATCTTATACTCAACCGTCAACTCCATCGTCAAGGACCATTCCGAGAAGCGTGCCATCATCATGGTTAGTATCCCAAAGGCTTGGGAACAGCCTCTTTTACCAGCATGATAATGGCTGACCGGACATGTTTTAGGGCTCAATGATGACCTTTGGTTACTCATTCCAAATCTGGGTGCCCCTTCTCATCTTCCCTATCGCAGGGACGTTCGGGGCACCCAGATGGCAGCATGGCTGGCCGGTCACATTGGTGTTTTACTTCCTGCTTTGGACTGCGTTTATCACAGCCTTATTGCATCATAGAAGAGGGTGAGTTGTAATGTCTCAGTGATGATCGATATAGAGATGAACAATTCATAAATAGGAAGAATAACCGGCAGCAGACGGACCTGAGTAATACTGTAAGCGTTGCAGGAGATACAAGCCGAGAGATTGAATCTGTTGTGACGACGGTAGATGGCAAGGCGAAGAACTAGCATATTCCTGCATTGAACCATGGCAACGGGTGATGAGCAATCCCTAGCTCCAGATTTAGTCAGGTCATGTAAGGTTTTGTTCTTCCCTATATAATAAAACCTAGAAATATAAGTAAAGATCTTTATTTAAAGGTACTAGGGGTAGAGTGGTATTAAATTAAGGTATAAGTGCGCTAGTTAAGCGCCTGACTGCAGGCCTAAGCACACGCCTGCGTGGGGAAGAGGGAGATATTCGCAATCTTTCAGTTTGGAGATATTAGAAACGAAACTACTTTGTAGATAGAGAATATACTTTGGTATGTGTATGGATTCCATTTGTGATAAAATTTAGATGTGAGACGTTTGGGAGACAGGTTTGAGAACTATTAAATCCCCACTGGCATCTCAGGCTCTGGGTAGCCTTCTACCAACGAAGAATAATCAGGATAATTCAAATCGATCACAACACCTGTCTTTTCCTTGATTGAGCAAACCAAATTCCACAGAAGACCCATTGGGTTGTTGAACTGGAAGACAGAAAGGCCAAATTCCGCCTCTTCATCATCAAAGTCTCCAACATAGGTCTGCCCAAAGTCAAGGAAGACGGGCTCCCAAGTGTCGGATCTCAGAAGCACATTTTCTGGTCTGCAGTCCTTCATGACTACACCAGCGAGGTTGATCTTCTCCGTCATGTTTGCAACATCCTGCAGGATCCTGCCCCACTCCCCGCGTTCGGGCAGGGGAGGAGAGTTCTCAAGCTCAGAAAGCGGTATGCCGGAGACGTATTCGAGCAGCACCCCGTCCACCCGCAGGAACGGGCTGTCCTCGGCTTTGTCCTCGGTCTTTTCGTCCGTCTCCGATAACGGGACCGAGGCCAGGTGCACATGTGCCAGCATGCGAGGGATCCAGTCCCCTTGCACGTGTGCGAGTTTCTCGTACACCGCGGTCTCGTTCCGGAAGAAGATGCGGCACCTGCGTTGCAGCGCGACCTCGTACCTGGCCATGCCCTCTTCCGTGGGCTCATAGTATTGTTCCGGCTCGAGGGGGATAGTTTCCATCTGCTCGTTGTCGGCGTCGATCTCGTGCCACAACTTTGATGCCTTGCCGCTCTGGACATAGCTTCGAAAGGCTTTCTCTCCATCACGGGTGGCATGAATACACCATTCCGGGAGAGACTCGCTCCGTGCGTGCATTTTTCGCAGCGAAGAACCGAAGCGGCGGTCGAACAGTTTGAGCACGGCCTTCTTGGTCGTAGTGCTTGAGTCGTCTGTGTATGTGACCTCCAACACGGTCGACATCGTGGCAGAGATTTCCCGAGTGACGGTGGCCTTGACATTTCCGGGCAAAGTTTCATTGGCCTTATCGACAACGAGCGAAAGCTCGGTTCCCTCGAGGTAGGCAGGAGGTACAAGATCAGAACCCATCTTGACGAGAGTTGGTGAAGTTTCAATGAAATTGCTCAAATTGGATGATGGGAGTGCCGAGTAGAAAACAGAGGTGCTGTCGGGAAAGGTTCTCCGGGTCGAGCGGTGGTCTTGAATTTATGTGTCAAGAAGCAAGTTTGTTGGTTCTTGGTCGTGGGAAGCGATATGGGTCCCTTTTATTTTATAGGTGGCTTTTATGGGGCAGCTGTACTTCCCGGTTGCACTGGCCGGGCCCTCCAGGCAACCACCGTCCCGTCACTGCCTCCCATTACCTCCGAAGTGATCCACGGAGAGGGAAGCGCCAAGATGTCTGAGAGCTCAGGCATCATCTTCCACCTGGGTATGCGAAGGGGCAGCGACGGGCACCACTGGATGTCCACGGCCACTTCGTCGTCGTCGAGTGCACCCAGCACGACTGGGGCATGAACGAGCCAACCCTCCTCGAGATCCTGAACTTCTACAAGAAGATGCCGGCAAGGTGCTATACCAGGAGTCACTCAGGGATGGAAGCGGCTCTGGCGATGACAGCGACGGGTCAGATGGCGGCGCGTCAAGCTGGGTGGTACGTGTCTCTTCCTGAAGCCGAAGCTCCAACGGCTCCTCGTGGGCTATTTGTTATCCAGTCGCAAACCATGTCACTAGTACCTGATGCGTACAAAACAAGGTCATGACTACGGCGGTTACTTCGACCTTGACAACGAAGAGGGGTACGTCGAGTGCGACGCGCAAGGAAAGCCCATCAGCAGGACTACAACGAAGGATGTCTTCTACAGCCAGAGCCGGAAGGCATGGTTTTACATTGGCAGCCACCATTTCCGCCAGCCCGTGACCATCGAGAAGAGCCCCAAGAATCGCACGTTCTTTAAGAACTCCCAGGGCAAGCCCCAGCTTTGCCAGTGCGTGGATCCAAAGGCACTGGCAACTATCAACCAACGAGTGCGTTCAAAGACCTTTTGGCTCAAGAAACAAGCGCCTCCGCCTTCTCCCAAGCAACCCGGCCGCCAAAAAGTAACTCGGTTCGAAGTGGCCGTTTATTTCGAATGGCTGAGGTCCGGAACACAGACAGACTACGCTCTTTACACGACTATATAGCACTTGAGGTGCAAGGTGGTACATTTAGAATATAAATAGCAGACAGCTGGGATGTTTCAAATACATCTCTGGATAGATTCGACGCAACATACCTTCGCGGTGATTCAGTATAGGGTTGAAATTAGTTTAAATTAGTTTAGTTATTAGCTTTAACTAAGATTAAAGACTTTTAATTAAGAAAATAGTAAATAAATCTTTTTTTAGTTAGTAATTATAATTAAAAATTAAAGTAATTAATGAATTAGTTTTTAATTTTTAATTTAATTAAGTTAAAAGTAGGTTTAACTTAATAATATAGGTAGAAAATTTATAATATATAAAATATTTATATAATATTTATAGGGTTTAAGTTTAATTCTAGCTTTAATCTACTTCTTACCTTACTTTTTACTTAAATAAGAAAGATTTTTTTTTTAATCTTTTAATTTTTTTAATTTTTTTTTAATCTTTTAGTTTTAATTATTAAATATAATTAAATAATTAAAGACTATTTTTTTTAATTATAGTCTAATTGAAAACTAAAAGATTGAAGACTAACTTAATTAAACTAAGAAATTAAGGAATAAATTTACAACCCTAATTCAGTAGAAAGTATAAATGCAGTAGTTATATTCTTGTTGCGTGTTATTTAGCTTTCCGATTGCGTACCAGTGTTACCGGTATTCAGTCGACTACATACCTAGGTATATAATTTACACCGTGACGTTGGTCGAGCGAGGCCTGTACTCTTGGTGTGATCTAGCAGACGGCTAACACCTGGGCAGTGAACACCTCTGCCTCCTTGGGCGGCGTTTGTGTGCTGTACTTGCACACTGAGTGATTCGCTGTGCACCTATGCACAATGCCATCCCGTGGGACTGGGGGTGACTGGAAGTGGGCAGGGGCTGCTGCGCATAGACCTCGGGACCACCTGCAGCCTCTGGGGCCCGTATCAGCTAACTACTCCGTATTCGCTGATTGACTTCGTCGCCTTCCATTCCGGCTTGCTTTTTTCCCCTTTTTCTTAGCAGTCTATTTTTTACTCGAAGCATTGAGGATCAGGAATCTGAGCAACACTGGGCAGACATCCCTCCTCTGTGTCGCTCCCGTGACACTTCTAAGGTTATCACGGTTTCAATACCACGTCGCCCAATGCCGTTGGACAACATTGGAGTGAGACCACACTGGCACAACGTCAAGACAAACTTGACTAGGCAACAGCAATGTGGTTTCGCTTCTATTCCGTATACGTCCGAGGACATACATGGCGCCTTTACGGTGGTAAGCACCCAAGACCCCGCGCTTGAAAAGAACACGGTGTCGATAGCGATAGTCATAATATAATAGTTGCTTATAGCCTCAGCCTTATAACATATAAATAAGGCTAAGGGGTACCGTCTTAATAATAGCGTTAACTAGAATCGTGGATACAAGTAGCCCATAAGCTAGTCGCCGTGATGGAGTTATATGGCGAGACTAGGTCTGAAGATGGTCGCTATATAAATGAGTCGCACAGAGGGAATCCCAACCAAGAAATCGTCCCTCCAAACACACACACACGCACAAACAAGACCCTCGCCAGGTAAGCTAACACCATAGCCCCCATCCAAGCAATACAAATACGAGGCCGCCCCCCCCCCCTCCATACCGAGATCGATGAGTGACCGCCGCAAGCGAGCCAGAAATAACAAAATACTCCCTGAAAATCTAGTATTAGCGCCCAGGGGCCCTCAAACATGCTTTTACAGCAACCTCTCACTCTTATCCTGGCCACGCTGACCGCCGCCGTCACCGGCGCCCGCCGGTCCGGGCCAGACTTCAAAATAACGCTCACCAACTCGACGATGCGTGTGGCGACGGAGTACACCGGCTCGGTACACGAAGCAACGGTCGTCGCCGGCGCCACGGGCACGTTCGACCAGGCCTACCTGAAATGCGTCCACGAGGTCTGCATCCCCGAGTACCACTGCGTCCTCCACGACAGGAACAGCTCCCGCACGGTCGACCTGGGCCCCGGCAAGAACCAGATTGCTTGCGCCATAGAAATCGGTCTGATAACGTGCGCGTGGGAGCTCCCAAGCCCGAGGTACGAGGACGAGTGCCGGGCGAAGCCGAGTGGCAAGGCCAAGGCTTAGATGGATATGTCGTTTTCTTCAACTTGCTGAGCTGGGACTCGTGTCCTTTTGCCCTCGGCCAGACTACCAGCTTCGACGAGCACAGGAGGATGATGGGATGGGGCTGGGTACTGTAATAGTGTCACAAAGACGTCTCAACATGCAGACTAGCGGTGGCCAAATGTGCTGTTGGATTTTAGGGGAGATTGTCTGAGGATCCAAGGGGAAAGTATTGAAGGCTGCTCCTGAATTTGTTGGAAATGATATTTGTACTGGGTGAAAACTTCACAAATTGCACCGATATGCCAGCTAGAGTGGAAATCATTTTATCATTGATGCTTCAATGTTGGTTTCGAAGCTGATGATGGCTATTCCCAGTGCCGCAGATCTCTGCTTGTGGCGGCCTCTCGACCAAAAGGCTGCAGTCCTTCCACCATATTGCATTTGAATGCCTCGACCATCTACTAGTATTCCCATACCTAGACATTCTATCAATCGAGGTTTTGCAGACGTTGTGAAGGCCCTCAAGATAGACCTCTAAATGATATTGTAGTTCGCTTGTCAACCGTCGATAAATTCTGTCCGTTAATTGTTCAATAATTCAACTTAATTTATATATACATAGCTAGTACTATGGTGATGGAGATGATGTACTGGAATTGGTTATAGTTTTGGGCCGCTATTTGGTTGACTGAATAGCTCGTGTGTATGCTTTCCTGCTTGGCCGATTCAGTTTCTTGTTGCCGTCTCTTAGTGTGAGAAATGGTCACTGGCACTTTCTGCCTGGGGCTGCTGCCTACAGTCTAGCGAGCACGGCACAGAAACTTGTAATTCGGTTTGGCAAACGGACAACCAATACCGTGTTGACTATATGCGGATTGGGTCGCTTGATTTATCAGCACCTGAGGCTGTGCTCGACAAAACGCAGTGTTACCCCAGCTGCGGCCCAAAACAAGACAGAGTTCCACCCACGCCTCAACACAGCCGTCACTGTGGCCTGATCACTTCTCGCCTGTGTAACTTAGCTTTTCCGTCCCAAGCATGCATTATTTTATAGGTCGTGATCCCGCCAGGGTCTTTATTCGCTCTTTTCTTGTTCCATTCATCTCTTAGCCAACAAATAGCATCCGTAAAACACCCCGTGGGACGTCTTTTCAATGGCAGACAGATCACTCACTACAGCAGACCCCATGCCATCCGACGCTTCGAGTACGACCATCACATATGAAAACACTACGATCATTCCTGCCAACGCGGACCCAATCTTACAGCCCCAGCCAAGGCATATAACTAAACAACATCGAGTCTTCAAATACTGGACCTTTAAGATCTTGTCTGTCATACTCGCAACCGGTCTAATTACCGCAATCATCTCTGTTCTTGCGCACTTTAATGAAAAGACTGTCCCTGAATGGCCCCTCAGTATAAATCCCAATACACTCATTGCGGTACTCGCCACATTGTCCCGCGCCTTAATCCTACTCACTGTGGCAGAAATTATCAGTCAGAGCAAATGGTCCTGGTTTTCCCGCCAATCACATCCCATAAACGTACTCCAACGTTTTGATTCAGCTAGCCGTGGCCTGCTAGGATCAATAAGCCTCATATTCACCACACCGGGAAGTACTTTATCTCTGATCGGTAGCCTCGTCATAATCCTGTCCTTGGCACTAGGCCCCTTCGCGCAACAGGCCATCAAATCTGTAGACTGCCTGCAGTACGTTCCCGGAATCAACGCTTCGGTCCCAATCCCACATCACACGTCCTGGAAGGATGAATACTACCGGATGGGAGCTGGAAACTGGCTAGTAACTGTCGACAGGCAGGGGGCTCTAGTCAGCGCCCTAGTAAACCCGTCCGGCAACGACTCAAGCGTGACGGCAACATGCCAGACTGGCAACTGTACATTTCATGCTGACTCCACAAATATCTCATATTCATCCATAGGCCTGTGCAGTTTGTCTGTCGATACCACTTCCCTCGTATCCAGGGGCAGAATAGACAATTCAACTACAGACACTCCCAGGTTCAACTGCACACTACCAAACGGTCGGAACCTTCAAAGTCTTCTACCCCCCGCACAACACAACAACTTCATAGATGTTGGTCCCGACATGGACTTAACATGGGCATCTCCAGCATTCAGTGATGAGTTCCGGAATCTTTCGCCCATCTCTATATTGAATTTCACGATTCTTGAATTCACGAAGGCCACGTGCAACAACTTCACGGATTGTCCACACAATATCATCGCCACGTACGATCGTTCGGGGGCATGGAATTATATCTCGGTGACGAGTATATTATACCCATGCATGAAAAATTACCAAGCTGTGGTCGAGGAGGGAGCCTTTCACGAGGCCGTCATTTCTACGGTCCCAGCTCGTCAAAACTGGCTCGAGAGCACTCAGGCAGGGGAATTCCAGGCCCTCTTCCACTTCAACCACACAGCCTTGAAGACACCCTGTGTTTTAGGTGACTTAGAATATAGTATCGAAACGAACTTCTACGATATTTTTCGACTTGCAAACCGAACTTTTACACCAATCTCCGTCGATGGCGTGGAATACGCAGCCCCGGATGAATGCCTATATAAGATGAGCTCCGTCTACGCTGTAGCACTCTGGGCATTCCTCACACAGACCTTGCTATCAGGCAGCTGCGAGTTCAGTTTTGATATGAACATCCAGTCCCTCTACTGCCCTCTTCCATGGTGGCTTGAGCCATTCTATTACGGTGGCAATGCGACCTTTGATACCATTTCAAGCTCGATCCAGAATTTCGCCACAGGCGCCACCAACAAGTTTAGGACCATCGCGAAAAGCAACTATAATGCTGGACAGCACGACTTGGCTCTGGGGGCCGTCTCGCAAGCCACGGTCTGTATCGCCTTTGACTGGAAATGGCTACTGCTACCTATTATCCTCGTGGTCATCACCGCAGTCTTATTAGCCCTCATTGTGATCCAGAACTACAGGGAGCCCCAGCAACCGGTCTGGAAGTCCTCTCTGCTGCCGTTTCTCTTCTACGGTATTCGAGGAGAGTCGTCATCTGAGGACGGGATTCGGCCAGCTTTGGGCCTCACCGAACTTGACAAGCAGGCGAAATGTGTACAGGGCAGGTGGTACGCCGGGATTAACGCCGGCTTTGTGACGAGCGAGAAAGTGTGGAAGACATCTCTAGACCAGGATATCGACCTGGACTCACTGTTGGAACCTTCTTGATTAGAAACCGGTGTGCAGCAAGCGCGCGTACTATACAGGATGCGCGCTTATGGTTGTGTATCTAGCAGGATATCATCGCCAGAGTTCAGAGTGTTAATCCTAGGCAGTGTTTACAGTTGTTATAAGCTCGATGTTAATGGATCTTTTTATATCCATAAATTCTGGCGGCTGTTGTGCTAGCGAGAGCGATCATAAGTATACTAGCTGAAAGTTATCTCAACTATGAGTATGGTCGGAAGGATTGGGGAAATACCGGTGTATTGCCATGATACCATTTGCAAATGTAACGTCCGTCTTTGTGACTACTGCAAGGGGCGTTTGAACTTCAAGCTAGCCCCGGTGGGAGCCGCTGCTCCGACGTGATGTGGGCGGATCTGCGGGATTCGGCCGACAGTGACCACCGGCTTTGTTCGGTAGAGCCTGCCGAGGTGGTTGACATCGGCCCTCAGAAGACCCGTAGTATGCTTCGTACCTGAATGAGATGTAACTGACAGCAAGAAGACATCCGCACGATAGCAATGACCCTTTCCTTTCAAACGGTGCATCCGAGTCGTCTCCAAAGGAACATCAGGCCAGCTTTATTATCGCAACTCCGCATTATTACCGCTCGCATTCCAGCACGCGGCTACTCCACCCCATCCACGATGGCCTCAGACCCGATCGTCGAGAAGCTCAAACAGTTCCCGACCTGCGACATCTCGGGCGCCCTCGTGAAGCTAAAGTACCGCAACGGCGGCTTCCTCTCAGGCCTTACGCTCTGGTCTCCAGAGCGCCAGGCGGGCGACACGAGGATCGTCGGGCCGGCGTACACGGTCAAGTACGCGCCGCTGTCCGACCCGTCGCCGAAGCACCCGAGCCACTACATCGACTCCGTCCCCGCGGGCGCCGTGGTGTTCGTCTCGGCGCCGGCCAAGACGCCCAACGCCGTGTACGGCGGGCTGATGACCGCGCGGGCAAAGGCGCTCGGCGCCGTGGGCAGCGTCATCGACGGGCGGTTCCGCGACCTGCACGAGCAGCGGGAGCAGGGGTGGCCGGTGTTCGCGCGGGACGTGGGCACCGCGCCTCCGCAGGAGCTGCTCAAGGTCGTCGGCGTGGACGTGCCCGTCAAGCTGGCCACGGACGAGCAGGACATGGAGATCAGGCCGGGCGACTACATCATCGGGGACCTGAACGGGGTCGTGGTCTGCCCCAAGGAGCTTGCCGAGGAGGTCATTCCGATAGTGCAGAAGATGGTCGACGCGGATGATAAGGTTATGGCTGCGCTGCAGGAGGGGATGGGCTTTGAGGAGGCTACCAAGAAGTTCAGAGGCTGAATCTCTATGGCCTGGACGTGAGTACGGATACTACACAGTTTATCAAACTTAAGCTAGACTTCATCTACTCACGCAGACCTACAATCCTTGTGAGCCAAGGAGATTATGCCTCTGCCTATGAGACTGGAGTGAGAGCAGGCCGGTAAATGTGCGGAGAAACCTTGCATTTTCATGTAAGCCTCCCGGACTTGATATCAACGGGAAAGTGTACGTATCGCATAGTTTCACACGGCCAGTCTTCTTTTGCTGTCTCGTTCTAGGGTCACCACGTGTGGTTTCGTTTTTAATCCCCATACATGTAAAATGTACGCGGCGCCTTCATACAGTGGTAAACGCTCAAGAACCAGCGTTTGAAGGAATACAGTGCCAATAACAGTGGAAAGAGAATACCTAGGGTCACCACATGTGCAGGACCTCCGAACATATCACAATTTGCCCTTGACCTGCTTGAACGATCCGCCTCTGCCCTGCCCTTTGTGAAACCTTGTTGCCCCCTGCATGCTCTCCTTCGCTACCACCTGAACACCAGCGTCATACTCGAACCCCAATGCATCGCGGAGACTCGACGCCTCAAAGGTGCTGTAGTACGCCGACCGCCTGTCCAGGTTCATGCACTCCTGAGGAAACACCAACAAGCTCCTGGCCAGGGCCATCGCCTCCTCCACCGCCCTGCCCTTCTCGACGACGCGGCTCACCAGCCCCATCGCCAGCGCCTCCGTCGCGTCGACAGGGCGTCCAGTCAGGATCATGTCCAACGCACGGCCCAGGCCGACAATCTTAGGCAGCCGCACGGTCCCGCCGTCGATGAGGGGGACGCCGAACCGCCGGCAGAACACGCCCAGCACCGCGGTCGTGTCACAGACGCGCATGTCGGCGAGCAGGGACAGCTCGAGGCCGCCGGCCACGGCGTGACCCGATATCGCGGCTATCACTGGCTTGGAGGTGAGCATCCGTGACGGGCCCACTGGCAAGTACATATTAATGATTTGCTTCGGGGCCAGCGATAGCCCACACAACCTCATACTCACTCGGTCCGATGACATCCTCTAGTCGGTCTCTTGGGTTTCTCGTGGTCACATGCTTGACGCGAGGGGAACCATCAGGGCCGATGTTGGAGGTCGAGGCCGAGGAGGACGCGGCGACCTCGTGGAGGTCGTACCCGGCGCAGAACGCCTGGCCGCCAGCGCCTGTGAAGACGCACACCTTCTGTGTGTCGTCCTTGTCGAACTTCTGGAACGCTTCCGCGAGGAGGCGCGCTGTGGCTGCGCTGACTGCGTTGCGGACTGTGGGTCGGTTGATGGTGATCACGGCGATGCCTTCGGCTGTTGGCTCGTAGAGGGCCGTGGCAGCCGCTGCGACAGCCATTCTTTTAGCTGAGTATGGCAATCTGATATAGGAGCTTTGACAATTAGACGAGGTTCACTGTCCATGCACTTGTTTGCTCAGTCAACATTTGAAGTCTCGTGGTCATTAAGCTTCCATGAAAGTTTGTGCCGGGGGCCTGTCCCGGTCACGACTCCTCAGCTGACAAAACATGTGAATGTCGTGCAACCTTGGAAGTAGGGGCTTCGGCCACATTGTATTTTTTGTTCAACTATTTATCTATTTATTATTTTCTTAGCTTTTAAACTAGCTATTAGCTTATAACTTAAGTATAAAGTTAATAATTATTTAATATATACTTTTAAACTTATTTATATATAAAGTTACTAGCTTTTTTTATAAGGCTCTCTTTTTTATTATATTTTTTATATATTATATAAAAGTAAATAAATCCTTAATAATAAAGTAGTATATTTAAAGGAGAAAGATTTAATTTTTAGGTATTAAAACTTTTACTTTCCTTATATAGTATTTATTTAATATATAATAAATAAATTTTATTTATCTTTTAAAAGGTTTTAATTTTTTATAAAATTTATATAGAAAGGTTTTTAAATAAGTTTATTATTATAATATTACTATTTTATTAGTTATATATTTAAAATAAGGATTATAGTATATTTAGTTTATTTAATAAGAGTAGATTTAAGTGGTTATTAAGTATATTAATAGGGAAGAGTTAGTTTATTAAGTTTTATATTATAAGATTCTTCTTTTATAGGGGTTATTTTAAGATTATTCCAATCTTATTATATTACTATTTTATTAACTTATTATAGTAGATTAATCTTTAAGCTATTTTTATTAATAATTTTAATATAATATTATTAAAAGTAATATTTTCTAACTTTATTTATATAATATAAAGTTTAATTATATATTTATATATTATATTCTCTTTTTATTATTATTAATGTTATATTTTTTTAGACGTTAAGTTTTAAGTATTTACTATTATATAAAGGTGTTATATATATTTTATATATATGGGGATTAAAAACGAAACCACCTTAAACCACCCTTGGAAGTGGGATCTTGCATCAAGCCATCGACGGTAGTACCTCAGTGCCTTGGTATTCAGACAAAAGATAAAAAGCAGTTTGGCTTCTTTCTGTACAACCTAATATACGCTTGATTTGAGATATTTGTGTTGTAATGATCGACGTATATGTTGAGATACTCACACATTACCTAGGTAAGCTTCGCACCGACAATTAACTGCCCGTAGCGATCCCTCGCCGCCATCACATGCTTCATGAAAGAACTGATAAAACGGTGACCAAAAGAGTAGCAGTTCGTAGGCCGTTCCTGAACAAAGTATGTCTCACCGTACCAGATGTTCCTGAAGCTTGATTCACCTCTCCCTCACCGGTCTGTGCTGTCTCTCCCTGACTTGTTTGTGTTGGCCCTCCTTGTCCAGCCTGTGAAGTCTCTCCTTGCGAGGTCTGAGTAGCCTCTCCCTCCCCATCTTGACCAGACTCACCTGTTGAGCTGGCGGCCGTACTGGTCGGGGTGTAGTTAGGGTCAGTATTATTGTACGAGTAGGCGAAGTAGTCGTCGCAGTTCTCATAACATGAGTAGGTACCATGGAAGACCGTCACACTGGCGTGCACCGCCTCAGCGAACAGGTAAGCATCGTAGTCCCACGGCCGAGTAGTGACTTCAATGCCTTGCGTCTCTTCCTGTCTCTTCCTCTTGTCCCACACCTGGGTGTTCACGGCGAGTGTCAACTCGATGTCCTTGCCGGAGAGCGCCTCGACGTGTTGCGCAACGCACATCGGCGGAGGGAACAAGTTCACTTCTACATCTCTGCCGGCGCGCGACGTCGTGGTTGTGCGGACATCGCTGTATTTGAAGCTGTAGTCCCCACCGGGACAGCAACGGACGATGCTCACCACCACGTCGAAAGCCTCTGTGACGGAACTTGTTCCCTGTGTGTATATCCCTTTATTGAATGGGCGCCACGTCGACTCCCGAGCGGTCGTGTAGCCCACCGGGCAGCCCGCATAGAATGAGGCCGTGCCATCATCACCGATCACCGGCGTCCGAGGATAGAATCTGTTGTCATAGCATGCCGCATTATTTGTGTTCCACTCTCCGAATTCTGTAATGGTGCACTCGAGCCAATCGGGTGTAGTGACCCCTCTGTTCGTCTCGATCTGGCAGCTTGTCGAGACGAGATACATGTGGGAGTCGCCAATGCATGATGGAGCAGGAGTAAACTGCGTGGTCGGATGTGAAGGCGGCGGGATATACGAACTTGTCGGTGTAGGGGTTGGGGCAGGAGTCGGAGCAGCGAGAGGATCGGAAGTTTCCGGACAGCCCCCGCCGAGGCATTGGGATATGGTACCAGAATAGTAGTAGACAGTTCTACTGAAAGCAGCTGAATAGGCATAGATGTAGTCCTTTTCATAGTCCCACGCCACTTCCGTTGTGATGAGAGGATCTATCGAGACTGTGAGGGTTGCCGTCTGGTCAGAAAGAGTTTGGACTCTATCAGCCCGACAGAAAAATGTGGTAATGATGCCGTTAGCTTCACCAGTAGCCGGTACGGCATCGAATGTCGATGCAAACTCGTATGCTCTAATGAACCGGTCAGCCAGTGAAAGGGAACTTCGAATTTAGAGGTGAATGGAACACTTACGAAGGACAACAAACGTAGTCATGTATTCCAAGCCTGACGCAAAGACTGCACGTGGAGTTTGAGTTGTCTCGTGTGCCGGTGTCATGCCCACTGGACAGTTGTTGACCTTGTAATAACCATACCCGTGATCATACCCATCATAACAATCTCGATCCGCCCGATCCGGAGGGCCCAGCAATGTAACTGTACAAATGGGAGGATCCACTTCATCTACAAAGTCTGAATCGTCACTTGACCACTGTGTGCCACATGGCATAGTAGTGAGCCACAAATTGGACGGCGCAAGACATGTGGCATGTGGCAAGAAGGCCGTGGTTGTACCCGAACTATAGAGGGAAGACATGGCAACCTCTACAGTGTACCGCCCGTTCATGATGAAGAAATACCGGTGACGTTGTAGACAGGAGAAGAATTAGACTTTCTTGGGCCAATTCCAATAAAACGAAACAATGTCAGTCACCCCGGAATTTATGGAAAACACCAACAGGTATCACAAGGACAATTTTCCCAGCCCCAGGTGGGCTGATTATGAGTGGCCAAGACAGCAACACGGCGACCCATTCCTAAAGCGACAGGGTGCAGTATTGACAACTTAGAGGTCTTTGGATATAGGCCTATGCATCACGTTACAGGCACGGCATGTAGGCACACAGATGACCTGTCAGTCCAAAATAGCAAGATACGATCTTGGCCTTCCATTATCAGCCTGGATTGATGCCCTCCTACTCTTGGCTCCCTAGATATTGATCCTTCGGGAACCGGTTCCGCCAGATAACGGGTATGCGGCAATTTTCAGCGCTAGCAACCATATGCTTCTAGTGAGGCTGGGATAGTGTGGCAGAATTCCAAGGTTCTGACATACAGATGCAGTCGCAGCCTCAGTCGATATTGGGTCTCCTGAGTTCAGCTGCGGCCGACTGTAGCAACGAGCAGTTGACGGTAGTGTGAAAATGACTTTCTCGTCATATTTGTCGTCCTGATCGTCCGGCACATATTTCGTTCCTCCAGGACAGCAGGGCATGCGTAAAAACAAAGACGGCTATTCACAATGGTTCTATCAGTTCTTCTTGCCCTGTCGTCTGCGCCGACTTTTCCATCTTTTACATCTTGCATACTGTGACGTATTGCAATAAAACAATTCTAGCACTTGCAGCACGTGTCGGCACTACTGCACACTTAATTACCGGGCCGCACTTCGTTCCTAACAGGACAAAGACGTGTCTTCCGGGACCTAAAACGAGTCTCTGCAAACGGAAAGGAACTGGCCTGCTCTGTACAGCAGCGCGTCCATTGTTGCTGCTTGGTGCTCCTTTGTTTGTGCAACCTGGTTAACTCGAGGATCCGGTGGCGGTCCCGATGGATGTTCCAGCTTAATCCCAGTTTGATACATATTGGCTCCCTCTTCGTGACACTATACCTAGGTAATATCTATTCTGTAGCGCACACAGACAATTTTCCATCTTTTGGCGTTGGTCATTCCCCAAACCCTTCGAAATGTCCGACGATGATTACGACACGCAGGCGGCGTGGCGCATCCTGCGACGAAGCATTGACTACTTCGACTTCTGGCGTTCTGGCACATTATTACAATGGAACGGTCGGGAACGAAGACCAATCTACAGCCAATATCCGATCCCTTACCGGCCGGGCACTATCCCTGAGCATGCGATTGTTAGCCCAGACCCAGATGGCCCCGTGCGGGGAGTTCACCATTTTCGAGATGTAAGCAGGACAGATGAAGGTCCTGGCCGATATCCAGTGTCGAATTCCTTTGTGGGTTACTTAGGAAACCTCGGGTATAGGATGCTCAGAGTACTGGGAGCTGGCTCGCAGGGCTTAGCGGTCTTATTCGAGGAAACAAGCACCGGAAACAAGCTCGTTCTCAAGTGGAGTACAGATATTTTCAGCATAGCAACGGAAATGTGGTGTATGAGGAAAATGGTGGGGGCAAAACATATCATTCAGGTGAGGTACCGCTCCAGTTTGATAGGATACATCCTCTCCACCGCTGCCACAAACTTTTGGAACACCTACGGTGTCCAACATGCTTGGGGTTATAGCATTTGCCACTTAATACAGAAAGAAAATCATTCAGCCGAGATCCCTGGCTCGAACCCTCTCCGCATTACTAGTGCATATGGAAACTGACTTCGCCAATGCAGCGACTCTTCCCAGGTCCGATAGATAATATGGACGCGACTGCACACATATCAGAAGCGTACTGGAATCGGTGCATGGCCGATGATGTTGGTGATCGGAGCGAGTTGATTTCCTTTTGTGGCAACCCCTCGATGCTCATATATGCAATGGAATTCATGCGGCACGGAAATTTCAACGTAAGAGTGCAAAGCTCTTTGCCTTGGCGGAATCGAGAGAATACTGCCTTTCCAAGCCCCCTCCCTCCCCCCTTCCCAAAAGAAAAAAGATATTTAAAGCATATTCTCGACACGTTTCGCTTTCCGAGGGAACCTTGGAAGCTAATGCGGTGACTCCTGCATACAGGGACTCGCTCGGAGGTTGTCTGCTGCCTCTATAGACACACCGGTACATCTCAAGGATTCAGAGCTCTGGTCCATATTCCTGTGCTTTTTCCGGGCGATCGTTGCTCTTGCCTACCCCGGCGAGTGGGACAGTGAGCTTGACCCGACACAACAACAACCCCCGACACAAGAGGAATTCATTCCTATGGGCTTTACCTTGCCATTGAGTACATCAGACGGTCTGGTAGACCTGGATATAAACGACCGCAACGTGATGGTAGGTGAAGATACGTCAGCTGCCCAAGGGCCGAATGGTCATGGGCACTCCTCGGTGCCGATTATCAAAATCGGTGATCTAGGATATGTTGCAGCATTCAGGGAGCCACACTACCGTACAAGCCTACGAGCCCGTGTTGGGTGGAGAGTGTGTGGAAATCCCGTGGTATGTCAATTGTTCACCTTTGATCGGTCGATTTATATGCGGTCTGCTAAATCGTTTCGAAGTGTAATCCTCCAGAGCAGTTCACGAAGACATGGAACAATGTTTACGACTGGAATTCATTAGCAGCAGATGACACTGCTGGCAAGTTTGATTGGTGGACAAACTGTAAATCAACTCAACATGAAATGCTTGTAAGAATACTGCATTGTTCGGATCACTTTGCTGACAGCAGAGAGAATAGTGTGGCAAGTTGGGCGATTGATGACAATCCTGGTAAGAGACTTCCTCGTGAATGCAATTTCTTGGCCGTAAGACTGTGAGACTGCTAGCGAGGTGTAGCTTGGGGCATGTCTCGTGACAGAAAGCAACACGACGAAGAAGGGCAAAGACTGTCGGACAACCTTGCCTAGCTTGTATTAACATCTGTGCATAGCTTACTCAGTGTGAAGCCCAAGTCCCACCGGACTGTGTGTGGTAAGCATATTTGGATATGGTCTCAACCCTGTTTAAGAAAATGCAAGAATGAATTATTGAACTGCCCACGAACTCGGTAGCTGACTCCGGGATACTGTAGGTTCGATGTGACGCTGGCTGATGGCAGCAAGAAGACGATACCAACTTATGTCCAACAACTTGTGTCAGATTCAAACATGGGCATTTATGACCCACTTCTCATAGACACAATAGCATGGTGCATGTAAGAGTCCTCCGAAAATGATTCCAGCTGCTCTGGATATTTACTCCCCTTACACTCGACCCATTTTAGAGGACTTGTATTTGCGATTCCAGAACTGACTTGCGCGTCTTAGGGCACACAAGCCGTCGGATCGGCCTACCATGCTGGAACTGGAACAACGAATCGTCACAGCTGTTAACCGCGACTGGAGTGACGAAGATGGTGCGAACATTCGCATTACCGTCAGGCAAATATTAAACATGCCCGCCCCGCCCCCACGTCCGCGGCCCTGATGTCTATTAAAAGCAATGGCGAGAGCGACCATTCCAGGGTCCTTCTATTCGGTGCGAATCAATCAATGATGACCTTCTGGCATAGGCAAGACAAGCGGTACTTAACAGATGTTGAGGTACATCACAGTTTGAACCACAAACTGGAACCAAGGGTTAATAAGATAACATGCACATTTCGGGGTGAATTTTCAGGTAACAAGCGGGAGATAGAATTATAAGACCACTAATAGTATCGAAACAATAAAAATTTGGCGCTGGCCCCGCAAACCAGGGATCCGGAAAAATAGGTGAGTGTGATATGCATTCACAACGTCAACCGGTCTTCTCGACATTCCACGTGTGCTATTCCCAAGTCTTCACGTTGCAAATGTCGGCGTGGAGTCCATCTTAGAATCCAACATATTGGGTATCGCTGTTCAAGCGGAGAAGATAGATGAAATCTCGCCCTGCCATGGCTGGTAGACAACGACCAGTCTAGGCCCCTTGGCAATGCTTACGCGTCAACTGGTCTCAACCGCAGCTGCAAAGTGGTCGTGGTCGGTGCCCCGATGCCGGAAGGATGTGTAGTTTTAACAAACGAAATACTTCCGAAAGTCCATGAGAAGAATACCCGATATTTGATTGCTAGACAGATACCAACTAAAATGCTTTGCGCGTGCTTGTACGGCAGCAGCCATGACAATGATTGTTCTGTACACTTCGCACCACAGGGACTTTATTTTCGCCTTGCTTTGGCCCCTCCGGCCCGATTACCTGGCTACATCTCGGAATAATGTTATCCGGGCGAGACAGTAAACAACTTGAATCGTTCAGTAGCCGTACGTGCCCGGGGTTTCTCCTCCAAGTGAATCTTTCGTCAACCTACCAGGGGAAGGGGGGTTTTCTAATATAAGCAAAACATAATACCTATATACTATTAAAAGGCTTTTATAAGCATTTTATAGTACTAAAATTATTTCGTCTTGTATAAATTATATAACGCTTTTTAATTTAATATGCTGTCAAGCCCTAACATACTATTAGGGGCCTAATATACAGGCAAAAAAGGGGGTTTAATTCCCGCTAGAATTAAGTTTTTTTTTTCTTTTTTCAACTTGTCCCCAATTCAACTATCTATCGGCTATTATTTGGCTTGACTATATATAACCTATTAGAAGCTATGGAAATACAAAAATATAAATTTTAATTTGCTAGGCTAACTTATAAAATTTAATACTGGCGGATTTATAAATTTTAGGGATTTTTGATATGCGTTAATATAATGTTAAAATCTAACATATAATTAACCCCTTAACAGATTTTATTTATAATAGTATTTTATTAGCCTTTTGCTAGTATTTAGTTATAATATCTAGATTTTATTTAAATGTTAAATTTTGACATAATTACATGCCTATGTCAGGGACCCCCCCTCCCCCCGGTAGGAATAAGGTGCAACCACACCATCGATACTAGCATAATCTACCCCTTGCAGCTATTGACGTTCCTTTGAGTGACCCAGCGGGCGACAGATATGCCGGATGTATAAATAGAATTGAATCATACTCCGCGGGAACTCGCGGTTTGAAACGTGGTCTACGTGTTGGGGCGCTGGTCGTCAATCCTTTGAGACTCGTCTGGTAGCTCATTTCCCAGCCTACCCGCTGTCCCGGGCCTACTAAAGAATGAACCTTTTCTCAACTGTCCGTCTCTGATGCCCCCAAGACGGATCCATGTGGAACCTTCCTTTCGTTCCATAATGGCCTCGGACATACCGCCCGATGTATGCTATGCCGTCCGGCCGAAATTGCGTGCACATCCCTACTGATCATCAATAGCCTGACGTCTACGCCAAGTCGTGCAACCTGGCTCTGCCGTGTCCGTGTATTCTGTATTTCTAGTGAAAGAACTTTTCCATCTGTTACTATGTTCAACTGGATATAAAGATAGCCTGCAATGGTGGAGGCGCGCCATATCAAATGTTCTCTCCATCGAGAAGATCATACAGAGTTGATTTATGAAATTCTCTGCCAAGTTACATAGTTAAGACACTCGTTACAATTCAGCATCATGCATGCCAACACGCTCTTTTTCAGCATTATGGCCCTTTCCGGCGTGGTTGTGTCCACCAAGGGCAAGGGCCCCGGCCCAAGCTGCCCGGAGCAGGAGTACTACAACAAGATGATGGAAAGCAGGAATCGCAAAGCCGCCGTCACGGACTGTGCTAAGTGGCTGAACGGTGATATATCTGGTGCCGAAGACATGCCCAGGTATTTCAGGGAATGCTCTGGAGACAAGGATGATGAGCGTGTCAGCCGAGTTTCGGCCGCCTGTTCTTGCATCGCCACCTCATCTGCCAGTAGCACCGCGTCGAGCACGGTCATTGTGACTACGTCGACGAGCTCCTCCAGCAGTGAAGTATCTTCAACTTCTGCAGTCTCAACGCCTCCATCTGTCTCGGACTCTTCCAGCGTAGCATCGACGTCCGAACAACCACCCACCGCGTCTTCGACCGATACCAGCCCAACTTCGGGCCACACGGATCCGACTTCAACAGCTACCGGCTCGCACACCACCTCGGCGCCAGCCACGGTATCATCGTCGCCTCAGACGAGCGACGGAACTACCGCTTCTACTGCTATCCATATCTCTGACTCTGCGTTTACATCGGCGACTCATAGCTCGAACTCAGAGCCTGCCCACTCCTCATCTTCGCAGTTCGAGTCCACGCGTTTTCCTTCCACAGACCACAGCAGCTCTTCATCCACCATATCGCAGTCAAACCAACTAGAAACCACGCTTTCACAGGCAACAAGTACGCACATAGCCTTTTCCAAGTCAGACTCTGAGTCTTCCACCGGACCGTCTTCTACACAGTGGGTTACTAGCCTTGTGCCAGCGCAAGCGTCCACACCTTCATTGACGACGTCGACAATCTGTGAGTGTTGAAAATGAGTACAGATAGTAAAGTAAACAGCTAATTTTACCAACAGATACGGAGTCGGTCTTTACGGTAACTTCTTGCGCTTCAGCCCAAGCTGGATGCCCAGCTGCCAGCACAGTACTGGTCACATCCACTATTGCCATATCCACCACAGTCTGTCCAGTGATCGAGACTCCTCAACCTGCTCCCTCTGGCGAGGACATCACCACCACTAAGCTGGTAACCTCTACTCTATGTAAGCATAGCAAACCGGGATATTTGACCGTGCAGCCCACTAATTCGTTGCAGACACGACAACTACGTCCACGCTGACGAGGTGCCCACCCGGGGCGACTTACTGCCCCGTCGGAAACATCCCAATCACCAAGACCGTCCCCATCGGCGAGACGGTTCTGACAACCACCACAGTTGTGCCTGCGGGCGAGCAGAGCAACGCCGAGAAACACCCATCCTCAACCCCCAGCGTGACTCCCAGCAGAGACAACAATGGAAACGAGAACCCCAGCTACACGGTGATCAGCGTCCCAACGACAATCTACACCGTCATGAACGGCGTCACCGCCCAGATCCTGACCGTGATACCAGTCACCAGCGCCCTGCCGGTCGGAAAGGCCTCGCTGTCAGATGCGACGCTCGAGGCAAACGCCTGGCAGGGCGCCGAGGCCGGCGGTTCGGACCTGGCCGCGGCGCCGCCGATTCCGCCTGGGAACCAGACCGCCGCCAAGGGCTCGACCTCGTCTCGTCTGCCGGTCGTGACGGCCGGTGCGGCTGGTGTTGGGAGCAGTGATGGGGTGCGGGCGGCATTTTTGGTTTTCGTCTTGGCGTTGTTTTTTTAGGTTCTGCCTTTGATTATCTTGGGGCTGGTCGTAACAATTTCTGTGGACTGTGCCACATATCCTTGATGCCCCTGAAAATACCAACACAAAACGGCGCATTCTGGGTCTTTATGGATTCACCTTTGAGGGGCGATAAACATCCTTGGTTGTATAGTGTAGTTGGTTATCACATCGGATTCTGATTCAATAATCATTATCTTTCCGGTGACCGCGGTTCGAATCCGCGTACGACCTTCCTTTCATCATAGAGGAAGTTGAGACTTCCTTTTTCTTAATTTTTCTTATTCTTTTCTGTAATGTTAGAGTTTCAATTATCTTCACATGACGCAACATGAAACGTTACGGTCCAACAACATTAAATTATCGACTTATTATAATGTCTTAGGTGACTGCTAACTAGGAGAAGACGATGCATTATCTTGTAATGCCAAACTTTGCCCTGAGATCTGAAAGAAATATTACTTGATTTCTGTGACCCTCAGGAGATCTTATGCAACTGTATTCAATCTGCTACGGTGCGCCTGAAACGTGCATGGCTGCCATTTTGCCGAAAATCGGAAAGCTGGTTGGACCATTTCCCGCCTCATTGGGTCCCAAGGTCCACAGAGTCATGATAAGCCCCAAAAAGCATCAGCCACTCTAGTTGCCCTTGACCCGCCCATCAGGCTGTCCATCCTTGCGCAGACCATCGTTCTCAGTGGGCTTGTAATCACCGCCGGTGGCGTCGGAGCCCGTGTCCGCGCCTCCGGGGGTACCGCTGCTCTTTCCACCCTGCGCACCAGCCTCATGGGGGTCGACCTTGCCCTGGGCGAATTCTGCGCGATGGTCAGAAGGGTATTTCGATTTTATGAGGTGGGATTGGTCAACTCACGTCCAGTGCCAACACGCTTGTCCGGCGTGCCGTCCTGCTTGAGGCCGTCGTGTTCTGTAGCTTCATGTCAGTGTATGCATGTACCAGGTGACAGTCAATAGGGTCGACGTACCAGTCGGCTTGTAGTCAGACATTTCCGATGGGGGATTTGGTGTTTGTTGTGGAGTGAAGTTTGGATGATGAGGATTCTTGAGCTGGATGAGATAGTGTTGAGTGACCCGGAACAAATGCTTCTTGGGAGAAAGCTGCGTCTCTTTATATATGATCGGGTTCATAGTCAACCGTCAGGCTTCTACTGAGACCATCGGAAATTGAGAGAGACATCCCATGAAGGGGAAGTGATGAGCAGCACATGACATCGCGATTGCGATTGTGCATCGCGCAATGAGACGCAGCAGGCCGCTTGAACCTGCCCAATGACGTGGAGCAATTGAGGCCCCGGCTGGTGCCCGAAACGTCCAGACGCGTCTCAATACGCGTTGTGTTAAAGGGAGCTTCCAAAAGGAACAAGTCCGAGGACTAGAGCGGCATGGTGTCAAAGAGAAACTGCCCGTTATGATTCATGAGCTCAGGGGTAGAGTTAGTCCGAGTCCCAGATCGTTACCGGTCCGCTGGTAGGTTTGTGGAGTCTCTGGTGCTAGTAACTCGCCCCGGGCTCTTTGTGGCGGTTTCCGAGCTTCCAAGGTTGCAAGGTTAGCAAGGTTCCACGGTTAGACAAAGAGTCTGAACTCCCAGCTTCCGGGGGCAAGACAATCTTGAGAACCGTGCAAGTAATCACAGCACTGACGTGTTTGAACTTGAGTGCTATTATTTTGTTATCACGCTCGCAGTGGGAACACATTAGTATCAATAATACTATTCTACATTACCCGAGGAACCAGTGCCTGTCACCGAGGAACACATAAGCGACGAGTATCTCATCTGCAGGCTGAAATAGACCATTGTTCCTGTCAGCCGCTGACGTGGTAGCTGGCGAGACGTACAAACTCTCGGCCCAGGCCAGCCTCCTATGCAACTCTTATGTCACTGAGCAGAACGGGACGCTTGTATATTCCCTGCTAAGTGCACAAGGGACTAATAACTAGTGCTGGGTAGTCAAATTGATGAAGCCAGTGCATCCGCACCGCGATCTCACTAGGGAATTTTCACATCACCTATCATATACGAACCAACTGCCCGGTGAGCCGCAGACATCCAGAAATTGGGTCTATGCACGACATCTTCTTACGGCCGGGATCGACCATAACTCTAGCTACATACAACCATGCAGAAAACGCGGCTCGGGACTACGGAAGGATTCCGAGACGCAAGCGCGCCTGGCAACTTGGCTAATTCAGGGACACAGGTAGGGATATGTCTCTTGTCCGGAGCGTTGTCTCCGCCCGGTTATACTGGCGTCCAACGACATGGATTCGAAGTGGACAATTAAAACAACACAGATTCTGTGTCATAGCTAGAGTCTTGACGTCGACCATCACGATGAGACAGGTCGACCAAAGGGTCAAGGGGGGTTGTGAGACTAATGATTATTGATTCTCAACGTGTCAGAACCCTCGTGCCACGAGCATGCACTCCATCGCAGAGACGCCCTGCCGCCTTGGACGCCACACGAGGCCCCCGAGAGTGATCTTGATGACCAAGCCGAGAGACCACCTACGACACACACCTCTCCAGAATCCTACAGGCCGCCCTCGCCAGCGTCGGCCCAGGGCTGTTCCACGGGAGCTCGCGCAGGCGGTGCTGGGCCAGCCTCTCCAGCCTGTTCCTGCGGAGCCTGTCGCTGCTCCTCTCAGCAAGCAAGGTGAAGGAATACCGCGCAGGCGCAGGCGCAGGGGCAGGCGCCGCCGCACCACGACCACGACTCGGACGACCGTGCCCCACCGGCGCGGGGCCGGACGCCCTCCAGAGCTCGTCCACGACCCTCCCCAGCTCGTCGACCAGCGCCCGCGTGGCAGCGAGCGACCCGTGGGCCGCGTCGAGCCTGGCGACGACCACGCCACGCCGCCGCCCGTAGTCCGCCTCGGCGGCGGCCCGGGCCAGCGCCTGGCCGGAGGAGGTGGCCGGCGGCCCGGGGCTGCGGGGCGTGTTGAGCTCGGCCCGCACCTCCTCGACGGCGGCGGCGGCCAGCGCCAGGAGCGGCTTGAACCAGCGCTCGACGCGCGCGCCGCACCGGGCCAGGGGCCGCCTCAGGACCCCGCGCCGCCGCGGTGCCAGCCGCCCGCACTCGGCGGCGCTGTACTGCATGCTCGAGACCTCCCACCCCAGCGAGCGCGCCGCGTCCAGCCCGGCGTTGGCGATGAGCCGCGCCTGCTCGAGGTACGCCGCCCGGCGGGCCGCCGTGTCGCCACCCACGCCGCCACTGTCACTGCCATCACCCTCGGCAGGCCGCTGCCACTCGGAGAGGCGCGCCCGCGCGGCCGTGACGAGCCCGTCGAGCCGCCGCGCCGCCGCCCGCGCCGCAGCATCGGCGGTGCGCCACCGGCGGGCCTCGACGCGGAACCGGCGGCGCACGAGGGCCGGCCCCGCGGCGTCGGAGGCGAGGAGGAGCAGCCACTCGGCGAGGACGGGCTCGCCGCCCCTGGAGAGGAGGTCCTCGGCGGCCTCGAGCCAGCGCCACGCGGCGCCGCGGGCGGGGCCCAGCGCGCGGCGCATGACGTCGAGGGGCAGGTGCGTGTAGGAGAAGGAGGACCTCAGCGGGCGGCCCTCCCACTGGTGGACGGCGTAGCGCAGGGCCTCGTGGCCGAAGCGGGCGAACTGCGTGTCCCAGAAGGACTCGTCGTGCAGCCGGCTCATCATCGCCACGGGCAGGGCCGTGTTGCGCTCCACCACCGTCGGCGGCGGGTCGAGCAGCCAGCCCGGCCAGCCGAAGTCGTCGATCTCGCCGTGGCTGGTCGGGCCTGCGTTGAACCACGGCCGGGGCGCCTTCGTTGGGTATGGCCACTTCTCGAGCCAGCCTATGACCTGGGGGAAGCCGTCCCTTGGTGCTATCTCTGCCATGGTGTTTATCACGCCTCCCCAGAGCTTTGGTCAGGGAGGGTGTTATATATCAGCCGGGTTCCTGTTGATAGCCACGGGGAGTGGGGGCTGGGGAGGCTTTCGTGCTTGGTGAGTCCTTACCTGGTTTTCGAATGCCCAGCCTTCTTCGGACCGGTACTCGTCTTGGAAGCTGTAGGGCATGGTTAGTACTGATGTTCTGCCTGGCCAGGTGGTGGTATGATGCCCGACATTGATCAGGCACAATCTCGTGGCGCGTGGACGAGGCCATCAACTCCGCGGTAGGTAAAATAGAAAACGTTAGAAGGGGGGGGGGGGGCTTACAAAAATGCTGGAAACATGGCCACCCTTCCAGGTGTAGGGATGCCCAGGGAGCCCATTTTCCTACCAAGTTGTAACAGCAGTTGCTTCTGCTCGTCCGTGACCTGGGTCAGCTCGGGGGCAGGGTCGCCGTCGTCGTCTGGCCCCGCCGTGCGCAGGGAAGGCTCCTTCTCCCAGTCCTCCCTTTCCGTCATGATAAAAATGGCATTCCTTGCACAATGCTGCGGGTCCTTTTGGTCAGCCTTACTACTAGTATATCAACTCGGGCGTAACCAAGTAGATAATTGCCAAAACCCGAACTGAATGGGATGATTAGGTAGGGTAGGGTAGGGTAGATAGTGAGGACACGCTCGCGCGCGGGGGGCATCTATCTCACCGCCAGCTCATGCAAGATGACCCCGGCGAGGGCCGTCGCGACGACGAACTTCTCCGACTTGGAGTACGAGGGGAGTATCAGCGGCCAGACGCTCTCCGGCGACAGCTCCACCAGTATCTCGTCACTGACGCCCTCGCGCACGCCCAGGCGGACCCGCGTCCACGCGTAGGCGCCATCGCTGACCGTGTCTGTGAAGGTGAACCTCACGTAGGCCCTCAGTATGTTGTTCACGACCTGTTCTGCCTGGAACCCGCTGTCGCGGAGCGCCTTTGCCTCGGGGTACATGTCCCTGTCCTCGACCTCGTAGTGGAGCGCTGCGGGCCCGGGTGGCTCGTTGTTAGCACGTGGGACAAGCGGGCGGTTGGGGGTAGTTGTTGGAAAGGGATGGTCGTGTTCACCTACTGGACAAGCGGTCCCAGAATTCCTGAGGGATGGGAGGTGCTGCACCTTCCTCGGGTTGCACTGGTTGAGCGGCTGGTCAGATGCATTCACAAAGGTTGCCAAGGGGCTGTGGGTCATATCCAAGAAGTGTATAGCAAGGAGTCACTCCCCAGTATAACCGGTGCCGTAATTACCATCGTGCTTCGACGCGCGAGAGATACTTACGGGCAGCGTTGGGTGGCGGCACCGGCACCCGGGACATGTCCATAGGTTTAAGCTTGTATATGTCACACATAGAACGCCAGAATGGATGCTGTGAATAAAGCACCTTGGACATGAGCCGCAGAACAGGCTGCAACGCGCCCCAGACCTCATCGTTTGTACCCTGCGAGTGAAAGAATAACCAATTAGTGAGTCCTGCGCCATGCGGATGATGCATGATATTGCGTTGGATGGGGGAAGTCGCCTACAGCGTCCCATCTTCGATCTTGGCCGTTGAAGTTGTACCATAATTTACATTGCTCAGAAGATCTTCCTTCATCTGGTTCCTGATACCAATGACCGCGGCGGAGCATCCTGAAATCAGCTTCAGGTTAGTTCAGAATGCCGTCTGACTCGGTCGGGAGGTGAGGTGGAGGGGGGTCATTGATCATACGGGTGGATGGGCGAACCGGCGAGACCGTCGAGCGAGCCGTCGATCCGCATGTCAGGGTCGAACGCCCCTTGTGTTTTGAGCTACATGTAGGCATCGCTGTTAGGTCGTGTCTCGTGTAGGGCTGGCCCGGCCCAAGGGCTTGGGATCTATGGGACTGTCCGGATGCCTACCTCATCGGCGGTGAATCCATGGAAGACGACGGCCTGGTAGTCCTCTGACCACTCCGCGTCGGGACCCTCGGCGTTGGGCGTCAACATGGACCGCGCCGGGTTGTCACGGGGCGCTCTCGGGTCTGTACCAAAGCGTCTGATGGTCAAGTCAATAACTAATAAGCAGCCATATGGCTGGCACCCTGCCACTTTCCCAAATTTGATCCACGCCCACCCAGGGCTGCAGCAGACATACTTACTTCGCATACTCGGTCGGCAACAGCCAGTCGTCTCCCTTCTGCCACGCATTGTCTGGCCGGAGAGCAGGGTGCCTGAGGGGCCACGGCGTGACCCTGTTGTCCATCCATGCGGGTATGTACTTGTTGAACCGGCCCTGCGCATCGCGCCAGGGGGCGGGGAGCCTGGGGTCGGCAGGCCGCCCGTAATATGTCAACTGGATCCGGATGGCTTCCAGGTTGACACGGTTGGTGATGTCGCTGATGCTGACGTTTTGGCCATCTGACCCATCATCCGATGATGAGTCGCTCGAAGCGTAGATGTCGTTGTTCATTTGCTGCGATATGCTGTCGGACTAATATGGCTGTGGACGTGACGTGATGTCGAGTTGTGGTTCTGACAGCGACCAAGGGGGTGGGACAACTGAGCCTGGGACAGTCAGTACTTCTCCCAATAATACCCAGATTGTTCAACCTGCCCAGGTGGTGACAGGAACTCATCCCACCTGCTTTGTTAGTTGTTGTTGTTGATGTGCTCGTCGGTGGCCGGATCCGGACAGTCGGGCTGGACCACGGCAGTGACTCTTAGGACAAGTAAAGGCACAGTATCCTTGCCATTGTGTACTGAGAAGTTTCAAAAAAGAACAATTCCATTGATGCCATGCTAGAAAAGAAAAAAAGACAATTCAATCGGCAGGCTGTGTGTGGGTTCAACGGGGTCTACTTCATCCGCTCGGGGGCCCTCTCCTCCTGCGCCTCCGCCTCAGGCTCCGAGGCCTTGCCCCGGCCGGGGGCGGACTCGAACTTTGCCCTCCACTTGTCCTCCTGCTTGAACATGACGATGCACTGGAGGGCCGACGGGGTGCCGTAGTCTGGGTCTGCGCCGCCCTCTACGAGGACCTGTCGGGGGGGGAGGGGTCATGTCAGCGGAGCGCAGTGACAAGAATGAAATAGAATAAAATGAAATGAGAGTCATGGCAACAACAACAACAACAACAACAACAACCAGACCTACCTCTACAACATCATCCAGCCTCTTAAAGACAGCACCAGCCAGCGGGCTCTGGCGCTTGTCGTTCAGCCGGTTGGGGTCGGCCCCGTTCTGGATGAGGAACCTGACCAGCTCCGCATGGCCGTAGTACGCCGCCAGCATGAGCTACACCCACCCATCGTGTCAGCGCATCCAAACAAGACCAAACCAAACCAAACCAAAGCCTGCTGACCGCTGACCGCCTGCCTGCCGTGCGGGGGCTGACTTGGCTGGGCTCAGGCCCAGGCCCAGGCCCCCCCTGACTCGGGAGCCGGCGCGGCGTGTGGGAGGCGGGATGTGTGGGGACCGTTGACCACCTCCCGCCCGCAGAGAACAAGCAGCACTCACCAGTGTGTCACCCTTCTCGTTTGTGAGGTTGGCCGGCAGGCCCGTGGCGATGGCCTCCTCGAGGACCTGCTTGTTGCCCTCGCGGGCGGCGTTGTACATCTGCGCCGCGAGGCGGATGGCCTCGAGCGAGGGCGAGAAGGCCGTCGCCGATGTGAGTTCGTTGCTCATGTTGTGTGTGTGTGTGTGTGTGTGTTGTGTTGGAGGGGAGGTGTGGTTGGGATTGGTGGGTGGGTGGGTTTGTTGTTGTATGTATGGACGTTGTTGTTTATGATGCCACTGTACTGTGTACGAAGCAGTAGTGGTTAGCTGATTATTGGTGAGAACTGGACAATGAGGTTGAGCTTGCGACCCACTCGCTCACTCACTCACTCAGGTAAATGCTGTCTGTCTGTCAACTGAGCCTGCAAAGTACAGTGCAGCTGGCCCTCACCTATTAATAACCTCCCCTCGGTGATTGGCGAACTCCCGGGCGAAGATTCCAGAAACGTTCGCTGCGCCGTTGGTCCCCGGTAAGCCGGCCAGCTGACAGCCAGCTGTCCTTTGCCGTTTCTGCATGACCGGCCTGACCGTCAGCACGACTCGGGCTCCACCAACACCTGGGCAGCAGTAAGTGAGGTTATTTATCCAATGTTCACATAGTAGTGTAATAAGTAGCTTAGTTCACCGATCAGGGAGCAATTATTCATATTGCACGTTTCTATACTTACCAATCATGGACAGCGTGGAGCCGACTGCTACCATCCACCTCCATCCATGGATCTGCACCCGTATGGACGGGCACCTGGGCCACGTCCAAGTTGCAGCCAGTGTTTCAGAAAACCCGAAACCACTGCAGCATCTGGCCGTTCCCCTGTCCACCCCACACTGTCCAATTTCTCCGCGTGCAGCTGCCAGAGAGCCGATTATCATGGGGGGTTGTACACGAATGCCAGGCTGAGTTCATGTGATCATTTATGTCATTAATTTATATACTGCCAACCATCAACGCCGGCGGGCAAACAGGCGCGTCTCGACCCTCGGTTCCGTGACAACACTACTTGGCTGATCTACCAACCAACCAACCAGCCCAGCCGAGACGACAAACCCGAAAACAAGCGGGGCACAGGGACAGCTGCCCCCATCAGTAGATGAGCTGGTCGTCGTACGCCCTCACGCTCTCGAGGTACCCCAGCACCTGGTCGTAGTCCTTGCAGACGTGCGTGGCGTCCCAGCCGTCGCTGCCCGAGTTGTCGTCGGGGAAGGTGGTGGCGTGGCCCTCGAGGGCGGTGTCGGCGGCGCAGGTGATGGCCTGGCGCATGTAGGCGATGCAGTGGATCATGTGCCAGTGGTGGTCGTCGGGGATGGGGTGGCCCGACGACAGGCCCGAGTACGTCTGCGCCATGGCGAAGAGGCAGTGGATCTGGTGCGTGACCGAGGTCGTGAAGACGGTCATGCCCTCGTACCAGTCGATGGGCTTGGGCAGGTCGTGGTACTTGTGCGTGTCGTTTACCCACTGGAAGCCCATGCCCTCTGTTTGTGGTGGTGGTGGTGGTTAGTATTCTGGTTTGGTTCTTTTTTTGTTTTTATATGTTGCTATGTTGCATGGGTAGATGGGGATGGGGGATGGGATGGGATGAAAAGAGAGAGAGAGGGGACACGACACAGAGACAACATACTCGGCATCAGGTTGTTCCACTTGGCCAGCGTCTCGTTGGTAAAGAACTCAGACGTGTTCATGGGCGCGTACGACGTGTCGTACTCGAACCGGGCCAGCTTCTGGGGGAACCGCGGGCCCACGCCCGTCATGTCGCCCAGTAGCTGCCACTGGTCGTGCACGGCGGGCTCCTCGCGCATCTCGTTGCGCACCAGCAGGGCCACGATGATGAGCAGCAGCGTGGTGTCGAGCATCCACCGCGACGACCGCAGGATGCAGGCCAGCTTGGACCGTTTCGACCTCCGCTCGTGCTGGTGCGCCCGCCATGACTTCTCGTCGCCGATCAGCGACTCGACCTCGGTGCTGGACCTCGAGTCGTGGTCGTGGTCGGGGTCGTGGTCCAGCTGCACGTTCTCGTACTTGTGCTGTGGTGATGATGATGATGCCATGGCGACTGGTTGACTCTGATGATCGTGTGTGTTTGAGCCGGAGTTAATGAGCGTCGTAGGCAATTCCAGTTGCCTCGTAATAAAAGTCACCGTCCAGCGAGTGTCGAGAGAAAAGAAGAAGGTAGAAAGAAAGATGGCTGGCCGTGTCACTCACTCAGGTCGATGATGGTGGCGGAGATGGAAAGGATAGGATGGAGGGAGGGGGCAAATAGAGGTGAGGAGAGAAAAGTAGAGTGCTTATTGGCGCCATTTTTGAAAACAAACGAGAGCGAACAGCCAGGAAGGGGTGGCCTCAGGTGCTCTGAGACGAGGTTTGGATGAGGCTCAAACAGCATCTGTCACACCAGCCCGTCCCAAAGCGGCATGGCCTGCTCCCCTGCGACTCCCCACACTCAGGCGACCCGCCCGTCTCGAGGCCTGGTCGTGGACTCGTGGGGGGGTCTGCTGCCCTGCTGCTACGCTGTCGGTCCCAGCAGCACATCAGGCCAAGAGGAGAGGATCGTGACAGGGCGATCATTTTGCATCGCCATGAGCTTGTCTTTTTAGATCCCTGTGGGACTCGCCCTGCGAGGAAGAGGACGAGGATGAGAGGAGACGGCCAAACGGCCAAAAGAAGTGGAGAGTGAAGGGGGTGGAGAACTGGGGTAGGGGTGGGTACCACCAATACGAGGGTTCAGGTTATGGCTGGGCGCTTGCGATGGGTGATCCCCTGCTCCCCCTGGCCCCCCCCCTCCCCCCTCCCCCCTCCGCCTCTCCCCCTTGGTCCTGACCATGCTGCAATAGGGTCGTCTACCGAGACCACCCCACCGCTGCTTTGCACCAGTTGGCATCCACGAACCCCAGTCTTGGCTTCTGAGCCTCATGCTCTTCTGACAACAACCTGGCATTGTGTTTGTCGATCACATCACACTTATTAGCAAGAGTTTGCCTTCGTCCCAAGGGGTTCCACCCTTGACATATATTCAGACTTTGACCCCAATACTACACTGAGTAACCCTGAATGACAAGCCTCCATGTAGTTACTACTAACAAACTGCCATGGAAAGGGTCTCCCAGCTGCCTCCATATGGTAGATACCATTCCATCTTCAATTTGTATAGATTACTTGGGCCCGGGCACGCGCTGCATTGGCTGCCGGTCAAAATTCTACACACGTCGATCCCCATGCTCCACATTAACCTCACTCTCCAACACAATAACATCCTCCCCAGGCCCCCAGCCTCGTCCCTCATGATTTCTAGGAGCGACCTGAGCATTATATCCATCCCGCCGCTCACGCAGCTCCAGATAATCCCGCTCGTCCCCCGTCGTGCTGAACACCGTGCTCATCAGGCTCCTCCTGCCAACCAGGTACGGCGCCGACGGCTTCTTGATCACGGGTTGCTCGTCCCAGCCCCTCTGTACCTGCGACCCCGACGGTTGCCGGCGTGCCCTGGAGCCCCGGCGGTTCCTCCTGCGGAACATGAAGTTGATCTCGGGGAAACACACACACAGGATCCCCGTGGCCAGCTCCGCCGCTGCCCAGAGGAGGAACACGCTCTGGTTCCATGTTACGTCTGGGTCGCCGGACTGGCGGAGACGGACGATGAAGCCGACTGTTGCGAATATTGGACCGCTGCAGTTTTCGTTATGGGTTTTAACATTAGCGTGACAGATGACGACGGCCGAGTGTCTCTCTCTCTCTATCTGTGCGTGTGTGCGTGTGTGTTGGGAAAGCCCTGCATAAGGGGGGCCGCGGGTGAGACATACCACAGTCCGAACGTGAATGCCAGGATCACCAGCACGCGCCTAGACGGGCTCATCTGAAGCTTCCACACAGCATGGACAGGCAGCAGAAGTATAACAAAGTCCGACACAGCATTAAACCCGCCGCTGATATTCAGCACCGCGACGAGGTCCACACACCGCCCCGGGACGGCGCCGTCCCACGCCTTGCGGCGGGGCTCGCACTCAAAGATCTTGACGAGCGTGTTGCTGACATAGAACCCCAGGATGACGGCCATGAGCGCGAGCAGGGTCACGTCGAACGCACCCCGGCGCGTGGGCGAGAACACCCGCCGGTAGAGCATGAGCAGCGCGGCCTTGGTGATCCCGATGATGAAGCCGTACTCGACCGCCGCGATGTTGAACCAGTAGATCGCGTCGCGGGCCTCGGCCGCCGACATGTCCCAGCCGTGCTCGCCGCCGTGGTGCGCCATGGTCGCCCGCATCACGGCGCAGTAGCCCACCGACCCGGCCCATGCTGTGGTGACGAGGTAGTCCTCCAGGATCCAGGACCGTTTCAGCAGCAGCCGGACGTAGCAGCGCGCGAAAAAGAAGATGGTGATCAGGGGTAGGCAGATCCCGATCGTTATGTCTGCGAGGCTGGCCAGCGACTCTGGATGTTCTGGGTTTGAGGTTACCCCTGGGGGTGGTTCCAGGAATGGTGTGAAAGTCGGGGGCGGGGCTGACGAGAGGGCTTGTGTGGCCGGGAGCACCATGTCTAGAGCTTCTTTGGCCGAGATCAAAATAGATGTTGGTATGGAAACGGGGACATGCATGGGTGATGATAGTTCTCAGAAACAAGAGTCTGAGGTAGGTCGAGCCAGCCACACTGAGCAGGACAATGCACAATTGCGTGGGTTCAGTGTTGTACGCGGCCGGCACTGATGGGGTAAGCTCTGAGAAGTGTGAAATCGGCCCCTTGGGTTTATATAGACTGACTGGACAAAACTATTTGCCAATTCGCTGGACGATACTACCTAGGTAGCTGACCAGAGCACAAGCACAGCTTCCCCGGCCTCATCCTCCAGCTGTGTAAGCCGTCCGGCGCGCAGACCGGCTCTCCAGTCTTCCCCTGACAGTGATATGCGTGGGTGGTTTTCCCAGAGAGGAGAGAACTGAGCAGTCCAAGTAGCCTAATTTTGAAATGGGTCGTTGGGAGAATCCACTACTACCCCATACTGGAACATAATCGGCGCAGGTGTTTCCGCACAGGGTGCAATATACCATGTCAGCTTGTATCTCAGCCTTGGAAGTGCAAGCAGATACAAATATGCAGTGTTACTTGCATAACCTTACTGGGGCCACATCGTCGTACCTTTCTGCCCCTCTTCGAGCATCATTGGTCTCGGGCAGCCGATGACAGTGTGCCCAGGTGTGCATTGGCAGTATAATGTAACTGTTGGTTGTGCTCCATGCCAACAAGATCTTTAACCAAGTCAACCTAGACCCTTGTCGCTCAAACTCAAGGCTTCCACACTGGCTCAATGGCAAGAAATACGGGCTAAGTCCTGGGGTGACACCGCAGGAGAGCGGGCGGGATCAGCACATGCACCCTCTCCTTGCATACTGTCCCTCAACTTTCACGACCACACTCTGCCAACGCTCCTGTTATGCTCATTCGACTTACCTCTCTCGGGCTGCTTCTGAACCGTCTCGTTTGACGTCAAATACCACGGATATAGTGGGCTGCTCCTCTCAACAACGCGGCGGCAACTGTGATATTGTAATCGGCATCACTGAGTAATGGTGCTAATGATTCAGTTACTTTCTCTTGATACTTTTCTTTTGAACATCTTCCGATGTCCGTATCTAGGCACCAAGGTCGCCGATCAAGTTTGGCCCCCAAATGATCTGCAACTAATTATTTCTCGGCTCCCGATTCACGGTAAGCTGCGCCGTACAAACAACACGCAGACGTCTGTCGACACTGCTACATGGCCCCCCTGCGATCTGCACCATGGCCTCGATCCATGGCACTGTTGAATCAGAAGAAGCCATGTTGGGTCCGCCAATCAATGGGACCCTTGATACTCTCTGACTCCGTATTACATGGAGATCACAGAGGCAGGACTCGTTGGTTCGGTGGTCCCTTGCTGCGGCCAGGTGCAGCTGTTGCTGAGACCCTTCCCGGGGAGTCTGGGCAATCTCGCCCACTGGACAGATATGCTTCACTGCATGTGCATCTGCGCATCAATTCATGTCGCCTGAACTCTTGGCCAACGCTGGATGCAGGCGCCGGGCGAAATCGATCGCATGTGATTCACCCTTCGAATGCAGATGTTGGTCCTGATACGGCCTATCAGAATTCTTTGGGACCCGCCGGTTTGCTTTGCAGAAAATGCCATCTGCTCACTGATCAATTGGTTCAGCGTGGTGCATGTCTCGCCATCATGAAAAGAGGCATGCCATGTCTAACAGTCAGTGAATCTCATCTATAAAGAGCACGCTATTTTCTCTGCCCAGCATTCGTCGAGACTAATTCCAGCATTGCGGCGCGGGTGTCCTTTTTTTATGTCTTCTAGTAGGAGCCCAAGCTCATCTTGTCACAGGTTTGCAGATGTGAGGGACGAGAGTTTGACTGCCACCTTGATTGATGATCGGCTGAAGATGAGCCACTGCCGTGCGGTCATTTTGATGATACATTATGCAGTTGGTTCGTCCTCCATCTAACGACTCGACCTGGCGCTCAACTGATTGGGTCATGCAATGTAAGATCACGGACACGCATGCACGTAATCCCCAGCCCTTTGATGATATTTTTAGGAGTCGCTGGTAGCACAGAATCAAGACTCCGCGGCCAACCCTGCTATCTGCCTTGTGTTCCAATTTCTGTGTCGCATACATTTCGCCCCGTATTAATGAGAGCAGAAGGATTGAAGTCGGTGCATGATCACTCCGCGCCAACCTCTCTTCTGAAGGCCGTTGCCACTGCTGAGCCGCATGTGCACCGTACTAAGTTCACCGGCCTATTTTGAGACTTGGTAGATGTGGATCGGTATGAGGGCCACCTGTAGACCTCGGCAAACCACTCTGGAGGCCCGAAAATGATCAACACGGTCAACTCATTCCACCGTGCACACATGAAGAATCAGTGGCTTTGTCTGGCAAGAATGGTATCAGCTACTGCCGACCTATGTCGAACGTTTTGACCACGCAATAATTAATCGCTGGCATATCTGCATCTACTACGCCAGAGTCTAGCCTAGTAAATGCAAGAGAAGCAGCCCAGTAAAGGGTCCACCTGGTTGGAATGACACAACCTTTGCCTTATTTGGTGATGCTGAAGCCCCTCAAGCATTAGACATTTTTTTTTTGCCCTCCGCGGACTGCTTCATTTCATGCTCCTGAAACCATCTGCCAGTCCTCGCCACTCCCTCCTCAATGCTGATTTTTGGTTTGTAGCCTAGACCTCGCCTCGCTTTCTCGCCATTGAATGTGCGCGTTATGGTAGAGGCACGGAACGTATGTCGTGTAATAATTGACTTCCTCTTTCCCAGACTGATAGCCCATGTGAGCGATTCACTAATGACAGCGATAAGATAGGCGAGCCAAAATGGAATGGTCCGAATGTCCTCTTCTTTGACGGGATAGCCTGCGGATGCGACGATGTCTCGCTGGAAAGACCAGAAGGGTGTGGGCCTCTCATTGATTATGAGGAAGGACTCGCCATCGACTCGTGCCTCCGGTGGCGGTGGTGCCTTGCCGTGTGCGCGAAGCAGGGCCTCGGCGGCGAGAATGTGGGCATCGATCAGGTTTGATATGTAGACGACGTCAGTAAGATTCTCGCCTGACCCAAATTGATAATGTGCTCTGCCCTGGCGGGCATTTTCGATCATCCTCCCCGCGATGCCGAAGTCCCGCTCCCCAAAGATTAAGGGTGGACGGATCGAGACCGTCAACATCGAATTATCGCCAGCCCCGCGGTTGGCGGCAAGAATCACAATCTCCGCCTCGCCTTTCGTCAGGCTGTACATCATCGTTTGAGCGTCGCGTCCCAGGACGGGATAGGATTCGTCGAGGTTCACGGCACCCGTCTTGTCGTTGTGGATGACGGTCGAGGAAGATGTATAGACAAATGCGTGGACAGTCCCAACACGCTTCGCGGCGAGAACCAAGTTGTGAGCACCGCCGACGTTGACCTTCTGGAACGTCGTGTGCTGCCAGGTGATCGAGGCCGGAGAGGCCATATGGAACACGACCTTCGGCCTAACTTTGTCAAAGACGGCCTGTACCTCATCCAAGACCGAGATATCGCATGAGTGGTACGTCACACCTGGGATCTGGTTGCGCACGTTGCGAGTAACAATGTGCACTTGGCAGTTCTGGCCGTGAGCGAGAAGACCGTCTACCATGTGGGACCCGGTGAAGCCGCAACCTCCGGTGACGATGGTAGGCCCGAATGAAGGCGTATCTTGTGTGCTGCTGGTTGATTCAGCCATATCGGATTCGGCAGCGAGGCGCTCCAGATAAGGAGGCACAGAAATACGACTCAGCAATCCAGCAACGAGCAGCTTCACTGAAAGTAGGTGGCAGTATCAGAGACTGGGCAAGTCCAGTTAAGAGGACTGTATGACTGTATTGGAGAACGAAGTCGATGCCTGAGAAATTACCTCCCATACGTGAATGGTAGCTAGGAGAACCGACATCCAGCTGGGTTTTCAGTTTTGCGACCTCGTATTTCTTGTCGTCGCTTCTATTCCGTATACGTCCGAGGACATGCGAACTTAGTACAGCAGCGTAAACCAAATCAGGCGAAAGGATTCAGGCAGCAACTTAAGCAGTAACAGCTAGCTATAGTTAGCTAGAGAGATGCTATAGGGCAAAAATAATCCTAACACACAGAAAGGTGCTCAGTTCGCTACTACAGCGCTACCCCCTCGGGGTATAGAGCACGCACGACTACCTGATCATATCCCGACAGTGAGGAAAGGTACAACCTAGCTCGCCAAGCAGGTATCGCTCTGGACCTACAAGGCTCCCGGTGCGGCGCGGCAGACATAATAGCCAACAAGCACTCTGCACAGCCCCCCACTGCCTGCTATTGTATCTTGGAGCGGCCAGCCGAAACCCCGCATTGGTGGAATTCACCTCAACACTCACCCACTGGCGACTCGCGCAGAAGATGCAAGTGAACGTTTCGCCTGTAACCTTGGCTGCTTTGAAGGCGGACGGCACGATACGATGTCTTGCCGATGTCAAGTACCAGCCCGTGCCCGCGTCCCGGCACTCGTCGACGGCGTTTGCCCTAGCTAGGAATTTGGCCAACGAGTTTACCACTGCGCTCCTTGGCCAGCTTGGCGACGTAACGGCCACACACTCAGAATCATCATCATCCACAGACACCTGCAAAGCTGCCGGCGCGCAGGCACATCTGTATGCCGCACAGCTCCGCCGCAACCGCATGATCGTCTGTTTCGACGTGTTTCTGAATTACTGTACGCCCGAGTTCCGCAGAGAGATCGATGAGACCGTTGCGCGGCCCATCCACGCGGTCACTAAGCTAGGAGACGACAACAGGTACCAGGTGGGTAGAAAACTGCCCTTGGATGCGAGGGTTGCCCGCGAGATTGCGTGGATACAGGAGGTTGACAAGGGCCCGCGCCCGTACTTTACCGACGACATGACCCCGACTTGCTATGATGACGGGATCCGCGTCGAAGACAATTTCGAGTAGCTTTATCCGTGCTTCTTACCCTCGAAACGGACTGGCCACCAGAAGTGAGACTCTCAGATCCAGAGCTGGGTGCTCGTATCCGCCCACAACTCTGAGCTCGGGTGGACTGCGAACAGGAATGGAGAGGGGGGGATTTTCATAGCCCTGTTGGGGCCAGGGAGCTTCCATAGATGAGGACGAAAGCGAGTAGGGACTTTAGACTGGGGGTTAGATTGAGAGAGTGAAATCAAGAGGGAAGCTGAAGTCAGCGCACTGAACAGGTATAGTTTCGTTTTTAATCCCTATATATATAAAATATATATAGCGCCTTTATATAATAGTAAATACTTAAAACTTAATATTTAAAGAAATATAGTATTAATAATAATAAAAAGAGAATATAATATATAAATATATAGTTAAGCTTTATATTATATAAATAAAGTTAAAAGGTATTACTTTTAATGATTCTATATTAAAATTATTAATATAAATAGCTTAAAGGTTAATTTATTGTAATATTAAAGTTAAAGTTAGTAAAGTAATTATATAGTAAAATTAGAATAATTTTAAAATAATTTTTATAAAAAGAAGAATCTTATAATATAAGATTAAATTGTTAGGGCTATTGGCTAAATGCCTATAGGACTAATTAGTGGGTTTGTATACTTTACTTATTTTATTAGCCCAAGTAGCCTCCATACCTCTCGTGATGTGGGATTGTAGCTTTGCTGCCTTTCCTATACTATTCCTTAGGTAACTCTAGTTTTGAATCAATAATTCTTCGCAGACAATTTGAGCCTTCTTTTGCCATAGGTCGCGAGGACCGTCTCATAAATAAGCTAACTTTTTTCTATTAATATATTTAATAGCTACTTAAATCTACCCTTATTAAATAAATTAAATATATTATAATCTTTATTTTAAATATATAACTAATAGAATAATAATATTATAATAATAAATCTATTTAAAAAAACCTTTTTATATATTTTTTATAAAAAAATTAAAACTTTTTTAAAAAATTAAATAAAATTTATTTATTATATATTAAATAAATATTATATATTAAAAATAAATATTTAAATATTTAAAAATTAAATCTTCCTCTTTTAAATATATTATTTTATTATTAAAAATTTATTTATTTTTATATAATATATAAGAAATATAATTAAAAAGAGAGCCTTATAAAGGAAGTTAATAACTCTATATATAAATAAGTTTAAAAATATATATTAAATAATTATTAACTTTATACTTAAGGTATAAGCTAATAGTTAGTTTAAAAGTTAAAAAGATAATGAACAAATAAACAGTTAAACAAAAAATACAATATAGCCAAAGCCCGCACTAAACAGACCAGACCATAAACTAAAGCAAGGAGAGTGAGAACTCCGCACGTGTAAAGGCCTAGCAACCGAGACCCAGCTGTATAACTTTCTCTACTGCCACCAGGATTTCCAGAACCCAGACAACCTGGATCAAAATAATCTGGTCGTTCATGAAGGATGACCACAAGCTGGTCATGACGCACGTTGACCTCTATCCGCGCAACACCATGGCGGAGTGGGCGGATCCGGAGGACGCTCAACAATAGCCGATGGAGAAGAACACGAGCCCCGGTGGTGATGCAGGGAGTAGAACCAACCACATTAATGCTTGACTGGTAAATGGCTGGCTGGTATCCGGAGTATTGGGCATTTGTAAAGGCTCTCAATTCTACTGACCTCGGCCCACCACTGGCGGCCAGGGACTGGTGCGACTATATTCCCACGGAACCTTAGCTATCGGGCAGTAAGTGGCCCATAGAATATCCTGTAGATGTACTTCTTAGCCGGTTTATGGGGTAATGTGTCACCTTCGACATAAATTCACGAATTTGACCGATTTCTAATTCATGGGTGCGTGTGTGGGACGGGACAATCCTTTGGATCATCTAGGGGTCAACCTCCAGGGCTGTCAGCGGGCCCGTAATTCTATTTTGGTACTACCGCATCCAAGGCAGACCTGCTAATGCATTTAACTTCCACGATTGCCCTTCCAACACCTGGGCACTTCCTTTTCCAGGCATCTGATGCCATAATTACATGCACAAACACACACACCAGCTGTAAATACCGCGTTTCAGGAGGGACTAGATCTAGCAACCAGGTCCCACCATAGCCCAAACAACACGTCACCAACTCTCAGCAGCAATGTCTGATACGCAGCCACCACACGTGGTCGACCCCCTCGACGGCCATCCCCACACCCACTCCATCATATTCCTCCACGGCCGCGACAGCATCAACAACGAGTTCGCCGACGAGCTCTTCGAAAGCGAGGCCTCAGAGCCAGCAGGCCAGCCGCGCACCCTGCGCGACCTGTTCCCCACCATCCGGTGGGTATTTCCAGCCGCACCCACCCTCCACTCTGCGCGCTTCGACACCGACATGTCGCAGTGGTTCGACATCTGGTCCGTCGAGGAGCCCGCTAAGGAGGGCCATATCCAGCACGAGGGTCTGCGCACCAGCGCCGCTGCGGTCCTAGACGTTGTGCGAGGCGAGGAGGCCCGCGTGCAGGGGGGCCGGCAGCGAATCTTTGTGGCTGGGATCAGCCAGGGGTTTGCCACTGTGGTCGCGGCTTCGTTACTTGCTGCCATGGATGGTCAGGAGGGATTTGCAGGACTGGTTGGACTTAGCAGTTGGATGCCTCTCGGCACGAAGGACGAGCTGGTGCGTGTTCTCGCTGGTGATGGAACCGCGGTGTTAGATAGTATGCCAAACACCCCGGTTTTCCTGGGTCATTCCAAGGATGATGAGATTGTACCCGTGCAGAACGGTAGGGCTTTGCGTGATATACTCAATGCACACCAGGAAGTTGAGTGGCACGAGTATGAGGATGGAGGACATTGGGTCAATGAGCCGCAAGGGATAGACGACATTGCTGATTTTCTGAGACGGCATATGTGAATGGCTTTGGAATTTTGCATTGCTTGTAAGTAGATCGGAAAACGGTCTATGACCACGAACATGTTGTCATCTGGCAAACCACGTTTGCTCCAGATGTCCCATTACTGCTGCCAATGCCTGCAGCGCACATAAATATGATCTGCCGGGTTCACAGTTTCGGGGAAGCTTGTTGTTTGTGTGCAGAGTTCAATTTCGTTTACATCGATTTCCAGCTATCATTGCTCCCATTCACCGGGCTTTAGAAAGGACAGAGGGCACGTTCTCAAGAATCAGACGACAATGCCCAAATACAAGTCTGCCATGCTGTTTTCTGTGCTATTTTTGACACCATAGCAGCTGGAGACATGGGCAAAGACACTGCCAATTCCCTTCAAGGCTGCAGAGGTCCTCTCATCTTCGACCGGTCTGCCTCAAGCTGGAAAGTGAGTTAAGGCCAGACCTGAGACACTGAAAGTTCACTGGCCCTGGTCTTGTCAAAGGTGAACAGTGCCATCGAGTAAACATTACCTTGTAGTCTTGTTTAGTGTGCAAGAGCTACCTGCGCTCTGTGATGCCTGTCAGTGATGCCTGTCAGTGACCGGCTGTCACTGCCCACGGTCCTACCTTAGTCCTGTCAACCATTCACCCTGATCAAACAACGTCAAAAGTAAGGTATTATGATTGTCGTGGATGGGCTCCGGTGCAATTTTTAAACCCAACCCATTCGTCTTTTTCCACAGCCAATTTTCCTGTTCCTCCCTACAACCACACCCTTCAGTCGTCTCCTTGCCCAAAGAGTCTGATGGATCCCAACACCAACCCCGATCGCAACATGGGGTCCACTCCTCCTCCACCCATCCTTTGTCCCCTCTGCGGCAGCAGACACCAGGTTGACCAACCCATCGGCGAGCAGAACCTCATGCTCAGCCGATCTGGAGACCTCGAGCGAGGCTACAGGTGCCCAACTCAGGGTGTGCCTGTCACCCACACACACAACACAAACTGCGTGGCCCAGCCGCATCAAGGCACCCAGGCTCAGCAACAATCTGACCACCAAATGCCTGGTACCTTTCCGGCCCACCTCCAATTGCCTCACCATGAGGTGCAGTTGCGCCTGTATCAACCCCATCAGGGTTATCAGGGCAACCAGGCATTTCAGGGTGGAGGGGCTGGCAGTGTCAACAACGACTACGATGCCCACCCCATCCATTCTCCCATTCAACTGAAGAGCAGCCCAGCTCCCAGTGAAGCCAGTACGGTTCGACTGGATGAATTCGTCAATTTTCACAGCACTCGGAAGTACAGCCCAGCCCCCAGCGAAGCCAGTACGGTGCGAATGGACGATTTCATCAATCTTTACAGCCCTCATAAGGATACCCCAACCCTCAGCGAAGCCAGTATGGCACCCATGGATGAATTCAGTACTCTGCCCATCCCTCCGGAGAACAGCCCTGGTCTCACAGAGGCCAGCATGGAGCACCTCAATCACTTCGTCACCAACCCCATCCCACAGGAGGACCCAAACCAAGTTCAGGCCGTCGAGCAGAACGCCTACCCCTCCGATATGCGGCACACCTTCAACCTAAGCACTAACGAAGCCGGCCTGCAACTCCTTGCCGAGTTCAATATCCTACCGCGCCCCAACCAAGGCCGCAGTGCTTCGATGCCAGCTGAAGGCAACATCCGCCACTACCAGCATCTTGTGCACGGCACTGAGCTGCCCCCGATGCCACACCGTCCCGAGTCGCTTCCCGGCAGCCGCAGCGACTGGAATGCCCACCAGCTCTGGGAGGAGTTCCCTCCGCCCCCCAGCGGCAGACGCGGCAACACGGTTGAGGACTGCACCATGATCAATGACGACGATGATGACGATAACTACAGCAGGACCATCACGATGTCCATGATCACCAAACCTGAGGACGACGCTTCTGTGATGCTCAGCGTCCAAGACACTGTTCTTCCCAGTGTGGAGGAGGATTATGTGATGCCTAACGTGGAGGACACTATGCTGCCGAGCATTGAGGACGATTATTGGATGACTGTTATGGAGGACGATGTTCCGCCCGGCATGGAGGACAATGATGTAAATAATATGGGTGACGTCCTTCTGCCCAGCGTGGAGGATGATGACGCCACCTCTGGCAGCGATACTTGGGGCCAGTTCTAGTCGGATGATCTGGATGTCTACCACTCAGAAGGTAGCTGAGAGTGATGAAGATCCGTTGTAATGGGGGCTGGAGTGGGGCTACGGATCAAGACTCAGTCATGCCATGAATCCGAGCGGGAGATGGCTTCTGGACTTCCAATGTAGGGGCCAGGAAGGATGAGGAATACAAAGGTGTCTGGACCAGTGGGGTGGTAGTGGCCACTGTTTTTACCTTTTTGGGCGGCAGACAAAGACTTTCACTGTGTAGACATGCACGGGAGGCCTCAATACCGACCTTGGGTTTTAGTGTACCTACCTAGGTAGATAACCATCTCACATGTCAATGCACCTTGCTGTTTTTTTATCATGAAGGCTGCCTAGAGCCAAGAGAGTTGAACACAGCCTAACAAGACCGTGATCACGCTTACTGATCAATGACAGGTCTGCCTAAAATGAAGAGAACGGATATTTGCAGGGCAAAAAACGGATAGTTCAGGGCCAAATTCGGCTGGTACACGGCAACTTTATTATTACTTTTTATTTTATCTTATAACTTTAAAAGGGATTTTTCTCTAAGTTAATAAAAATACCCTATAATATAGTAGAAAAAATAGCTTATTTAAAGATATTATTTTTAAAATTTTAGCTCCTATAGTTAAATAATTAAATAATATTATAAAACTAAATATTATTTTATTAAACTAAAATAAAAAAATATAATAATAATTTCTAATAACCCTATCCCTAATATAGAATATTTTTTAAATAGTAATAACTAGTAGAAGAATTTAAAAAAATAATATTTATAGATATTACTTAAAAAAATTAAAAAATTAAAAAGTTACCCTATACCATCCGTTTTTTACCCTGCAAATATCCGTTCTCAAAATGAAAGTACGGAGTACCTAGCAATGGCTTTCCAGTGTCTTAATTGGGGAAACATTGGGAACCCCCCTTGTAAGCAATCGAGTACACACGGATTCCGATATGAATTGAGATGAAATGCTTGCTTAGACAGTTCAGTATTGGATGACTGATGATGATCAGGCTTTCAGGACAGACGGTACAAAGGGGCTTTGGCTTTTTACCAGCTTGTCGAACCAAGTATGATGTGAGACACGACAATTACGTTTACACGGCCCAGCGACCGTATCACCCGGCGAGGACCGGTTGCACGGCGTGAGTGGCTTCCTGCTGACTGTGCTCGCCATCCAGTGACGTGGCTTTCTTGGTACAACTATAAAGGTCAGCCGATTGGAAGAGCCAGAGCTCGCGCTCTTAAATGGCGTGAGCATGCGGGGGTCGAGACTCAACGTAAAACCTTTGCCTGTTATCAGACTCACTTTGATGCTTAGCGGCCATCATGGCTTCGTTTGGCACGATTCCGAACCGGCTGGTTCAGGGGACGAACGAGAACACATTTGCCCTGGCCAGTGTCAACTTTGATTTTTCCCTCGTATCTCTTGCGGCCCCTACTGAATTTACCGGCGTCGGGAGCTGCCTGAATCACAGTCATCGCGAGAACGCGGAGCATGGCGCCCTTCACCGTACAGCCCGCAAGCTGGGTGCATTGTTCGAGGGCGTCGTCCCACCGGCGCCCCGACTCATATCGGCCTACGGGAAGCGAGCGAGCGAAATTATGAGGATTCCTGAGCTCAACCCTACCGGAGAGGCTGAAAAGCACGGCCCGTTCGCGGCTTTCGTCGGGGCTGACGCGGCGTCTATCTGGGCGGCTGCCACATCGGGGGCCCCTTCAATAGCCGTCCATCTGCTTGGGTGCCTGCTTGCTCGGGCTTTCAGCGACCCCGCGAAGTCCACATCCGCCCTGGCCGAGCTGGTCCACGAGAGACAGAGGGAGATCAAACGTGAGGCGAATGCCTCCTCCTCGACGGCCTCGCACGTGGATGCTCTGATGGCTACTGAGCAGCCCATCCAGCGTGAGGAGCTGCAGCAGTGGGACACCAGCGCGAGGGCGTGGCTACAGACGGCCGACTCGGCGATGCAGAAGGAGTGCGTTCAGCTCAAGTTGATACTGCAGAACATCAGCCTGCCTGTTTCTTCGGGGACCTCACTATACGACGGGGTCGTTCGAGCGTGGTGCCAGGCCATGGACGGCCTCGAACGCCTCTTGAATGGTGAGCCACAAAATGTGACTGATGGGGCAATTCTATTGGCAGTCTCCGCCTGGCATATTTATCCAAATCTCCTGGTGTTAAGCTCTGAATCCGTCGAAGTCGACTTTGACGACCGACTTCTGCAGTCGTCCGGCCTTTTGACCGTTGCTATCAACACTGTGGAAGACTCCCCGGATGGAAAGGATGGCCTCCACTGGTCTATGGCCCTCTCCCGCTACAAATACTATGGTAGAGCACTGAAGGCGGTGGGCGAGATCGACCATAGGCTGACTGTTGAGCAACTGCATCTCGTGGCGTTTGGTAGTCTCATGCAGGGGTGGAATGTGCCCCGAAACAGCATGGAATCAATGGCGAAGTGGATGATGGCCTTGAAAGACTGCCTCGGTCGTACAAAACCGTCTTTGGGTTGTCCATCATGGCTATCTAGCCTGGCCGAGGCGGCAAGAGTCATTCTAGATCTCGATCGTGCAGGAAACGACGAAGCCTTGGCACTAATCGACTTTGGCCAACGAAGGGGGTCCAACTTTCTTCATCCCCGGGATCAGCCGTGCTTGCCTTGGTTTGGTCTACGGTTCCGCCATATTGTTGGGGCCCTGTCTGCTCAGACACCAACAGAGAGTGCCGTTGAATACCTTCGCAGTGTCGCAAGGGCAGGCCATCTAAGTTTCGACGAGGCCCTCATCACTTACATTGCCGGCATTGCAACTCCTACAGGCAATAAGCTTAGTATGCATGAGTATTACACCGCAATCACCCCAGAAAACGACCTCGGAGACAACAATCTGCAAAAGTCGATTCAAGTCGACAATGTGAACGACGTGCCTCAACTTGAAGACGATTACCCTGCAACTGGCCCTATTACCCAAAGCACATCGAAGATGCCCGAAGCAGGTGGAAACGACGGAGACCAGCTACCTTTGTATGCTGCCGTCGAAGGTCACCAGACTTGGAAGGGATGTTTCTCTGATGAAGATTACAATGACATCTATGTTGGGCGCCTCAGGACCCGAACCTTCACCCCAGTCCGTATACACGACGGGTCAGTGTATGAATATGAACCGGGCCTGGGAAGCTCCGGACACAATCTAGCCTCACTGAACCCTTCCTTACCTGCACCACTGTTGTGCGACGAGTATTCTTCCCCCAATATCGGAGAGCTATTCATCAATAGCAGTGCGATCTTGCCTGACAACCTGGGATGGTTTTCCTCCAACCTCGTGAGGTTCAAAAAGTACATGGGTGACCCAAATGGTACTATGCGTCTCTGGTTGAGGGATGGAAGAGCTGTTGATGATTGTGACAAGATCACGAACCAGATCGAGTCCTTGCAGTCTGGTGCGAGTGCTGAACTGCTGGACATTGAAACAGCAACCACGATGTTGGAAGAAGGGGGTGATCTAGATCCCCTGCTTGTCTGGCAGTACCTGGAGGGCGCAGACCCTTACGCGCCGGATAGAGCGTTCAAAGAGGTTCTGTGGCTGATGCGAAAAGAGCGCGGGCAATTCGAGACGACTCTGAAGAGTTTGAGGAGTCTAGATTGGGCCAACAAAGTATACGACAGTCTTGACGGAGCGAAAGTGTCTAGCTGTGTTGTCGAGAGAGGGCTGTATGATGTGAAGTGGGCCTCGTCGAGTTGGCACACACCTGCGACACTTGCCATGGCTTTCAGCTGTATCGCGTTCATGGACACCGGAAAAGTCAGCTTGGACCCGGAAAGCCTAGAGCAAGTCATTGCCCTATCCAGCGGCAACTCTCTATTCGTGTCCACCCGCTTACTCACGGACCCGTTTGACGAGTTGGATGAGACTGCCGTCACAAGGATCGTCGGCAATGTTGGTGCCCCAGGGGTGAGCCTACTGATTCCGCCCGCCGCCTCCCCGTTGACTTCATCGCTTAGCCCGGAGCGAGGGGCCGTGACCTACGCATCCTTTAACGGCCGTCGCGAGGACAATTTCAAAGGAACCACACTCCAGTTATCGCTCACATCTCAAAGGTTGCCACTGGCGTATGGGGTTAGCGGCATCATAGACCATCAGGTGTTCTTCGTGGAATCTGTTATCATGGTCCACGACAGCGGGCAGTGGGTCGCAGACTTGGATATCCTTGAAGCGTTCAATATCACCGAAGCGAACCGAGTGCGCATACCCAGACGACGATTGCAAAAGACGTGTACGCATCCTGAAGGGATGCTTGACTCTGTTCTTGATGCGATCACCTCTGTTGACACATGGGAGGACGTCCTCGACACTTGCCCCGGTGTCAATATCATTCGTGCCCACCACAACTGGATGGCTCGGCTGGCGATGTCAGTCATGCTGTCTAAAACCCGGGACAGGCATGCAGGTAATGATGAGGACAGTGATAGCCAAGATCTGATGGTGGCACGTATGAGTCAGAAATGGGGACGATTTGCCATCCTGGAGAACGGGGACGATGTCTGTTGGGTCTGCTTGCACCGTCGATTGGCTAAAGTGGCCAAAATCGATGCTTCGGATCCTTTTTATATCATTGCTTAGGGCCCATGACTGGTATGTATTGATTCTACCGTGATCTCATCGTTCGGAACCCATTTAACACCGCACGAAAATATCCAAGTGAGACCTAAAAGCAAGAAGAGAAAAGAAAAGAAAGCGGAACAGGAAGAGAACCGGGTGCCTCTCAAGCTGCGCACCTAGGTAGGTCATATTACGCCTACTACTTATATCGAGCTACGCCCGCACTGTAGCCATTGAATTAACTGCGTAGGTAACCGAGTGGAGTCCTGTGGGTTTCTTAACTTTATTGTGTCAATGTCCGGACGAGTGTTTGCATGCCCCGAAGACCGTAACTACTTCCTACACGGAATTCAGTGGAGAAGTATGGTTCAATTGGTACCATCCAAATTGTATGTTCTGCGCAGTAACAAGGTAGACCACTTCATGCAGTATAAATATAGACATTGTAAAACGCCGGCCTTTAACTATGTACCTAAAGCTTCCAAACCCAGCCATCTTATATCAAAGACCAAGCTTTAGATGTTCGCAAGCCAACCCAGCAACTCGCGATGAAATTCCGCCGGCTCCTCGATCTGCGGCGCATGCCCCAAATCAGGGAACTGAATCAACGTGCTGTTCGGAATCATCGCCGCCGCCGCCGGGCCCAGCACGCTGTAATTCCCAATCACGGCCTGCACCGCCGGAGGCGACCAAGCCTTCCCAATGGCCGTGTTATCCTTGTCCCCAATCACCAGAAGCGTGCGCACCTGCTGCCCCAGCAGGCCGAACTCGTAGATGACGGGCTGCGTGTAGATCATGTCCGTGGTCTGCGCCATGTTGTAGGTGAACTCGGCGCGGCGCGAGCCCGTGTAGACGTTGTAGAGCATGCCAACCCATACGTCGTACTGGGGCTGCCACCGGCCGACGTAGTACGTTGTGTTTTCGTAGGTCTTGATCGAGGCGTACGTGGTTGCGTTCTCGGTGGCCCAGCTGCGGTCGATGCTCTGATATGGCACGCCTTTCGTCTTCCAGTCCTCGAGGCCGAGGGGGTTCACCATGACCACGGCCGTTGTGTTGCTCGGATACGTGCTGGAGGACGTGGTCAGCGTACTTGGCTATGACGGTTCATCTCGACTCCACCGGGGTTCCAGGCCTGAGTGACTCACAGTGCATATCGAGCTGCCAGCATCCCACCCGTGCTGTGCCCGATGACAGTGGCACTGTAGATCCCCAACTGCTTGAGCAGGCTATTCGTGTTCAGCGCCAACTGCTGGAACGTGAACTGATATCCCACGGGCTTGGTGGACTTGCACCACCCCACTTGATCGGGCGCGATCACACGGTACCCAGCACCCGTCAGCTGGATGATGGTCTCGTTCCAAGTCGCACCGCAAAAGTTCTTGCCGTGCAGCAAGACGGCCACGGGCGGGTTTGTCGATGTGGTTGCGTTGCTTGTGGGGGCCACATCCATAAATGCCATCTGCATGTTTAGGCGCTGGGAAGGAAAATTGTAAACCTTGACCGGATAGGGATAAGTAAAGTTGGAGCCGTTGAGGTCATCCGGCTGTGGGCCATCATCGATGTAGCCATCCCCCCCTCCAAGCGACCCTTGCGCAGTGACTGCTGAAGTCGCGGCGAGGAAAGGGAGCAGCAACGTGCGGAGTACGCTTTTCATCGTCTAGCCCTCTGTTGCCGTTCTCAGAAGCTTCCAAAGCACCGTAGAGTATAAGCACAGATGAAATACAGGTATTCATATGATGGAATCTAAACTTTGACAGCTTGTAAGGGCTTCATATGGCGTTTGTTTGGAAAGTAGGTTTTCGACGAAGGTATGAGGAAGCTATAGATATAGTAGTAATTGACTTGGTAGGATTCCCTACCTAGATGACTTTATCGATTATGGCGTTACATCGCAGGGCTTTGGGACCGTTCGGTTCGACGGATTTTATTCTCTAATGCAACTAGCTACTAGTGGTGTAGCGAGATGGGCCTGGTTTTCCTTTGCCCCTTGGAAAATCGAATCAACGATGGGGCTGATCCCTGTTCTCGTTGGCGTAGTCGGTGTAGAAGGTCGCGATCTAGCCCGGATATGCGGACATGGTCTTACACTACCCCGATCTTTTTGCTTCTACAAGGAACAAAGTCTCACTGTGTCAGTGTCAGCCCGTTCATTATGGGAGGTCCCTTCGCCTCTGGTATATCAGTTGACGCCTGGGCTTATAAACCTCGGGCACTGACTCCGTCGCTCGTCACGAGAAGGCGGCCGCTCTGCCGACCACCGCACTCTGCTCCCATCGCCCTCCGCCCACCAGCCCCGGCCTCCCCTGGCATATAGATACCTGCGAATCCGATATGAGACCTTCCTCTCCTGCATTGGTTTGGTTTAAGGTTCCGGCTCGGGAGTGGCGGCTGGTTCCCGCGGCGGCAAGGGGATGATGCCAATTTTGATATCAAAAAAGTAGCCCGGCTTGGCCCCAGGCGATATTGTGCCGTGCGACATCAATGAATACTGAATGGTGCTCTTGTTATCCTTGGACTCTCGAGACAGGTGGATGTCGGGAGCATCCACCGGTGTACACCAGCAGGGGTGTGAACTTGCAGCTTCATGGAAATGGGAAAGAGGGCTGACCTGTCGCGACTGACGACCGAGCAAATTGTTTTTCTTCAGTCAAACAACATGCTCCTTGCCAGGTACCTAGGCAAGGATTAAAATGACCTTGAATAAAACACGAGGGCTCATCGGTATCTCAGGCATCGGCAGATGTCGTGGGGAACATGATATCCAATAGCACGTATCGAGACATTTGCAAGAACTAGAATGAATATAAACAATACAAGTAAGCTACAACCTTACCAAGCGTAGGAAATTACTTAAGGTGGTCACCGCTGCGAGACAGTGAGACGAAATGGTAATACTACCCGGGGCAGCCACCATTTGGTATGTGTAGGGGGCTGGACATAATAGATGTTAAAGTGGAAAAAGATTAATTATAGCATGTATGAGTAGATAAATAAAAGTGGTGGCGTCACTTGTAAAGTTAATCACCATCCCACGTTTGTCATCGAGTCCTCTATCGAAACACACTTAGTACCGCCAGTCACACGTAGGCGCAAATGAGACCGAAAAGGTAAGTGAGAGCTATAGAACCGGGTATTGAGATGTATCAGCAAAGCATATAAAGCAAATCTCTTCTTCCAACAAGTTCAGGAATGTGTTCACTCCGTAGTCAACAGGCCCTAAAGTTCTTGCACTAGATTCTTACTTCGCAAACCACGCCTCGAAAAAGATTGTCAAATCTGGCCAGACACCATGACCCAAGCACGGGAAACCACGGGAAAATCCGGCTACACTTGTGACAAGTGTGGGTATGATCGGAGGAATTGCTGTTGTTAATAGGTACTAGTTGGCTGTTGCATTTACGCGTAACATCTGCGCTGTGGGCACGGCCGGGCATTGCATAGGCATTTATATGTAAATAAAAGTCTATCCACAGGACACTGAAAATTATCTTTCGAGGGTTGATGTGACTCTAAATACTGTTGTGGGACTCAGAAGACTGGGTCCCCGACGGTCTGCCTCCATAGATACCCACGTGGTTACTCGTCCACACTAATGCTGACAGAGAACCCTGCGCAGGTCTGTTGTAAGTGCACCTCACGCGTGCTCCACTGGAATAGGGCTAGGACGGGAGTAGCTACAAATTATTTATTTCCTATTGATACTAGTATAAATTTCAGAACGACCGCAATTTTCAGTATTACCCAGATTCCATTAAGTAGATTAAGCGATTAGTAACGTCCATTCCGTAACTGCAGCATCAGCCCCCTCAAACCGAAACACCAACTGCCCTTAAGCAGCCCTCTTAGACCTCTTCTCGGAATGCCAGTCCTCGATAGCATCCCAGTGATGCGACCGCTTGCCAATAGGCTTGTTCTTCTCTACGAGTATCTCCGCCTCAGCATCGAAGCAGTCGTGCGAGACCCCAGCGGCGCGGTCGCAGAAGGGCCACAGCGTCTTGTCGGTCATGCGGCAGAAGAAGCGCTCGTGGTGGTTTGCGTAGCTGGGCCCGACGGAGTGGGGGCTCTCGCAGAGTTCCTTGGTGCTGGTGGCCAGGCCTCGCCGGTTCTTGTCGTTGACAAGAGTGCGTGCGTGCCGTTCGTGCAACCGAGGTGGAGGCTGATCAGCTGTGGACCCGCCTTCGACCGCTCGGCGTTTTTCTTCGCGGCAGTACTGGCCCGGGACCATCGCGCATCGACGGTCGCTTCCCGGCTCTTTGAGAACATCGTTCTCATCGTAGTACCAGTCGGTCATACAGTCAACCGGAATATTTTGTTTCGACGTGTCCTCCCAGATTAGTTCCGGATCCTTTTCCCACTCGTTGGAACGTCCCGGATGCTTATTATGAGAAAGAGGAAATGGTTAGTCAGTTTGCATTTTGTGGGGCTAATCGCAGTTTTCTCACCATGATGGGAAGAACCTCGTTCCCGCCTCGCACCTTCTTCCGCGTGGGCCTCGTTATCCAACGAATCTTTGCTGGGTTGGTGACGAAGTCGTCGACGGTCATGTTATCGAGTTCGTCTCCATAGCTACCACGAAAGAACGAAGGGGCCTTAAATTTTACCCCCAACGGAACCTTGTACTCATGCACCCCATTCTCACGCATCCCTCCGTTGAGATCTTCACCTTCAGGTAGGCCAGTCTCGGGCTTTACGTTGGAGGCCCACAAGTAGCTGGGGTACTCCTTCTTCGGCTTCCTTCCGAGCTGGTCAAGATTTGCGCCAATATATTCCTCCTCGAGATCTTTCGTGTGTTTCAGGTCCCCGCGATGATCCAGCCAGAAGCATGCCCCATCGCTCTTTTTATCAGATGTATAAGCATAGCTGTAATACCATGACATGTTGGATGCTCGGCCCCAGCTACCGTCACTGCCCAGCAAGTGTTAGATCATCCAAAGAAAAGAGATCGTATTGGGATCGGGAGTGACATACAATACCCAATTTCGGCCGTCAGGCCATACAAGGATTACAGATGCAACGCAAATAGCATCAAAGTGCCGCTTGATCATGGTCACGTATACCGCCTGTTGCTTTCCCATGTCTTCGTTGTCTGGCATTGGCCAAATCCCCACCGAGTTCAATCCCCCGTTCAGGATCGTAGGCATGTCCTCTCGATAAATCTCGTCGTTGTACTTTTGTGAAAATTTTGGGTCCGGGGGTTTGGGGAATGGGAAATCAAAGTGAGGATCAGCTATTCGGATGGTTTGGTCGTTGTACCCTATAATTTGGCCATGGATGTTCCACAAGCAGATTTGAGGGAATTCGCCTGAGGATCCCTAGTGGAAGAAGCAGAATCAGTCAATTAATTTCAGATGCGAACGGAAATAGTGATTGTTTTACCTGCAGGCCTGTGCCGTCCACGCCGACCTCTTGGCATTTTGAGTTAGCTATTCAAGGGCCCAGTGATAAATTTGGAGCTGCAAGAAGCTCAATCAAGTTACAAGTACAACGTAGTCATAGACTCTCTGAACCCAGTAGCATGATATGTGGTTTTCAGAATTGGCCACAACTTGCACATTAAAATCGACAAAGCTGTTCTACATGGAGTGCAATTAGGGTTGGATGTTGCTTACGGATAGCCATCTTCCAAGACGGGTCGCCATTCTTTTTATTAGGGAATTTCTTCCCAAAAAACAAGCGCTCCTCAGCCTTGTTCATATAATCTCCAAATTCTTCCTCCGTCGTGTCCTCCGGAACCCTCGGGGGGTCCAAGTTGGTGAGAGATTTGGTCAGTCGGGTAATAAAAGTCTCTGTGAACGAGATGACGCCCAAAAACCCACCGATAGCACCTATCCACTGCATGAGTAAAGGAACCTCCCAGAGACCAACTTGCCTGGGTGCAATTTGACTCAAATCATCAGCTTGTGTGAGATTGGGCTGAGGATCAGGCGACAGTTCTGGGGAGGGTACAAGTTCAGAGTTCGAGGCTGCATGTGCCACAGCGAGGATAGTCAAACAGATTGAAGCCCTGTAAAGGGCCCCATATTTGGTACAACGCATTGAGATTTTATCAAACTGGCCGCAAGTGAAGATACGATGAAGTTTGGGGTGAGTGTGAGAGAACGAAAGGGAGTGGGACGAATTGTATGGCTTCGAGGGCACATGAGCCCCTTTTCATTGTAACTTACCTAGGCAGACTCATGCGCACATACCTTGACTTTCTTTTGGGGAGTTCAGCTAAGGCGCAAAAGGCTTACCAACGCCTGTAGCGCTTGATCGAGAGACTAGGCTACAAGCTTCATTGGTCTTGTTCGAGACGGAGGGCCTAAAGTCGACTAGACCGCACCCGGGCTCAATTGCGGTTCCAACAATGCAGCGTTTGGTGAAGATCACCGTCGTATCATCGGCTGTATTTACTCACATAAACCTCTACAGGTCGCGGCTGAGCGCAATAGCCCTAAAAGAGGATCGACATAAAGTCGCGTCGCGCGCCTGTGCGATGGGGCGGTTGTAGGAGCGGGGTCTGCACCCATGTGGATACATTACTTCCATAGCTTTAGTAGTACCTAGTTATGTATCAGTTTGCTTATGACGAATAGTTGCACTTTAAGATATTATGTGATCAAAACTTCAACCTCCGTCCACTGTCATTTCGTAATAGAGTGTTGAAATAACGGTATTGCCACTAAATGGAGCTATGGTTATCAGTCCACTATGAATGGCTGCGATGCCTGCTTCACAAAGGGGTTTCAATTCCAGCGCCTGGCAGCGCGTAAACCCTCCAGGTCAGTCCATCACGGCATCTTGGCCGTCCTGCTTATATTACCACCGGTAACAACTGAGTGAAATATGGGCATCACCGAAATAGTTCTGTCAGCGATCAGTACTATGGACACAGCAATACAACAACCATTCGTTTATAAAAAAAAAGACAAGGTATGAGCTTGTCAGTTCACCGTCCATTGAATTGATTGCTCGGATGAACGTCTGGCGACGCAATTGGAGAATTAGGTCGCCACCGGTCTGTGGCGTTTACCTCTGTACCCTAGGATGGAGGGAACACATACGTTTTGATATATCCATACACATAAGAGACTAAACCATCCACTAGGTCGCCACCAACCAAATAGCCAACACAAGGTTCGACGTTGTTGCGGGGTTAATTGAAGCTAGAAACGTGCTAGCTCCAGACGGATAGAAAGACAACATACGCTTAGGGACCCGGGGATTTGCCAGACATTGATCGTGACCTCTCTGAGTAGGTGTGAGATCCACTGCCTTATCAGCGGATGCAGGTGAAATCGTGTGGTGGTTGAGCACGGCCTAGCTTTCTGGTCGGCAACATTCACATGTTAAGTTACATGCGACACTGCACCTACCGTCATTTCATGGGCTTCGGCAACGGCTGCCTAGGGGGTCTAATCAAAGCCCTAGAATTAACGGTTCCTCGAGAGATAACAGTTTCTCCTCTGAATTCTGGCTTGCCCTCTGGCTGTAATGAAGTTCAGGAAGGAGGAGGAAAGAAGGGAAGAGACACTATAGGATCTTTAAGTCCTTACCTATGAAGGAGAGGAAGAGGTGGGGAATCACGAAGTGTATCGAGAGAGAGCACCTATCGTATTATAACCATCGTTATCGGCATCGTATTCTTTCCAAGCGCTGGGTCTTGAGTGCTTACCACCGCATGAAGGCGCCATGTATGTCCTCAGACGTATACAGAATAGAAGCGAAACCACATATCGAGAGAGGACCTTAGAATTAGCCTTTTTCTAGTACCAAGGTTATCTTCATATAAAAAGGACTGCCTAAAGCTATTAGGGACCTCTTCAGCTACCTAATTCACAGCTAGGAAGAACTCTTTGTTAAAGGAGGGACTGTCATGAAAAATGTAACCGTTAAATCTGCCCAATATCTGTTGCTGATACCTTTAGGTTCCCGGTACGGCATGAACCTTGGAAGGCGCTATGCATGCCTTCCCAGGGTTCGGACGTATGCAGAATAGGAGCAAAACCAGGCAATTACTTGACAGTTACTTACCCATTTATTGCGTGGTAGGCGCTTGAGTGAATCTTTTACATTGAGACATTCACTGCGCGAGGACTCTGATTGATATTTTGGTGACAGCGGGACACATTGGGCCAGGCTGCTGCGAATGGGGCAGTCTGGTGTCGCGAGGCCACTGGATAGAGTCAACGTAGGCGATGACCTTGCGCACGAACGCTTGAGAAGCATTTTCAACATAGCTTTTTATGTGAGCCAACAGGGCCTGATGTGCCGAACATACCAATCCCGAATGGTGGTGAGAAGTAGGAAAGAGACGTGGTTTGAACAATGGTCAACTGGTTCTTCCCTGTTTTACGGGACATCGGAGAGCCTCTTTAGTATTTACAATGAAATGCATGCCATTTACCAAACACGAAGCGACAGCGTTCAAGCCAGATCGATCCACATGTTGAAATTATCGCCTGTCTTCTTGACAACGACGGTATCCTTGCCGCCGGCTGGGGGTAGGACCTTCTCGGCGAGGGTCACGCCGCCGTAGGAGATGCGGAACCTCAGATTGCCACCGTTGGCCGGGCCGGAGGTCGACAAGGTGAACTGGTAGTTGCCGTTGTTGAGGTTCTTGGCCTCATACTGGGCGCTCAAGCCGCCGCCGGTGTAGGTGGTCTCGGGCCACGACACCGTCTGGTCGATCGGGTTCATGCCCTGTCTCCGGGAAAGGTCATCGCGGGCAGCAACGCTGAGTTCGGAGTTGTCTCCGCGGACGGCCACTGATGTGGCTTGGTCTGCTGGGGCGGCGGCTGGGAGCGCGGCAGCGAGGAAGGAGAAGAGAGTGGCGATGGTGATGAAACGCATGTTGGGCTGTTCGTGTTGTTTGCTTGATAAACACAGGTTCAAGTGGGGGGAAGGTGGAAAGAGACTGGATGTAATCGCCCCTAGAAGAGGATATTGAGTGAGTAAGCTAGGGGAGGTGAATATGGTAGGCCTGGTGATGGAGCTGTTTGTAAATCGATGTTGACGATCCTCTTCACATTCGGTCACGCGATGGTCAAGACTAAAACCCAGGATTGTTCCTGAAAAGGGATAGGATCTTCCATATTACTTCGTGCCGTTCCTTGCATACAGACCGATTGAGTTCGGAATAACGTCTGACTCGTCTGTTTGTGTGTTTTCCCGGGGTGTCGTCTTCGGACATATGTCTGTCAACGGTATCTGGCCCAATGCTATTTATAGATACACTATGGCATAAACCAAACACCTAGCCCTTATCTCAAATATTTAGATACCCCTTTCCAAAAGTTTTTTCAGTATAGCTTTCCCTACCTATTTAGTATAACTAAAGCTACTACAGTTAAAATACTAATAAATTTTAGGGAAACCTTTAAGGAACCTTTAAAGGAAATATATTAACTAAAAAGTCTACTTATTAAAAACCTATACTAAACTTGTAAAAGGTTATTTAAAATTAAAACACTAAAAATCTAAAATAAAGAGATAAATTTATATAATATTCTAAAATACCCTCTTTAAATACTCCTTAATTTTAATACCTTTTTAATTAATAATTTATATAAAAATAATATATTAAAAAAAAGAATTAATAAAAACTTTTTTTTAAAGTTTTTTTATTTTTATAGCCTTTTATTTAATAAAATCTAATATATTTAATTAATAAATTAAATAAAAAGATAGAAGTTACTCCTTTAATTATCTATATTACCTTATTTAAATTCCTTTAAAAATAAAATATAACTTAAAGTAAAATAATTAATATTAATATTATAAGTTTAGAAAAATACTTACTTAAAAAAAAGAGTTATTAAGGAAAAAAATTAAATTTAAAGTTAGGAGGGGAAATAGGTATCCTTTTATTCTTATAAGGGGTATATTTTAGTTATAAACCTTTATATATTAAAAACTAACCTCTTTTCTCTAGCTATACCTTAAGTAAATAATAGCTATAAGTTAAGTATAGCTTTTCTAATATAGAGGTTTATGTATTAGAGATAACCTAGCCCTATGTGTTCTAAAATAGGGGTTGCTAAGTAGATTTCTGGCAGGTTCCCCTCATTAACCGTCCTTATGGTCAGTCTGGAATTGAGTGGCTTCCCCTAATTTGGTAATGCACCTGGGGTGTAACTCCGAGTTCGCGGAGCCGGAAGGGTCTGGACCTCTTCTTCCACCCTATATGGTGATGGCTCTGTCCATAGTGTTTAGGAACACTTGGGAGTTGGTGCGTCTGATTATTAACCACTCCGCAGACGACGCAGATTTGGTATGCAGTCCAAGACAACAAATGCTTAACCAGGCAAGGCACCCAGCCCAGTCCAGCCAGAGCATTAAACAGAAAGTTCGTTATTTCATCCGTCAGTCAGATATCAAGCAAGCCATATGTTGCACTCGGGACCTATAACCCGCGGTCGAGACCGCTCGCGATTGCGATTGCGAGAAGTTGGAAGGGAGCCCCACCGTTAGCTGCAGTCTTTGGCGAATTCTCCATATGTTGCTTCATGCGGAATGTGATAATTCGCCGACAGTCGAACGATATGAGGGCGGAATACGAGCCGTTGAACAACCACGTCCATTTTGAAGCTACCCCGGCCCACCACCTTCCGCTTGCAGACCATCCCGCGCGCCTCCACAAGGATTTATTACCTGGCCGCATCGGCGATGCAGCCAAGAACCAAGTCAGCGCCGATGTAACAAGCATTCGTTTATTTGGTGCCGACGGACCCAAGACCACAGCTGCACTAGCCCATGACAGTCGGTGGCTGGAACTTGTCTACACTTCCAAGATTCGGATGGGCGGGTTGGCGCAGCGCGTGCACGAAGATGGTTAGCTGGCATGACAATTCACCACATCATATTCCCGAGGACAGGCCTTGTGAGGCCCGATTAAGAGGGACCAGTAAAGTGGACAAGGGAACCGAGTCGAAGAAGGTGGGCTTATAGGAACCGAGGCTGGAATGTCGATCACTCTCGAGAACAAGCCCGAAACAGTCCTTGAGGTCGAAGAACGTCACCGTTCAGCAATGTGTGTATGCTCAACGGTCTGAGAGAGAAGACTAGTGAGTCAGTGAGAAGGTTGACTATAGTCCCTGCAACAGCCACCGACTTGCGATGTAGATGTTGCCGCCAGATTCCCGGGTCTATCCTCGGACTGGGCTAATCTAAAGATGACAAGGCTAGCTCTGGAGTGGTGCAACGCGACTCGATTAAGTGTCAGTCTGCCCAGGTGCTACCGCCCGAGCAGCACCTGAGCATGCTTGCAAGACGGCTAAATGGGCTGGCGCAGGATACAGTTGATGGGTCCGATACGAGGTTCCATCAGATCTGAATTATGAAACAGACTCAACAATTCTCGCGGATAAGATATCCCAACACTGAGTTTCCTTTCCATGCAACTCAGTATTGTCCGTGTCTATGGACCTCGGGGTGCTTGGGATCATCCCAGACACGACAGCCCTCCGAGTCCTCTTCCCAAATTTGAGAACAACTCGCTGGCATTGTTTTCCCAGCAATATCTAAATAGTCTTCCTCCCCGCACTTCTCGGAAGCCCTAATCACCTTAGTGACTACGCCGTTGTAAACCCGGTTCTTAGTCGTCGACAAAGGCGCTAGAACCGTTGTCAGCGGTTGCCGCTAGTGCAACGACGACTTGAAACCAAGACAACACCGCTGACCCCCATTACCCTTGGACATCGTGGGATCGGACGATGTCAATGGTCATGCCTATCTCTTGCTGGTCTTGCTGCGCGTCATGGTCTCCCGCTGTTGAGTAGCGACTCGGACTTTCTGACACGTGCCATTGTAGAGACTGGGCACACATTGGGCTCTTGACCGCCATGGCCACATTTGACTAAACGATGACGTCGCTGGTAGAAGAGGTCTCATCCACATTAGGTGAGATCTGATAGGCCAGGTTCGGGAATACTTGAAAATTCTTCTATGGCTCTGTTCCTCATGGCTGTTCAGAGCCGCTGGCTTCTCGTCGAACAGGTACCCTATCAAACGGGACCGTAAACACATGAGTTTGTGTGTGCGGACAATATCAAGGCTTGGCGAACTCCTTCGATGTGCCTACCGGAAGTTGATATTTTCCTGGTTGTGACACAGAAAACGTATAAGCTCGCTAGATATAGAAGAAACAGTAATTACCGCATCAGTGGCACTAATTCTGTTCGGGATGGTACATTGCCTGAGAGGCATATGAAGATGTCTATGTGTGAAACCGCCACGGACGACCTGCTACCATATGCTGCCCTACCAGTGACTTTCCTCCTAGACTCTGCAGCCTTCCCAGCGGTGAAAGAGGCCCCATACTTCTATCAGCTGCCATATCATTTCATAGAACGACACGAAAGCAAGCTTCAGGTACCGCGGTCAGGACTCCCAACCCTGACAACAATTTCATCTTTGCGAGTAGTCATTCCGAGATAACCGACAGACTGTTTGCCTAATAACGCCAGGATGGACCATCACCGGCTCAAGGCTCCTGGGACAGGCTTGGGAGCCGGTCAAGGTGGCAAAGTCTGACATGACTGACGACAACCCAGGCGCCATGTTCCTAGGCTATGTGTTTGTGGGCTTGGAATTTGCAGATCCACTGTGGGGTTCAAGTTTCCTGCCAGTAACTACTTGATGACGCAGGATCTTCTTGAAATCTTGAAGAAGGATGTCAACTCGGCTTTGGTTGGGAAAGGCTAGCGTCAATTGCTGAAGCCTCGATCGGTCATGAAGGCAGTAGACTTCTGCGTCCATGCCTTATTGAGCTTTATGCAATTAGTGCTGTTCCAAATGCTAATTAACATAGTTTCTGGATGTTGTTAGTTCACAAGACTGCGCTGATACCTATTGTTTTCGCGGATCCGTTTCTTGTCGCATCCTCCAAAGGATCAGCCACAGACGTTCGAGCACTTCCAAGGCGTAAGCACAGTGGAGCATTGGAAAATAGCGCGAAGCACTACTACTAGACTACAGGATGGATCCAAGGTTCTTTGTGCAGGGATTTCTGTCGGCAGGACACCTCAGCACATAGGTCAGCAATGCTCACTCATGCTCCTCAAAGACTGTCATCATCTCTGCGTCCCCAATGCCTCAAGGGTACAATTCCACTAAAAGCACCTTTTACTGTCGCTATGCCCCTTAAAACAGCCCTCATCACAGGCTGCAGCGAGGGCGGTCTGGGTGCCGCCCTCGCCAAAGCCTTCCAGGAGCAGGGCTACCACGTCTTCGCCACCCTACGCAATCCCGCCAAAGTGGGCGCCCTAGCTGGCGAGGAAGGGACAAATATCGACGTTCTACAGCTCGAAACCACGTCAGAGGAGTCCATCAACAACTGTCTCAAGACAGTGAAGAAAAAGACGGGCGGGAGTCTAGATGTACTGGTCAACAATGCGGCGATCGGCACCACGATGCCGCTGATTCACGCCTCGATCGAAGACGCAAAGGCGATGTACGATGTCAATGTTTGGGGCACCCTGAGATTGATACAGGCATTCTCACCGCTTCTTCTCGAGTCCAAGGGCGTAGTCATGAACATATGCTCTATTGTTGGCGCTGCGAATGTAGCGTGGCAAGGTATGGGGTCTCAATGTGTTTGAAAGATCAAAATAGACCAACAGGTACTGACAAGGAGCGTCAACTTAGGAATATACAACAGCTCCAAGGCCGCGGAGACGATGATGTCAGAAACGCTGCGCATGGAGCTGGAGCCACTTGGGGTGCGCGTGATGACCGTCATGCTGGGTCAGGTCAGCACACAGATGTACGCCAACACCCCGACGTTTAAGCTGCCCGAAGGGTCACCATATGAGAAGATCGCCGATATTATCACTAGCTCCAGCAAGGGCGACTTGAACCACGATAATGAGCCGGCCGACGTTGTGGCGAGGAACCTAGTGCGGGATGCGATCAGTGGTCGCCGCGGCCAGATTTGGCGTGGTGGCCTGGCCGGCACCGTGTACCTTTCGTTGTGGCTTTTACCGAAGAGGCTGTTTGAGTGGATTGTGCACCTGAAGAGGGGCGTATATGATCTTTAGGCGGCTCTGCCTGCTAATCTCAACAAGGGATGCGGTGGCGATTGGAGTAATTACAGTATGCAGCCGTCGTCCCACCTCAATCTGAGAAAACGGGAGGATCAGAGGCCAGCGGACCACGATCCTACATATCGAATGGTGAGATCCGGTGCTGGCAGAATCCGTCACTAAGTGTAGCGAGTTATAACCCGACATTTTCTCAAGTTGCTATGACTCTCAAAGAAACTACCATAGCACTTAAGCTGTTAGAAGGGATATATGCATCTCGTCTTTTTGTTCTTCTTTTGTTGGGGTGGGGGGCGGTTGCAGTTCATGCCAGCGCTAGTAGGATACAACAAGGTTCAAACTCCAAAAGCCTGCACAAACGTCAGGAAAATGTCCTCAAAACTAGGACATGGCGATGTTCGCAGTTGGAAACACCGCTGTAAAGTTCTAGTCCTACAATTTAGATGTCCTTTTTCGTCCCAATCTCTTGGTTCCTCCTGTGCTCCTCCACGAACCATTTACCGGCGATTTCAAGGCCTTCATGTATGCTGACCTTGGGCTGGTACCCAGTAACCCGTCGGAAACGATCTGCATTGAGAGTACGTGTAATGGTTGTGAGGTGAACAGCTTCTCGTGTGACGGCCGGATGGCCGCGGCCCAGAGTCCGAATCCAAGTGACCCATTCAATAATAAACGCCCCAAGGAGCGCAACCCATGCGAGAACAACCTTAATCTCTTCCGGCTTCACCGGCAGTCCGATAGACGCGGATACACCTCGCTGAAAGTCCCAAAAGAGGATGCGTTCGTGATTCGTGACGTTGAAACACTGGCCGTCGACGCGTTTGCTGTCCTCCGGCGCAGGTTTGCCATAAGCATTGTGTAGTGCCCGTGCGGCAAGAATGTGCGCGTCGATGAGGTTCGACACGTACATAACGTCATACTCATTGGTGCCGGGGCCTATCTGAACGTTGCCCTTGCCGGCTCTGCAGGAGGCCACGATCTTGCCCATGAAGATTGTGTCTCGTTCGCCAAACGCGGTGGCGGGACGCAGTGAGACGACCAACAATGATGAATCGCCGCCACGCCGATTTGCGGCGATGAGGTCTGCTTCTGCTTCGGCCTTGGTTAACGTGTAAACCCGCTTCTGTGCCGGGTACTTGAGCACAGGTGTCGAATCATCCGCGTCGACGAGGTCGCTGATATTGTCGTGGATCACGGAGGAGGTGGACGTGTTGACCAAGGAGCGGACTGTCCCGACTTTTTGGGCCGCTGAGAGGATATTCTTCGCTCCGCCGACGTTGACGCGTCTGAATACTTCGGGTTGCTGTACCATGGAATCGGGACAAGCGACGTGGAAGACGGTCCTGGGTCTAGCCTGCTGAAAGATTGCCTCGACATCGGCGGCTGAGGCGATGTCACATTCGTGATACTTCACTCCGGGATGAGTGTTGCGCCCCACATTGATGTCGATAACGTGGATCTCGCTCTGGGGCTCTTGAGCCAGAAGGTCTTTGACGAGGTGGTAGCCGATGAAGCCACAGCCACCAGTGACAAGAATCGGGCTGAGTGAAGGGGCCATAGTGTCCAATCTGGTCATAGTGATAGTCGCAGCAAATGAAACAAAGTCACGCTGCTTGCCAGTACATCTAATGCAAAGAGCGGCCTCTAAAGACGAGTCCAGTGGGTGGGTTTCGAACTGCGCGACGCCATCCGACTTGCCATCTCGGCCATTTTCAGCCGCTCTGTTGGTTGCCCGTGTGGGGATGATGTACCCTTCCAGGGCCGTACCCTGGCAACCTGGTAGTCTGTTGCCTCCGCTGAAAATCCGCCCCACGCGTTCAGCTAAGGGAAACCAACAGACGGTGACATGCTCGTGATTGGAAGGGCAGTTGGTGCTAGGGTCAATTTTGAGCAATGACAAGGTTCCGCTGCCCACAACTCTGTGCCCACTATACCTGATCCTACATTCCAAGGTTGTTAGTGAAGCGCCGCCTGAACCAACATGCCAGCCTGCATAGTACTATGTAGTACCGCTGCAAGCATCAAACATGTGAAGTTGAACTGACTCGGAGCAACACTAATAATAACTCATAAAGGCCTGTGACCTCCCCCACAATTTGGTACAGCTCTCTCTTGCTGGGAAATTGTAAGTACCCTTCGCTCCCCGAAGGTCGCCTTGCACACCTGTAGACACCCTTTCAATCTTGAATTCCTCTGCCTAGGTTAGGTAGGCAGGTACCTGGGGCTCTGCGCACTAAAACCGGTGTCTATCTCCGTGTATTATCTCTGTCTCAGAAAAACGAGAGTTGCCCCCCCCCTGTTTTATTACCTCTATTAAAAATTTTAAAGGTTTATTAAAAAGTAGTTTTCTTTTAATAACTTTATTAATACTTAACTTAAAAATATAAAAAAAAATATTTATAATCTTTATAAAAGTCTTTATAGGATTAAATTTTTAAAATAATTTTTATTAAAAGTTTATTTATTACTAGGGTTATAGGTTAAACTACTTAATAGGTTTGTGTACTTACTTATTTTATTAGTTTAATAACCTTTAGACTTTATATAAAAAAGATTTAATAAAAAATATTTTAAAAATATTACTATATAGGAGTTTTAATAAGGATTATAAATATATTTTTTATATATTTTTAAGTTAAGTATTAATAGAGTTACTCAAAAAAGATTACTTTTTAATAAACCTTTAAAATTTTTGATAGGGGTAATAAAATAGGGGAGGGGGGCAACTCTCGTTTTTCTCAGACAGCTGTTTGGTGAGTGACTAATAGCGGCTAGATGACTGATTATAACCTCTGATGTTTGCAAACGCCGCAAATACTCATGTCTGTTAGTTTTCTTGTTTTTGATCAATGCGAAGTACACGTACACAAGTAACTACTTATGCAGCCTCCAGGCCTCAGCATTTGAGACTGCAGTCAAGCCCAGCTGGCAGGTGCGTTGGTAGTTCCAGTCCACCATGTGACGGGGCTGCTTAAACGGGGCCTCAAAAATCCGTTTGGGTGTCATTTCTGCGGATCCTCAACAGCTGGTTCCACTTTCGCACGTTCGCTTGCCGACCAACATCAACTTGGGTTGCTTTGGATGCTACACTACATGGGATGCTATAGGCCCACCTGAGGCCCAAAATTTACCAGAATGATAGGCTTGGTGCTAGCAGAAACTGCGAGCGAGTCGCAGTCATCTTGCCAGGTCATATTGACCCCGCGCTGCCATGTATTGCTTCAGAGACTGTACCCTTCCTACGCGGATTTGAGCAAACATCAATTACCATGTGAAACGCCCTAAACGCATTTTCGATTAACCAAATCACACTTTATCTTCACGGGGTCGATTCAGACAATTCAGCAACACAACCATGTCAACGACTTTGAGTCCGCTAGACCACATTCCGGCGGCAACTCCACCAACAGGGGTCACACCGAATCTCATCGATCCTCCATCGAAAGGGAAAGAGATCATGGTACTCGATGGTATTTTTACGGGACTTATGCTTCTCGCCGTACTGGTGCGGCTTACGGTTCGCTCCAGAATCACCAAGCAGTGGGGATGGGATGACTGTCAGTTTCGGAATTATCAGGGCCACTTCTGCTACCGCTCATATATATTTACTGACCCATGAATTGATATAGTGACCTGTTCTCTTGCCGCCGTACGTACACTCATCGTCATGCCTATCAAATTTGCTAACAAGTAAAGCAAGTTGGGCTCCCTGGCTCATATGGTTATTTACATCCAAGGTACGGAATCTGGTTCTCATTCGCGTGCAATCGGCAGCTAACAAGGCCAAGTCATCAATAATGTTGGATTTGGGCGTCACATGTGGGACATTCCTGTCTCATGGATTCTTGTTACAAGAAACACCCAGGTAAGCAACCATGCCGGAGCACCCACCCAACCCAGAGCATTTCCGTTCACTTGCAACAATTTTGAGGTCGTAACTTTGGAATATTTCTGACGGAACTGTCAGCTTTTATCGTCGCTTGGTGTTGTTTACCCGTTCACCATATTCTTCGCCAAGCTTTCGATCCTGCTCCTTTGCCTCCGCCTCTTCGGAGTCAACCAGATATTCAAGAAGATCGTTATTTATGGAGTCATCATCATGGCACTCTTCTACACCGCCATGATCGCTGTTGCTATAGCATCAATGACCATATGTAACGGCATGGCGGCGACAACCTCACAATTCTGCGACAATTACAGTGGACCAGTCATCATGTTAAATGCTGTCTTCAACGTCGTGTCGGACTTTTGGATTCTGATATTGCCTTTCCCACATATTTTGAAACTTCAACTACATTCTCGACAAAAGATAAGCCTCACGATTGTGTTTGCGGCTGGTCTCGCGTAAGTGTGTTCAACACCCCGCCCCTTCTCCGCACACACAAACATTTGAAGACATCCCTATTTCCTCTGACCTGGTCTCTCGATTCACATTGTATTCTAACAATGCCACAGTGTTTGTGTAGCGAGCTTGGCTCGCATGATTGAATTTGCCATCAATTATGAGAACACGGATGTCATCTGGGTGCAAGCAATTAATACCGAGTTCACGTTCGTATCCCCCTTCCGCTTGCTTCGTCCCGAGGACGACGTCCTTCTAAGCGAAGCGCCAACTCGCCAACTGACCATTAAAATTGCAGTATCGTGGAAACGAACGTAGGTGTCATCGTTGCCTGCGTCTTTACCTTCCCTATCTTCTTTTCGAGCCTCAATATCCACCTGCAATCGGCCATCCAGTCACTCCATACGCTGCGGGCTTCTTGTCAGAGGAAAAGGACCACTAGGAATCCAAGAGTATCTCAGCTTCCGAAGGACTCCTTTCTTCAGACTCAGGAAAGCTTGAACAACAGTACCGAAGATGATCAATACGCATGTTGAGGTATTTCACATCACGGGAGTCGCGCTGGAAGCCTTAGAAGGTGTGAGCAAGGGCTATAGACTGGCTACTTTGTCTTTAGCGAATAGGAGAGTGGTCTGCTCCAAATTCTAAGCCCACGACAACATTACCTAAGGACCCGAGGTCCACAGTGCAGAATTGAGTGTCGAAGCTGTGAGACGTGGAGTTCTGGCCGCGCTGTCATGCGTCACATCGCTCAGCTCATCAGATCCGGCAGTCGTTGATACCCAGAACTTCCATTCGCGTCAAATTCGGACCATCAAGTCTAATGTTACCACAGTATCGCGGTTGGAGTCCCAGTGGAGCCCACGCCCCGCTGTTAATGCGGAGCCCGGTGCCACGCAGACCGACTGACTGCGCCGCAGAGGTGCAGTTTGGGCGCTTAGAGGACTAGGAAACCCAGTACTGCTGTGGGACTTGTGCACTTGGCCTGAGGTGACTGATCTGGATTTTGGACTCCCTGTGTGCGAGCGATTCCACAGTGGCCCACTGCCATCAATGATCGTCACTCCAGTGCTGTGCCGTCACACACTTAAACACAAGATGGCCATGCCCACACCCTTCCTGATCTACATTCCTTAACCTTGTATTGTTGTTCCTCAATTAGCGTTGAAAGTGTTACATATCTATGACTCGTCTTCACACACTCACCTCCATGGTCACGAATTACCTCTACGCCGGACAAAATGGACGCCGCTACACTTGCACAATACTTGGATTTCCCGATCCGGGCGCCACCCGAGGGAGTCACTTCTAATTTCGTCAATCCGGAGTCCATCGCCTACCAAGTGCAGATCACTGCGGGTTTCTGCCTTGCACTGATGGCAATATTTTCCACGTCGCGATTTGTGTCTAAGATGACTGTCGGTCCGAAAACCATCAAAACCGATGAGAGTGAGGGCTCCCCCCCCCAACCCCTACTGACGATCAATGAAACTGACTTCAACCTGCTGAAGTCGTATTTATTACTGGATTAGTAGGACACCCATGATGGTCATTCCCGTGGTACCCTGTCTGTATATAATTGCTAACTTAGCTAGTTCCTTTGCTATGTCTTCATCGGCATGACCTTAGCTTGTGAGATCCAGTGCAAGACTGTACTTTTGTGTGTCTATCTAACACTCTACAGATATTTCCGGCGACAGTGCCTTTGGCAGACATTCTTGGGATGTTCTTTTACGCTCCTTAACTAAATCTCAACTTGTGGTAAGTCCCCTGCGCAGTTCTGAAAAGGTTTCCATGCGCTAACAAGCCAGTTATGCCTGCTTGTTGAGATTTTCATGCCTTTGGCAATTTGTCTCATGAAAGTCTCCGTTCTGATACTATACCGCCAGATATTCCACGTACTGAGGTGGATGCGGATTGCAACCATCACAGGCATTGTAGCCATCGCGGCATTTCACGTCTCTATGTCCGTTGCCTATGCTGCCATGTGTGCCCCATCCTCGGGCACTTCACAGCTTGACTTCCTCGCTGCATTTGTGTCCGACAAATGCTCGAGCACACGATCTCTCGTTGTGATACAAGGTGTTGCCAACGTCATTGCTGATGTATTTCTATTAATTCTGCCGCTTCCTGCCGTCTGGGGGCTTCAGATGCCTCTTAAACGTAAGATCGGCGTCATGTCCATGTTTTTGGTTGGGCTTTGGTAAGTAACATTACGGGATCCGAGCATTGGGATTGGGAATTTGACAAATCACAGTGCTTGTGCATCTAGCATCATCGGTCTCATATACAGGACTCAATACTACACCTCTGGAGGGGGCGCTGGCGGGGACAACCTCCGCCTAGCCATTCCGGCATCGACAACATCGTGCGTGATTATCTATCCTTGGCATCAAATCTTTCATCTACTAAAAAATATCATTTAGCATGGCTGAGCAAGCAGCGGCTGTCATAATTTGTTGCATGCCTAGCACAGCCGCCCTCCTAAAGTCAACAAAGACACCGGTGCAAGCTTGGTGGTCATCTCTGAGTAGTCGGGCAATGCGCCTGTCCATTTTCAAACGCTCTGATACGCCCAAGTCTGTCAGCCAGTCCAACTGCAAGGGCAGTTTTGAAAATGGCAGTGTCAACAATGGCAGCTCCAACAGTGGCAGCTTCAACAATGGCTTGAATGCTGCCCACTCTCAACCACATTATGGGGCGCATGCCACATATATTGATACTAACATAAGCAATGACTCACTGGAGGAGATCGCCTCGCACCAGATGTACCAGCAGCAAATTCATGGGAATACCGGGGTCTAAGAGAAGACAGAAGTCCAGGTTGTGTTCATCAGATGCGTTCAGATGAGGTGTGAAGAGCGCGACAGGACGCAGGCGCAAGATTCGCAATGAGCATTTCAGGCTCATCATTGGGGTTCAACTTTATAGAGTTTAATAAAACAATCACAAGTCGAATGGTGTAGTCCAGGTTGGCTTCCTTCCACTCCTTAGTGTCTGTTTCCCGGAACCCATTAAGTGCCGGTCATGCCTCTTCCCAGAAAGGACCAGCAATACGATATAGATGAGAAATGGGGTCATGAACAGGATCAAGCCTGAGCCCGGATAGCAGAAATGCCTCTGGTATGTCCAGAGCGTCCATCTGAGCCGATTTGGTAGTGAGATGACTCTTTGGTTACAATTGAAGCCATGGCTAGCTTCACTCGCAATAAGTATACATCCCGAAGGCGTGCGCGGTACCCTCGTACACTGGCAAACAGTCAAAAACTCGGCATTTGTATAAGAATAACAAAGAAAACTAGAAGAAAAAAAATACTGAACCTGCTGAGTAAATGCCCGGGAATCCCTGCGGGATCCCGGTGGTACCTAGGTATCTGAAACTATGCGAGTCCCGATGATGACATTCGTTGTAGATGGACATCCACAAATTTATTCCCTTGGGTTACTGACACCTCTGATATGAGTTGTCGCAATCTATATTTGGTGCTTCCAGGCTAGTAACGTGTTGGCTCCTAGATGCAACTGTTGGCACCAGTCGGGCGAATCCTTCGCTGCGGAACGACGTGAGTGCCACCAGCAGCTTTTAGTGCAGCCTCAAAAACAAGCCCTTCCGCACTGCGCCGTCCGAAATGAGTTTCACAACTCTTCCAGCCATCCACGAACTCGTTTGTATCCGAAAACCGCCAAAATGTCTTCCACTGCTAGTAATCCCACATTTTTAGTCTTCTTTATTGGTGTCGTTACTCTTCTTTACTTTGTTGCCTGTAAAATATTCGGCCACGATCCTCGCGAGCCGCCTCTGGCCCCACAGTCCATCCCCGTTATTGGTCACATGCTTGGGCTGTCTCGGTCCAAATTCAACTACTATGTCGAACTCAGGTATTCATGTAGCCCTTGACCCTTCACACGTGGTGACTGCGAGTCTGACTGGATCGTTCCAGCCAGCAGGTGGACTCGCCCATCTTCACTATGCCGCTACCGGGACAAAAAATGGTGAGCAAATCAGGGCCATTTGTTCACCCCATCAACACAGCAAATTCCGCACTCGTAAATCTCGACTGTGATGGCACTATCCTGCATGTCCTTTCCTGGCGAGACCACTCATGCACGCTTCAGGAAAAGGCCCGGAACAGACTCGGAGGAAGTCTTGTCTTCCAGTCTATTTCTTTCGTATTTCTGCCCCACCACTTCAATTTGATGGCTAACGCTGGGGAAAGTATGTCTTGAACAATATCGAGCTCATCCAGACGGTACAGCGACAACACAAGATTCTTGCCTTTCCGCCTATTGAAGCGAAATTCGCGTCCACGGTCTGTGGAGTAAGCCATGGGGCCCAGGCCATCTTGGCCAAAAACGTCAATGGCGATGATGGTGATTTTGGTCTTTCCATGGAGTCATATGCTGCGATGCGAGCCGCGGTCAAGCCTGGCCCTCAACTCGATGATATGAATCACACTATGATCCAAGAGACGGTGAACATGCTGGATTCTTTGCAACCAGCAAACGCCGAGTCAAAGAAAATTGGCATGTACGGCTGGCTGAGGGATGCTATTACGACAGCAACTACGAGGTCTGTCTACGGTCCAATGAGCCCATATGACGATAAGGCTGTTGCCGATGCTTTCTGGTAAGTCAAACCTGATCTTACAGATGATCACCTGGGCATGCAAACGCAATAATCCCCTAACTTCAATCCAGGGAATTCGAAAGCGGCCTGGTGTCAATTCTTGTCGGCATCCTTCCTTCAATCACGGCTAGGAAAGCTATAGCTGCTCGGGCTAAGGTTGCGAAAGCCTTTGAAGAATACTACAAGGCTGGTGGCGTTAAGAAAGCATCGGCCTACGCACGTTTGCGATATCAAACCTCGATCGACAACAACCTTTCATTAGAAGACATCGCCCGCTTCGAGGTTGGAGGCTCGATGCCTGTTCTAGTCAACACTACACCTGCAGCTTTCTGGACCTTGCTTTTCTTCTTTTCTCACCCTGGCCTTCTGGCCGAGATCAGGCAGGAAATCGATGCCTGTACCAAGACAACAAACAACAAGGACGGAACTATAGTCAAATCCATTGACATAACGGCCCTGAAGGAGGCCTGCCCTCTGATGTTATCCTCTTACCAGGAGGTTCTTCGGTACACTTCGATGGGCACATCTGTGCGCGAGGTCATGGAGGATACCTACCTTGACCGATGGCTGCTGAAGAAGGGCGCTATGTTGCAGATGCCGAGCCGCGTTATCCACCAGGATGCCAGTCTCTGGGGAAAAGACGTTGCTGAATTTGACCCACGTCGATTTTTGTCCGGGAGAAAGGACCGACCCCGCAACGAATACTTCCGCGCATTTGGTGGCGGCAAGACTCTCTGTCCTGGTCGACACTTCGCTACCAATGAGGTCCTTTCTGTTGCCGCGGTCTTTGTTGCCAGGTTGGACATGAAGCCCGTGGGGGGGGAGTGGAAGCACCCAACTACGAGAAACACTAATGTGGCTGCGGCCATCATGGAGCCTGATCATGATATTGAGGTTGAGATCACGACGAGAGAGGGTTTCGAGGGCGTCAAGTGGGAAATTGGGCTTCGTAGTTCGGACAGAATCTTTGCCTTGGTCTCGGAGGACAGTGCGCAATCGTAGTCGTCGATTGCTTGTCTTCCGTATGTACCTAGGCAGGAGGGTGATGAGTTGTATAACTCATAAGGACAGATGGAACATTACGCATTGAATCAGCTATGCGAATAATTCTGCATTTCCTCAAAGTATGATACATTTTCAAGAGACGAAGGTAACGACCTCACTATATCAATCTCGTATTTAGACAGGCAAACCAGATGCGTGTACATATGCTCCGCAACTTCCAACTGACAATAACGCAACTGCTAGAAACTCGTCTAGCAGCCAACACGAATAGCCTGAGCAAAGAGAGCATAAGTATCGGCGTGGTTCAGGTTCCGGGCGGCAGTCAGCCCGCGGACACAGGTGTACCCGTAGCAGCTGTAGTCGTCGGTGCCCTTGACCTGGGTCAGGTGGGTGGCCTCGTGGACGACGACGTAGGGGCGGTCGGTGCCGTGGCAGGTGCTGGTCGACGCCGGGTACGAGAACCAGGTCGGGCAGTAGTGCATGTAGCTCTGGCTGGGGACGGTGTAGGCGACGACGGAGCCCTGGCACGCGCCGGCCGAGTCGGTGCAGCGGATCTGCGTGTTGCCGCTGGTGCCGCTGCTGCACTGCGAGGCGACGTTGTTGAACACCTGGGCGACGGTGCTGCGCGTGCTCGCGGTCGAGCTCTTGAAGTACTCCTCTGCTTCTTGTTAGTAGAGTGACACACACAGCCTGGGATTGGGAAAGTTCAAGGCAAACTTGTCTAGAAAAGAAGGATTCTCTTACCGAGCTTGGCTGCGGGCGCCGAGTTGGCAGCAGTCGCCGCACCTTGGGCGTACTGCACACAGCCGGACAGCGCCGAGGTCAGTGTGCTCCTCTGAGATGTGCTGCAGGTCGAAGCGATAACGGTGCGCCTCAGCGGCGAGTTCTCGTGCACGCTGGAGGCCTGGGCGCCGTCAACAGTCGCCTTGATGGCGGCGGACTCGATGCTGGCTTCCCCGATGATCTCGGTGCTGTTTGCTGCCGCGTACTTGACAGAGCCGGTGGCGGCGATATCGAAGTCGCCGCCAGCGCTGAGGTCGTGCATCTCGGCCACATCAAATAGGGCCTCGACGGTCTCGCCAGCACCCAGAGTCTGGAATTCTTCAACATCGACCATGGTCGAGTCGACGAAGATCTTCAGGCCACTGAATGCAACGTTCTCGCCTGTGAAATGGGTTAGTTCGGCACTTGAAATGACGCATTAGTTGCTGGACTTACCAGCCACGGACACGGCAGTCTTCTCAATAGGACGCGAGTCCAGAATGCTTCCAGTCTTGAAGACGTTCAGGGCCTCGTTGCCGGTGTTGGTGATCTTGGCCTTGACCTCGCTGTTACCGACCATCTCGAGTTCGACATTGATGGGCGAGTCACGCTTGCTGATGTCGACAGCAAGAGCGTTGGCCAGAGCGGCAAGGTAGGGAAGGCTGGCGATGAACTTCATTGTGAATTTTGGGACGAAGATTCAGCTTGGCAGGCAGAGATAGTGACTACCAGACTCTTTCTGAGGCATGATCACAGTCAAAAGCCAGTGACTATATATATTTGTTTCCCTGGCTCCAGCTCACACCCGTAGACTAAGCCACTTCTTGCAGCTCTTCCTCCAGTGACTCCTCAACATCGCAAGAACGGGGGCATACAAAACAGGAAGGTTACTTGTATTTTATTATGGATACCCATCCCGGGCTTGGCGGGCATCTGGCAGAAATTGTGGACTAGAATTGACAGCCAGTAGGTCGGAAACAGTTCCTCCTCTGGCATCCAGTCGCAAGCGAGCTGGTCCCGGGTAGGGAGGTGGCGCTTAGTGGCACCACTTATACGAGAAGGCTTTCGATTGCACTCATTGTTTTTCATTGTATGGTCACCGATCGCCTAAAGCTGAGCTGGCAATACATCTCTGGTAAATCTAGCTAGCCCCGTGACCGTCCACCTTCATATAATAACATTACCCTCTACAACAAGACTGAGGCAGCAAAAGAAAGCGAGGAAGCTGGACAACTTGGATTGAACAGATTGCACAACTAAAGACTCAATTGAGTGCGCCAAGAAGGAAACACTATCAAGATGAGCATGATTGATTCCGAGGCTTCTCCTGACCCCCAGTGCTAGACCTGGGGGACCACCGATGCAGCCACATCGGACGAGGAAATCCAGGAGCCCAAATACGCGCGTATTAAAAAGGAAGGTTGCCTCTATCTTGGGTCTACTTCTTTTAGTAGCGTCTTGGGTACCCGTTATTTTGATTCTTGGCTTTGTTGAAGACTTAACCCACCAATTAACCCTATCTGATGCTCAGTACGGTGTTTGACCTCTCTGCCACTGGAGTCTGGACAGGTTCGCCCAGCTCTTAGCTATACTTGGCCCTACTTGGCTCCTGTCGAATGCAGCTAGCCCAGCACGGTAAATCGGCATTTAGAACGTGACAAGCACCGTAGACGGGGACCTTGGCATGCTTGGCCCGGCATATCTCCCCTTTTGCATATGCACTGGCCACAATCTTGATCAACGTGACCAAATACGATGACTCCTCCGTGGTGGGCTCTCTCGTCTGTCACATATCTAGACCCCAAGACTTGTGGCGCATACTCCTGATATATGCGCAGTCTGATGAGAGGGATACATGTCTATTCGCTCCAGCCACTGACAGGATCTCGGTTCACACTTCGCACCTATCTCGTACGCATTTCCGGCAGTTTATCCGCCGTGGCCGTGACAAAGCCTCGTTTGTCATTTGATCCCCGACCTGAATCCTCCCGAGTGTCCATACAAGCCACTAGTCTCAAATCCCAACCATCGGATTACTTTCACAATAGCCCAGATCTGATTGCCGGAACGGGACGCCCATGACCTCCCACAGCAACCGAGCGCTGCTCCTGGTCCTAGGCCTGTTCGTCCTAGGCGTCGTCTTCTTCCCAGGCTTCACACCCACACGGCCGATAACCCAGCGCGACGCCCAACACGTCATGTCCGACCTCTCACTGGACAACCTGGAGGTCTCGCTCGCGCAGGCGTCCCCCGCAGACACCCCGAGGCTGTCCGTCTCCGTAAAGAACACACACCCCTCGACAACGCTGACGCTGCTGCGGTGGGACTCCCCGCTGGACCCCCTCGCGCTGCAGCTGGGGCTCATCGCCGTGACGCCCGCGGGCGGCGCGTCTGCCCCGCTCGACATGCCGACCATCCAGATCCGCCGCGCGATGCCCCCCGACGCCGAGTCGCTGGTGACACTGCGGCCCGGCGAGTCTGCGAGCAGCGTCGTCGAGCTGCGCGACTCGTTCGTGCCTCGGGACACGTGGGCCCAGGGCAAGGCGAAGATCGGCATGAGGGGATCGTGGGCGGCTATCTGGCCTGGGCTGAGGAAGGACGACCTGTTGGGTGATGTGGAAAGGCTTAGTGCCTTGGGCGGAGGGGATGGCGTGTTGACTGGGGAGTGGGAGTCGCCCACGGTTGAGTTTTAGTGCTGACTTGTTCCGCCTCTCTTTGGTTTCAAAGGTTGAGGAGCATGTTCTTATATGGCAGTTCATACCCGGCCATCGATATGGCTTGTGGACCTCTTACGAGCACGTTAAGGGGAGGACATCCCGGGATAGCCACAGGGCTCAAGATGGGTAACATAGCTGTGTTGTGTGAAGTACATATCTGTTGTGGATTCTTTCTAGCCACCGTTCGCAAAGTTGCGCCTAACGTAGTCGGCGACAGTGGTCATGCTGATATCTCGCCGGCTATTCAATGTCTTTGCCATATCCCACGATATCCCCTTTCCGTCACCGAATATGCACCGGTACTTGTACCAAAGATTTCCAGGATCCTCAGCCAGCCTGTCTTTCAGAAACTGCAAAGTCCACTCCTCTCGTTCAAAGCCCGCGCCGAGAGCTTCGTCCAGGATATCCGCAAGCTGGCCATACGAGACCGTGTCTCCTCCGATGTGCACTACCTGATTGGTCGTCCCCTCTGGCACAAACACCATCTCGGCCGTCAGTCGACCGATATCCCCGGGCGTCGTCACTGTGACCCTGTTATCCCACGATCCCAACGCGCGCGCAGTCCGCCTCTCAAGGTCGACCACCCCGAAGTCGGCGAGAAACAGATAGCTCATGAACAGCCCCGTGGAAACGATGGTCCACGCCGTGCTCGTCTGCGACCGCAGCAGCCGCCGGACCTGCAACATCTCGTCGAACAGGTCCTGAGCGCTGCCCTCTCCGATCTCCTCGTAGTCGACCCCGAACTGCCAGGGAAAGTATCGTGGGACACCGGCCTGCAGCGCGGCGTTGGCAGACTTCAGCTGCGTCCCCTTTGGCAAGCCATACCCGCCCGCCTGGATGACGATGTCGTAGTCTTTGAAGACACGTGCCAGATCAGCGACATCATCGTCGACAAAGTTCCCAGGCACGAGCGTCGCGCCAAGGGCCCGCAGCTCATCGTTGGATCGCCGCTTGTCGGGATCAGGTGAGGTGATGGAGCTGGGGCGGAGTAAGACGGAGAAGCTGGCGTGCGGAGGCTTCGACGGGTGGCTGGCGAGGGCTGAGAGGATGGCTGTTCCCAGCTCGCCGGCTCCGACTATGAGGATCGAGCTTTCAGCTGCCATTTCGAGTTTGTGCCCTGCACTGCGTGATGCCAGTCTTTATAGCTGTGGACCACACATCCAAGATGAAGGTATTGCATCAACTTTTGATTTTATAGTCTACATGTTGCATAAGCGTCAGCGGGACGCTGCCAAGCAATTCATCGGACCTTGTGGATTTAATTCCACCACGGAGACTATGTCCGCACGTGGATTATTAATGCTGCGCACCTCAACCCTTTGTAAGCAACGTCCTGCAAAACGACGTCTTTCAAGTGATGTTTGTGTAAAAGACAACGTAGTTCGCCGATTCTCTTGGCCCACTCATCTTTCCCTCTCCACGTCACACCATGGAATGACAAGTCGTGTTTGCTCCATCTTTTCCGTTGTATTTCCCGTCACCTTGGTACAAACAAACGAGACGGCATCATAATTTTCACGGTACACTAGAAGGCATGGGGACGACGACTATAGCCATGGCACGTTGAAGATACATAGGTACGATAGCTTTACTGGTAGACATCCGCATACACAACCTCATTACCGTAGTTCCATGTTGGTACCGAATATCGTCAAGCCTGGCTACAGAAGTTCGCTAAGCTTGGGGTTTGACGAACACAAGGTCACAAAGACAGATGCCGTTCGCCTATACATGAATGATTAAGGGCTAAATGGACACGCCCGTGGAATTGTATGCCCAGAAGCTTTCGCGGGGCCATAATGACATGTCTACAGCAAATGCAAGGACTGGCTTCTATATATGTATTTGATGAACTGGACACCATTCATCCTTTCCAGACCAAGGAACAGACCAATTTGAACCAAGCCTTTCCATCCTGTTACCAAAGTGTAAAGTCAACAGCAGCACAACCGCCATGAACTCGAAGATCACGCTCATGCTTCTCAGCGCCACGCTGGCCACAGCAAACATGGAAATAGTCCCAGGCGTGGCGCAGATGATGCCCGCAGGGGAAACCACTACTACATCGGCATTTCCACTCTGGGGAGTAAGCCAGGCCCATGCCAACCCATCCCATCCCATCAACCTCCCCTTGCCCGAGGCAGGGATATAAGAGACTAGTTAACTAACACGTCCAAAAACACAACAGGTGACCTGTATGACCAGCGCCGTATCCGCAATCGGCTGTGCGCCAAACGACGCCGGCTGCCTGTGCAACAGCCCCGACCCCATGATCTCGGCCGCGAGGGAGTGCGTGGTGTCCGCCTGCGGGACCGCAACGGCGACACGGGCATCGGCCAAGATGATGGCCCCGATCGTCGCGGGTACTGATCCCACCTGTGGGCCGGAGTGCGCCTGAGCGATCATGCACTGAGAGGGCGTTTCTTTCGGGGGAGGGGGGGGCGTACTTTGTGGCGATTGGGAACGGGGCATTCATCCGTCATAAGTTGCTTGCGTTATGTTGGAGACCCCCAGAGTATGTGATATGTGCTTTGCCTTTGGTAAAATGCTGAGACTGAGCTTTACGTTTCACCCACCCCTGAAAGCAAGTCCAGGATAGAATAGGGGCAGGCAATAAATTGTCGCTGCGGCCGGTAGTGGGGACATGTTGTTGAGGCAGCCGGGTGTCTTTCCACAAAAGCTTATAAGGCTGGGTGGGCCTGAGTCAGGTCAGGGTGTGCTGCAGTTCAACTCATTCATACACATCACACGCGTGCACGAATTACCATCAAGTCCTGGCTTGCTCTACATACTTAGTAGCTGGAAACCTATTGTCACATTAGAGCAATCCGACGATACCCACTTCGGCAGCATCTAGAGCCAGGCGCAACTTGACCTGTACAAGATGAGGTGGTGGGGCAAAACAGCAAAGATCAGCATCGACATCCGGGACCAGTCGATCCCCAAGCAATGGCTTTTAGAACCGGACCGCCTGCCACCCCAGGACCAACACTGCGTGGTGGACGCGCCCGAGGAGTCGGGGAGCCTGACAGCAGAAGAAATCAGGATGACCAGCTCTGACGTCGACTCCCTGCTAGAGGCATACCGCACCCGCAGGTGGACAGTGAGACAGGTCACCACGGCCTTCCTCAAGAAAGCGGTCATAATGAACCAGCTGGTAAGTGTCACCCGGGAGGCCACCAACAACGAGCATATACCTAGAGGCAAGGGCTAACCAACACCACCAAAGACAAACTTCACGGCCGAGTTCCTAGCCCACCAGGCCCTATCCCAAGCAGACGCCCTAGACACCCATCAGGCCACAACAGACACCCTCAAGGGCCCCCTCCACGGCATCCCAACCTCCCTAGCAGAGCCCATCCCCTTGCCAGACCACACGACAGCCCCCCACTGCGGCATAGTCTCGCGCATCACCACCACCACAGAACCCACACCACCCCTCCTCCACCTCGCCTCCCAGCTGAGGAAAGCAGGCGCCGTCCTCCACCTCCGCACAAACACCAACCAGGCCCTCATCGGCCACCTGGCGTGCGAGAACAACATCCTCGGCCGCACGCTGAACCCGCTCGACCGCCGCCTCTCACCCGGCGGGCCGTGCGGCGGCGAGGGCGTCGCCGTCGGGTCCGGGTGTGCGGTCCTCGGCGTCGCTATGGGGGATGTCGGCGGCGTTGGGTTATTACCTGCTGCCTTTGGCGGGGACAGGTGTTACGGGTTCAAGCCCACATCTGGGACGGCCGTGCTTGGAGCCGCGGACAGCAGCGGCGTGGGGCCGCTGGCCCGCAGCGTGGAGGGCCTGCGGGCGTGGATGGAGGCCACGGCGCCGGGGGTGTCGCCGGGCAACCCCGACCTGGGCAGCTTCACCGTGGGCGTCCTGCGCGACGACGGGATCGCCACCCCGCACCCGCCCGTGCGGCGGGCCCTAACGACAGCAGCCGAGAAGCTGCGTTCGGCAGCGGGCGTCAGCGTCAGGGTCGTGGAGTGGGCGCCGCACGACCACGCCCGGGCCCACGCGCTGAATAGCCGACTGTGCTTCCCGGACGGCGGGAGGCGGTTCCTCGACGAGTTCGCCGCGTCGGGCGAGCGCCCCGTCCCGTCGGTGGTGCAAGCGCTGGACGAGGCGAGGCGTTCTTGCGTTGCTGGTCTGGAGGGCCCGGTGGCTGTGGCGCGGGAGCGTGAGCGGTATCAGCGGGAGCACGACGCGCTGATGGCTGGGCGGGGGGTGGACTTCATCCTCGGGCCGGCGTACGTCGGCGCTGGGGCGCTGCGGGATGATGCTAGTGGGTATTCGCACTACACGTCCGTCTGGGAAGTCCTCGACCTGCCTTCTGTGGTCATGCCCAGTGGGCTGAGGTGTGACAGAGCCGTCGACGTCAAGGACGAGACATATGTCCCCGAGAGCGACGTTGACAGGGCAGTTTGGGCGGCTTGTAAGCACTTACTTCTTCCTCCGATGATGCTGGGTAGGTGCTTACTGACATCTCTCTCTATCTAGATGACCCCGAGTTGTTTGACGGGTTCCCCGTCGCTTTGCAGCTCGTTGGGCGGCGGGCAAAGGATGAGGAGGTTCTAACCGCCGCTGGTGTCCTGGACAAAATCCTGAACGGAGGCAGCTAGCCGTACCTAGGTAGGCTTGATAGCTGACGAATGGCACAACAGTTGGGTCTGATAACCCCCCCCCCCCCCGATACCTCTGTCTGCGTGCTGTTGAGACGTTTTAAATACTGCGAGGAGGCCACGAGTATGCTGGGCAAGAGCTCGCAGAGAATCGTGTGAAATGAATGCGATTTACAGATGAAGATAATTGGCATAAACCACCCGACCTCTCGAGGGTTTCTTGTGTAGCAACTTTGCCGACATGATACACTTGTAGAGCAGGCATAATAACAAGGACGGGTAATCACGGTAGCATCAATCCATCCTACAGGATCCACATACATCACCAGAAACATACGGCACCACTCGGGCCCAGCCATCATATCATAGACACACACTCAAAGAGTCTCGACACGGGCCATCCTTACCAAATCACAAAAGACCAGCCAGCAAAGCCTCAGCAGACTGCCTCAGCCTCACCTTGGCAGCCTCAAAATCCTTCAGGCTAGGGGGCAGGCCCGTCAGGGTCTCCGGGACCGGCCGGGCCTCAGCCCGCGCCGCGAGATACTGCATGCACTCCAGGGCGGCCCTCTGGCGCCTCAGCACGGTCTCGTAGCGGGCCTTGTGCCGGTCCGTCTCGCCCGGCGGGACGGTCAGAGGGGGTGCGGGTACGCTGGACCTCGGCGGAGGTGGCGGGGGCAGGGGGTCGCCGCTGGGTGTTTGCGTTCCGGGGGGGGGGGCTTTGGCTTTGGGGGGGGGGGCGTTGCTGGGTCTGGGTGAGGACGGTGCAGTTACCGTCATGACTGCCCCGGCTGGTGTGGGGGGGGGGGGGGTTGGCTGCGTGTAGGGTGATATATTACTCGGGGTCCACTGGGTGCTGCTTGGATGTTGTGGCTGTGGTGGTTGTTGTGGTAGTGGTTGCTGCTGGTGGGTCATACCTCCGGCTATGGGGCTTTGAGATGTGAACGTCTGAACCAGGTTCGCGGGACGTGTCCATAACCACTTGTTCGGACGAGGCCGTCAGGACTTAGGAACCTTTTGGTGGTCTTCTTGGATGTCTGGACCGGGCACAGGCCGTACTTAGCCATCATCTCAGCCTCACCTGGAGGAATGGCAACTCCTGGGATGGCGAGGACCGGGGGCTGGAAAGCAGTCCTCACGGGTACAGTCTCCACGGGTACTGGCCGTGGAGCGATGGGCCTGTGACCTTTTATTGACCCACAAGGCGGTTGAGGTCCGACCTGGCTTTGCGAGGAAGATGGAAAGGGGGCCAAGACACCTGGAGGGGTGTGAGAGTATTGCGCCTGCGGCTGTTGTTGCTGCTGCTGCTGCGATGGGACAAGGTAACCCTGGGCAGCACCGGTGGGACCAGCCAGACTTCCACTGGTTTTGGGCCCTGTCCCATGGTGATGAACGTCGTTTTGAAAGCTCGGGATAATGGTGGAGCTGTTGCCTGAAGGGTGGTACGGAGCAGCTTGGCCCGGTTGGGGGGTATCGGTGGCTTGATCTGCCCTGGGTGCTGCGGGTTGAGGCGAACTGGGCAGAGGCCTGTCAGTCTGTATATCCACTTGTGACGGTTGAGACTGTACGTTTGTTGGCTTCTGTTCGTCTTCGCTCCCTTCACAGTCATCGTCCCCTTGACTCTCCATATCAGTGTCCTCATTTGAGATCATAATAGGACCATCGGCGCCTCAATTCCCGTGGCGTGTCAGTCTGGCCAGATGTTGCCTGCTGCTCACCAGAACGTTCGGCATCGTCCTGTTCCCCGGATGCTCCTTGGCGCCTGATCTTCGTCTTGGCTGGGTAAGGGTGCGTAGGCCTCAGATCACCCATGAGCTTATGTGCGCGCTCTCGGCGAGCAATTATAAAACAACTCTCGTCCATCTTGTTCTTCGTCCACACATCCACGTCCTCGATCCCCATCTGGGCGGCAATGTTCTCAAACCCGTGTTGCTGCTGCTTCCGCGCCTAGTTGTAGTAGTGATGCCGAGTAGATTTCACGCTGTTCAGTGGGTTCGGGTCCAGGCCCAGTTTCGTACAGAGTCTCTTGAACCCGCCCCTCTTGTAGACGACGCCGCGGTCCTTCAGGTTCTTCTCGATCTCTGCCACCGACATGCCTTCCCGGCTCATGGGGAGGACCTCTGCGTGGCGCATCTTGCGGACCCGGTCTATCTGATTGAGGTTCCGGACTCGGACGGTGTTTGCCTCGCGCGCTTTTCGCTCGGCGTGGGCCTTCTTGATGTTGGCGATGCCGCGTTCTGTCGTCCTCCGACGTGCCTATGAGCACAAGGAGGAACTGTGTCTGTCAGCAGACTTCCCACTGGCTGCGGTGCTGGTGTCAAAAGGACATCCGGCCACGTACCTTGGTCCTGATTCCCCATCTTAATCTCTGCGCCGAGACAGCCTTGCCATTTGTGTCGACGCCCTTCTCGATGAGGGCGTCAGCGATGGCCTTGCTTCCCTGGCCATTTCTTGTCCTCTCCTCGATCTCATCCCTGAAGTCCTCGAGATTTGTCGGCCTGTTGCCTCTTTTCTTTGGGTACATCCACAACTCCCCGGTTCTCGGGTTGATGTCCTCTTGCCTGGGGGTATCCCAGCCCGGATCAGCCTCGGTTCTGTCAAAGCCGTCGAAAATATTGTCTGGGTCCTCGTGCTGCGGTCGTTGAGAGGTTCTGCGCAGCGGATTGTTACCATTGCGAGGGGCCAACGCCCTGGGGCGCAACTCTGAGCGTCGAGGAAGACGTGTCGGGGCCTGGCATGGTGGTATCGTTGTTATTTCGGCGCCATTGAACCCGTGGGCATTTCTAGTGCGACTTCAGGATTGGACCACGACAGCTGTGGCGGAGGACGAAGGCATGGGTGAGGGCGAACATGTCGCGACGCGTCTTGGAAAGCGATTAGAGCAGAGTAGAGTTGAGAGCGTCGTTGACGTGCGTCATCGCAAGCCAAGGACCACAGCTCTGGGGAAGCTTGGGGATAGGGGAACTCCCCCTGGCCCATGCTTCAACCTGGGCACCGAGGTACGTACCCACGTCCTCCTACCAATAAGTACCTAGGTACCTAGGTACCCCGTACTCCGTACCCAGATATCTCAAGATTGCATCCAACCAGGCCTCACTCAAAACATGCACACGCGCAACCTCGTCACAATCCACATCAGCCATGACACCCACAGCCAGAGGTACCAGCACAACCCCTCCACCACGTCCTTTTGTGCACGGTGTCCAGGTCTCCCCAACCACGCAGTGTGCCCACTGGCACTCTGACCTGGACATAATCGCCATCAAACACAAGTGCTGCGGCCAGTTCTACGCCTGCATCAGCTGCCACGAGGCCCTGGCCGGCCACACCCCACAGGTATGGGCACGGCAGGAGCGCCACGAAAGGGCCGTGCTCTGTGGGAGCTGCAGCCGGCAGCTGTCCGTCGACGAGTACCTGAGCTCTGGCAGCAGGTGCCCGGGCTGCGGCTCGGCCTTCAACCCGGGCTGCGCCAGGCACTATGAGCTGTATTTCGAGGTGTGAGGTGCTCGCTCGTCCAAACAGGCGCGACGGTATCCGTGTGTCAGACGGGCTGGGCTGGGCAACGAGTGTCGACATCGCGGACACAGATGCGACGTGCTGGGGCCCGTGGCAGACAGGTTGGACTCATCTGGCTGGTGGTGTGTGAGGTCTTCAAGCGTAGAGCCTGTCCGGGATTCCATCTATCTGCGGACGCGGCTTGCTGGCCCAGTTGCTGCTGGTTGAATGGGTGTCGGGCAGTTGACCGAAGCACTTGGGGAATCAACAGTGATTCTCAACCCCGATGACTTTGGTAGCAGTGCAGACTCCGGCCGTCATACACCACATAGCCCACGAGGACCGATTCATAACCCTCGTCGAGGACACCTCTGGCTCATTGGATGATTTAGATGGCCTCATCTGCCAAGTTGCATTTGCCGCACGTCACGGTGCTCCATGCGGCTGACTGGTCTAACAAGAGAGGGTATTTTCAGAGACCAAGTTGATGGCTGTCTTGTCAAACTCTATCCAGTGCATATCCGTTCAATTTCCAATCCCTCAAATGGCCTCTGCCCATGCCTGTTGCGGGCTTATTTCTGATGCCAGTCGAGCATTGCTGCAACGCCAAGTCGCCCGCTCGACTTGACCCAGTCTCACGAAGATGTCGAGGCCACCGAGGATCTTGATTTCGAAGCAGATACGGCTCCGATGATTCTTGGGATCATCAGACTTACTTCCGGCTTACACCCGTACTCCGCTCACATCGTCTGATCAGTCATCCTTTTTGTCACTCCGGATCCCTGGCCCGGCACACCTCGGGCCAACAAGTTGCACATCTAACAGCCTCCGCTGCCATCTTTCATCTCCAGACACACCTCAAAACCGTCCAGGGTTCCTCCCAGCTGCCACTACAGCAACCCCGACGCCTCTGAATCACAAGAATCATCTCAGGATGTCTCCAGCAGCACACCCACGACTCATCTTTGGCGGGTCCAGCATCGGCGACCACTACGCCACGCCGCAGGAGGTCACCGGCCTCCTCCAGCGACTGAGAGTGACGGGCATCAGAGAGCTTGACACCGCAGCCCGGTACCCCGCCATCAAGTTTGGCGCTTCCGAGCAGCTCCTGGGCGAGGTCGGCGCCGCTGCTCAGGGCTTCGCCGTGGACACCAAGATCCTCGTCCTGAGCACCGACGGCAATGGCAGTCTGGAGCCGGCAAAGATCCAGGACTCGGTCAGCAAGAGCCGTGTGGCCCTCCAGATGGGAGTTGAGAAGCTGAACGTCCTCTACTGCCATGTTCCGGACTTCGAGACGCCTCTGGAGGTCCAGGCTGCCGCCTTGGACGCTCTGCACAAGAAGGGCACGTTCGATAAGGTAGGTGTTGACCAGCCACACACACTCCCAGCCCCAAATATTGGACATCCTTCCAACTCAATGTGCGTAGCTCGGCGTTTGCAGCTGGCCCGAGGAGATGCTGGATCAGTTCATTGCCATCTGCGATCGCAAAGGCTACGTCAAGCCCACCGTCTACCAAGGTCTCTACAACCTCGTCTGCAGGGGGCACGAATCCATATTCCCAGCCCTTCGAAAGCATGGCATTGTTTACAACGCCTACAGGTACGCAACCCCTCTCGTGGTGCGTTCGCCCGGAGACCCCACCCTAACTAGGTCCGCAGCCCCCTCGGCGGAGGTTTCCTCTCGGGCAAGCTCACCTCCGGCAGTATCGAGGGCACCCGGTTCGGCAGGGACAACATCGTCGCCTACTATTCCAGGCTGCAATATGACAAGCAGGAACTGCACGATGCCGTCAATGCACTCGACGACATACTTCAGTCAGCCAACATCTCAAAGATCGAGGCGGCTCTGCGCTGGATCTCGTACCATTCCTCGCTCGGCGCGGAGGACGGCATCATTCTCGGCGCTAGCAAGCTGCAGTACCTTGATGAGAACATTGCAGCGATCGAGAAAGGGCCGCTTCCGGCGGAGATTGCATCCAGAATGAGCGGGCTATGGGGTCCGCTGTCAGGACAGTGGGAGAAGAAGAACGGGAGGATTTAATTAAGATGGATAGACGAAATCACCGTTTTCGATTCTATCGAGCTGTGGGTGACTAATCAGGTCCACCCATTGTAACGCTCTATTGTCTATAAGAATGGGCTTCCCACGCTCACTATTCATAGTTGAATAACCAGTCAATTTGCTCTATTCGATATGCCCTGCTCGGAATCGTGACAGATTCTTTTCCGTATATGTCCGAAGCCATAGAGGCTTTAAGCCTTTACTACTGTATGAAGGCGCCGTGCTGGGCTTCGGAAGTATACGGAACCCTAGGAATAGAAAGGAAACCAGAGAGAGTGAGACAGAGAGACAGAATCAATGATCCAACCCTTTTAAGTCATACCACCACAGAGAAGTCTAAGCATTACACAGTATATTGAAACGATTCCAACATGCAAGCCCGCTTATTTATGTCGTTAAGCCCCACAAGGGGGCATAATCATTCATCTCCAGAAGCACCGCCTCGGTACATGCTGGTCAGTCGTTTGTATGTAACCGTGGGAGTGCCCCTCGTGCTGTGACCCTCGACTCCTTTCCTTCACTGCTTCAAGACTTTTCTTGAAGATCTGTAAATTTAAATGGGGTCATTCTTTTGGATGTTAAATTTCAATGATTGGTAAATAGAATGTCTTAAGCCTCCAGCATCCTGATGTGGGCGTTAACCTATTCTTCTTCAACAATCCGGCCAGAGACTTCTTTCCATCCTTAGGGCCAATCTAAACTTTAAACTTCCAAAGCATTGTAGTAGTTGACCTGAAAACGTGGCTGCGGAAATCGGCCAGCCTCAGAATTCAACAAGGGGCGTAGAAATTGCAATGGATACTTTGGCGAGTGTGTCACCAGACTCCGAGAGAAGACAACAGCAATGATCGAATCTGTTCTCTCAGTATTTAACTCAACGCGTTTGCTCGAACACGAAACAGCATTAAACTCCCGTGAAGCATGCCCATCCCACGTCCACTGCCATGGTGTCTAAACACACCTTGCCACTTCACGGTACGTGCCGCCCGACCACTAAAGCAGAGTCCCTGTGTCATTCATCTGTTCTTGTTCCCACCCAGGCTGTATTCTAAACCGTCTCTCTCTCCCCCTGAGTGTCCCTGAAGCGCGTTCTCGCCATCTCAGGGTGGATTATTTCAGCCCGGCGGAGCACCTCCTAGTACTCCCATATGATCTGAATCCTAGGCCTCCTATCGGGGCCCTCCCTGCCACCCTCCCGCGGCCCCGCCTGCGGCTCTCGATTGCGCCGTGATTGGAACCGCTCCAGGAGCCGCGCCTGTGCCTCGTATTCTTCAATGCTGAACCGCGCGGGCGGGCTGGAGGACCCTCCCGCGCCTGCGCTGGTGGCTGTGGTATCTCCCGCCGACGCCGTGGGTGCGGTCGGGCCCGCTCCAACCTGGCGCCATTCGCGCGCGATGGCCTCCCTGCGTATCACGTTCGGATCCCCCGGGTTTGTTGCCAAGCTCGCCTGTATCACGGCGTCGCCGGTGTTGTGAGTGATCGCCCTTGTCTCCGGCGCATCATTCGTCGAGGTGGCGGGAGGCTGTGGTGGTCCTTGGTAGTTGGCCGCGGGCGCGGGTAGCGCAGGAGGTGGTGGTGCGTGGAAGTGGCAGCAGGCGTTGTGGCATATGTATATCTCACGGTGGGTCGCCAGGCAGGGCCCGCTGCAGACACATTGGTGGCAGCCGACGCAGTACAGGACTGGTATGCCTGTGTACAAACTCATCATCGAGGTTGCGGTATGTCTGGCGTGCCCAGGTGTATGGTTGAGTTTCAAGTTGGAGCAGGTGCGCAATAGAGAGATGATTCTGGGATAGATGTCTCAGGGCTGTTGATGTTTCGTATCAAATTTTGCAGTCCTCATGCTTAAGTCCACAGAATGGGAATACTGATTCAAGCGGGCTGGGCGACTTTGTTCGAAGGGTCCCTGGTGATAAGACCGAGGCCTGGGTGTCACTGACTTCAGAAGACCAGGCTGGTTCGCCTGACAGCCGAAACACTCGTCATTGATATCCGTGACACATACTCAGTATTTAGAGGTGCCTTCCAGAACAGCTCTATCTTAGTACATTGCGGAGGCGAATGCTTGAATCCCTGGCGTCCTGGCCATCGAGGTCATGATCTATGAGGATGCATTGTCGGCTGGAATGTCGGCTTTCACTCTTGGATTACACACAGCTCTACCCGAAATCAGCCTATGATACACACCCCATCGGCGCTGACGCCTCTCCTTCCCCTCACAAACCTTCGAGATGGTATCCTGGCGCCCTCCAGTGCTCTCAAAAGACTCTACCTTGACGGATCCACCCTCAACCATGGTGTTGAATTTGGAAATACCGCATCCATCGATAACCCATGAAGATTTCGAGCTGCGGCCCAAATTTCACAAATGCGGTTCCATCCATACTATCCGAGAAGGAAACCTTCTTCCCCGAGCCAGGGCTGATATAGAAGTTCAATTACAGCCAAACACGACGTTGCGACATAGACTTGGTCGAAGCCTGGGAACCCATGGATCCCATATGCCTCCTGCCCATACCCAGGCCGTTGTACATCACGATGGCGTAGGACGAGCCAGACCGCTGGACGTCGATGTAGGCGGAAGTCTGTGGAGCAGCTCGAGGCCAGAACAATCACCGTCAGCCATAAGAATCAAGTCGTTGACGACCAGCTCAACACCTTGTAGGCCGTGGATTTGTTTTGTCGGCGTGTTATGGGCCATTTATAAGTCACTCATCACTGTTGCAGTGGTATGAACCAGTTTGAGACCATGAATTTGGAGGTCCCAGGGTCGTGGTTCCATTCTCATGCCGGCCCGAGGGACATCGCAGCGAAAGTGTTCGTGCCGAGTGTGGACTGAACGGGTCTCTGGGTAGCCGTCAACTACAACTCACCCGACGCTCCGTTCGAAAGGGTGACAGATGGGAACCTATCGGAGCCCCATGTCCCCGGACCCCGGAGGAAAGACTGGAACCCTACCGCCGGAGTAGTTGTCAATGAGCGCTATCTAGTAACACTTGCCATCGGGGGTGTCAACCCGGCTGCTTTGAGGGGGTCCGGCTCGAGAGACTGGGGTCGCCACACTCTCGACCGGTCCATTGACGGTGTAAGCCCCCCATATACTGGTTGCCTGAAGTGCGTACTTGCTGATCGCCGGTTTCTTGTGGGAGATGTAGTACTTTCTACCGCGATTACCTAGGCATACATCTTAAATCCAATTCCAGGCTAGTTATGGAACTGATACCATACATCCTTTGATGGTGTGTCAAAAGTAAGAAAGTTGTCTCGAATGAAGTCGTATAGGTCTTCATATTCACTAATAAGGCATTCCACAGTCGAGTGTAACCATGAATTAAAGTTTAGTCCCCGTATTTTGGTTTGTGTTATCCATGGATGTGCATGACCCACCTTAGTGCTGGTGGACTAACAGAACATGAAATGCGGAACTCTATCTGCTCAATCTTCAACTTTGTTTAACATAGAGTGAACCATTGCTTAAGACAGCAATAATCTCGGTTTCGTACCTGGGCAAAGGAGATTATTATTCTCTGTCATATATCCGACCATGCCTTCTGCTTAGTCCGATACTAGTATGCTGCTCACACGTGTCAGAGCTCGCCTGTTACTCGCGTGACTTAATGCCTTTGGCAAAAGCAGACCCAAGCAGCAAAGCAACTCATTATATCGACTGAATCAGACCCCTCGACCGAATGCTCGTGAACCATATTTATGGTGTCCGTAAAATTATTCCGAGTCATTCATAGATGGCAACCGCAAATGCACAGCAGCCTCCTCGATCATCCGAACCGGAGTTCATCCCAGCACCGCCAAAGCAGGGGCCGGATGGCCTTATCTGCAGAGCCGTTCCCGCCTACCTAGGTACTCTAATTCGCACTATACCGTATAAAGAAGCTGTGTGGGGTCAATGATACCCGCCCCTTGATCGAGCGGCAGGCCTGGTGCCGGAGTCTGCGAATACTGCCGCCGTCGCCGTAGGCCCTTTGCCGTGGGTTGTGTTGACATTTCACCAAGACTCCATATAGTGCGCAGGCAGCGCAAGGAACTTATGTCGAGCAGCTCAGCATTGGGATGAACCAATTCTTCTTTTCGTAAAAAGACCTCTTCTGCTACTACCCCGAAGGCTCGTATGTTTTGGAGGAACAGTGCACATGTGACCGCCCCCAGTTATTACGCTCTCTCTCACCGCAGATCATTAAGTCCTAATTGAGAAGGTGATTGTGAAGGACCCGCTCTGCCGCTTTGGCAAAGGCTTGATATCACAAACGTGCTAGCATAGTCCCTGTCCGGTTCCTGTTCGCGTCTACAACGTAGCACTCCGAACTTCTGGCCTATCACGCCACCACCAACTTCATGGGAATTGCCCCGGTGCCGTCTTGCTGCATCGTTAAACCGTTCATCTCTGCTCTCGTATTTTTACCGGGGACATCTACCAAGCTTTCATGATATGCAGCCGCCACTGCAGTTCTCTGCAAGGCGACGTCGACGCCAAGAGGACCCCTCCTTTCTGTTCCGCCACCCAACTTGCAAGCCTGCGTGACTGGGTTCCAGAGTAGCATACAGAGTCCATTGAATAACATCTTGCCCGTATTATATACACAAAAGCACAAACATCTGTTAGGAGTCTGCCTGTTTATATTACCAGTATCACCAGACATTTGACGCTCCATTGCCGTGCTCCGTACCTAGGGACGGTTGTCCTCAGCTATGATAGCCATGCCTCCCATGCCTCCCTGACAGGTACCAACGGAAATATTATGGGCACGCCGTTGGGGCTCCACCCTGAAGTGCTCATGCACCCGGGTGGCGGTCACGGTACCACCTCGCATCGCACCCGCCGGGTAGTATCTGTGCCTCTTTCTGGAAGGTTGATTGCCGATACTCGCAGCGACTTTCCTGTTGCTGTCCCCGATGTCCATGTTCCTCGCCCTGCTGATACGTTGCGACGCGTCCTGCGTCCGTGTCATTCACGTTCTACTTAAAAGCTGTGGCTATCCGCCTCGCCCAGTTCCACTCCACCCCGTCTCTCAACCCCGTCTCTCCTTGTCACTGAGCCAGTCCTGTTTACTTAGGTCTGCCAAGTCGACGACGCCAAGATGAAGGTGCCAGCTCTCCTCACCACCGGGAGCGCTCTGCTCACCGCAGGCGTCTCAGCCTTAGCCCCGGTCAACCTCATGCACCTGGTCCCTCCTCCTCTGGACATCGCAGATACTGAGTTCGCCAGCAAGCTTGTCCAGAGGCGTGACACCAACTCCACGGCCACACTGGGCAACGGCACCTTCCAGCAGCTCCTCGACCACTCGGACCCCTCCAAGGGCACCTTCAGCCAGGCCTTCTGGTGGAGTACCGAGTACTGGCAGGGCCCCGGCTCGCCCGTCGTTTTCTTCACCCCAGGCGAGGTCGCCGCTGCCAGGTACACTGGCTACCTGACCAACAGGACGCTCACCGGCACCATTGCGCAGGAGCTGGGCGCTGCCGCGGTCATTATGGAGCACAGGTACTGGGGAGATTCGAGCCCGTTCGACACGCTGACGACGGAGAACCTGGCGTACCTCACGCTCGAGAACTCCATCTACGACACCACTTACTTTGCCAACAATGTCAAGTTCCCGTTCGCCACCACCGCCAGCAGCAACGCGGACAGTGTGCCCTGGGTATTCTCCGGCGGTAGCTACAGTGGAGCCCTCGCTGCATGGGTCGAGAGCGTCGACCCGGGCACGTTCTGGGCTTACCATGCCACGAGCGCCGTGGTCGAGGTCATCTACGACTTTGTAAGTTCTCCCAATGAATATACGAAAAAGGGCTCTCCACAGAGGGTTAACACAATTTGTACGTAGTGGCAATACTTCGCTCCTGTCCAGGAGGGCATGCCCGCAAACTGCAGCGCGGACGTGTCAAAGGTCATCGAGCATGTTGACAGCATCCTGCTTGGTGATGACGAGGAGGCGAAGCAGGCCATCAAGGAGAAGTTCGGCCTCGGCGGTATTGTGCACGACGATGACTTTGCCAGCGCTCTGGAGAACGGGCCTTGGCAGTGGCAGGGGCACGACTTCAACTCCGGCTACTCTGAGTTCTGTAAGCCAATTGCTTGACCTTGGAGCCATTGTAGTGGCATGGGGGACAATCTGTAAAGTTAGGCTAACAGCATTTCTATAGTCTTTTTCTGCGACAGTGTTGAGAATGTCGGCCCACTTTACCCTAACTCAACAGTCATTCCCGGAGCCGAGGGCGTTGGTCTAGAGAAGGCTTTGGAAGGATACGCCAACTGGATCAAGACGGAGCTTCTCCCTGGCTGTAAGTCACGGATTTCTGAACATTTGAAATCTCTGGTTCTTGAGCGTCTTGCTAACCTGTGAATTACTAGACTGCGCCGGCTACGGTTACGACGAGTGGTCCGCCGACGACGAGCTTGCATGCTTCGACTCGTACAACGAGACAAGCCCCATCTACACCGACATCACGGTCAACAACCCTCTTGACCGCCAGTGGACCTGGATGCTCTGCAACGACCCGTAAGTTCCCACAACAACCAACCAAACGCCAATCCCACAAGCCTGACATGACTATACTAGCTTTGCCTTCTGGCAAGACGGAGCCCCAGAGGGCACACCGACCATCGTTTCTCGGCTCGTCACCGCAGAGTACTGGCAGCGCCAGTGCGGCCTCTACTTCCCCCCGCCGGGCACCTTCGGCAGCGCGGAGGGCAAGACGGTCGAAGACACCAACAAGTTCACTGGCGGGTGGGATCGTGCTGGTGAGACCACGCGCCTCATCTTCGTCAACGGCGAATGGGACCCGTGGAAGGACGCCACCGTGTCGAGCGAGTTCCGCCCAGACGGGCCGTATGAGGGCACTGACGATGCGCCTGTGCTGATGATCCCTGGTGGCATCCACTGCAGCGATTTGTTGTCTAACAACGGAATTGCCAATGCTGGTGTGAAGGCTGTCCAGGATGCTGTTGTTGATCAGATTGCGGAGTGGGTTGGACAGTTCGATGCGGAGACGGCAAAGGCGGAGAAGGCTGCTATGAGGAGGCGGTCATGATCAAATATGCCGGGGTTCTATATACCTAGGTGCATACATAATCCTCTGTGGTGTCTTTATATACGAACTTTTATTACCTAATGAATGCAAAATTTGTTGTATTTGTAGTATACACATGTGTCAAATGTGAAGAAATAAGGTGGTGCCGATATGCTTCTTACGGGGATATCTAAGGATAAAGGCAATCAACCAGAGGCTCACATGAGATGTACATAGAAATCATCCAGTGTTCACACCACTCACTGGCAGATACCTCCTGTTGATATCATTGGCAAGGAGCATGGTATGAATTGCCAAACAACCATCTTTTGGCTTGTCTAGAACACTGCATGCGTCCTCCAATGCAAACTTGACACCAGGTCACCTTCTAGGGCTGCCTGCTTGATTCTATCTTGAGCCATTCTGACTCCTTGCTCTGTTGCCTGATAAGGGCAGGGACTAGGTGAGCATAGCTCGCTTGCATGCAGTCTAGTTATGAGCAACATGTCTCAAGATCATGAAAGCAAGTTGTGATATGAGACTTGGTTGCTAGCTCTGAGAGAATGCATTCATCCGTGCACACACATATTGACTCTGGCACGCGTTTGTATGCCCAGAGTCTACTTAAAGGCTGCATTCATTGCATTGGTATCAAAAGTAGCGGTCACATGTTGTAAGAAAGTGGCGACGGATAGTGGATATTCAGTTGTCTCTCTTACTAGTCCTATCGACTGTTGGAGAGGTGGCCCTATTTAACTTTCCAACTTTGCTATGGTGGACCACTGGCACCAGTCAGTTAGAAGAGAAATTAGACGTCAGACTCCGTCGGACCTCTATAGTCCGTAGAGTTCATGCATTATGCAGAGTAGCTATTTTTCAAAAATACATGTAGCATGGGTAACTGGGGGTAAACAGACTGCATGGCTTTGCTTCATGCCCAGGTGCTCTACTTCACCTTGCAATGTTGCCCCAGATTGTACCTACCCTAGGGTACTTAGGTATGTTCCATCACCCACGCGTTTGCACTTGCGCGTTTGATGCACTCCCCACGCGTTTGCTCAACGTCATTATGCTGCTGAATCTTATCGATATGAGTAATTGAACGGCCGTGGTCTGAGCTCATGAGTGTCTTGGTCTCATACAGCTTTGATCGGCATTCATACTACCTACCAGTCTCTTCATCGCAGCATTTTCATGCAATGCCAGCGAAAGCCACACACTGCAGTCATATGTACCTTCCTTTTTCCTAACTACAGCAATCATTTCAACTTCCAGCACCGATTGTTTCCATACAGGCCCCAACCCCGCCATTTTCACAGTTGTAGTCGAACTGCTCCACAACACAAACGACTGCTACAGACCAAACACCCCAACGAAAACCAATTTTTGAAGGAAAAGATGTTGGAGACTGCCGCAAAGTCTGCTTCCAAGGGCCAACGGCCACCTCGCCATGCAGGGGAGCAGGCAATGCCAGAGCGGACGGCTATCAATGACGAGGCCGCCCTGAAGATGGCAAAGCTGGCTCTTGACGCAAAGAACAGACTTCGGCAAAAGAGAAATCCCGGGATCAAAGACAGACAAGTCGAGGATAGTCCTGCAAAGCAGCAACTGGGGGCTCAACAGGACAAAGAGATCGATGGTGGCGGGGCGATTGGACCGACCGGCCACCAAGGAACTCAAGAAGGGTCTTCCCATACGAGCCAAGAAAGCGGTGACTCCCCAGTCTCGTGGCCAGAGCAGGCGTTCGTGGACACCGAATATGACCGGTTTCGACTTCCGCTGAAGTCTATGTATAACGGAACTGGCGAGTGGCCAAAGAAGGTTGGCAAGGCTGGCATGCAGTGCTCTTGGAGCAATGTTGGCTTCCCCCGTGACAAGTCACTGGTTGTTCCCGACTTCGAGGCGGACACCAATATCGACGGAGATGAGCCATACGTCTCGAATCTAGCCACGGATATTAGCAACATCCTATCAAACGACCCAGAAGAGATTGCTGACGACCGAGCTGTGGTGACGTTCCAGGAGCACAACGGCACCATTGACACATTCAAGGTCCATGGGCGCACTGTCTGTCGCGTCCGGTTCAGCGACGTCGACGCCTTTGGCAAGGGTTCCCCGTACAGTCTTTCTGAAGTCTCCAAGCGAGTTGAAAAGAAGATTGACAAGGACTTCGGCAAACAGCCTGACATGAAGGTCGAGCGCTGGGTAACAGCTCGTGTTCTCTTATCCATGGGTGGACAGATCGGGGGCATGACTGACGATTATTGGCAAAAGGCCCGTAGCCTTGCCCAACAACAGCTGTATCTCAAACCCGACCTGGAAGATCAAGTCAGACAGCAGATCGAAGCAGGCGACCTCGAGAAGGACCCAGCTTTCTCCAAGATGATGAGATACGTGGAAAAGGGCTGCCGCATCAAGACTTACAACCAGTATCACCAGGCCAATCGAAACGAGTATGCGGTTGACAATGGCCTCCTATACAAGATTCAGGGAGTCGACATCGTCCTCATCCTGGACCAGTCGGATAACATAATCCTCTTCCAGTGCACGAATGTCTTCGACCAGCTCCTCACAAAAGCTGTCCAAAAGCAGACTGTCCAATCGTTTGAAACATACAGCACACTCACCCCCGTACCATTCCCGGACATGAACCGGCATGGCCTACATTGGGTCTCCTTCCTTGCTGAGAGACCCGACCTGGACTTCCGAGACCCGGATAATGACCCAAGCCTGGCCAAATCAGGTAAGAAGAAGGAGCCAAGACTTCTAATATCATAGATAAGCTAAATATACATGCAGGTGTTTTCCATATCGGAGGTCACTGTGCAGTCGGTGACCCGAATGGGAAGAAGAGGCCAAGAGACACGAAGGATACTCTCGCAAGGAGGCTGCCTGAGAAGGGGTTTGACATAGGCGACGCCTCTTATTACCAGGTGAAGCTGCGTTACAGCGCTCTCGGAGCATGCACAGAGATCTCCAAGTTCTTTTTCAAGATCCTCGATCCCGACCTGCTGGATGAGTACATTCGTGTTGCAGATGAGGTCGCCAAAGGCGAATACGTCCACTTTCAGACAAGACGATCCGGAGAGCCGTTCGTGATGAGGGCGCTGCTAGTTAACCTGATGACCTATGAGCACAGGGACACTGGGGATTGGCACCACGGGTACGCGTTCCTCCTGCCTGTCGGGGACTACAAGGGCGGCGACCTTGTGCTTCGTGAGTTGGGCCTGCAGATCGAGGCCCCGACTGGCTGCTTCCAGATGTTCCGCGGTCGCGAATTGAGGCACTCCATCACGAAATGGACGGGAAGACGCTTTGTCTGCGTCAATGTCACCCACGAGGCTGTCCGCAGGTGGGCGCTGCGCTCGCTCGGTGAGGAGGTGACCGAGACCCCGACGTCCTTGGCGCCGTCCATAATGGCGGATTGTATCGACCAGGAGCCGGAGGATATTGTGCCGGAGCACCAGCGTGTTCTTTCTGAGAGGGAGATGCTCCCAGAAACTTACGAGAGCGAGGCGGAGTTGGAAGAGTCGGAGCAAGGCAGCTCAGAGGCCTCGTTCCCATCAGGTGCTGAGCGGCAGCGCACGTCCGGAACGAAGTACAGGGTGGATAGCTCATCTGATGCGTCAGCTGAGGCTAGCGGCGACGGCGAACCAGCTGCAAAGCGGCAGAAGAAGGCTTGAGCTAGGCTGGACGTGAAGACAAGGTGAAGATGGCGAGCCTTGGAACAAGGTGATACGCCACATGTTAGCTTGCAATACCTCTCTGAATGTCAATTTATGTACTGTTATACCTAGGTACTTGCAAAAGTACGACAGTCAGCATGCATTGCCGTTCCCAAAGGCCTAAATAGAAATTCCTTTTTGTGGTCTAGAGATAGGATACCTAGGCATGCAGCCTCCCCGTCTTAGCTATCTATTCGTCCGACGTATAGTACTTGCTCGCAATGGGCTGCTGTATCTGGTTAGAGTCCACTGGTATTAACCGTCTCGACTTCTCTTTGAATTCCTCGTATCCTCTATACCACGCCTCGTCAACTCCCTTCATTGGCTCGATTCCTCTCTCTTCGACACCCTCGTTCACCCATGCGAGAATCTCTTCCATATAAGGGACTTGGTTCTGGATCAGGCTGTGGAACGCCTTGCCCTTGCCCCCCTTCTCTTTGCGAGCAGCATACTCGCGGCGCATTTCTTCCTCCGAAGGTAGCGTAGCTAGACCCTTGTAGACGCGCGCAACGACTTCGGCTTGGAACTCAAACATCGAAAACGTGGAAGTGTAATATGGCACACCGACGAATGTCAGTGTCGGGTCTGGCATGTAGAACTGTCGAAGTGTCTTGTTAGTACAATTTCGGGACTCAACAGTGGTCAAGGTGACTGACTATGTCTTTATGAAGATTATGTGTAACACACTTGTCAGCCGTGATTATGATCTTCTCGTCCGCGTCATCAGCATCTATGGCCTCGGACTCCAGCCCCGTGAGAAATGGATATGTGGTCTGGTAGCCCGAGGCAATGATGACATGGTGTATGTCATGCAGCACGCGCCCATCGGTGAGATGCACCGTGCCTGGGATGGGTGCGCCCGGTGTTTCAGACCCAGAGGACACACTCTTTCCCTCGTCAAGCTTGAATGATTTCAAGCCCGAAACGCGTTCCGAGTTAGGCGGCAGCAAGGACTTGTCAAGGTCGAATATGCCTCCGCGGGAAGACTGGTACGTCTTGTTGGCTAGCCCGTCGAGCTCCTTGGCGATGTCGAGAGATGACACTCCCGCCCCGATGAGCAGGACATTCTGGTCCTTGTAGTGATGTGGGTATCGATAGCTCTTCGAGTGCCTCACTCTGTCTGGATATTTCCTCTTCCACTCGGCAAGACCTGGGACTTCCGGGATAAGCGGGACGTGGTAGTGGCCCGCGGCAACGACAACGGCATCGAACGTCCAACTCCTTTCATGGAAGGAGTGTTTTCCGTCTTCATCCTTGCGGAGGGTCTTGGTGCGGACCTCCCACCTGCCCGTCGCCGCGTTCTTGACAGCTTCCTCGACGCGAGTGTCAAATAGCGTCACGTCGTGGGCACCGGTTTCTCGTGACAGACGCTGCACGTATGTCTCGATCTCGTGATGAGTGACATGATCCGGAGTTCCTTCGGGCCACTGCAGCAGGGTGGTCCTCATCATTGTTGTTGGGACGTTGTTCATGAGTCGCTCATAGCAAGGCCCCGGTGGCGCATGCTGCAGTGCGATGTCATCCTCGTCCTGAGCATCTTGAATTCCCTTGGCGTCTCGTACAGCGATGGGTGTGCGATCGGCGTCGAGTGTCTCTGTGCTCGGGTACTCGGGATCCCGATCTGGTCGCGGATCGAAGTGCCAAACGCCGCCGGTAACACTGGATCGCTCGAATACGACGACCTCGAAGCCGTGGCGGAGAAGGTGGGCTGCTGAAGAAACCCCGCTGATTCCAGAACCGACGACTGCTACTGACTTGATTGGAGCCATGGTTGATTTATGGACACGAGACTAGCAAACAGACGTCTGTTAACGTTGTATACACGACGCCAAGACCTTGAGCCGAGCAGCTGGGATGTGTCTGGGATAACCTCACTAGGCTGTATTTTCGATACAAACTCTTGAAACTTGCAAGATTAATTGATCTGCTCTTAAATCATCGCGGCAGATACGGAACCATCAAAACGACAGGGTCGCCCACCGTCAGAGCACAGTTAATGCCGCGGTCGGCGCCGATGTGACGGCTCGCTAGAGCACGCCATCTACACGACTGAATTGCGTTATGGAGGGGTGCCACCACCCAACGCTCTTTGGATGTATAGCGGCTGAGGAATGATTAGAAACCCAGCGCCCAACTCCGCAATGAGGCCTAAAACAGTTGGCCTGCCGAATTATCGCTCTCCGCAACAGGAGCTCGGGAGCATCCCTCGCAGCGAATGGATCGTGAAGTTTATTCCACGCCCGCAGCGACAGATCGCGCCATATGCAGAGTCGCTGGCATATCGTATCATCAACGGAATTCGGGTGAAAACGAGATTTCCGTGTCCTTGGGGGACAATATGTGTTTCAAACCCAAGTCGAAGACTTCTTGCGGGCCTTTAATGCGTCGGTTCCCCCCAATGAAGTGGTTACCTAGGTACACATGGAGCCTCCAGAGCCTCTCTGCACTCCACATCATTCTAATACAATCTGGACCCTGTTTGAACCACTTCATACGTACTTAAACCTAGGTAACAACATTCTTTCTCATATGATAGTGACTCAGGAAGTCTGTGGATTTTGAAGTGTAACTTGCAGACGATACCCTAACTTGCATGTCCTGCTTACTTAGGTACGTATGTAGTGGGTTCGATCGTTATCATCTCAAGATTTCAACACGAAATGACTTGAGCCATTCGGATGCGTGGATCCTAGGGCGTGCCCAGGTATTGAGTATTTCCTGGCTAACATGAAAGTGCATGTATATACACGCCATGTATGTCCTCGGACGGTATACAGAATAGAAACGAAACCAGATAAATAGGTAACTATGCTATGACTGGTGACAGCCTCTAGAGATATAGCGTCCACGCAGTCTGGCTGGATATATTCATCATGTGTTGCGATTGAAAAGGTTTCCAAGGATTGATATGGGAGCAATTTGTTTTAAAAGCTCTAACAAAACAAGTTCCCATATATGCAGAAATAGGTACCGAGACTGATTCCATTTCTTCACCTGCTGATCCACCCGGTATTCTCCAACACCCTTCCAAGCTGTCAGGGATGTAGCGGGCATGGCTGGGCCACCCTAATCACCATAGACTCCCTGAACGGGATTACTGGGTAATACCATTAGTCCCTGAAGTCAACTAGGCCAAGCTTCTTTCGGCCTATTGCATAAACATCAATCACGGACCCCTTTGCGATTTCCTGCAGCTAAGCAGACTGGCTGGCAATGAAATCAAGGATTCATCCGCGAATTTGGTGTTCTTCTCGGGTAGAATACTTGCACATATTCAAGCATACAAACGGCTCGACCCGAGCTTTCTGGTTGATTGTCCGTTACTGGCATCTCAAGGAGGATTCATAGGTGTTACGACCTTGGATTCCACGCTAAGTTCTAAGGAACTAGAATCATGAGAATCGGGTTCCAAATAATGATCCAGTCCAACAAAGACTACCTAGGTCCCGGGAATTCTCCTGAGAGTCGAGAAATTTAGACAAAGCCGCCAAGTGCTTGTTAATCTCCAGTCAAAATCCGAGCAGTCGTTCAGAACGATCAAAAGGACGGCGTATGGTATGCGATCATGCAACCTGCTCGACCCTGCTCTTCTCGTCTCCTGTACTGAACGAGGTGGTGTACGCATCCACGTGGGTGGAGGCGAATTGTCGGGCAGGAACTTTGTTCGTGAACAGTAGATCCAGCTCTTCGTATGTACGGCCTTTCACCTCGGGTAGCCGGAAGTATGCCCAAACAAAAACGCAGAGGGCGGTAGCGCCCCAGAAGAAGCCGGTTCGGCCCTGGAGATTCCATTCGGTCGGGTTCCTACATCATCATCAGATCATGGTGACTTTGGAAGTGGCATTCAATGACTCACATCATATATGCTTGTAAAACTTGAGACACGATATTAGTCAGCTGGTATGCGTTGCGCGCCAGGACGACTGATAGCGGGCGAAGTCGGACAGAGGATGTCTCGGATATAATACTATACTATAGGCTTGTCAGCACGTCTCGAAATATTTCCACAGAGTTGTTAGCGACTTACAGCAATAGGCCCGATGGTCAATGAGTAGATAAAGAGCCAGAGGACACACAAACCCCCCGACGGCCAAAGAGCGTTGTCACCCGCCGAGACATCCAGAATTCCGATAATTAACAGGAGAACGCAAAGACAACCCATGCCAACAACGTAGATGGGACGGCGTCCCCAGTAAGAGATGAGCCACCAAGATCTGGCAATTTCCGAGTCAGTACAATTGGAAGTGAAGAGAACGTGATGCCAGACACTCACAGAACAGTTCCAATAAATGCCATTCCTTTTGCACCCAAACTAAGCTCAAAGGCTTTGGCGACAGGCATGCCTGCAGTCGTGAAGAAGTATGTCGGAGTGTATGCGAAACTGCTTCCAGACAGAATCTGACCAGCGAAGGCGACCATGACAACCTCGCTGCGGCGCAGGTCGACACCTTTGAAGCAATCGATATAGCTCGTGCCCTTGGTAACCTCGGACTCGACCTTAGTGGTGTGCAGCATCATAGCCAGCTGAGCGGTGACCTGCTCCTCCGTCTTCTCGGGACCGCTCAATCGAAGGATAGACTCGCGTGCCTCCTCCAGGCGGTCTTTACGGACGAGGAACCAGGGAGACTCCGGGGCGAAGTAGGCGACCACCATCAGGGGGGTAGGCCAAAGCCACTGGATCGCAAAGGGGATGCGGTACCCCATCTCGCCCTCGATGTTGAGGCATCCGCGCAGGACGCCTGCCGCAATCAGCTGGCCAATGGCCCAGCAGAGGTTGACATAAGTCGTCATGTAGCCGCGCAGGTTTGTAGGGCAGACCTCGGAGGCGTACGCCGGGCTGAGCGTGGCGAACACGCCCCAGGAGAGACCGCACATGATCTGTCCGACGAGGAGCACCTCGGGTCCGGGGGCGAAGAATGTCAGGAAGATGAAGGCGTTGAGGAATGCCATGGCGATGATGAGGACCCATCGGTACCCAAACTTGGAAGCGAAGTAGCCGTTGAGAAGGCCTCCAAATATCCCGCCCACTGTACTGCCCATGTTCAGGCCAGTCTGCCAGGGCCCGGACACCTGCCAGCCAATGTCGCCGCCATACCAGTTCCCAAACTTCTTCTGGAATTCGGGGTACGCAAAGAAGTTTCCCATCAAAATTGTGTCGTATCTTTGGTGTCATCGTGTCAATGACGAGGCTCGCTGACCGTTGTAATTGCCCCCGGCTGGAATCCGGGGATCAGCAGATGGGAGAGAACTCACCCTTCCATGACGATAGACAATGAAATCAGGACGGACCAGAACACTGCCCTGCGATTCTGGCTGAACGCCTGACGAAGAGTTTGAGCATGTTCCTCATCTGTTGCTTGCTTTGCCTCGAAGACGGCGGTGTGGCCAAGCTTCTCCTCCAGCTCGTGGTCGGCCGCCTTCTGCGCGCCGCTCGCATACACGTTCTTCTCCATCCTGGTCTTACACCAGCGTGTGGACTTGTTTTCGTTAAATTTATGGATCGCGGAGCAAATCTGATGATGTCGGGGCGGAAATAGGAATAGTCATCATGCAAGGCCACCAGGTAGCATTGGAATCGTCGGCCTGGGGGTTATATATTGTGCAGTGGCATGTTGCCTTCTGCAGTCTGGATGCAGCTCCCGTCGGGTGTTGGGAGGTACGGTGACATCTGGACCGGGGGTAAGCCAGCCACAACTGCAGGATAAGCTGCTCGGGGTCGCTTGTGATCAAAAGTCATCCCACCAGGTTGGGGAACGTTCTGGGGAACGAACGCTCCCCGCACTTTGTTTTCTTGGTAACAGTCCTAACTGTCTTGGCTACAGATCCTGCAGACAGGGCTGCCGATTTATCCACCATTGAAACATTGTTTTCTTTGCAAGAAACCTTTTGTAGTTCTTCCAACACTCGTTGATAAAAGCCGGTGGCCCGACATCCGACTAGCTCTCAACTGTCAAGTCAAAAGCGCGACCAACGCCATCCCCAGATATGCACGTCAACCAAAATGGTTCTAGTCCAAAGCATCCGTTGGCCAAACCTACTGGTTCTCGTACTTCCAACAGTGTGAATTGTCTTATCATTTCAACAGCAACAAAGGAACTGTGGTAATTTAGGTGATGTTTCTGCAACAGTCTCGACTCTCATCGCGCAGTAGTATGTCAGTTCTTCAGCTGTGCAAACTAGTCTTTTCAGCCAGCAGTCGAGACGACATCCTCTATCGCCGCAGCAGAGATCGTGGTTCCAGGCCTTGGTGGCTGGAAAGGACGCGTATTGTGGACGTGACGCGACTCTCATCCCAACACGGAGTCCCCTCAATTGACTTCGGTTAGTAGACCAATCAGTACCCGACCTGGATGCTTACCAAGAGTTATGCCGAGGCTGGCCAAGCAACTATCGGATGTATCCGCCCGAAGCTCTCCTTAGCTTCAGAATAAGATTGGGCTAGACCATCCATTCTGTTCACAGTCATCAGTGTCCACGTGATCGGTCAATTCTGAATTGGAGTGGTGGCCATTCCAAGGTGAAGAAGCCAGGATTGGACTAGAGTGTCGTCGGTACCGAGCAGTGGTCTTTTCGACACATGGAGATACTTGAGAGAAGTGTTGACGAGAAATGGGAGAGCCAACTATCCCAAAATTACGCACCGAAAAACGACCCGACATAATATTTTCGCGATGGAAGCGTCGTAATAGATTTGATGACGCTGACGGGATACCAAAAAGCCAAACATCACAGTGTAACACAGCCGATCAGTTTATTCAGCTGCTGATGATGAGCCCCGTAAGGCGGCGTCTTAATAAATGCACAACAATATCATAAAAATGTTCTCTGAGGTGAATTCGTCCTTTTCGGGTAATTTTTACATCTCGGTATATACAGGGTGAGTTCCCATGATTTACAGCTTCCAGACCTCGAGGTTGCGATATCGGGCAACCAGCGGCGCCATACCACGAAATCCAATGCGACCACCACCTATGACCGGACCAGTGGACTCGTCATCTTGGAATGAAAAGACAGGCAAGTCGTTGATCAAGAACCGTACGTCACGCTGGTCCTTGATGACGGTGATTCGGTAGAAAGCACCGGCAGCATCCGCGACGGGCGGTAGCGGGTCCGCACCCTGGGCGACGAGGTTGAAACCGGGCGACTTGCGCAGGTTGGCGAGGAGGAACGCGCGCTCTTCAGGCCAGCGCCGACGAAAGTACGACGCGTGCAGCACGCGGATGTCGCCTGAGTGGTACTGCGGGTAGGAGCCGTTGCGTGGGGCCAGGCCTGGGTCGAAGATGCTGCCGCCGGCGACGGACTCGGCGCCGAAGAAGAACATGGCCAGGCCCGGCTCCTGGCGGGCCGAGAACTCCCAGGTGATCCGGATGCGGTCTGGGAAGACCTCGGGGGCCCAGAAGACGAAGTAGTCGTCGATGTTGCCTCCTCCAGACAGTTCCAGCGCGCCGTCGACGGCTGTGACGTTGACGGGGCCCTCGGCCACCCAGCTCGCGACATCTGAGGTCGAGTTCAGGGGGTTTCGGTAGAGCAGGGTTTCGTTCGAAGCCGCCATGGCGGCGGATGTGGTGGCCGCCAAGGCCAGTGCCAAGTTTTGTGCCCGCATCGTCAAAGGTGTATCGTTTCTCACCCGAGGGATCTAAGGGTTGAGTAGGTTGGCTGAGGACATGGACAAGTCTAATTGGCTTGCCAGGAGAACAAAACAAAGGATTAGACTGGAGGACGGCTGGGCGGTAGCAACAACTTAAGTGGTAATGCTAATGTCTGCCATATGTGCAGCCGAAGTCTTTCATGGGGCAATATTGCACCGAGACAGCGAGATTGCAGCATCGGTGAAATAAGCGCGCTGGAGCTAACCCTGGTCCCTAATGCTCGGGGGGTTTCTCGACCACTGACGAAAAGTTCAAGATCCACATGGGAGAATTTGGCCATAACGTTCAGTCAAGACGTGATTATGTGAAGCCACGCTAACACGTAATGCAGCCATACCCCTACGACGCAGTCGATAGTAAGCCTACTTAATTACTTTATGTATCCCCGTTTTCTTCATTTCCAAGTTTCAAGTTGTGGGCATCAACATATCATCACGTGTTTGGGCAAGACATGCCGAATAAGAGGAACACCTTGATTTACTGACCATGGAATTCAGAGGTGTGCAGAGTGAGTTTCGCCAATCTGGTATATGGAGCGTATGAGGGTCAACTGAAGTCAAAATATAGGTTAGCCAAAGCGAAGTGGACGCAACGAGATAGTTGAACGGACATGTCTCGCCGAAATACAGCACCAATTTCGCTCGAGAGGTAACTCCATGCATGCATGCCACCAACTCTAGTCGGGAACCCCCCTGCGTAGATGGGTTACTAGTACTTGTGTGCCAATGATTAACTACCTAGGCATTCGAAGGCTAAGGACCTGATACATACCTAGGAACACTGCCAGTGTAACTAGCAACGGACATGGTCTGGAAAATGCCAGTGCTCGTGTACACCAGTGGATAACCTACGTTACAGGACGTAAAAAAAGGTTGGAATTTGAAATGGTCACATTGTTGAAATATAACTAATACTTCGGGAGCCCAACTTGACAGCCTCAAGTTGGAACCTCTTTTGATGGTTGCCTATTGTCATGTCAAGCTTCTGGGTGGGCCACAGACATAAGCGCCAAGATATCCCCAACGGCAATGATCCAGTAGGTCTCTATTAACCCTTGCCGCCTGGGATGAGAAGTCGACGGCATAGCGTTCAGATGCAGGAATAACAGTCACGATGCCATTCGTGGAGAACATGGTCCTCAGGATGAGCTGTGGAAAGAGGCGACGCATTTCAGACGGAACCGAGACAACTGCAGACGACCAAATCGTGTTAGGGACAGACTCGAATCTGGCAAGTGGTTGCTGCACATGGCACTGACTCGTCTTAATGTTGGAGTGTTGGTGAAAGACTACGCATGGTGGGTCTTACATACCTACCAACATGCTCTGGCCCCCTTGTGCACGAGGATTGTGAGGCATGGCACATTCCCATCAAGCCCCTTCACGGCATATTAGATTACAGCCTGCTGGAGGTACTCCTCGTCGACAATCCGGTGTTTCCATGGGGGACTGAAGGCGGCCAAATGGTTCTGTATGACCACACCGCACGTGGTGCCCTGCTGCCTACGGAGAAATCCGGGGCAATGGTAAAGTCTGGCTGATCGCACCCGTTTAAGGCGCACTGATCCCCATCCATAGTGGAGCTACAAGCGTTTGAATCTCCACCTCAACAACATCTTGGTGAGCACTACGCAAGTGTGGACCACTGGACACAAAGCACCGAGGCTTTTTGCCGTACTAGCAACGAACGAGAGAATTAGCGGTGGATTTTCAGAGTCTCTGTTCGACCCTAGTTGTTGTTGTCTGCCGCGATGCGATATGGATGTGAGGCTCTGGACGAAAAGGAGCGATATAGTCTGCTTTGTAATGGGTCCAGAGCTACTAGGGTAGCAAGGGCAGCTGTCAGGCACAGAGAAATCATTGATATCCTGTCATCAGCCACACCCCTGGCCGATTGGCATAATTTTCCATCTCACGACTGGCCCCAACTTTTCAACCTGTTCAACCTCTACCACAACGTTCTTAGCTTAATTCGATAGCACTTGAGACTATCCCGCCTCATCAAAAGGACGACTCTGCATCAAAATGAAGCCGGAAGCAACTGCGGGGCTGGTCGCTGCTTCAGCGCTGCTGGACTTCTCCAATTCGGTCCAACATCGACTTGACGCGTCCCCAGCATCTGCCTGCGTGAGTGAATGCTTCCAGCCGTGGGAAAATCCGAGTCGAGCTAATGAATAACCACAGTGTCGTGCTCTATCCGACCAGGGCCTCGCAGTATCCTATCCGGAGTCTATCACGTACGACGAGCGCACACGGTCGTACTGGTCGGTGGCCGCACAGTTGACCCCGTGGTGCATTGTCCAGCCCGGTAATACGCAAGAAGTATCTCAATCTCTTACTACGCTTCTCGCCGACCCCCAGTGCGGTATCGCTGTGAGAGGCGGCGGGCACACAACCTGGGCCGGCGCCAACAATATTCGAGATGGCGTCACCATCGACCTCGGCAACATGAACGCCACGACCTACCACCCGATAAATGCCACCGCGTCTGTACAGCCAGGCAGCCGTTGGTTACAGGTTTATCAAACTCTCGACCCTCTTGGAGTAACAGTTCCCGGGGGTCGGGCGGGAACTGTCGGCGTGGCTGGGCTCATCCTCGGCGGCGGTAACTCTTTCTACTCCGCGAAGAAAGGCATGGTTTGTGACAATGTTGTGGGCTACGAGGTGGTGACTTACACTGGCGAGGTCCTGTACGTCACCAGCGACACTTTCCCTGACTTGTTCAAGGTGTTGAAAGGTGGCGGCTCGAACTTTGGAATTGTCACTAGGTTCGATATGATGGCATTCGAGTCCTCCCAATTGTGGGGAGGCGCTGTCACATATAACACCACGGCTAGCGATGACCTCCTGGATTCCATGGTTGCCTTTGTGGATAATGTGGAGAATGACCAGGCGAGCTCCAGCATTATATTCTGGTCATACCAGCCGGCACTTAAGGACACGATTGTCATCGCTGCGTATGAAAACACCGACGGGGTCGTGGCTGGACCGTCATTCGACAAGTACCTCGCCATTCCTGGAAACCTAAGCTCTACGATGAGGGTGACAAATATTTCCGACCTCACCCACGAATTGGAACAACCAGCTGGCTACATGTGAGTTAATGGCTGCGGGGGGTTTTGTTCGCAAACGCGGGTTCCCGTCCTCGTTAGAGTCAAGGCAGACAGATTATGCTGACAGCTCACCAAACAGTGATATTTGGTTCACACTCTCTTTCAAGAACGACCGACGCGTCCTCGAGCACGCGGTATCAACGCACGCACAGCTGGTGAAAGATATGCTCGCCCAGTCACCCGACGGCGATTTCATCACCCAGTGCATGTTCCAACCGCTCCCTACGATATTCGCAAAGCATGGAACAGACCGTGGCGGGAACGTTCTCGGCCTTGACAGGATCACTGATAACGCGGTGCTATGGCTCGCAACCCTGGCTGTCAACGGCGCCGAACAGGAAGAGTTTGGACGTGCGAAAATGGCTGAGTGGGTCAAGAACGTGGAAGACTTCGCGAAGTCGGTCGGATCTGATGTCGACTGGAAGTATCTCAACTACGCTCACAATACGCAGGATCCTCTTGCTGGTTATGGCGCGCAAAATGTGGCACTCATTAGGGCGGCGGCGGCGAAGTACGACCCGGAAGGCATCTTCCAGTCAAGGATTCCGGGTGGTTTCAAGATTTCGAAAACCCCCCGAGAAAACTGATGATGCGATGCAATATATGTAACTCGGTGCATATGGGACAAATGGGGTCCTTCTTATACACGTGCTGTTGTAATTAGACACAATGAAAGAACCACGACTCTCCGGGACCGAAGAACAAAAAGACCCGCCGTCGTGCATTTGCTTCCGTGCCCAGGTGTGCGTGCAATACGGTGGTCTATGTATACAACTACCCTCAGGGAGAAATCATGGAGGGCATTATCCGCAGATGGTGGTGCTGGTTTAATCGACGGGTGTTAAAGGTTTTGCCATGCAGCTACCAGAACAGCATATGGTCAAGGACCAACTGGCTAGGACCGTTGTTGGTTCGGACGTAGCCGCTCGGCGTAACATGCACCATCGGATGCACCCGATCGTCTATTTTTGTTCTGACTAGGTACCTTGGTAATACTTATATTACATGCACATGTGCTGATGGTGCCGAACGCCACTTCGCCACATATTTTCATAACAACAAATGCAGTTTACAAAAGCAAAAGCACATCTAAGTATTATTCTGCCCCGGGATTCTACCCCAAGTGTTGACACGCTGCTGTGAACTTCACTGGCATCGAAGACTCGGCTGATCCGTGACCTGCAAATGTCACTCACCACCCAGCGCCTTTGGGTTCGTTCTCCTTGGCGATGAGTGCACCTATCAAAACTTGCGGGTTTTGAGGTCAAGTGGTTTCGTTTTTAATCCCCATACATATAAAATGCATGTGTATGTGGAGCCTCCATACAGTGTTAAACGCTCAGGACTGTTTGGAGGTCAATTGTGTACTCGATGTTCGGAAAATCTTAGCTACCTTCGACTTGTGCGGTGTTTGGAGTGTAGTGTGGAAGGCCTTTCCTTCCTGTCGCCTACCAATTCCCTATCAGCGTGACATCTTTCTCTGTGGCTAGTAGATGCTTCTCGATGATTTACATGTTAGTTTGCTCCGTAGTCGGCAGGAAAGTTACACGAGATACCTAGCCAGCTCGACACCACTGGCATGTGATAACCCAGAGGCAACGCAGGGCCACTGGTATCTACCAATCGCGCCAACTAGATTGCGAACAAAAAAAAAAGAGAGAAAAAGAGCAGAAAAGAATTTAGTTCAAGCTGTGCTCTAATAAGTCAGCAAAACGAAATGCATATTAGCAACTTGGGGCTACCGAATGTCATGAAACGGGCGACTACAATGGCACATGCCGTTGCCAACAGGAATGACGTGCTACCGAAGTTCAACCGTCTCCAACGACATACGATACTGGCTGCAGTGCCGTGGGTCTTGCTTATCTTCGAAAACATCTGATTTGTGATGTCCCAGTCGGATCCGATGGAGTTGTCTTTTGTTTCATTCCTACACTAGCCTATAGCGTGTCTGCTAAAACCGCCTCACGACATGGCACAAGGCGCGCCGCGTATCACGCAATAACACCCCGCTGCCCCGTCGTTGGGCACAGCACCACGACCCCGCAGATATCGCCGCCATCCATCCGCGTGTAAGTTGGGGTTGCGATCCCATTGCGGGATAATCGTAGCATATCCGGGCATGGCGTGCTTTACATGCTTGGGTGGAGGGGCAACATCACTTGTGATTTGCACGACATGCGTGCCTGCTGATGCAGCACGACTGCTTTGAACGGCAACTATGCATCTTCTCCGCATGAATGGGCAATACGAGTCATCTCGTGCGGAGCTTCGACATCGCCGTGCGGCATGATGCTTAGAAATACGTTGCTTCACGTTATTTGGGGTGATATCACGAACGTGCATCCGGGTAGAGACCGACTTCCCCAAGTTGTCCTCCAGGTCAATGGATATATATCTGCCACCAAGCCAATAAATAGTAACATTATCATAGCATACCAAATCAGTCCTCTTGAAACCCAATTCTGAAACATCGCATATTATCCAGCATGGCACCAGCTCCCATCGTTCCTGAGATCGTCGATTTTGCCGAGCCTCGGAAGGACACACTCGGCTTGCCCGAGTCTACAGCTGCCCGGCTCAAGAAGGCGAACGTCGACCTGAGCAACGGCTACCCATACCGCCCTTCACGGCCTCTTTATCTCGACGATGTGTACAAGATCAGGAGTAAGGAATGGACTCACAATGACCCTGGCGCGAGAGCCGACAAGGAAAAGAAGTCCCTCTTCTCCGCAGCTACCAAGGTCACCGACCTGACTGCATACATCGGAACTGAGATTGAAGGCCTTCAGCTGAAGGATCTCACAGACCAGCAAAAGGACGAGCTCGCACTGTTAATCGCTGAGAGGAGTGTTGTCTTCTTCAGGGACCAAGACCTGTCTCCCCAACAGCAATTGTCTCTGGGTGAATGGTTCGGCGAAGTCGAGGTCCATGTAAGGCTCCCACGATTGACTTTAACTTCGTCGTTACTCACACTGCTATGCAGCCTCAAGTTCCCCAAGTGCCTGGCCTGCCCGGCGTTTCCATCATCTGGCCCGATCTGATGGCCACAGAGAGGGCGGCCAACTTCAGGAATCCAGGAGGCGCATCCCGCTGGCACACAGACCTGGTCCACGAGCTCCAGCCAGCCGGCTACACTCACCTGCACATAGACTCCGCCCCTCCTGTCGGCGGTGACACCCTCTGGGCAAGCGGCTACTCGGCCTACGAGAAACTCAGCCCTGACTTCCGCAAGATCATCGACGGCAAGCAGGCAGTCTACGTCTCGGCGCATCCATACCTTGACCGAGAACACCCCGAGGAAGGGCCCAAGTACATTGAGCGGATCCACCCCCTGGTCAGGGTTCACCCGGCCACGGGCTGGAAGTCCCTGTTCGTCAACAGGGCGATGACGCGCCGCATTGTCGGCCTCGACAAGGCCGAGAGCGATGTCATCCTCAACTATCTGTTTGATGTGTACGAGAAGAACGTCGATATCCAGGTGCGCTTCAAGTGGACCCCGAACACAAGCGCGATCTGGGACAACAGGTACGTTCATTTTCTACGCCACCTCTGAGCAGGGATTTTACCACCGAGTTCTTGGGCTGACATCACCCTTTAGAATCACGATTCACAACGCAAGCTGGGACTACGCAGGCAAGCACCCCAGACATGGAACCCGTGTGACCGCTCTGGCCGAGAAGCCATACTTTGACCCCAGCGCTCCGACCCGGCGGGAGGCCTTGGGACAGCTAGGCTCGGATGAGCTTCAAGTTGATGGGCCTGCATAGGAGGGTGACTGACCTGGTGTTTGTGCATTCTGTCACCAATTTACATAAATTGTGTCTGTATCAACGTGAGATTAAACTGCAATGACCATCTTGCACCCGTAAAGAATTGCATTGTGGATCGCTCTCAATTGTCTTGAACGTGCTTCGCCAGAATTTCCTACCCTGAGTTATGATACCGCCGCTTCAAGGTCATACGTCCCTCACGGCTCACTGAGCAAATCGAAACAAGAACTTTGTAATTGTCAGCTACTGTTGAAGCGAGTAAAAATTGGCTTGGACAAGCCCCATCACTGTTGGTTGTCGAAATTGTACGCGGCTAATTCTCTCAAAATCTACATGGGTATTATCTATCTCTCTAAAATTTGATAGTTACGTTCAGCTATTTGACAGCGTTGGCCAGCTAGAACAGAGTTTTCAAACTCCATCCAGCGCAAAGACCCCTAGCTACGAAGAAGGCGCACAACGATAAGAAATACAACCCCCCAGCGAAGACAATCAAGCCATAGTAAGCACCATCACACCACTGCACAATAGCCCCAGCCAGTGGCACACCCACCAACGTGCCGAAACTAGCAAGGAAGAACGCCGTCCCGTTCCTCTTGCCGTAGTCCTCGGTCCTGCACGCCTGGCCAATACAGACCGGCGTGAGGCTGATTCCAGCGCCCGACCAGAAGCCAAACAGGATGGCGAATGCGACGGTGGCGGCCTTGCTGCCAACGGCCGTCAGCCACAGCGCATAGATGAACGTGGCGCACACACCCGCCGTGATACACATGACGTTCATTGGACCAAACCGGTCTGCAAGATATCCCGGCAGCGCACGGCCCGGAATGGCACCGGCGTTGACAAGAGCGTTGAGGAGCAGCGACGTCTGGAGGTCGATGCCCTCGTGGAGGGCATAGGAAGAGATGTACGTGTATGGGATGAACACCGCAAACTCGATCAGGAAGACTGCCAGGGCCGTCATGCCGAACTTGGGGTCCCCGAGGGCCTTGAGGTCGATGGCGGCGCCGGCCTTCCTGTTGGGTGGGAGGCGCTTCTTGAGCAGGAGACAGGCGCCGACGGACGCCGCGGCGCAGAGGAGACCAACGGTCCTGATCGCCCAGGGGAAGCCCACCCGTGGGGCCATGAAGACCATAATCAGGGGGAAGACGACGCCGCCGACACCGCCCGCTGTGCATGCTACCCCTGTCGCCAATGCGCGTCTCTTGGAGAACCAGTGACCTATTGCCGCGATGCTGGGGTTGAAGAGCAGGGAGGCTGACATGCCTCCCAGGACTCCGAAGGTGAGCAGGAACTGGTAGTATTCTGGATCGCTACGTCAGCTTTGACAGCCTGGACCTGAGGGGCTTACCCGAGGGCTGTTGGGAAACAATGCATACCTTTGCACACACTCAATATCATCACGGAAGCCACCATCCCCACACACCCTGGCACCACGAGGAGCCTAACATCGTGCGCGTCGAATATAGGGCCTGGAGACTACAAATCAGTCTGCAATCGAGCGAGTCGCCACGGCAGTGGGGAAATTGGGGACAACACACCAACTTGAGCCCCACAGAAGTACAAGAAGAACGCGTACGTGCTGAACACCCAGCCAATGGTTGACTCAGACATCCCCTCCAGCTCATGCTGCGAGACCCAGGCCTGCAGGACAGCTAGGGTGTTAAGAACGCCCATGGACGGGATCATGGCGCACCATGCGCCCACGACGACAAGCCATGCCTCTTTGCCTCCTTCGGGATATGTCTCGGCGTAGATATCTTCGTCGTCGAAGCTTTGCACGTCTGGTTTTGACACGTTAGCTTTTTGACATGAGAGTTCTGTCTCTGTCGGAGCTTACCTGCGACTGGCGACGCCGGGTCGGACTGTCTTGGGGCATGCATTTTGGGCGACGTTTAACAAGTCGCCTTGCTTCCCCCTTTGTTCTGTCAAACATGTCGGGCAGTTCCGAGGCTTTGATTCATATACTACAGAGACTTTTCACGGACGACCTAAGGAGTGGAGCGCAAGGCTCGAATTGGCCAATCACGATGGTTACATCCAGTCATCGATTCGATTTTGCCATTGCTACCGTATCGTTGCGTCTTGAGGCTAGTTTAGTTTGTGGGTCCAGGACAGGTCGGGAACAGGAGAGCCGGATGACTCTTCACCGGAGGGCGTGGAGTAGTGGGCTCCTGTTCTCACATGTATGCCACGCTTGTGTCAGGGGCGCACAACCCGAATGGCGTGTTCAGCTTCGAATGTTGATAAAGCGTCGAGTGATAGATTCCAATCCCGTGTCTAGAACACCGAGCAGCGTGTGAGCACCTTAAGCCCCTCGAAAATCCTCGAATCCCACTGTCCGAGGAGGGAGATTCGTACCCTGCTCCCGAGCCGAACGCCTAACGCGTCAACAAGGAGCATCCTTGTATACTTTATGCCTATCTCTACATAAGCCTTGGAAGGACCGCTAATGTTTGCAAACTTATCAACGGCGGGAATCAGATGAATGTGAAGACGAAAGAACACGGACAAAGCAGACGAGTAAAAACAGCCAGAGCGTGTATCATGTGACGCGAAATGATGGCCTCTGAGCACAACGGGTTTCCGCCCTTCGCCTTTCACCTTCTCTTTCCCCCGGGACGCCCTCGCACCATCAACGCGGGCTTGCGGCCGGAATCTTCTCATGTCTAACTGAACCATCAGTGATGTCTCTTGTGATGCAGCCGCGCCATGGATCCTCGGTGCAAGACCGTCAAAGTTGGTCAACCGCTCTGCCTCGGGCTGGACCCTGCACCCTCACAGAGAATACCTGAGTATCGACAAAGACTTGGTGGCACATTGGTGCCGGCATGTTGTAATAATATGCACATTGTACAGGATATTTACAATGACTAGTGGATTCCCCGAGGAATGATATCTAGGTAAGACATGTGGATATAACCTTGACCTCCACGCCCATGCGCCCGCTTATAGCACATGAAGTCCCATAAAAACACTGCCGCCATCAACAAGAACGCTTCTCTGATGCATATGAAAAGGCCACAACATTCTGAGTCTGGCTAAAGAGTCCGACTGCCCTCAACCTGTGCCGGTGTCCGGTCAGGACAGGGAGAAAATGCAACTCAATCATCCCACATGCCCCATCGCATGTGCCATCGTTCATTTGTGCATGAACCTCTCGTCCAGACCAATGTCGGCGAACATATACCGGTCATTCGTGAGATGCATGGCCACATAACCCATGACGTACTCATTCCATGCCCGGCCATAGGGCTCCTTGGTAGCGAGCAGGCTCGTGACGCTCAGGTACCTCTTCTCGGTGTCGGCAACAATCTCCTTCATGGCCGCCATGGCAGGTTTGTTCTCGCATTTCGCCTTGCTGTTGACGTAGTTCTTGGTCTCGCCGGCGACCTCCTCCTTGTAAAACCTGTCTGCGGTCAGCATCTGGCTCGCTCGTCCTGTGCGGGCTGTCCCAGAAACCTACGACAGTATGTCATTGGTCAGGTTGATGAACCTTCCCATGTCCGGAATAGCCTGTATGAAGCTTCCGATATCGGGGTAGAGCGCCCTCGGGAAGATGAAGCCGGAGTAGGTGTCGGGGAGGCCCTCGGTGTTGCGGAAGTAGTAGGGCCAGCTCGCCGCGGCCTGCGAGGGGACCAGCTCCTGGAACTCGCGGCGCGTCTCGAGCAGGTTCGCGTTGACGAAGGCCAGCGCGGACAGGACTATCGTGTTTGCTATCACGGGGTCGTAGTACAGGTACGTGTTGCGCAGGGTCCTGGCGAAATGCTCCAATAATAGCGAGGGCTGTGGCTGGCCGGTGTAGAAGCGGGCTTGGAAGTGCGTTAGGTCCGAGGCTATGCGCCTGTTCGTATCGTCGATGAGGAATCCAAGCCACGTGAAGACCCCGATGTGGAGCTGGACCTCTGGGGGGTGGGACGGGTACATGTCCTGATTGGAAAGGAAACAGGCAATAGTGCGTCAGCTGACAGGTCCCGACTCTGTTTCCCGCCCTGGGTGCACGCCTGGGTGCGCAGTCATGCGGTGCCCACTGCAGCCCCGTAGGGCTGCAGGCCCGACTGGGTGGGATGGAGTGTAAGAATTGGGGAGCTCACTATTGCGACGGACAGGCCCGTCTCGAAACACTGCCGGGAGTGCCTGTCTTGGTTGTACGGGACCCCGGAAGCAGCCGCATACTCGGTCATGGCTGCACGCAGGGCAGTCCTGTCTGGCTTGGTAGGGGGGTCGTAGTCTATCGTCTCCAGGAAGTTGGATATGAGAGGTCGGATGACCGAGACCAGTTCGTCCCCCTTTGGTGCAGCTTCTGGGACCATTTTGGTGACTGGAAAAAGCTCGCAGCTGCCCATGGCGACTAGTATCGAGGGGCAACTTGAAGGATTGGGTGGCTGTGACGGTCAATTTGTTGGATATATAATAGCACTGAATAGCACCAGGAGAGCTTGTGATATGTAGGGTATGTAGTACTTTATTTTGTAAACACTACTTGAAACAATGGCCGGGCCATCCCAGATATATATACTCGTATGATCAGAAACGTGGCTTCTGCCTGCGAACTGGTGTGTGTGGGTGCGATGATTAGTGTTGGTGCGATGGGGGCTCGTGGTGAGTCCCACGATCCTACATCATGGCGGTTCCCTCCGCCCATTCTCCAATCGGGCGGTTCCCTCGCTGCCCGCACGCCGACTCGGTGCTGCGGTTGGTGATCCTCCTGGCAACTAGAGGCATTTCCCTCATCACGGTTCAATGTTGAAGTGTGCCGGCCCCCAAATCTACCCCCAAGCGAGCGGGCCTCAGGCGGTGTTCAATTGCTCCTCTAAACAAATCTGGCTGTTTAGGCAGCCCAAACCCTGCACAGCCCCCATGTGATTACTGCTTCTGACGAGAGGGTGGCCTGGGTGGGTATCTGAATGGGGCTTCCGCTTACGCCCGGCCGCCCGCTGCCTCAAAACCCAGTCGCCTTTTTTTTCTGGCACCGGTGTGACAGTTGAGCGTCACCTCGGCCGTTGCGGGACGGATAGGGTAAGCCGATCGCTAATAATGGATGTTGCTCATGTCATGTCTATCAGTGATCACAGTCGTACAAGCGAGCCCTGGGGACTTCAGGACCCGTCGGGTCGGGTTTGGCCCCCATAAGCAGTTAGCCTCTGCAGCACGAGAGAAGGGCCCGAATATTACGTCCCAGGGCGTTGGAAAATTAGAGCCTCATTTATTGACGGCTGAAGTCCGTGCATGCCATCCCTCATGCCTCCGTGGGCTCCCCATCGCCCAAAACTGCAAAGCCTCAGCTGCATGGCGTTCAAGCCTCCGCGTGGCAGGACAATCATGTCCAGGTCGGGCATCAAAAAGTAGAATAACTGTGAGGACAATGACGTCGGATGATCAAACTAGTTGAGTCAAGTCTGAGTTGAGCATGCAGTGGACATGAATAATAAATAGTTCTATGCGTAAAACCACTTCTCAATCTCCTTCGCGGCCGCAAAGAGGCTGCTGTCGTGATGCTTTCGCCCAACAATTTGCAAATTAATAGGCGCCCCCTCGAAATCCCCTGCCGCCCACAGATCCCGGACGTGCGCGTCTATTTTTCCGAGTGGCTCTCCCGGGCCATATTGCTCTTGTCCCTTTGCCAAGGCCCTCACCGGTGTAGGGACCACCACACCGGGACAGTCGACGTAATTCCAGAACGCAGTGTAGTTCCAATACAGGGCCGTGTCGTGCACGCTGGCTGGGCCAACGAAAACTGGGCAGAGCACCACGTCGACATCCTGCTGCGTCCAGTGGCTCGCAAACTCGCAACGGAGCTTGTCCCGCTCAACACCCATGTCGAACATTTGCTGGAACGTGTATGGCGGGCCCTCTGCGTCTTGGATAATCCATTTTGTTAGCTTCTCCATTGGCTCCCCCGTCTTCTCCAGACCGGCCTTGAGCCCGGCGCCGCCGTCGGGTGTGTAGGCTCTGCGGATGTTCTTCATCGCATCCGCGACACGGTGGGGTGTGAATGGCTTCAACTCGATGGAGGGTGAGCTACGTAGTCTTTCCTTCGCCCATTCCAGTGCGCGAACCACCGGAGGCTGCGGCTGGATGACACCATCGTGCATCATTATACCAACCTTCAAGGCAGGAGAAGAGGCGAGGGGGGCGCTTAGCCCAGTCCATGGCAGAGGAATCAGGCTCGGCTCTCGCAGCCACGGCTTCTGTTCGACAACAAGCGACATGAACATGTCCAGGTCGCGCAGCGATGCTCCCATCGGCCCACAAGTCGCGAGGATGGTCAACTCCGCCGGGTTTCCGCTGTGCAGCATCCCCAGATTGGGCAGGCGGTGGCTTGTCGGCTTGAAGCCGTAGATGCCACAGAAACCAGCAGGGCCGCGTATGCTGCCCCCAATGTCCGAGCCAACCCCCAGCACGGAGCCCCGGAGGGCGATCAACGCACCCTCACCACCACTCGAGCCACCTGCAGACAGGTCGATGTTGTGGGGGTTGAGAGTGCGCCCGTAGGGGCTCACGGTCTCGAGGTGCATGATGTGCTGGGGCTGGTTCGTCTTGCAGTAGAAGACCGCCCCCAGCCGGCGCAGGATGGCCACGAGATGGCTGTCCTGCTCGTCAATCTGGCGGCTTGCGATGTAACCGTCAGCGGACCAGTGGCCGGCCATCTGGACATGCTCCTTGATGGAGACGGGCACGCCATGTAGCGGGCCGACGGTCCTGCCGGTCGTGGCGAGGTGGTCGTCGAGCTTCTGGGCCTGCGCAACCGCCTCGTCCATGAACCATTCTGTCAGGCAGCACGTAAGCTGATGGGCGATGACGGCCCGCTTGGCGAAGGCGGTGGCGACAGCCACTGCCGTGAGCTTGCGCTCCCTGATGGCCTGGGCGAGTGCGGTCGCATCGTAGCCCTCGGTTATTTCCAATTCATCGGGGGTCAGCAGCCCGCAGTCACGGGGGACACTGGTCACATTCCTGGGCGGGTTTTGGATCAAGTCCGCCGGCAGCCGCAGCTCCTTGGGGACCTTGTCTGCGAATTGTTCCTGCACAATGCGGTCACGGAGTGCCTCGTATCCCGGGGTGCCTTTGGCAACGGGCACCGTTTGGATGATGGGGAAGGCGTTCGGCATGGCTGGATTTGCCTTTTCGGGAGGGTGTGGTAAGCTGTCAGACGGAACAGGAGTGTGTGTCTTGGCTCTACTGAGCCCACAGCCTTCGCGAAGGTGGTGTAGCGAGGTCAGCCAGGCCAATCTAGGTTCACGCTAGGAGTATTATCAGCCGCCAACTGTTGCCCGGCGGGGGCACCTGGGGCCAGTGGCTTGGAGGACTGGAGGAGTGAACAGCCGGCGGGGTATCACCGTTGTGACGCATCCTGCATACAGGAACGGGCGCGTGATAAGGACCGGGCGAATTGCCTGTGGTTATCAGGCAATCTCTACGCCACAGCGGTATCTCTTGTTACACACTGCCCGAGACGAGATAATGTGCATTTGTGGAACCAAGAAACCACACAAATTGACGAGCAGTGATGCCTTATCAACGATCCTCCGGGTCTGACACTGGCATATTTCAACGGTGTCGTTACATAATTGCAGCATGCCTGTGACCCGAGAATCCCGTTTTTGTGCGCGTGAGAAGCGGCTCAATGTGTCTGACGGCCACTCAATGATGATGCCTAATGTGTATAATGCGGAGTAGGGTTTGTGAGACTGGAGCGGCACAATTAACAGTCAGCCAAGGACGATTCATGCATGTCGGCCGGTCCGTGAAGTCGGCCATACCTGATGGGCATATAGCCCTCTGATTAGAGTCTGATGACTTCCAGCCGTGTTGAGGTGATAGTAACATCAATGATCTGTACATCTGACTGCATCCTCGAGAATCGTTTTTTCGTGCAGCCGGAAAGAACGGCCTCAGTTCGTTTCTAGCTGTCGTAGTGAAGGACTGAAGTCAACAATTGACAGTCCCGACACCAGCGGTCGGAATCTACTAGTACGCCGCATTGCCTCTGGAAACACATGACCCTTCAGGAGGGCAGATAGCAGTGGTATGGCCGGAAACTAGAGGCCGGCTTGTCTCAACCTGTGCGATTCTTGGTGCTCAGTCCCCGGAGGTTTCAGGTCTCTACAAGCCGGGATAATGACGATTTTGCACGCCTATGACTAACATTTCAGTCAGGGGACCATAACGTGGTTTCGTTTTTAATCCTCATACATATAAAATGTACGTGGCGCCTTCATACAGTGCAGGGGACCATAAGTCCCTGATAGAAGAAATGCTTACATCTAATTTGACGTTCAGACAAGTGAAGCGTTCCGGCGATACCAACCTTGGAACCGATCCGTGTCTGGCGGGTCGTCCGATCGCCCATACCATCGCGAACAACTGTTAGTGTCAGTAACAAACCGGATGCATTGCATTCCCATGGGTGAGACAGAAAACTGGAATCCAGTCAAAGTCCCCGTATCACACTCAAATGCTGTGACGTGTTGGCTCTGTAACCGATCTGTATATCTTGCCCGTCCTGTAAGTTGGATTTAAAGACTGATAGGTAGCTGTCCCCTGCTACTTTGACGAAGGAAAGGGCATAAGTTTTTAAGATCCTCCAGGGGTCAAGTAATGTGATTTATCTTTGAGAATAGTACAGCGGCGGTGAAAACCTTCCCGTGGTTGGTTTTGAGTGGGCCGGAAATGCATACTATATGTGTTATATACCAGCTCCCGCGTCCACCCATTCATTAGCCCTGATTTCTAGAGTCGTCCAATACCTTGAGCTGATGAAGACGGTCACAATTGCGATATTACTCCCCGACTCAGCATAGGAAAATGCTCATGCCAATATTGAATCCAATCCCTCGTGCTCCATCAGCGATGCCTGTGACCCGACCTCCACGGGGCTCTCAGAGAAGAGGTCTGGCACAGACCTGGTCAGGTAACGAATGTTGTCTGTGTCAGGCGAACGGCTGCCCTTTCTGAACAAGCGGATCCAGACAGCAATAATAGATGCATGACGTTACTGGAGTAAGTAGGGGGGCAGGCAGCCGGGTCTCAAAGTCCCGGGGACCTCAGGACCTGAGAGAGGGTGGCAGCTAGGCTCTTTCTCTAGACCTCTCAAACTAGCATCAGCCATCACGTAACCGAAAATTTTCCTGTGGCCAACCGGAATATACATTGGAGAACGAAGGTCCCTTCAAATACACACATCGGCCGGGAGCTTGGTCCCGGAGGGGCCGCAAACCCGACCTTGAGTGGCCCGGAATTCGAATCCCGACTGCCTTGTCGTCGAAAACCGGGCTGATCCCTGCAAGTGAGTCTGGGGAGTGGGTGGCGCCGTCAACGTCACGAACATCACAAGGAATATCAACACCCGGAAAATCCCACTAAAATCGCTTTACCTCGAGCATATGAAATTTGACGCAAGGACACGTGTGCGCTATTTTGCATTAACGTTACTCAAACCTTGAAGATATCATCAAGATGGCAAAGGAAGAAAAGCTCAACGCAGAAGCCGCTACGAACGGATGCGACAAATCGGAGAAGCGCTCCCACGACGACGAGGTCGCAGTGCTGGCAGTTCGCAACCTTGTGTTTGATCTGTGCACGCAAAATGGCGGAGGCCACGGCGGCTCAGCGTTGGGAATGGCTGCGATCGGGGTCGCGCTGTGGAAGCACGTTATGCGATTCAATCCGGCCAACCCCGAATGGTTTGACAGAGATCGGTTTGTGCTATCCAATGGTAATACTGACCGCACCGGAAGTCCAATTGTCGCATCGGTCTGACTTGTTGTGTGGCAGGCCACGCCAGCATGTTCCTTTATGTGATGAACCACTTGGTGGGGTATGATGCCTGGACGATCGAGGAGCTCAAAGGTTACGGGGCCCCCAAGGAAAACGGTTATCACACCCTGTGCCACGGCCACCCTGAGCGCCAGGCTCCCGCCGTTGAGGTGACGACTGGGCCCCTGGGCCAGGGTGTTGCGAATGCCGTTGGGCTGGCCATCGCCTCTAAGAATCTGGCGGCAAACTTCAACAAGCCTGATTGTGAGCTGATTCAGTCGACGATATGGTGCACTACGGGCGATGGGTGCCTGATGGAGGGGGTCGCATTGGAAGGTATGGATCTCATTGCCCGAGCCCAAAAATAGTCCGCAAAACTTGTTAACCTCTCACAGCTATTTCTCTTGCTGGCCATTTGCAGCTGGATAACCTTGTTCTCATCTATGACAACAATGCCGTGACGTGCGACGGGCCACTGGACTGGATCAATACTGAGGACATCAACACTAAGATGCAGTCACAGGGATGGGAAGTAATAAACGTTCAGGATGGCAACAATGACGTTGAGACAGTTGTGGCAGCCTTGAAGCTTGCTAAAATATGCAAGGGGAAGCCTGTTTTCATCAATATAAGGACCGTTATCGGCGTTGGGACATCCACAGCTGGGACCTACAAAGCACACCATGGCGCCTTCGACAAGGACAGCATCGCCAGATCAAAGCAGCTTGCAGGTTTGTCTGCTGAATCAACTCACGTCGTCCCACCTGATGCACTGTCTCTCTTCCGTGAGAGACGACAACACGGCAAACGCCTTCAGGAGGAATGGGAAGCCCGACTGTCTCAGTACTCAAAACTTTACCCCAAAGAGTATGGTGCTTTCGACAGGCGACTGAAAAGGGACGTCGACGAGGGGATATCATTACTGTCAGCAATCGACAGCAAAGCCTTCGCTGGGAAGGCAACAAGAGAAACGAACGGTCGCATTCTTGAAAAGCTCTGGGAGTCGATACCCTCTCTTTGTGGCGGAGGCGCCGACCTCATTAACTCCAATATGGTATCCTACTCGGTAGAGGACGTCTTTTTGCCTCAGTCTGGATACAAGGGCCGATACCTTCGGAACGGTATCAGGGAGCATGCCATGGCTTCAATAGCGAACGGCTTGGCGGCCTATAGCCCTGGAGCATTCATCCCCATCACCGCCACATTCTTTATGTTCTATCTCTACGTAAGTGTGCAAGGCAGCACCTATATTACTGCGATAAGCCCACTGAGAATGACCACTTTGCAGGCGGCACCTGGTGTGCGAATGGGCGCTTTGAGCGACCTTCCAGTCATTCATATCGCAACCCACGACTCCTTCCGTAAGCCCCCCACCAAAAGAAATGAATGAACCTGAACCTAGTGAAAATTTTGGTCACTAACACCCGTACAGAGGAGGGGCAGAACGGGCCGACACATCAACCAGTAGAAGTTGATTCTCTCTACCGGGCCATGCCGAACCTCTGCTACATCCGACCCTGCGATGCGGAAGAGTTGATCGGGGCATGGACCATCGCGCTCTCGTCGAACAACGGTCCGACGATGCTCTCGATAGCTCGCGACCCAACAGGGCCAGTTCCAAACACAGATCGAAATCAGGTTCGCCGAGGGGCCTACATCATACAGGATCATCCCGACTACCAGCTTACCCTTGTCAGCTGTGGAACTAATTTGCACTATGCTGTTGCGACTGCCAAGTCCCTCGAGGAACAGGGGATACCTACTCGGGTTGTCAGCGCCCCTAGCCTCGACTTGTTCGAGGTGCAGGACGATGAGTACAAAAGGAGCGTGTTTCCCCCAGTGAAACGGCCTATAATTAGTGTCGAAGAGTATGTAGCGACCACTTGGGCGAGGTACGTCACAGCCAGTATTGGTATGACCACATATGGGTACTCCGCGTCGAACCGCAGTAACTACGATCGCTTCGGTATGGACGCGAAGGGAATCGAGAAGAAGGTGAAGCATTACATGGCACTTTTGAACGGTCAATCTGCAAGGGAGTATGGCTGGAGACAATTATAAGTGGATTATGTAGATAGAACGGTAGGTCATACGGAGTATATGATGAATTGTTGTAAAATGAAGCCTTGTTGATGCGTGGGTGCGTGGGTTTTTCGTTGCCAGTGTCTGTATTTCATCGAGGAAACTGATCATGGCTTTTTGCGTCCGAGGCGGAAATCGAAGACTTCTAAGTACAACTTTCCCCCTTGACTACTTCACCTTACCTGCAGGTTTGGAATGTTCATCTGTCCTTTTTATAGACTAGAGAGATACTAGTATTGACACTTCTGGTCCAACTCAACTTAATACACATGTATGATTGGGATGGAACCGGGAAGACATTGTTGTTGCTTTCTGGTCACAGGTTTGTCTGTTCATGTACCTAGGTAGCGTTCCCTCCATGAACCTGGCTGCCCATGTATTTATCTCGTCTAGGATCAATTAATTCCTTGGTGCACTATGCCTTAACATTTGAACACTGCTTTCCAACCTTCGTCCATGATTAGTCCCTAGGCGAGCATTGTCACCTGTAGCCATCTCCAGCACAAGTGCTAGTAGTAGAAACAAATCACCGGTGGCATCTGGACATCGGCACTCAAACAGAATCCCAGAGAGCCCGTACAGACCCTGGGGCATAAGGCCCTTTCTCAAATCGCTTCCCTAGTAGCTGAACATCAAGATCAGGCCCGAATTCATCTGGGAGCTCTGTTGCGTATGTAACCCATTTCCAGTCGAATTGTGAGCGACAAGCGCCGAGTTGATGGTATGCAATAATGGAAATATCCCATGACTCTTTTGTAGGTTCGGTGTGTAAACCCGGATTGAAAACAGAATCATCCAATTTTGTGGGCTCATCAGCATCATTGAATCGTCTTGAACGTGTTGTGATACTATAGTCTGTTAGGCAGGTAGAACAGGACCCCTGTACGTCCTGCAATTCCCTGAGGCTCTCTGAGTTCTCAGGTCCCAGTTCTGGGATCATGATTCGTTGTGGGTTTCTAAGACCTTCCCCGATCCACTGCCTCCAAGTCATTCCGCTGGAACGCAATGATGTGGCATTCAACCGCCATACTGGTGAGTACGTTGTGAGATGATGACAAATTCCGTGCTTCTCTCCAACAAGCCATCTGCGGTTCCTAGCGCCAACTCCAGTAACAGAGAATGTATGTGATACGGAGAGAAAGAGCTCGTCCTGAACGACCCGTGCTGTGAAATTGATGTTCCAACCATCATTGAGGTAAGAAGTGTTGAAGCTACAAGCAAGCTGTCCCAAGCTTAGTCCCCCCCCAAGGAGATGCTTATTCATGGCGAGGCGAGCAAGGGAAAATGGAATGCAGAATGTATCGTATAGTGTATTCTTTGGATGGTAAGGTGTATCGAATTCGGCTCGGAATCCTGGCCTCCAGTATGGAGAAAAGCGATGGAGGATTTGGCAAGGTTGACAGAAGAAGAGCTGCTTGCTGAGGTCTCTCTCCAGAAGCTGGAGTAGCTCTTCCAGATGGGCCCCCTGGAGCCTGTTCCTTGGAAACATGGGGCCGAATAGGGAAGTACAAGTGAGTGCAAGGGCTGCTGCTGATGCTGAGGGAAGCCAGTCCGATATTTCCAGTAACAACTCGACGGGTAGTTGGAGGAGCAGTGATTGTTCCTGATAGCAGCGACTTGGGTGAAGGTGTAGGAGGCGCCTGCATATGGATCTCATATACCTCCAACCTCTGAGAATTTCGAAAATCAGCCCTTCCTCCATTTTGAACGGACGACTGAATTCAGGGGTGGGCTTGAAACCTGGTTTTGGTGAGATTCTGCAGGCTCACTGGAGGTGTGGCGAGCGCACTGGTCCAGCTCACACGTAGCATCGATGAGAATTTGGAGGGAGGGGCCAAGTTAAGTACACTGCCGCTGTGGATTCCGCTGTTTTTATAGTGGAAATCGCGTCGGGTGACTACAATGGTTTTCACTGGACAGCCGACCGCCCAAGGGCTAGCACGATCGTGGGGTACTAAGCGCGTCAGTCGACAGTTCTAGCTTGACACCAACACCCAGAATGACAGGCTAGGGGAGGTTTTGCGCTCGGCTGTGTGCGGTGTTTTTGCCGGCTTCCTAATGACACGCCTTCTGACACTGTAGACACGGACTCGCACCGATTTAGTGGAGCTGGTCGCTGCGTGGTCTGCATGGAAGGCAATACCTAGGTATCAGGCGGCAGAGTATGGACCGGTGTCGATTTAAATACTTCCCACAGCGCCGTGAATTGAATGCTTGGAAATAATGGTTATAAGATGCTGATGTGCCTGATGATGATGACTTGCCGCATCTGGACGGCAAGGGAAGACAGAGAAGGACTCAAGATAATTTATGCCACTTGCCCGAAGGTGTCTGATCAAAGCTAGTGCCGATGGCGTGCTGGGGGCATCTCATTGTACCGGTAGGATAGGAGACAATGCGTGTTGTATTTGATGACTTGGGAATTTTCCACTGTTGCATGATACGGAAGTCAAACTCTCATTGCGTCAAATTTCACGAGGGTACAGGCCAATTGTTTGACAAGCTAGTATTGACTTCTAAGTTGTTCCGAAGGGGAAAACCCTCAGGGGAATAAAAACCCCCCGGCACCTTAGTTCAAGCGAATGTCCACTGGTTGTCATCCCTCTCAAATCTTCCAAACAACTTCGTGCCAGACGCTTACTGGCACACCCCAGAGGCAGCTCCAGCCTGGACGAGGCAAAATCCCGAGCAGCAAGGCGGGTTGGAGTTGATAGTCTGTAGTCCGTCAGTTAGTAATAGCCCCTGAGACTTTTCCATTGTAATTTGTACTCACGCAGATGTTACCGTTGGGAAGGCATTGCTGGGCCGTAGCAGAGGCCGCGAAGACGGCAATGGCAGCGTAGAAGTAGGCGGAGACCTGCATTTTGATTGTGGGGGGTTTGTTGGTTGTTGGTTGTTGGTTTGTGATAAGAAGCAGAGTTGTTGTTGTGAGTGATGATGCTGTTGAGACAGACGGGAAGAAAAGGGGTCTTCCCCTCTACCTTTATAGTTTTTCTAGACGTGGAGAGCCACTGCAAATGCTCTTGGGCTGTTGGGCTCTTGGGATACTCACGACGCACTTGGTCACAGCGTGCAAGGCTGCGTTCACGCATTGGCCAGCTGGTATGTGAATACTGGATATCACGTTGGCCATCTCAATGACGTTGCATCTCACTCAGTCATGATTGGGTTCTCAATCTATTGCGTAAAAGTATGCAAGGTGCTGAGAAAGACAAGTCACAGTCATGGTTGCAATCCAAATCAGGTATCCCCACCGACTGCCAAGTACCTACATATGTAAGCAGTTACACCCGACGTATGCATAGGCCTCTTTGGAACAGGCATAACGGCCATCAAACGGTACATCCGAGATACATGGCCATACCAAACAGGCAGTTGAAAGGGGACAAACTCAATTTGGCGTCTTCTGATCTCCAACTGTTCATCCTATTACGCAAGTCAATACCAAGGCCATGCATATCCTCTGTGTGTTCAGAGGTCCTCCCACGCAGACTTCATGTTGACTTCGGAAATGCGGCTGGCGGTCTCTCACTCTAATTCCCGACTTCCGACTCCCGACGTGAATCTCACTTGGTGTGTTTAATTCGCCGTCGTCGCTGGTAACCGAATGGAATCACTCAAAAGGCTTACAGCACGGGGCACCTGGGTGTGGGTACACACACCAGTATAGGGAACGATCACCGCTCAGACACGATCTGTAGTCAGCACGGCAGTTTTAATAGGTTGTATTCCCACATTTACTTGATTATATAGTACGCGGCTAGGCGGCCGTGCTACGGCTTACACACTGGACGCTAACGTGTTTATAGATGCTTAGAGGGCGAGGTCAAACAATGCAACGAAGCCTGGCATCGTCTTCTGCACTCTCAAGACCGGTCATCTATTACCGGTGTTTTATGTTCTTACCAGATGGTCAAGGTAGCAGTTTGCGAAGGCTGCCAGCTTACTGAAAGTGTTACATCTGCGCAGAATTAAATGGTGGGGGTCACGATGTCGCAACGGCAGAGTTGGGTTCTCTTTGCACCAACACGGCAAAGATTGTCGGCCTGCTTAGATCCACCTTCTCCTTTGGATTGGCAGGTATTTAAATGAGATAAAATAGACCAAAAGAAAACCAGGAGGTGAGAGGTGAGCCGGGATTCGCGGCTTGGGAAGAAATGTGTATGGCAAGTGTTTGAGCTGTGGCCTGCTTGACGTCAAATCCCTAGAGTGCACAGTCACGAGTAAGACGGATGACCAGCATGCAGACCCAACTCGCACACATGAATGAGACGACAAGCCAGATTTGTAAGTCGTCATCGATTTTCCATGCATGAGGGGCTTCCTAAAGGACAGGGTACCTAGGTAACTTTGTCTAAAGAAACAGTCTACATACACTGATGAAAATGCCCGCTTCGCATAAAAGCTACTCAGGAAAAGGGAGCTCGGTCCACTGGTAATAATAATGCTATAATCACCTCAAGCTTACAGAAGAAGAGAGCACTCGCGAATCTTAGTACACAATGGCCTGGTACCCGAGAAGGCCCCCGGGGCCTATTCAGTGTCATGTGGCCCAAGCTGGACTTCAGTGTACACCCTGATGAGGCAATTTCATACGACTTCTTTGCCACTGCTGTTGTTCAATGGGCTGCGTACGTGTCATACGGACATTGATCTGATGATCGATCCTGGTGGGCTGACGGAGACTGCGTCAGAAGGGTGCAAAAGCCAGGTATTTCCAGCCCCATGCCCCCCCATCCCGCGGGCTCGGTTAAGCGCCTTTTGGCCCAACAGGTAGGTAATACGGCTACAGGCCTTGTATGTTGTTCGAAAGCTGCACCAATTACGGTGCAACCTGCATCCACACCGGTATGAATGTTTGAACACACTGTGACGAAATTGACTTGGAGTGATTGCTCACTTGTATTCTCTTGGCTTCAAGGCCTGAGCAGGCTATCGGGGGAATCTAGATGCTTCGGCAACAGCAGCTGCAGAGGATGGTATGGTTGGGGTGGCCTGGAACAGAGCCAACTCATCGAGGGGTAAACGTGTGGTGGTTGGATCAAAGAGACGTCTACCTCTTCGTATGCGGCTCCAGGGCTATTGGCACCCACACCCGCAGCCGCCGGCCCGGGCGCCAAGACGGGATTTGCAACGGGCATTATTCCCACCCAGGTAAGCATTCAGGGACCTTCCAATTGACTTGTAACTCGTCGGGTAGGCTGAGTAAGTATCATGCCACCCACCTATGCCACAAATATAGTGCTCACCCTGAAATGAGCGGGGTACTGTTATGTATATGATCTCTTTAGGACAGCATCAAGACCGTGCCAAGTTATTTCCAGCCGAGCCGGAACACTCGCCCCGGACATGATCAGAAAAACTTGGATACCAAGTTCTGGAATTCGCCGAGTGGATGAGAGGACATTTCACCCGTGTTGGGGTCACCCCTATGGCGATGTCGTCCCGCCATACACCGGCGCCACTTGAGGATCTAGGCTCACACAGCGCGGTATTGCCTGGGTTGTTTGCGTGCTTGATTGGTCATGATGTTGAGTGATCGCCCGCGGACTGGCGGCCGTAACATTTGTTACTAGCTTTAAATTTGGGATATCGTAGTTTAAGCTGCTGATAAAATTAAACAACAATTAAAGTGAATTAGTAAGGCTTTTTAAAGAACAATTAGATTTAACTAATATTTACTATATATTTATCGTGGATTACAGTAGTACATTATTTAACTTCATCATTTGACCATTTCGCTTGAAACTAATATTCTGTGCATAGAAATTCGAGAGGAAACATCGCGTGAGGTGTCAGGGCAGAGCGGCAAGTGAGTCACATCCTATCCATACCTGCTGGCCATCAGTTGGCGGAGAGAATCATTTCACGCTGAAATCAAAAAGCCAGAGCGTCCTCTCACCACTAAGCCATCAACAAACCCCTTTTTAAGCCAGACTGATTTAGCAAGACACCTAAAAACCCAATCACAGACTTGGTAATGTACTTTCAAAATCGCTTTCACGTGCAAGACCTGATTAAGAAAGACCCAGGTGGACAAACAGGCATGGTTTCCGTTTCAATATCTTTTTACACGGCCGACTCAAGCGCAGTACCAACGCTGTCTCGGCCATAAAGGCCTGCTTCGAACTCCTCGTGGAGTTGCGCCGCCGCAAGTTCGTCAGAGTCATCGTCGTCGTCTGCCTCATCGCCATCACCGGCGCAAGGGCTCAGCCCTCGAGCGGGGGACTCATCTTTGCAAGGATAGCCACCGCAGCCCGACAACGCATCGGCGAACCACCAGCCTGCATCGTGCAGGATCGGGAGCATCTCGGCCCGCAGGAGGCCCTCGGGGCCGGGCCGCCCAGGCTCCCCGGCGGTAGTAGGCCCGGCGCCGACGAGCACGGCCAGGTAGTCGCGGGCGAGCAGGTTGTAGATCTCGAGGACCTGCGCCCGCAGGCCCTGCTCGACGCGCTCGCACAGCACCTGGAGCTCCGCCCTCACGCTCTCGGTGGCGCGCGGGAACATCCCGTGGCGTTGGGCCTCGACGTGGTCGGCCATGCGCGTCTTCATGCGCGCGTAGGAGCCAGGGCCTGCACAGGGGTCAGCTTGTGCAAGACAGACAGCAAGAGAAGCAGGAGGTGGGGTCGGGACATGCCTCTCTCTCGAACACACCCATCATAAGCCGGCTCCATCTACGCCGCGACCACGGGCTGGAACCCCCTGCTGGCCTCCCGCTGCAGGTCCTGGATGACGGCGCGGAGCATCCCCGGGATCTCTCTGAGCCGCGCCACGTGCGTCCGCAGCTGTTGGCCGAGCATGCCGATGCCGCCGTGGTTCCTGCCGCGCTGCTCGGAATGCTCGACAACATCACGGTGGAAGTCCTCCAGGAGCAGCCGGGCATCCGCGGCGAAGGCCTCGAGCGCGGCGGGGAGGCGGCGGAGAAACGCCCTCTCCCACCCGTTGGCGAGCTGCTTGCTGATGGGCTCCAACAGCTCGGCGTTGAAGTCCCGGGGCCCAGAGGCGCCGCAGTACACGCCGGAACGTCGACATGTAGCCTTGTAGGTGGCCCAGTACATCCCGCCTTCAGCGCGGCGCCCCCCCCACGCGGCTGCGGTCGGAACAGCTGCGGTGGCGGCACGAAGCGTTGCCAGACCGAAGGACTCGTAGATGCACTCAGAGAGGGCCCCTCTGATCGTGGCAAGGCAGTCATCAATAGCCCTGGCGAGGGCCTTTCGTTGGTTAGCGGACTGGATTGGAACAACAAGTACGCAGATAACAAAGAGGTTCGAACATACCCCGTCCAGATTTGACAACTGCATTCGAAGCAAGGCCTCCTCTTCCTTCTTGCCACCGTGACCCATGTGAGACTGGGGCCCTGCATCAGACGCCCACATCTTCATGGAGTTGATAAGCTGGCTAAGGCCGTTGAGGAATTGACGGCTGGTAGCTGCGCGGCCAGCTTCGGTGAGCTTCTTCGCATGCTGCTGAAGCTGGGGTACTTCGGTCTCATTGACATTGCGGAATCCATCATCGTTGAAGTCGTCCTTCTCTAGCCGGCCCCTCATCTTCTGGTAAGCGCGACTGCTAACGCAGAATACGGGCAGGCTGCGGGCAACCTCGTCGTAGTCTCTGATCTCCTCCTCAGGATCAAAGGCATCCTCGTCCTCCTCGACCGCATTCTCCTGGTCCAATCTGCAGCAACAGTGAGTAGACAAGCCAAAATGTGTAGTCTGCTGTGAAAAGAACCCACTCTTTGATGCCCATCGCAAAGTCTCGCTGAATGGCACCCTTTGAGTAGCCATTTCTGCCCTGGATACAGACGGCCTTGACTGTTCCGAGCAGGCGACCTTCCTCGGACTGGAGGGGCTTCAATTCATCTCGGATTCTCCCCAGCTTGGCGTCGATTTCTTTCCTCATATGCCGAATCTCCTTCCTCTGGGCTTTGAGATCACCGAGCATTTCACGGATCTGATCCTCCGACAACGGCGCTCGGTCCTCATTCTCGGGCTGGTTCTCTTTATCACTAGCCGAGTCAAAGGCCGAGTCGGAGTCGCTATCGTCAAAGTCAGACGACACACGGTTCTTGCGGCTCCTGGAAGAGATGGCACCTCTCTTTCGCTTCCTGGAATTCTCTGAGGGAGGGTACACGGTCTTGCCGTCGGTATGCTTCTGGGAGAGCTCATCCCAAACTTCCCATCTCCCGTCAAGGTCGTCAAGCCGATCGACCAGGTCCGCCTTCTCCTCCCTGCCGCTGGCGAGCTGTCTCCTGAGGGCGCCGATCCGGCGTCGGAGATGATCGATTTTGGCCCAGGACTCGGAGACGGCGGACTCCAGGTTGAGGCTTTCAGCGGCCTCCGTCACCGATATATCGTCGGTCTTGGAGCAGATGAAGGTCACGGCCGAGTAGATGCCATCATACTTGAGCTGACGTTTGAACGAATCTCCGAGAAGGGACTTGGCGGTCTTGTCGTCGACTGCACGGTTGATAGGGGCGACAATCCAGAGGCCGGTACACGCCTTCATGTACTGCTGTGCGACGGCTGCTCGGGCAGCGTTGGAATCCTGAACACCGGGCAGGTCGACGATGACAGCACCAGTGGACAGGGCATCCGCCTTTGTATAGATGCGGACAACCTTGATCAAAGGCCAGTACTCCATGGCGACGTCCTTTTTGAGGTGGTAATCCTTCTCCTTGCTGTCGACATAGCGTTGGAGGCCATGGTAAAGCCCGGACGCGGTGGATGACCTCAGCTTCATGACACTGCCGAGCACGCCTCTGACGGCGGGTTCGTTGGCAAGTCTCTCGGGGCTGGTCTCGGCGATCATGTGGTTGGTCTTGGAGGGGTAGACAGACTTTATCTTGGCATAAGCGATGCCGGCCTCTGTTTCCGGGTTGTTACAATCACGAGAAATCTTGCCATCGTCCAACAAGTCCGTGAAGAGGGTGGCCAGCTCCTTGATCCAGTCCTCGGCGGCGATGAACTCAATCTCGGCCCGGAACAGCTCGTCCGGGTCGTCACTCCGGTTGTACGAGATCTCAGTCGGCGAGGCAGTGCAGGCCCGGAGACAATTTGTTGGGAGCAGCCTCTCCTCGTCAAGCAGCGCATTGATGACGGAGCTCTTCCCGGCGCCGGTGTTGCCTACGACGCCGACGATGGCCTTGAAAGGCTGAGCACGAGATTCGAGCTGGGTGATGGTGTCGAGCCATGAAGAAGCCTGGGTGCTGCATGCGGGGATGGATGCAGCGGCAGCCAGAGGAAACTTGATGGTCTCAAGGACGTGCATGCCCAGGCTAACGCCACGCTCGAGAAAGTCGGGCGACGTGTTTTTGGCCCACTGCTCGAGGGCATCGGGTTCTTGGTGTTCTTGGTCGGGGCTGGGGGAAAATGCAGCATTTTCCAGACTGCTGGCAGGCGGCTCTTGGCTGATCTCAGCCTTGATGCTGACCGCCTCAAGCCCCGATCCGGTAGGCTCAGGCTGATGAGGCGTGCGTGTAAGCAGGTCGGTGGCGTCCGACGGCTCGCATTTGACTTGCACGGCGCGTTCCATCTCGTTCTTTCGACCTTGATTCGGGGAGAATGCTGAAGGCTCAAGGACTGAGCTTACATTTGCGTGCTGCTGGACCCAACCAACAACATTGAAACTGGTGGCCGAGAATAGAATACATGTGCTTGTTGACCCTGGGGACGTTTCGCTGTGCGTCGCGTCTCCTCGCACCGACGCGTGACGTGACTATCTAAGTTCAAGGGTAAGGGTTTGTGACACCTTCATTTCGGGAGATAACAACACAGGTTTTCAAAGACTACTAGTACCAAGTACCTAAGTACTTGAGTACCTAGGTAGGTACAAGTTCCGTCATACCGTTATTTTCACACTTAAAATAATTCAAAATTATCAATTATAATGAAATCTTAATTACCTTATAATAAGAAAGATTTCGATTTTATATATATGACTTATATTTTAATTAAATTATAGTTTTTATATAAAATCTCACGCAGGGCGGCGGCGAGGTTCTCTTCCGTCAGCCTCTGTAAGAGGATAGGTGCCAGGCCGAGCCGAATCTAGGAAGAACGAGCTCAGGCTCATGGGAACGCCGTGGCTCAGGCCCATCGAGGTGTGGCCGGCGCCGCCAAGGTGTACGAAGCCTTGGACGCGTGAGAGAAGCCTCTCGGTGTGGGACGTCATCCGTGATGAAGATGCTGCTGTGGTGGTGCTGCTGCTTTGGGTGGTACCGTTTGTGCATTTGCTTTCATGATCTGGAAGGATCACAATAGCACTCGCTTCCACCTGCGATACTCAATACATTTCGTATATGGATGTTAAAACAATGGTGCTAGGCCTGCAGCATTCACCACGTTTTTGCAATTTCGATCCAGAAACGCCATCCTGTACTATCAATTCGAAGTCGCATTGCTGCTGTAGATGCATAATCCCCTGCCCTGCCTCAATTAATCATCTCATTTCCAACCGACGCTTGATAAAAGTTTCAAGGATGTCAAAATTAAGAACTAAATGTCCAATATTGTCCGGGAGCTGTTGAGCAGGCGAGTTGATGATCTTGTGGCGGATATACGTTGAACTTATTCCTCTCTCCCGGAAATTGTCTTCTTTTTTTGCATGGATAAACCGGATCCAATGTTCAGGGTTTTCCTTCCACCGGCAGATCCTCACGCAATCAACGTCTTCAGCTAGTTGTTTGTGAAGCGATTCGGCAAGCTGGGCGATGTACCCGGGATCTGCCAAAACAATCAGCTTCATCTGGGTGTCCTTTAAAGGTCCGTATACTGATTACCTCTTTGTTTTTCGAATGTCTTTGGGCCACCTATTAGCTGAAGCCTGAAACAGATCCAGGCGGCAGAAGACTCGGCTTTCTCCCTCAGCTCTTCCTCCGACCTAGGCACCGGTTTCCATCGATCACATTCATTAAGAGTCAAAAGACTCCCGCCCACACCCACAAAATCTGCTTCCCTACCAGCATCAGAGACAATGAACTCTTTACAGCCCCAAGCCCCCCATCGGATGGGACTATTCAGGTCCAGGCAATCCGGACCAATGAGCAAAACGAAACGAAGTGAAAAGCCATCATCCTCAATGGTTTTTGTGAGAGTGCGTCGGAAAGAATCCCATTCCTCGGTACTGCGGTCGTAAACCCAGAACCAGTCATGCGTGGTAAAGTCACCTCGCCATAATCGCACCCTCTCCTGTTTAGTGAGGATGAGACACTCGTCCCCGCATTTATGCTTCACGTCTCTATCATCTAGAGGCAGGATTATGGCAGCGATGACGTGAATATCTTTACTGCATTCAAAAGCTCGCATGAGAAGGGCCTCATGCCCGCGGTGAGGAGGGTTGAAAGATCCGGTGTACAAGATAATCCGGTTGATTCGACCTGATTCAAGCGTTGGGTTGCAGTGTGCAATTCCGCGATCGAATATCCTCCTAAGCACGGAATTGTCACCAAAGTGACAAAGCTCAATATATTTTGCCAAGCTTCCGTATGTCGTAGTCATGGTGCTGATGACGCCTCGTCGAACCACAGCGATACCGTGCAGACAAGATGCTGCTGTATTCGAAAATAGAATGGCCGTATTTGAATGGTGGGAATGGTGGGTTATTTGATAGCTGCAGGTTAAACTTATTTGTAGTTATCACCCATGACATGCATACCTAGTTATCTGGGGTAAATTCGTGGCTGGGGACGTTAATAGTGAGGTTATACGTGGAAATGTTGAAGGAATGATGGTTGCGCGGGGAGTTTGGTGGTGCGCGACATTTATGCGTCACTAGCGCGTTTTTGATACCTTGGAATGCAAACGAGTGTAAACCCATACGCGCCTTCCACTACCACACAAGCTATTATGACATGACCAGTCCGTTGAAGACGAAGCGCAGATCAAAGGGGGTCTGTGTGAGGGACAGGAAGGACGGGGAGCCACCTGGGCACGGCACTACGCATGGTGCACTGATTGCTAGTTCTTTCGGCTTCGGGCCTCAGATAGAAGCCTAGACCAGAACCACGACAAACAATACAAGCCTTTCTACTTACGGAATCCCTCGAAGTCTGGTGCCTAAGTAGAGCGAATCGGGTATTTGACTCGCACTTGACAACCACAAGAAAATGGCATGTGAAGTGGTCATCTAAGGTCTGGGCTGGAGAAACTGTGGGGCCATCACTACACCGTTTCACGGAACCGTCCAAAATGTGGAGGGACAAGAGTCCATGAACAGCCTCGATTGCACTTGCGAACTATCCTCCCTTCTTACTGGAGAGTGTCGATATGGTACTGAGTCAGCAGCAACAACTAGAATGCGCGGGCGCTTCCGTTTCCTATAGAAGGCACCTATCCAGTGGCGGGTCATGTCTTTAGGAATGGCATCCTCACGATGTCCTTTACTTCGGTACGCCAAGCACTCGAAAAATTGGTATAAAGACTAAGAGCCTGAGAAGAGAACAATTGCATCCCACAGTACACTGATCTCGGCAAAAGTGCATCCTGAGAGTTAACAAGACTGATAGAGTGATCTAAACAACTTGCGTGATGTGTGGGCAGTTTAAGTACTTGGGAATTTCCGGGGATGTTGTGAGCACCTGGGTAGTTCATTAAGGGCTGGACGGTGGCCGGTTGGCTTGACACGGACTGGTTGTTGTCACCCGCCCCATTCCAACGTATTGGGTAGAGGCCGCAAGAAACAATCCTCTGGCGGAGGTGTTCCGCGCTTCATAGGTATGAGCCCTGAAATTCATAGTGGAGATTGGTTGATGAAAAAGTGACAGTAGCTCACATCCACCCTTTTACTAGCTAGAATGTCCTTCTTGGTCCTGGCGCATATCTGCTTGCTGTGGTTCCAAACTTGACACCCGGATTGAACAGACTATGACTGCGGCCAACAACAGAAGAATTCCTGCAATAATATACGGCAGCCCAATCCATCCTCCGTCGCCTTCCATACCGACACGAAAGGTGATAGCCAGCAATGGCCCCGATATCAGTATCCCGACTGTCTCGAGGGTACCTATCACGGTATACATAGTTCCAATGTGACTCTTCTCCACCGTGGCCGCAAGCAGACTGCGGACAAGGAGGTTGTAACCTGATCCCAGTGACATCAGCCCGAGACCTATGATCATCACAGCGGGTTGTACTGCAAGGCCGATGGTGAAGGCACCTATAGTAAGTAAGACGCCACTAGCACGTGCAAGCCAGAGATCCTTGGCATGGCCCGTGAATGACCATTTGGAGACAAGTAAATAACTAGCCAAAGGAAGCAGAACAAGAAGTAAAACAAGGTTGGAGAAGGCACGGATGGACAGAAGGAAACTGGACTGCAAGGGATTATTAGCGACCTATTCCATGGATCATAATCTGAGATGCGAGTAAAGACAACTCACCTGAGACCATGACCACTCGTATCGTTTTGTCACGTACTGCGCAAGTAACTCCTGAGCGAAGCGACCAAAGGTCGTCAACAATAAAGTGAAAAGTAAGGCGATTATGTGAAAGTGTCTCTTTGCGATCCAAGCTACAGCTTGACCCATCTTATGAATTCCGGACCGAACCATGTCGCTTAGTCGAGAGTGTTTGTTGATTTGGTCTATGTCAGATGTCGCCTCTTCGGGAGCTTCTGACACATCTACTGGTGCCCGAGGTGGCTCAGGTATGAACAGGGCGAGTATCGTTGAAACGCCGAAGCACCCTAGCCCAATCCATATGGGAAGCCAGGTGTTGACCTCCATCAGAAAGTACACGGCGGGACCAGCGCACAGCTCGCCCAGAAGCACCGCGGCGCCGAGGTAGAAGAATAGGGTCGCTCTGTAGAATAAGTCAGCCTACTATCCGTCCAAAGAGGGAGAAGGTGCCAACCTTGATTCCTCGGTCCCCATTTCGCCGGTCATAGTGAAGACCATAGCATTGATCACAGCCGCACCGCCGCCGACAAAAGTAAAAATAGCAGAAAGCCAAGTCAGCCGTGGGTGCAAGACGTCGGGAAAGAGACCTAATGTTGATTAGTTAGCATAGGGCTGTTTCTGAGGATTCTTGAATATTAAGGTTACTTACACACTAGCGTGTAGGAGCCACTGCTTAACGTGATCCCCAAACATGCAAGGGCGAGCACAAATCCGCGGCCGAATTCATCCGCGATCATGCCGTAGGGAACAGCAACCAGCAAGCTTGGAATGACTTCGAATGTCGACTGCCATCCTCGGATCATGGATAACTCCGTTTGGACCGACTTCTCTTTGCATATCGGGTCGTTGGGGGCAAGTGTTTCACCTGGGTGCATTCGTTGGCAGATATTTGCTTCCAGCACTTGGTTCAGGGGAATCGTTGCGAGGTAAGCCCCGAACTCGATCAAAAGTAGAAGGGTAATGCAGACGGACAATGGTCCGACCTGCTTCCGTAAAGTCCTGTTGCTTTTCGCATTTTCTGGGCTACCAGCTGGTTTTGGGCAGGCAGGCGTTGTTGAGCCGAGTAGAGGATCCCGCTCATTCATGGCGATAGTCCAACTGGTTTGGAAGAGTGGCGTGAATGGTTGGTCCTTCTGGCGCAAGACGGAAAAGGCAACAGTGTCCAAATTGAGATTTCTTGGGAGACAACCTGAGCAGCAGACACCATGGGGGAGGGAGCCCAGTACTCTGTGCACGTGCGAGGAACAAGAACTTGGCTGCAATTGAGCAGGCGGTTCGCTCGTTGGACGGGAGAGATGACTTGTTCAAAAGTGCGCGCAAATGGTACCGAAGGATGTAGTCTCAGTGCATTTGAACTCCGAAGTCTTCAAACCATGCCCTAGCTTCTGCCAAGTCCGAGCTCCGAAGCCGTGAGATGCGGTGATTCAGGTCCTTATCATGCAGTGCAGTGGTTGTCTTACGCCCCCAAACTTGCCCCTGCAGTAGATCCCCTACCTAAGCAGGCAGGTACTCAGGCAGGTTACAAATCAGGCCCGGGGACTGATAAGGTCCAACTTCAATTCCACTCTCTCTCCGCTGCACGATACACAGCTGCATCGCTCGAAGGCCGAACCTGCACCACCACCCTGCCTGTGGTTGAGCCGCCACTGCTTCAACAAGCGCGGCCGCGAAGCACACAGCCCCATCAAGAGGGGCAGCATTGGGCACGGCCATGAGGAACGCCAGAATACCAACAGGAAGCGTCGCTTCGACGAGGGAGGGCATGCGAAACAGAACCGTGATGGGCATGGGCCTGAGGCGCACAGCCCCAAGAGGCTTCGGGTTGACGGCAGCAGTCACGGCGAGCAGGTGCCCGGGAAGCGTCGCCCTGATACACGCCCATCCGGGCCCGACGCACGCCCCTACCTAGCTAGGTAGCTACTAGTAGGTGAAGGATCAGGCTGAGGAGGTTGTGGCTTGTTCGTACGGGATTCGGAAACAAGGCTCTTTAATTTAATCATCTCGAACGGCTGCGTCTTCTTGCCGTTACTCTCGCCCAAATCTTTACCCGAGTGGTCAAATTCATCTGTTTTGTAGAAATCGGATATTCGCACCCACCAAAACGGAGGGTATACCCAAGCACCAAGGGACAACCCCTCATAGAACAACGTCCTATTAGAGAACCTCCTATGGGAAAACCTCCTATAGGACAACCTCCTATAGGACAAGCTTCTATGGGCAAACATCCTATGGGATAAACCTACGACATAAACCCATGAGACAATTACTCGTAGTTTAGTGCTGAACCACCGTATGAACGCGCCATGTATTTCCTCGGACGTATACGGAATAGAAGCGAAACCACATACGGAATAGAAGCGAAACCACCTAGTGCCACAGTGTCTTTCTTGCTGCCCAGGTGTGTTTGAGTCCAGCACCTGAGAAGGGCAATTGCGCACTTTCGAGCAGGGTTGGCGGAGAGAGTTTGGTGAATTGGCCTCTCAATACTCTTGAGTACCTTGTCGAACTTGTCACTTGGTCGCTACTGATCGTCCGTTCGGCCGCAGATTTCGGTCACGGGAAACCATAACACGGACGGACCCCAACTTCCAAGGTTACTACCTACCTAGGTCTGATGGCGACTTCCTTGTCCCCGAGACAAGTCCGGTCAAATACACTGGCACTGGATACATCAGCACGGAATTGGTAGGCCTGTCTGTCAGGCTGATGAGATTCGGAGCCGTGCCTTGCAGACACGTGAGCACTCTGTGAGGCGCTCCAATTTCTCAATAGCGCGCTGTTTGGTCTGTTGGCTAGCACAATTGGAGCCGTTCAGTCTCTGCATGATCTTCAGATGCCTGTCCTTCCACGCGATTCTGGAACTTGGGTGGGAAGGTGCCTGTTTAGGTACCTTGTCGAGCAGTAGGTCTCATCTTTGCCACATCATTGGATCACCCCCAGTGCTTGTCCAGGTAACGTGGCAGGAAGAACGAGCCGCGTTGCCTAGGTAACAATTCCAGGGCAGCTCTGGCAGGAGGGACTGGGCCAGGGCGCAGAATCTTGGTCTCTGGCAGCATGTGTGGTCCGTTGAACATGCGCAGGAACTGGTTGGAGAGCGGCAGACTTGACCACTTCAGAAACTGGTTCCTGCCACAAGGGCTGCCCCGAGGGCTGCACTTGCTCACCCAATGACCAAGTAAGGGAACGGGGGAGTGGAGAGTAAATGACCAGGTCAACAGATCCTCTCCCAGATTTCAGTCCTTCTGTTCTCCTTGTTTTCCATCATCAACAACTTGGAGACACCACCGCAGTTTGGTACCGCACACTTGCCCTTCGGACACATTTTACAAGAATTATCGACCATCGCCTCTCCAGACTGTATTCCCATCCCACAAAGCAGCATTGTCTCAACTGCGCCCTTCTTGACCATCTCAGCGACAAAAGCAACCGCCACAATGGGCAGACCACGACGAGTCCTCAAACGCCAGACGCGAGATCGCACCCGGTCGAAATCCCCCGCATCGTCCGACAGAGAAGACGATGGACACGATCGGCACGCACGACAACGAAGTCCCCTCAGGACAGCTGGCGGCTCAAGCAATCGAGATTCCAGCCCAGGCCCACACGAGGATGGCGAACCACGATCACCCTCAAAAGGCAAGACCTCGTCGAAGCGACGCACGAGCAGCCCACCACCCCATTCCGATCGTTCTGGCAGAAACGGCAGGACAACCAAGCGGCGCATGTTGTCTCAAGCCAACGGAAATACTGCCGACGCAAGAGGTGAAGGTGGTACCGACAGTGGCGGTGATGACAGCAGTGGGCAAGGTGAAGACCAACAACAACCTGCCAGTGAAGAACCCCAGCATCAACAAGTCGCACACCAGGCGGTCCTTAGACTTCGGTCAGGTCGCAGTTTGCCACCTGTAAGTAAAGTCACCAGTACCTCTCGTTTAGGGGGTCGTATGCCATATCCTGGTGCTAATGCCCAACCAGCCAAACATTACTCACCCGGTGGCGGGAGCGCAACCTCAAACGGTACGCTCAATGCTCCCAAGTGCCCTAGTACGACAGCGAGCAACCCCGTTGCCTCCGCTCGTGTTGGCACGTACACAGCCGTCAACCCGCCTAGCGATCAGGGGGTCGAGGCCCCAGCAGCCGCAGGCCGATTCAGACGCAGGGCCTTCCCAGCCGGTGCCCCCTGCACAAGGTGTAGGTACCTCCCCGCTTGTCAAAAACGGCTCCGATCGTATAAAGGCTTTGGCAGATACACTTTCGACCAGGCCTGTTCCGAATAGTTCCGTCAGAGAGTTCCTAGAAGACCTCTTGAAAACTTACAATTCCGTTCGTGGTTCGGAAGCCCCGAACGTCCATACTTCACTATGGGACGTGGTGAGGAACCACTTTCAACCAGAAGACCCCGTCGCACCCTTTTCTCTGGATGTAAGGCGTCAGCAAGCAATGGCGATCGGACTCTACTCGGAGATGATCAGGATCCACGAGAATGAGAACGAGGTTAAAGAGCTGAGCGAAAGCTTCGTGTTTCATGCCGCAAACACAGTGGCTGAATGGTGGTGGCGGGCTCAGTATTGGACACTTTGAAAGACAGCGCCAGTCTTTGCCGGTGATAGAGAGCGCGATTGGAAGAGGGCGGCTGCATATTTACAACCGCTGGAAATTAGGAGCAGGACCCTCGGGGAACTTGCACTCGTTACTAAGGAGGCTGAACTCGAGCCAAATGAAATGAGGCTCTGTGGGAGATTGTCTGATGAGAGTAATCAGTACCTCCTTAGGTAGGCATTCTATAGATTTTGTCGTTGAGGAGCTTAGTATACCACAAGGGTTGAATGCATCAGTTGAACCTCCACTTCTATTACTGCGAGTCTCTGATCTCTACGTAGGCAAAACCTAATGGATGAAAGTGCTCTTGGATTCCGGGCTCAGAGTTGTGCCGTGGCCTCTTTGTCACAAACCACCGACTCTCCTGTTGACAACACCCATGCCAGGGAACTCGGAGATCAAAGTGCTTGGTTTAGCACCAAGCCAAGAGTAATTGTCCCATAGGATGTTTTGCTATAAGAGATTGTCCCCTGAGATATTCTCCTAAAGAGGTTATCCTATGAGATGGTTTCCTACAGGAGGTTGTCCTATAGAAGGTTATCCTATAGGAGGTTGCCCTTAGGATATTGTACTATAGGAGATTATCCTGTAGGACGTTTTCCTATAAGAGGTTATCCTATAGGATATTTTCCTATAGGAGCCCCGTTGTCTCATAGGAGGATGTCTCATAGGAGGTTGTCCATGGGAGGTTGTCCATGGGAGGTTGTCCTATGAGAGGCTATCCCTTGGGGCTTCGGTAAAGCCTCCGTTTCGGTGGGTACTATTCACGCCCTTCCCCTATTTATTCTATAAATATGGGGACAAATAGAGGAGATCATGGGCTGACGTCCGACGCTACCGCGACATTCTGAGTCGGCCATCGTACGTTACTTGAAATTACTCGTTGGACACATCATGAGACGTATAGACCACAAGCAGGCACAGAGGAATTTAATACATGGGCTGATACGTACACTACCTAGGTAAGTCAGGTGAAAAGGTATCACCGATATTTTGTAGGACTCGAGTTAATGTAACGAAATGGTCTACCGAGTCACCGTGTGTGGTCCCTGGGCCACACGAGCCATTTCGCAAATCGGTCCTTGGACCGGAGACGCCTATCTACGTCGTCTAGTAGCTGTTTGGCCCATCCGTGGAGGAACCAGTACCGCCTATCCGCAGTTGCTAGAATGACTGCGAAGTAGGCTAGAAGGAGTAGTGCATGGGGCTTATGCTGTCGAATGTCATCCATGACGGTCTTGGGGACGTCATATGCCCACCAAAGGAGCATTCCGACCTCGACATCGGGGCCATGACTTGCTATAACATTTGCTGATCTCTCCATATTTGAGACGAGCATGGTGTACTCTGCGCGATTGGAAAGTACTAGTAAGTCCTCAGTCTCGTAGAACTCAATGAGTAGAGAGAATGCGGAGGAGGTGTCAGGTGGAAGCGGGGATTGCTCGAGGATAATTTCGCCGCTGTGCACATGCGATCAGTTCCGATACAACAAACTCTTCTTCATCCGACTTGAGTTCTTTTCCGCGACGAGGAGTCATGGGGCTTGCACGAACCACTGCACGGATTGATCATCCTCCCCCAGTCGGAAAATAGAGTACACAAGAGGAGCCAAATTAGATTGGGTCATCCTGGGATTGAACTCCTTTAAAGTTGTCTTGAAGCCCTGTAAGACCGAGAAAAACTCCCATGTGCTTCTGACAGGCTCTGCAATGCAGCCATTTTCGGACCGGGTGGCTTGTGAGCAGACGTGCACAACAACAATCGACGCGTAGCACAGCATGGCCTTCCAGTTGGAGTCCCCAATATCAGATAGCAAAGTCCTGAATCTCTCCAGGCCCAGGGCATGGTGAGAAGCTCCGAGGGTGAGATATTCTCTCCTCCTGGATGGGAAGAGGTACGCCTTGTGGAGAGCAGCCAGTGAAAGGAGGCCGTGCATGACAAACGGGTGACGGTAACCTTGCTGGGGAAAGACGACACGCCATACATAGCGCAGGTCCTCACGGAATGCCATACTATCGCTGGTAGATACGCAGTAATGGTGCATCAGTTCGAGGTCCTGTATGGGTTGGGTCGTCGCCCCAAACGAGGATGGGTTGGATCTGTTTTCTTCTCCATGAGCATGATCATCCGCCGGTGGAACACTTCGCCATGCGTACCCAGAAGGAGTGGTGGACGCCAGATAGTCAGCCCAGGAGTTCAGGTCCCGCGGTGAGTTGACGGCGCCGGGAGTCGATGCTGCGCCTATCGATCCGGGACTGATACCAGCCTCAAATGTCCCGCCGGGCCGGCCATGATTCGCAGGGTCAAAGCTGCAGAGTACCCCGTACCGCGTGCAGTTCCAGCATATCGGGTGAACTTCGTCACACTATGCAAAGCAAGCATGTAAGATGGAGTGTCTGTCGAAGTGGAGATCACAGGTGGAGTCCCAATCTGGGAGTTCTGGATGGGGATGCCCTGTTAAGCTCGAAGTGCCAATGAGGTGTACGTACTTTGATTTTCCGCCGTTTGCATTCTGCGCATCCGAGACGAGACTTCTTGTGTGCACGGCGAGTAGGCATCGAGAGCTGTACAAGCAAAGAGGTTTCAATCCTTGCCCGTCGAATCGGGTGTTATTGCGGTGAGTAGAGTTCATTCGAGACATAGACCTCAGTTCGTACGTCGTAAAGAATACTCGGGTTTATTAGTGGTTTGGATGACTCTGTTCCAAGATACGAGATACGAGATACGCAACCGAATACGCGCATTCCACGCCTTGGCAGCACTCGTCATTGGCTGGAGTTGTCCTCAACTCAATGTGGCCACTCCAGTAATAAAAGCCGCGTACTCCTCGCCCTCACTGCCCCGTTGACCTTGCTGCACGAGCAGTTAGTGTGGCTAATGGGTTCTTGGCCGAAACAGAATCTCTCGGTGCCGGAGGTGGGAGGAGCAAGCCTTTACACAAAGTTTGCGAGAATAACCAAATTCAGAAGCACTTCGTGCTTTCACGCCAGAAGGGCAAAACGCCGAGCTGGTACCAGCTCTACTGGTCATCACGCGATTACGATGACATTACAATCAACCTGCTGTCGCTCACCAACAAGACCGGATCCACAGCGCGCTCTGTCACGCTAGACACTTTAGTTACGTGCTCCAGGGCTGGGTTGGCGATAGACCGACATGGACAATGGCTACTGCCCTCCATGGAGACCAGCCTCACAGACCCGGATACCAGAAGAGGTTCGATAGGAAGCACGGGTACGACATCGAAGAGGCGAAGAACGAGCGTAAAGCTACGATGTGCGGAATCTTGGCGAGGCCGAGCAGGAGTGGGCCAAGATCTTCCCGAGGTCTTCCCCGGCCAGTCGGACTCGTGGGAGGACATCGAGTTCTTGAAGTGGCGCCGGGATGAACCTATAGTACTGACAGGTACCCAGTCTTTTGCGGAAGTGTGTCGAAATTGGTGTGCAGGGAATTGTGGCCAGCACCCAAGGCGGACGGCAGCAGGATGGCAGAGTGAGCAGCTTGGGAGTCTAACGCGAATCGTGTATGCAGTTAGTGACAATATTGGTGTCTTACTGGACAGTGGCATCCGATGTTGTACTGATGTCGTCAAGGCGCTGACCCTCTGGGACATTTAGATGTTTGCGCTCATCGGCGGGCTGTATGCCTACCTAGGTATGAGATCGAAATCGGCTGCGAGGAAGGCGTGGAACACGTCCTGCATCTGGATCGAGTAATCCAATGGCACTGCCCTAGCACAGACGGCCGGGTCTCTCTGGTTCGTTCAAGCTGACTGTCGTCAGGACTCTCGTTGCAGTTTAACCATGAGCGGTCGTCTAGATTGGCCATAGGTTTCCTCCCTGGCGTTCGGATTGCCTCCTCGTGATGTTCGGCCCGACTATAACAGTGGAGAAATATTGTTACGGAGTAGAAACATGAGCCTGGTTCCAAAGTCTGGATTAGACATGCTCAAAGATCAGGCAGAGGTCACACCCCCAACTCCCATTGGAACATTGTCATCCCGTGCACCTCGATGGGGCGAGGCTGGTAGATGAATTTGTCCTGGGTGGGATGGCCAAGATGTGTGACGATTGAACGACCAGATGTCCCTGTTCGACGGTCTGTGATTAGAAGCGGAAGTGTCTAGTCCGCTCAGGGAACGACTCTAGATGGGCAAACGCCTTATTCGCTCTTTGTTACTAGAGCACTCCCAAAATTCAATTTGTCACTCCATGGCAAGACGATGTGCGATTTACATCCCATCAGAATGTGGCCAATGGCCAGCCTCCATGAGCCACAGGCAATTTGGTAAAAATGGGTGAATACATCTGAGAGTAACCCCGCCTCGTCGATCGATGGCTTCGGGTCGACCAGATGTGCATGGCACATCGCGGTCGGGAATTATTCGACACAAACCAATGACGTGTAGCAAAACTCTCGCCATATTCCGGTTCTGGAAATTGCTTTTCAAATGCCGGTAGTTGGTCCCATCAGTATGCAGGGTGTGCCGAAAAGCCCTGAACACTCAATAGCTTGGGAGCTGCCTATCCAACCACCTGTCGATGGCTACATCCGCTTATATGAATGGCCGCAACTGACAGGTTGGGAAAGAGGGTGTTGTAGATAAGGATTTCCTCGGCAGTCAAATCCCACATGGTCAAGCTTTCAGTTCATGAAGGGATAGTACTTCAGTAATAAGACATATAAACCACAGGATCTCCACAAATCTGTGCCACAGAAGTCCTCGTAGCGCGCCCTTTCTCCCTCTTTTGATACTTATTCACGGATCACCAAGACTCTGGCACAATAAGTCTTGACAATTGCAGTATGAACAACATGTACTTGAAGGCTTTCGCGGCTCTGCTTGCCGTCCCAGGGGCCCTATCAGCCCCTGCGATCGAGGATCGTCAATACAATGCCGCCCTCATGCGGTTCGAATGCTCGAAGCTCACCATCGAGCGTCTCGACCCCCTCGTCCAGCCGGGCTCGGTGCCTTCTGCCCACGTTCACCAGATCGCAGGGGGTAACTCGTTCAACGCCTCGATGACACCGGGAACTTACGACCCGCCCACCATGTCGACGTGCACGTCTTGCACCTATGCCGATGACTTCTCCAACTACTGGACCGCGAGCCTGTACTTTCGTGCTCGCAACGGCACCTTCAAGCGGGTCCCTCAGCTGACCAACCTCGGCTTGCGAGGCAAGAATGAGGGCTTGACAGTCTACTACAACTCTCCCTATGACGGCAAGACCAAGACTACTGCTTTCAAGCCTGTAAGTCGTGGAGCTCCAGGATTCCGCGACATTCGATACGCAAGGGACTAACTTGATGGGTACAGGGCTTCCGTATGATCGTCGGAGACCCTGAGCTGCGAAGCAGCCAAGGAGGCCAGAGGCAGCTCTGCCACCGGTGCGAGGTCAACATCGAGCAGAATCCCTTCGGAGGTGCGCCCTGCACGGGCTCAGACACCTTCGCGCTGCCGAGTGGCACCTGCGGCGGCGGCATTCGTGCCACCATCACGTTCCCGACGTACGTTTTCGCCATATGTTGATGGTCCTTTCTAGAGATCTGCCTTCTAACATGATGCTTCTGTCACTAGCTGTTGGGATGGGAAGAACGTAGACAGCCCCGACCACAAGTCCCACGTGGCATACCCCAGCAGTGGGACCTTTGAGTCCTCGGGCCCATGCCCGGCAACCCACCCGGTCAAGCTGCCCCAGGTGATGTACGAGGTCATGTGGGACACGCGGCAGTTCAACAACAAGGCCGACTGGCCTGCAGACGGGTCACAGCCATTTGTCTACAGCATGGGTGACAAGTGAGTATCTTCCGCCTTGGGTCGGGATGCTCTGATCACATAGAATACCGCTGACGGTTGTTGTAGGACCGGCTACTCTTGGCATGGCGACTATCTCTTCGGGTGGAAGGGCGACGCCCTTCAGCACGCCCTTGACATCAGGTGCAATGGAGACGCGTGTTCCGGTATGAAGACGCAGACTGCTGCGCAGGCCAACCAATGCATGCTCAAGTCAACAGTCAAAGAGGACGTTGAAGGATGTAAGTGTACCCTCTCTGCCATCCAAAATTTGTTTCGATCCTGCTGTTGCTGACACTGGCGATCAAGGGCTGACCGAGCTGCCCGGCGGTATGCCAATGAACTAAGGGACTAGATGGTTTTCTTTCTTATGCAGGTAGTGCAGATGAGCGATACAGCAGGGACACCGTCGTTTCAATCCCGTGTCTGCTCCATAATGTCCAGCCACCCCTCAATTCTTCTTTATTATGGGCGCACCCTCAATGACGGGGCCGGCCAAGACAAATGACTGACAGACATGATGCATTCTTTTCATCTGTACATAATCAAACCTAACAGTGCCCATGTCATTCTATTGCGCGATAACTCGATGTGATTCTTCAGTCGCGGCCTCGAATACCACTTCTTCCGTTCGCCCATCACCACCATGGATGCTCCAGGACCCTATCAATGCTCACTCTCTGGGCTGGATCCAGCCGCATCATGTTTTTTATCATATCCTTGGCTGCTGGAGTAAGATGCGGGGCATTATCCACCGACCATTGCTCGAACCTACAGGCTGGGCCTTCCGCTGCCCCTGTCTCCGCGAGCTCAGAGGCAAGACGGAAAAGCCTAGTCCAGTCATCATCGTCGACATGCTCCAAAAGGCCATCTGGAAGCGGGCCAAAATACATGAAATGCCGAACCACGATTTCTAGCCTTGAAGGTATGCCTTCGTCTCTCAGCTGTTGTATGGTTTCATCATCCAGGATCAACATGGAGCCACCTCCAAGGCCGTAGATGCACTATCGACGGATTATGAGTATAGGAATTGCGCATTGGATTGGTCGTCTTGAACCGAGGATTGTAAGGAAGGACTTACCACAAGCCCAAGTGAATATATCTCCGAGGCTTTGGCAACCCCTTTCCCACTCTGGCCTTCTGGGCTCCTCCACATGACGTTGCCTACTGCGTGAGGACCCCGTAGCGGCTGTTCGTCAACCAGTTTCAGGGCCAGGTCAAAGTCACCCAAAGCAACCTTTTCTACTCTCGGCTGTCCCCGGCCGTCGTGTGCCCAACCGATAAGGATATTGTCAGGCTTCACATCTTGAACGCGACACGCAGTATCAGCATCAAGGCCGCCTGATTTCAGCTGTCCAGAGGAGTGGCGGAGGGATGACAGACCTATATGTATCCAGTCCTTATCGTGAAGCTCTTTGACAGCCTCTGCCGTACATCGTAAAATCTTCTTGATTTCTTCAGGTTGGAAATCTGGATACTGGGTTAGGAGTGCTAGGAATGTGTGCTTGTAGTATTTGTACACCAAGACATGCTCCTTCTCGTTGTGATCAACATGCATCCGAAGGCGATGGCTGTCGGGAAATTCTTTCCTTAGTTCCTGTGAGAGGTTCAAGATGGAAGGCGACACGCCCTTTGCAACGTATGACTCTCCTTGGCATCTGCGCAGAGGCTGGTTAGGTCCCAGAACGGAATGCAGAGAGGGACGAGGGGTAGTCTTCAAACGCACTCTGCACGGTAAATGTTGTACTCAGGCTTGTTCGGCCACTTTCTTCGGAGCACTTCCTTGATGATGTACTCGCGGCCTGACTCGCCTCTGACCGTGGAAGATATCTTTCTGAGGCCAGTCTGCTCAAGGCTAGGTCTGGGGACTCTCGTGGACCACTGCTGAAGCCGACAAGCTGGTCGTACCAAGGACGCGAGGTTATGAACAGCGAATCCGCGAACTCTCATGGCTCCGGCAGGTGTTTCTGTGCGGAAAGCTGGTGGTTGATGGCCAGTGTAGTTGATACTCAAGTGCTGACTCCTTCATTTTTTACTGAAGTTGCTGCGGCGGTTCTCGTCGTGCAGAGCCGCAAGCGCCAACACACTGCCAAGGTTCAGTAAATGATTTCAGGTGGGGATACCTCCGATGCACCCCTGCCCGCTTCTGCCTACAGGATTCACGTACTACACACACTCAGATGCCATCACATTCCGGAAAGGATGTCAGGAATGGAAGAATCTAGTTTGGATATTTAATGCTAGCAACAGGTAAATACTGCGTCTATAGATTGGTTCGACCATGTGACAGAATCCTATACCGTTATTGTGCTCATTCTCTTTGCCCCAAACTTTGTCAGAAGGCTTGAGAATGTTTAGTATGGAGGCCAAACTGAACCGGCACATTCACCTGCAACCAAACCTTGTCCATCCCAGTAATCTCGTTGTCGGCCAACCTTCCAGGTCGACCGACTGGGCTTGACAGTCCCCGCCTGAGTGAATGAGACGCAACGGAGAGGCATCTCGGGACGAGGAAGAGGGAAGTGCTGGTTGTCCACGGCTGGTAAGCGCCGCGGATGCTCTGGCCACCAGGCATGATCTGGCCGGTGTAATCGTCGGGGCGAGACTGAGTCGACGTGTGTGATATGTGCTGGGGAAGATGTTAGAGGCACATGAGAAAAGTAGTGGCTACGGTGGCTTTGGACGTACTGGTGTGCTTTGTGGTGTAATGGCCATAGGCTGGACGGCCGTACCTTTCGAAGTCTCGCTGCATCTCGAAATGTCTGTAGAAAGATGTCCTTGGATGCTATCACGGCGCTCTGTGGTCCAGATAAGGAACAGTCGCAGACAAGGGATATCATGGATAGGTATCAAGTTGTGATTGACGGACAACATCGACAACAGCCGCCACGAGCGCGTGAATGCCCGGGGTCAACCCAACACCTGAAATCTCTGTACATTTCCACCAGGAACAAGCGCCGCCACACCGTTGACGAGTCCCGCACCCAGCAGCACATCCCGACCTCCTCGGGCCGCCTGCACCACCACAAGGGCCATCGTAACAACCGTCAGCTCGAGTACCGCGGCTGGTAGAGCGGTGCCCCGAGTAAGACGGTCCCAATGCGAGACCCGACTGCAGTCAATTCACCACGTTCTGTCACATACCACCCAATAAAACGATCCTGACAAGTGATCCTGACAAGTGATCCTGACAAGTGATCCTGTATCTGGGAAGGCTGTAGAAGCCTACGGGTCGTCATTGGCCCGTCCCCTGGTGAAGTCTCATGAACGTTGATCCACCTGTCTCGAAGTGTTCACCCACGTTGTCTGTTGTTGTTTTACCATCAACGACGCCCGCCTTCACTTGAAGCACCTTGATAGAGTCACCCCAACCAGTCCATTGCCTCGATATATTCACTTTGGCCTGAAGTAGTTAGATCACTTTCTCATTCACAGTCCCCAGCCGACTCCACCCACAGCTCCCTCGTGGGTATTTAAACCCTGCCACCCCTTCTGCTTCTCACCTTCTCTCACCTCTCCCTCCTTCCTTTTTCAAGCAAAGCGAGTGGTCGATATCGATCAACTGCTCGCCCTCGATCCCTCATCGACCCACCTCACGGTCATTCGATAGACCCAGACAGCCCCACCACACACCAACCTCGCCCTCGACCGCGAGTGCTCCTGTCTACAGTCGCTCAACCACCCTCATCCTAGTTGACCTCGAGTCTCTTGAAGCAAGCACATCGCAATGGCTTCCCGCTCCGGCCGATCGCAGGATCAGCAGGATCAGCAGCATGACTTCTCCATGGGCCCTTACGTCGCTCGCAGCGGTATGTATCGATCCTTCATCAACCAGCTCACTCGACATGTCCCTGCTAACTCAAATGCTCTTCGTAGCGGTCTCAACTGCTAGGACTTGGCCAGGCCACGGCATGAACACCCAACAGACCTCTTCCAGCGTCCAGGGTGGTGCTCGATCGGAGCCACTCCCACCGAGACCCTCCTCTCCGGCGCCGTCCACCGTCCACCCCGATGACTCGGCCAGCCTGCACCCATCTCAGACTGGCCCCGATACATCGTCTAGGAATTTCAACGTTGCCAACTTGAAACCCGCGCCTAGGAAGTTCAACGTTGCCAACTTGAAACCCGCGCCCCAGCGACGCAAGCCCTCGGCAGGCCTTCAGCAAGGTCACTCCTCCTTCGATGGCCCAGCTCCGACTCCATCCCAATACCCGGGGCCGGCGCCAATCGGCTATGGCTTCCTAATGCCCTACCCCGGACAGAACATGCCAAGCACCGGCAATGTCGGTGACTACGAGCCTCTTCCGTCCCAACGCTCGGGGCCGGCGCCAATCGGCTATGGCTTCCTAATGCCCTACCCCGGACAGAACATTCCAAGCACTGGCAATGTCGGTGACTACGAGCCTCTTCCGTCCTTCTATGGACGAGATGCGCCAAACGACGGATACAATACGGGCGCGCCTTCCACAGCAAGTTCCGCAAGCCGAGCCCCGTCTGACACGACGCAGAGCATCACGATGGGCTCAGCGACCGGGTCTGAGGGCACAATGTCGATGGCAGCAGTCAGCCAGAACCACGCGGTTGCACCCTTTGCCGGTGCCCCTCTGAGCCCAGTCGGCCCTCAGCTCCCGCAGGGCATCAGCATCGGAGTTCCGCCCGGCACCCAGGTGAACTTCCACTACTACCCAACGGACAACCGCCAGGTCCACATCCACAACAACGCTCCTGGAAGGGCGGTCACGAACAACAACCAGTGGTACGCGACCGACAACAGCACCAATGCCGAGAACGTGGGCAACACCCACAGGGTCGTCTCGCAGCACGCCACGGCTGGCCGCGAATCCGCGTATGGGGTTCACTGGAGCGGGCAGTGATTATGGCAAGGCTGTGGATTGACCTGGAACTGCTGATAGAGGAGGAATGCGGCCAGGGACCGGGGGGGGACGTCATTGGGAGACTTCATCCCAAAAGGCATTTCATGTATGCTGCTTTCATACTACCTACCTACCCTAGGGTAGGTAGCTAGCATAGGTCTGATTTGTAGATCTCTTTTTGGCCGGTACAATCTTCCCTAGGAGAGGGAAGCAAAAGTACATAGACCGATCACACTGTTTCGTGTGGATCCTCATTGACAAAGACAAATATAAGTAATAGACTCAGCTATTTTTAAACTTGCCCTCTCGATGACATTTCGAGGTCTCGAAATTTGAAGGTCCCAAAAACTGTAACAGGTTCTCATCTTGCATGGTGTGGGCGAACAATCGCTAGAGTACGCTTCCTGTCAACTTTAAGATTTACGAAGAACTAACGTTGACGTCGGGGATTCAGTTTGATTTGACCCTAGCATGACCATCGGCAGTTTCCGAGGAGCCAAGTAGAAGGTTTCGATTACCCAACCGCACGACAGAAAAGTCCGGGTTCAATGTCGATTCACTTACAGCTCCAATACCATCCAACCAAGGTACTTAGGTACTGAACAGCCAGCAGGCCCACATCATCTACTAGTACCTGCACACCCACCTATCAACCCCAGAAGATCTGAAACCCCTATTCGACCATATCCCAGAGCAACAGAAGAAGCCAAGGTGACAGCAGCCTAGAACGCAGAGCCAAGCGCACCGCCCAGCCCTCACTCGGCCGTAAATAAGCCGAGCCGCGATCCAAGCCAGACGTCGAAACAAGACTTACAACCCCTGCAAAATCATCTAGAAAAAAGCAAATTGGCCCAGGACAGCCAACCTCGCAGGGCCGAGCGATCACACGCAACGAGTGCCCAGAGATATCCCCTATTAGCTCTGTCCACAACTACAACATCAGCTTTCGTTACGACGCTGATGCGTCAACCGACATCTCGGCCGGCACTTGGGGATGGCTTCCTTGGCGGTGGGCTCCCGAACAAGGGCGAGCCCAGTCACGATGCCTGCACCTGGGCATCTCCGCACGCTGCGCGCCGGTCCCGCAGCGTTGGGACGAGGGCAGCTGTCCTGTTTGGGGGGGAACCCCTCACGATCTCCAACAAGCGGGATGGGAACGGAGGAAAAGTTTAGGGAATAAAAAGGGAGGGCTTGTCCCACCTTGAAAGTAAACAGAGGGGATCTTATATCCGGCCGCAGGAAAGCACATGCAGTGACTTGGTCTCTGGGAAGTTATAATCCGGAGTCAAGGGATACCACTTGCACACATCAATGGTCAAGCATATCAAGACGACAAGAAACAACTAATATCATTACATTATTCCCACCATGCTACACCAAGAAGAGACAGTGCCCCAGGGGTACACGCTCGTCACGCAGCCAGGCGAGGGCAGCAACGACGCAAAGGCGATCCACCTCCGCTCCGACGGGCAAAACACGGCGCAGTGCGACTTCACCCTCGAGGCCGTCCGGCCCAACGTCTTCCGCACGACCTTCACGTCGGCGTCGCACCCGCTGCCCCCCTTCCCAAGCGTCCGCCGCCCGCCCGCCGACAGCGCCAGCACCGCGAAAACCAGCATAACAACAACAACAGAACATAAAATCATCACCCTCCGCGACAGCCAGGCCGGCACGACCGCCACGGTCGACTACACCCACACGCCCGTGGTGACGATCCGCCTGGACGGCAGCAACGGCGACGACAAGCAGCCCCCCCTGCACGCGGACCTCCCGCACCGGTCGTACGCCCTCGACGGCCCCGGCGCGGCGCACTACTCCGCCTACAGGCCGGGGACGCTGCACGTCGGGCTGGGCGAGAAGGCCGCGCCCATGGACCTGTCGGGCCGCGGGTTCCTCATCACGGCGTCCGACACCTTCGGGTACGACTCGCACCGCACCGACCCGCTGTACAAGCACCTGCCGCTGCTGATCAGCGTGGCCCCCGGGAGGGGGGGTGGCGGCGCGGTGGGGATCCTGTCGGCGTCGCACGCCCGCGCCGCCTGGGCCGTCGGCAGCGAGATCGACGGCCTCTGGGGCCGCTTCAAGGCGTACCGGCAGGCGCGCGGCGGGCTCGAGGAGTACCTGATCGTCGGCCGCAGCGTCGCCGACGTGGTGCGGTCCTACGCGGGGCTCGCGGGGCTGCCGCTGCTCGTGCCGCGGTACTACCTGGGCTACGTGTCGGGCGGGATGCGCTACAGCATGCTGGACGGGCCCCCGCAGCGGGCGGCGGACGCCATCGTGGGCTTCCTGGACCGGTGCGGCGAGCTCGGCATCCCCGTGTCGGCGCACCAGATGAGCTCCGGGTACACCGTCTCCGAGGCCCCGCCCAGGACGCGCAACGTCTTCACGTGGAACCGCCACCGCTTCCCGGACCCGCGGGCCTTCACCAGGGACGTCCACGCGAGGGGCGTCCGGGTCCTGGCCAACATCAAGCCGTACGTGCTGGCGAGCCACCCGGACTACGACAGGCTCGCGCGGGAGGGCGCGTTCCTCCGGGACCCGGGCACCGGGGGCGGGGCGGCGGTCGCGCGGCTGTGGAGCGCGGGCGGCGGCGAGAGCGGCGAGGGCAGCCACGTCGACTTCACCAGCGAGGCCGGGTTCCGGTGGTGGTACGAGGGCTGCCGGGCCCTCAAGGAGGTCGGCATCGACGCCATGTGGAACGACAACAACGAGTACAACACCCCCGACGACAGGTGGGAGTGCGCGCTGGACCTGCCCGAGGGCGTCGACGCGGCGGTCCAGGCCGGCATCACCACCACCAACAGCAAGCAGATCGCCCTGTGGGGGCGGGCGGCGCACACGGAGCTGATGGGCCGCAGCTCGTGGCAGGCGTGCGTGGACTCCTCGCCGGACGAGCGGCCGATGGTGCTGACGCGCAGCGCGACGGCGGGCACGATGCGGTACGCGTGCGCGAGCTGGAGCGGCGACAACGTGACGAGCTGGGAGGGCATGCGCGGGAGCAACGCGCTGGCGCTCAACGCGGGCATGTCGCTGATCCAGTGCTACGGGCACGACATCGGCGGCTTCGAGGGCCCCCAGCCGACGCCCGAGCACCTCGTGCGCTGGGTGCAGATGGGCGTCCACTCGCCGCGCCTCGCCATCAACTGCTACAAGACCTCCCCGGAGGACAACCTCGTCGGCGAGGTCATCGAGCCCTGGCAGTACCCGGAGTCGACGCCCCTCGTGCGCGCCGCCATCAGGCGCAGGTACGAGCTGCTGCCGTACGTCTACTCGCTCAGCGTCGAGAGCCACGTCTCCGCGACGCCGCCGCAGCGCTGGACGGGCTGGGGCTACGAGGCTGACGAGACCGTGTGGACAAAGCCCATCCTGGCCGGCGACACGCAGTACTGGCTCGGCGACGCCCTGCTCGTCGCCGGCGTCTTCGAGCCTGGCCAGAGCCACGTCGACGTGTATCTGCCTTCTTCCGACGACCCGGCCAGGCCCGCGGGTGACGACGGGGTCGTCCGGTACTCGAGCCAGGACGCGTCCCCGACGACCGCATTCGGCTTCTTCGACACCAACGCCCAGGACGGGCTGTCCTGCCTGCCTTCGGGGGCATGGCACCGCGTCGACGCCACCCTCGACTTTGAAAACGGGGCCCGAGGCGGACGGCTGCCTCCGAACCACATCCCCGTGCTGGCGCGGGCCGGCAGTGCCGTGCCCGTGGGCAAGAACCGCCATACGACATCGGCCCCGGGCTCGAACCCCGAGTTCCCCGGGGAGGAGAAGGACGACTGGCGTGGCGTCGAGATATACCCGCCCGCGCCCGGGCAGACCTCCTCGGTGGATAGCAGCGCGCGCAAGGCCGTCTTCGAGACCACCTGGCATGAAGACGACGGCTCCAGCGCCGCACACATTGCCGATGTCCAGCGTTGTACCATCACCCTGGAGTACACCGTGGACCTGCATTCCGAGAGCGGTGGGATCGATGTCAAGTGCACGATCAAGGGCACCGGTAAGAGAGAAAAGGACGGCACGGGGTTGGCCTGGCAGCCGCTTTGGCTTGACAACGGGCTCGACGTCGTCTTGCCCAGGGGCCTTGGGGCCAAGGTCAATGGGGCTTCAGATGTGACCGATGCGAGGAGTGGATCTGAAGCCTATGCCAGCCAAGGCAGGAACATTTGGAACATTCCTGTAACCAGGGACTGGTCAACATGACCGTCTCGTGCCAAAGATGGATAGCTGTAACGGACGGGACAATAGGTACCGCTCCTGTATTCGGCCGCAAATTCGAGAAGAGGCGCAGGGCGCAACTCATCTATGGCACTGAAGCACTCGGCCACATTTAGTTCTCGGGTATCCAGGCCAGGTAGATGAATAGTCGCACGTCACAATACAGAGGTCACGGATTAATGGAGGCGCGTCGACGGCCATAAGCCTGGACGGTCCCGATTGCCTTGGGTTTTGATGGCGTTTGTAGCCCATTGCCCTATCCATCACATGGCGACGATTCGACAGCCGAGAGTAATCCAAAGACGTAGAGCGGCACAGGGAGCGATCTGAGGGTCCCGTCTGCCTGTTTGTGCCCGTGGGGCATACGCCATGGACCACAGATAGGACAAACATACCCCGGGTATGAGCCCGATTCCAGCGGTGACCCGGTCATGCTGGTTTACATACCTCCTCAAGAACCTCTGCCAACACCTCCCGGGCAACCTGGGGGTCCATCCGTTCGGCCGGCCCGTTCCTCATCATCTTGCCGACGAGGAACATGAGCTGGCCCGTGGGGTACTCTGCGTCCTTGTGGCCCCTGTGGCCCTTGTGCCTCCTTGGGCCTGGGGAGTAATACTTGGAAAAGTGCAGCACCATCATGTGGTTGTTTTGCGTCGTCTCGATGGCCAGCTCCCGGTACTGCTCCCGGGACAGCGAGTTGAACCAGAGGCCCTCCGCCTCGATCGCCTGATCGATGCTCGCGTAGCCCCCGGGCGACGCGCCGCCGAGCTCGCCGCGGTAGACGGCGAAGAGGAGGTCCTTGGCGACGGTGGGGCTGATGCGCGTCCCGTGGAGGTGGTAGACGATGTCTGCGAGGTGCCTGGCCGGCACGCGGGCGCACTCGCCGTCGGCCGAGATCTCCAGCGTCTGGACCGTGCCGTCGGCCGAGGCGTTGCGCTGTGATGTGAGCCGCCCGAGTTCGTGGAGGACCCAGTTGCCGACCAAGGTGCCGGCCCGCGTGGACCAGTTGTCGCCCAGCCGGTCCTGCAGGTGCTGGACAACATTGTAGAGGTACTCGACTCGGCGGCCGTCGTCCAGCTGCAGCAAGGCCAGTGCATCCTTCGTCCTGAGGCCGTATGTGTACACCAGGTCGTCGACCTCGGCATCAGGCAGCATGCCCAGGTTGTCTCGCAGGTGAGAGACAAGCTGGGGGCTGAGGGTGACGGGGGGCAGGTCTGGGTCCGGCATATATCGATAGTCGACCTCGCCTTCTTTGCCGCGGAGCCGCCTTGTCTCGGTGCCGCCAATGGACCAGCCACGGGTCTCACCGGCAACGACGCCGCCGGCCTCGAGCAGGGCAATCTGACGGTCGCGCTCGGCGATGATGGCGTCCTCGACGGCCTTGAAGCTGCTCAGGTTCTTGATCTCGGTCCTCTGGCCGAGCGGCAGGGGGTCTTCGGACGGGTGCCGGTATCGCCTGACGCTGACGTTGACGTCGGCTCTCAACCCACCGGCCTCCATGCCGCTGACGCACGAGTCGACGGCATTAAGGTACATCTGGACCTTCCTGACGAGAGCAGCGGCGGTTTTCGGGTAGTGGATGTCTGGATCCGTGATGATCTCGATCAGTGGCACGCCGACCCGGTTGAAATCGACCCACTGGACGCCGTCGGGGCGGGCGATTGTCTTGGCCGTGTCCTGCTCCATCTGGACCTGCCTGATGCCCACGCGCACCTTCTTCCCGTCCTGCTCGGCGATCCCATCCCTCTGGTACAGCGTGATGTACCCGTTCTTGGCGAATGGCTCGTAGTATTGGGTGATCTGGTAGCCACTGGGCTGGTCCCACCAGAAGTAGTGCTTGCGATCCCACCTGCTGACCTGCTGTATGCCGCAGTTCAGGGCGAGTGCGGCGCGCAGGGCGGGGACGAGGGCTTCCTGCTGAAACAGTGGCTGGGAGCCGGGCACGGCGAGATCGAACAGGGCGGCGTGTGTGTTGGGCTCGTCGGACGGCGCAGGTTGACTGGCGGGCGAGAAGAGCTTGTGTGGGGTGTTGAGCTGCGCGTGGATCTCGATGCCGACGACGAGCTGCCAGCCAGGGACAAGCTGCCGGTCGTCATTGGACAAGTCCTTTGCCCCAGAGGCCTTCTGTGCCTTGGCAGCACTCTTGAGCTTCTTCCGCAGGGGAACAGAAGCGTCGGGGGGAGCTGGCGCGTTGGAGAGGTCGGCAGGCTGCAGGGCGGCGGGCGCAGGTGCGGATGAGGAGAAGGAGCGGCTGGGCAAGACGGGCACGACTCTGCCAGCAGGGAGGGCGGAGCGGAGCAGTGGTGAGAGAGGACGAAGGCGAAGGTGCAGACAGCCGCGGTGGTGAAGCTGGCCGGCAAGCAGGTAGCTGCTCAGCTCCCGGACGGGGATTCGGGCCATTGCTGGGATGAGGTCGACAGAGGCATCCAAGCTGGGTGGGCTAACGCTGCGTCGAGTCACCTGGCAAGAGCAACAATGGAGCGACGGCGTCGACGAGGTTGACGATGTTCGAGATTGCTTCAATGTTGCTTGCGCGCAACAATCAAGCTCCGCCTGGTTGAAGCTGCGATAAGATAAGGCGGGTGATGGTCCGTGCGGGAAAGGTACGGGGTACAAAGTACATACGTCCCCTCGTTGGACCCTGAGAGCAATGACGTAGAGGCTAGACGGCCTTTCTGTATTTTTAGGACGTGCCTTATTTGGCCCCCAGGACCCTGAAGAACGGTGGCGAGGCGGTTGTTTTGGGGGCAAATCGATGGGGTAGTTAGTGCATATTGGTCCCAACTTGCGCCGCACTAGACAGACCGCATGACTGGCAGCTCGCTTTGGCTTGGTGCTTACCCCAGCCCAACTACGACGGCGTCCGCGACTTTCTCTACCTAGGGAGATGGAATTTCTTCCAAAAACACACAACCGCCCCGATAGCCCATTTATAGCACTCTTCCGCCCGCTAGATCTACTTTTCAAATCTTATCCTTTCTCCTACCAAACCCCACTTATTTACCAGTTCGCACGCCTCATTTCCTATCATCAGACAGGCACCAAGCACTCTACCTGCGCCTCACCTCTCGCCATCTCGACATCTCAACACTCATTCTAGAGGACAGACACCACAAGACATCGCACCAAGACACACATATAAACCAAATAGACACAAAATGGCCAAAAAGACAAAGTACAAGCCAACCCACGCCTCCGACGCGCCCCCTGCCAACTGGACGGCCACGCGCCCGCACAAGTACTGCGGCAGGATGGACGCCGCCAGCACGCGCCAGGGCAAGGCCAACAAGACCCACCACTGCGAGGCCTGCGCCGTCATCAGGGCCCGCATCGAGCGCATAGACTCGAGGGCCACCAACGACAGGAGGGACTCCAAGATGGCCTGGGCTGCTGGGGGTGACGACGACTGGTAGCCAGCCAGCCTGGCCGTGCTCTTCTGGGCCCACCACGACTACCGGTGGCGCGTTCATCTTTCACGGCTAGTCACGACCGTATAGATCATTTCCTTTCACCCTGTTGGCACCAACTTTCGCTGCCCGCCAGCCTCAGTCCGAAGAACCCAGCCTTTTTACGATTGTTTATGGGTCCTCGTTGTTGCATGCCTCTTCGTGGAGTCCCCCCTCCCCCCCCCGCATGAGAAACCATCGCCCCCTACCTGGTGTGCCCAACTCGAGGACACAGTCAGACATTGCGCATCCAGCAAGACAAAGAGGTCACAACGGGGTTTGAACGCAGTGGCAGTGCTGTCCCTTCCTCTTCGCCACTTCCGAGACCCTCGTCTTGTCACCCGCCCGCGGGGTGCCGGATCTTGGCTGGATGATTCGGGGCACTCACTCTCTTAAATCCGACACGGGGGCTGCAGAGGCGGACACAAAAACACACTGGCCCCACGGCTATTATCGATGCCGTCAGATTATGGCCTCCAGCTGTTTTATCATTTTTGTCTTTTCGTTTGTTCTTTCGCGGTCTGTCAACGGCCGCCCGCAGAGGCGAAGCACAGCCGCACAAATGATACCCTTACACAGATAAAGCACACGATAAAGTACACATGATGCTGTGCTGCCAAAGCAGGCATTTTAATACCATGGTTTTAGACTGGCGCTGAAATATATCCTTTTTCTTTTCCTGTCTGACGTGTCCCTATAGTGCCTCGCCCGTGTATCCATCGTCATTCCTCTTACCATAGATGACATTCCCTCTCTTTCCACTCCTACACATGTAGTTACTGGGGTGCCATTTTCAACAAGAGACGCCCTCCATCCTGTTCACTGTCTCGTCTGTGGGAGGGGCGGGGCTGTCGGGCGGTGTGGTGTACTGGTCGAAGGCTGGCTGATCCCATGCCAGAACGTCGAGCGGGGGAGACCGGCATCCCAGTCAGTCATTGGCAGCCGTTCCCAAGGCCATCCTGTTCGGCAGGGCCTCATCAGCGGTGCACGCTCTCTTCAGCCAGGGCCCCACGCACACCCTCGCTAGGATCACCGCCGGGCCGTCCTGGTCTTTGTTGTGCAGGCCCGCGGCCCGGCCGGGCCTGCAGGTTAGGATTCGGGCGCCAAAAGGTCTGCGGACGCAGGAATCGCGAATCCCATCGCGGTACCCTACCCTCCCATGCCACGGACGGACTTGAACGCCGCCTCCCACCCCTCCCCGGCGCGGGTCTTGTTGTTCGCTGTGTTTTCTTCTTGTTGTTCTCCTGCCTCATATTCTCGGCTCCGACGCAGGTAGACAGGCTCATGGTGATCTATCGATATTATTTCAACACCCACCCGGGGGTCAGGGACTCTGGTGCACCTTTGGAGGTGGTGGTGGCTTTCGGGGTTTTGCAGAATTCTCTTTTTTGTTTTCCCTTTTCCCTCTCTTCATTCCTCTCCTTCCCCTCCTCATCGATCGGTCGGCGGCGGCGGGGCTCGGGGGATGGGGTGGGGCTTCGAGGCAAGGCTCTCCGGGGCGGCATTGTTTGAGTAGAGGATGTCGGGGAAGTCAGTCGGCCAGGAACAAGCAGAGAGCCAGAGGGGCTAGGTCTTTGACCGACGCCATGGGCCTCATAGTTGGTGCTGTTAGCCCCGCGTGGGTGCGCCGGGGACAGGAAGCTTTCAGGGCCGGTGTGTGAGGAGTCCTCTCATTGCTTGTTCGGGTAGGGCTGGCTCATGGCGATCAACGGCGATCCAGGGATGGTCCCGGGGCCAAGGAGTGCGATGGGCTGTTCGATCGGTGTCTGTCATACTAGTCGATAAGCAGGGTCGTCATTCTTTGCTGATGGAGGCCGTCACTGCTCCTGAAAATTTGCATGCGCGGGGAGACGAAGCACTGCGCTGTTGGTTGGCCTGTTCAGGCACCTGACAGTAGGTACCGATCTGAGAGGAGCCAGCCATTACGTGTGAGGCCCGCCCTGCTATCCACCCAGGGTGCTGGAGCCAGAGGTCGTCGGACGGGGCCGGAGAGGGCTCGTTGGCCAAGTGGTTATTCCGTCGATGAAGTTGGTTCGAGTTCGAGTTGAGCCCGGAAGGCGGAGCCCGGAAGGCGAAGTGGGAAGACGCCGGGGGGCAAAAGTCAAGGGTGTCCGGTTTTGCAGCGGGAACAACTTGAGTAAAAACAAATGCGGGCACGCTGTGGCCATGGCCGCGCCGGGCTGTTCGGTCTTCATCAACCTCGGGGTGGGCAAAAGACAAGCAAGTAGTAAGCCATGCCTAGGCAGCAGATATGCTTGTGACGGCTGAAGTTATCATCCCAAGTGTCACTGGGCAAGAATAAACAGCCATGGGAGGCAGATTTTGTATCGTGAAGGGATACACTTTGAGACGACGCGTAGCTAGCTCCAGACCGGACACCTAGGTCATCTGTAACGAGGGGCTTCGGCTGGTCAACGTATTTGGGTGGGTGTTGGATAGAAGGAAAATGCCCACACAGGGAGGGTGATGAGCCTCCAACAACCTCTTCTCGTCATCACGACACTGAATGTGTCTAAGGGCTCTGTTGCCCTTTCAATGCTGTCGTGTTAGTGTATGCGCACTGCGTCATGATTCTTTCCTTTTGGTTTCCTCTTTTCTCCTTTCTTTTTTTTTTCGGGGGGGGGGGGGGTGGGTCGGTACTGTGTGGGGGGGCTGGGTGGTGGTAAAAAGGACCAGTTGACAGCAACAACCAATGTCGATGTCTCTTACCAGATGTGAGGCCCAAATAAAAAATTGATAATGGACAACTTGCTGGCACAGCCCTTCCCAAACATTGCCGGCGCGGGACTGGACTTATCAGACGTGGGCACTACTCGTATGTAGGTGCGACTAATTTCTGGTCCTTGGAAATTCCTGGCGGTGAGTTCCAGATGTCATTGCAGACTTTTCCTACTTGGCGCGCGAGGAGGATAGAGGCCTGATTCCGTGCCTCGGGGTTGATGCCCAATTGCATGGCATCTCTCAGGAGCAAGTGGGCTCGGGGCAGAAGGGCTTCAGTGCAATGTGAGCCGGAACAAGACCCTGATAGAACGGTGTCCCCCGTGAGCATGTCCCCGAGCGCGCTTTTGCCAGCGCCAGCAGCGTCGCAAACTTGTCTTCGTAGGCATTATTCCAGAGCAAACAAAAACCTGGAAAACGTCCCCACGGGGTCGAGACCCAATCTCGCGGCGAAACTGTTTTCTTTTCTTCTTCTTTTTTTCAGTGTCGGATAACTTGTATAATATCGCTACTGCCCCGTGGCCGCGTGTGACGGACGTCCAGGTCACGGTGTCATCGGTTCCGGTATCGAGTTCCTGGGTGCAATCGAGACACGCGCGGCTGGTTTCTTCGGAGGCTGTGCCGAACCAATCACAGAGCCTCACGGGGAGACGTCTACCTGCGAAAGACAGAGCTCGGCAGAGTTCAATGTTCGTCTTCTATCACTATCTCCTTTTTAGACAGTGTTGCGTTTGGATGAATGTCATCTTGATCGAATCGGCCATTCTGTGCAACAATTGCGCCGCGGGATAGGCCACATAGGCAAAGCCACCCATGAAGAATTACAACGACAATGTTAAAGAAGGTAAAGCTAACACACTGAACAACACGAAACCTTGCACACCCCATCGTGCAGAAAATTTCAGAGTCTTGTGTCCAGGGTCATGTCCTAGCACTCGAGGTAGACGACTCGGCCGAATCGTAGGGTGGAGCCAGCCCTCTTTCACTTCTCCGTGGGGGATGGCAGGTTCTTCCTGTTGATCGATCGGAGACGAGTATTGAGTCAAGCCAAACCAAGTCGCGAGAGAGCTCGATGGCCCAATGAGTCGAGCGGCAGACGGGACGGAATTATCAAACAGGTGGCCCGTCTCGTGCTACCCTCGCAGATCTCGAGCGGGCACCTCCTCCCAGGCCCCACAACCTTGGAACTAATCTGCCTGTGGACCGCAGCAGTAGCGAGACTCTCAGGCTGTGGGCTAGGCCGAGGGACAAAGGATCTATGAAATTACGGAGAGCGGACTGCCAGGCGGAATTCTTAGAGATGCCCCGGCATTGCCGCAACCTTGGAAACCTTGCTAGCACTCTGAGGACGTAAATGAACTTTTAGCTCAAACAGACGGCCTGTTGCTTCATCGAAGCATTTCAGAAAGTCAAGCGTCCTCTTGAAGCCATGTCATGCACCTGTTCTCGCTGAAGAAGCACCCGCACCAACCGAACATTGAGGATGTTCACGTGCACCGCGGGGCCTTCTTTACCAGCTCACTGAACAGTGAGAAAAAGAATATTATCTCAGAAGCGATACCAGCAGATTATTGACCCATATCTAAATAGATTAGTTGCAAAAGATTCCATCACACGGCCTGTTCGTGTCGTGTGAGGACGTAAAGGGACCCGACCAGATTTGGTGAAGCCAGCACCCTTGTGCCTGGGAAACATTGCAGTCCGCTCATGGTCGCCACAATTACCGAAGGACTGACTGGCCGGGGTGTTGGCCAGGCCGAGGGATCCCAAAGGATCAGGCCGCCAGTGTCACTCACTCGGTTATCAATGTAAATTACATCACAGCCGCGCAAACCTTACGGGATATCGGCAGATACTGCGGGCTCCTAACTTAGAACTTGCTACCCAGGTTTCAGCAGGTGGGAACCGTGCCTGGATGCCGAGCGGTATTTCTCAAGTGAACCTGTTGGATCCGCCTGGGCATGAATCTGATATGGAAAACGTACGGCTAATATCAGGAGAAGACAGCGGAGGCACCTTCAACTGTACTGCCCCTGAAGCCGAACCGTGCCCTTGAGTTGCTATTCCCGTGCGAGGGGGTTATCAAGCGGGAATTGGGCGCATTCCAAGGTTGGTCTCGTTGTCCGTGGACGCCCAGTCTAGTTGGCCTACTGTGCCGCACACGACGTAGTAGAGGCAAAGAGCAGGACACATTCAATAATTCCATTTTGGTCGAGAGGCGACTTGATTCTTGCAGGGTGGGTCTGCTGGGCATTTGCTCCCACCCCTCAGGCTCTCTCTTCCTGTGCGGCTGTGCCGCTCCCTCATCTACACTCCTGTGTATAGATCGAGATCTTGTGTTTTTGCCGTTGATCAGCCAAGCGGGTCCTCGGGGCCCTGGATCTCGGTCTGGTGGGAGAATCTAAAGCAGAGCCGGAGCACAGTGTAGCTTTTCATTGGCTCATTTTCCGGCACCTATTCCGATAATTGTGATTGGTTCTTCAGGGATGTTCTGTGTCGACCGGGTACTCCGTAGGTCGCGCAAGGTCACCTTCAAATGTTTGTGGATGGTGGTGGACGCTAGCAGACAGCCCTGACAGCCAACTACGGTCCATGTCTACGGGAATAACTGGGTGAAACCACCTCGTTGTGGTTGTTCAGTGGCTGATGCAACTCTCCAGGTCTAGGCGGGCAATAATAGGACGCCCACTTTGCCCAATCAAGATTCATTCCGGAACCGGTACCGGCAACCAATCAGTACTAATGATGCGGCTGCGGTCTCTCGCTTCGTAGTGGGACGACCCCCTCCCCCACATCAAAGTATCATCTACAATCCTTATCATACCCTCTGCTGCCTCCATGAGTGCAGTGGCGGTAACAGTCGTCGAGCCTCCTCCCTCTGTCCCCTGGGCAAGGGGCTTGGGATTGCCACCGTCTCACTCAGCCTCATCAGACCAGCAAGCCGTCTTCCATGCCTTTCAGTGACGGCTGGGTCCCTAGAACGACATCCCGCCTCCTCATGGTGCGCCGAGTCTTGGGCTTCTGGAGGAACGGCCGGAACATACCCCTTTTCCGACAGTCACTCCATCGCCGGACAGTGACTAGGTGCCGGCCATTCGGCACCGCCCGCCAGCCCGGTTGACTCGAGATGTCGGACGGCTCGGCTCCTGCATGTTGGTTCATCTACATTGATCAGGAACATCCTGAAGGGCAACAGAGACCCACGGTCGATGTTGTATCAGCGCTGTCACCCTGCTGTGATTCCAGCGATTGCGGGCTGCTGGGTGTGTGTATGGACTGTGGACCCCAGAAACCGCCTTAACATGCACTTGGCAGGTCATGCCCAGCATTTGAGCACTTGAGACGATCAACCCAAGGACCAAGTCTCCAGATGTCGTCACTCCCCCCTTCTCCCCCAGTGACAGCTGGATCCCATATGTCACTCATCCTGATGTCAACCATGATACGAGCACTCGTGTCCAAAAACCGGTTGATATTGTTCGCAACTCCACCACTCAAAGCCGTGGTAGTCCACCACCAGCACCCTATGCATGGGAAAGCTGTTTCCCATCAAGCATCTTCCAATTCAGCCATCCCTTGCCCTACGCCCCCGCTCGGCGCTGGTCACTAGCAGTTACAATTGCAGCCCACCTCGGCGTATTTGCCCGCCTCCAGCCCCTCCGCCACTACAGCCTACGAAGAACAGCTCCCTCCTAGTACACATGTTCCGCCGTGGAGATGTGCTCGAACTGCGTCAGTTCCTTTCCTTTTGTCATCCACTGGTTACTAGCGCCTGGTGACGACGCCAGTGGCTAGTCACCCCCAAACAGCGTTCTAGAACCCATCTATGCCTACATCATGATACATCGTGGCTGCCACGCAGAAACTGCCCAGGTGTGTACTTTTCCGAGTGACCGAACAAGTTTGGCCAGAACAAAAGTCGGAACTCGGAATCCGTGAGGCCTGGTTGGCTGTTGAGCAAATGGTCGACGGCCTGGGCTGTTAGCAAGGTACGCTGCGTTGCCCGCCGTACATCGTCAATATGCTTGGTCACATGCGGAAGTGTTGCGACGACTGAACCCCTTGGATGTGCTCCAATAGGCCCTGTCCTTGTCTGGGTCTGGTCCCTTGCGGTCTCGCTTTGCTAAGATCCTGCACAGGGCGATGGTATCGGTCATACCTACTCAATAGGTATATGCTCGCCACTTGCAATGTGCAGACTGGGACATTCAACTGTACATTCCCGCCGGTTTAACTTGGAAGATCTTTCCTTGGAACGGTCGGAGCCACCTTGGCACCCCTGCGGATGAGCTAGAACCATAAAGCAACTGCTCCACCCTAAACTGTTTGTGCTAAAACAACCACACGAACCTTGGAAGACGACATTCGCATGTTGAATAGCCGCAGTCACAAGCACTAGGTTATGAGAACTGGAAATAACCGACGCAACACCTCGCCTCAAACACTGACATATACATTTCAACGCGACAATATACAGTCTTGGAGATAGCGTGACGACTCATGCATGCATCGGAACCAACACACTACACCAGGGCCCTGCTATACACTTTCAAGGGCCAGACGACCTTGGCTAGTGCCGACGACCACTCGCAACGAGTCCGACCGCCCGCTCCAACGACAAGACGCGCCACGAAAAACGCGGCGGGCTGTCTTCACGAGAGTTGACAGCCCGCTCTGACCTGCATTCCTCGCAGGATCCTCTGTCCTCGATTTCCTCTGTGTCATGCAAGACGTCAGCAGCGGATAAGACCCCTCAGCCTCAATGGTCCGCCGCCCCATCTGATCTGGGTAGACCAGCAACCATGACGGGACCACAAGGTGATGAACCTCCGGCGACAAGCAACGGCGCGCCTTATCCGATTTACGCCGACTTCTACGATACCAGCGGCCTGGACTGCAGCGCAGCGGGAACGGCAACCAACGAGGGTGACATCGCCTACCCGTCTGGCTGGGACTATGCCATGTTCGACGTCCACATGCCATACCCTCCACTCTCCCTGGGAGCAGCCCGAGGCGGAGGGGAATCCCTCCAGCGTCAGACTGCGTGGAACTTTGGGGCTCCGCCATATCCAGCCCGCACAGACACCACCATGGGCGATACATTAGCCATGGCCGACCCCGCGTTCGAGTATACTTCTGTGGAACAACCGGCGGTGGCCGATACGGTGTCTCACCACGCCGTTGGTCTTCAGCTAACACATGGCTACCAAGGCTGGCTTGAGTGTCCCCAGACACCGCCGATGGGACAGATGTCACCACTGCCCAGTCAAAGCAGTCACTATACGTCGTCGCCAGTGAGTGGCGCTGGACTAAATTACTCACGAGATAGCAGTTGCTCGTCCCTCACGACTTCGAGGGTCCCCATTCTCGACCAGACCAGGCTCGACGCGCGATTCAAACCGGTTCCTGATCAAGCATTGAGCCCACAAGAAGGGAAGCTCCCCCCTGGAGGACCGCGAACAGGCGCGGACGCGTACGCGGGACAAGCAACGCGGCAGTGGGGATATCTCCAGGGTCAGACGATAAAGAAGATCACTACAGGTACCACAGACCACGACGCCGGCACTGTTTCCCCGGTCACGACGCCTTCTCCGGGGAACACCAATACGGCCACCTCCAGCCAACCAGCCACCCAGAACGTCCGACCCCCCTTGGATCACCGAACACCGGGAACCGATAAGAGGAAAGAAAAACCGCTGGCTCGCACCCGGCAGACGACCAAACAAAGGCAGGCCGAGCCCGCATCACAAGCCAAGGGCCAAGCTGAGGCGAAACCTGCAGAGCCGACGGCGAGGCATCGGAACCGCGATGCCGCCAACAAATGCCGGGCCAAGACGAAGAAGGCGGTAGCGGAGCTCGAGTCCACGGAGCTCGCCAAGAGGTCAGAGCACAGGGAGCTGTCGGCGACGGCGAGGAGCCTGCAGGACGAGGTGCTGGGGCTCAAGACCGAGCTGCTCGCCCACGGGAACTGCGACGACGCTCTCATCCAGCAGTACCTCATGAACCAGGCCCGCAGGGTCGGTCAAGGCGTAGCAACGGCTCAACACCAACGACAATGACAACAACAACATAGAGAGCAGAAGCAACACCAGCGGCACCGGCCACGGGGCCACAGCCGCAACCACACGCAGTACCTCGCCATTATCAGCTAGGTAGTACGGTTTAGGAGCCATTTGCAGACGCCACGATTCGCCTCAGTCGACCCAGCCATCTCGAACCCGGTTCTTCGTCTCCTTGTTGTGTTCGAGGTCTCCGAAGGGACGAGCCGAGGCGAGAGACGAAAGGATTCTGACCAACGCAGTCTTTCCTTGCACCACCAACGCCGTTTTGGCCTCAGGCTGACAATGTGTACACTTACGTGTGCATTTTGAACGTGGCAAGAGGGAGGGATTCGGCAAATTTCACATCTCTCTATTTTCGTGAGCACACTTTCTCTCTTTCTTTTATTTCTCTCTTGACGAAGCGGGAGTGTCGATGGCAGGTATGTGAGGTCTCTTTTATTCAAGAGGGGAGTTTCGCACCTTGGCCCAGAATGATCGATTAATGGGCATGGAGGATGCGCTGAACGACTTTGATACCCTATGAGAACCCGGTGGGATCTGGTAGTTGATTCCAAGGTTGTATTGCTCACCCCCTCTAGTAGCTGTTCCCACAACCCTGCATGTCTCTCATCACTTGCTCGTATTCTTCTCCCTCCCATATAACTAACCTTTCCTTTCCTATCTTCTTCGACTCTGATGTTGGCCTTGGGGAGCAAGTCGTGATCCAGAGCTTTCGGGTCGGATTTGGGGACGGACGGCTGGAATCGGTGACTGGAAATGACGAACTGTTTTAATCTGGCGAAGGATCCAACCACGCTTGCTTGGTCGTGGTCTGATCCTTAATAAAATCTGTTTTGGTGGTCGGGGTTCAGGGTAGGCGTCAGGACAACAGCGAGGTAGCGTTCACGAAGACTCCAGACTTGTTGAACAGGCAGGCGGCTGGTCGGCTACCGAGCCCAAACTGACGTGTGCGTCAGGGCCAAGTCTGCACTTTGGTTACTCTGAAAACACTTATTGTTTCTCGTATGATTGCTGTGTTCTGTCCAGATTCCGAGGTCTCCTTTCGTGTCGGAGCTGTCCGGTAAAGCGAGGCTTGGGCCGCAAGAAGGGCGAAGGCTCTTTCTTTCGCGTATCGACGTAGCGAGAAGGAGGAAGCGTCCGGCTATTTGTAGACCAAGTTCTATCGTCTGAATTCGTAAGTGGGCCACGTTACGGAAAAATCACGCGCCCTCGGGATGCCGGTGCGTGTTCGAGTTGCTGCGGATCCTAGACATCGAGATCATCGCTAAAGTCCATGCTCAGGTACGATGTGGGTCCCATCGGGCGTCTCGGAGGGGTACAAGCACAAGCAGGAGGCACCCAGTGCCTAGGTCTCCTGTGTGAATGGTTGTTCACCGGTCATGCCCAGGTGATTCCAAGGTTGTTGTTGGATGCGTGGTTGCACGGGTGCGCTGTGGTGGTGTAGGCGATCACGTACAATTGTCGGACCAAAACTTCCCAGCCTGAAGGCTTTCGAACATCAGGACAACCAAAATCAATCCCATATCACCAGCACTGCCATGATTTGCTGCCTTCGTCTTGCGCAGGACGCCTCAACAGTGGCGAATTCCTTCGCCGAAGGTCATTCGTGACGGAAACGTGCAGTAATAGTGACGGGTGAGAGGCACTTACTACGATTGGCTGGACATGTGCTTACGTGATTGGGAGGAGAGGGGGGGGAAATAACATCAGTTTCAGCTTGTTCGCAGGCCGCCTAGACTCTTCAAAGTACATCCTGGCAGTCTGCGTGTAACGAGCACACGCAGCATTCACCACCATCATCCGACGCATCTATCAAGAATCGCCTGCGTCTGCAATACGCAATCCAGGTGCAGACAAACCTCACGGCCAACACTCACTGGTAGAGCTGGCATCAGGGCAGCGATCGGAACTGTACTTGTTTAGCTTCTGAAGGCCCAACCCCGACCCGGCACACGCGGCCAGATAGGGGAAAGGGTAAAGAGTGCGACCCGGTGTCGTGAGTTGAGCTGAGTTGACGAAGTTAGGAGGTGTTGACGCCGGTCAGAAGATTAGGAGAATCGATTCCAGTATAGGTAGCAAGACATTCGACATCACTTCGGGCTTGGATCGCTTACAGCCCATCAAACCCAGCAACGACGCAATGTCATCTTCGGTATTACCAGTGGAAAAGAAGTACAGGCGCCTTCTTCCCGCCCACAATAGTGAGGAGGGACTCAGGGAGGCAGAGGACGCACATCCGTCCTCCATTGGGGGGGAGCTACCTCCGAAGAGGCGGAAGAGGGGGGGTCGATTTGCGTGCGATGCGTGTCGATCCAAGAAATCCGCAGTAAGGCTTTCATATGTCATTTTTTCTCGTTGCTCCCTGGGCCTGATTCGCGGAAACCCTTCCGATGTCGTGCTGTGGGCCTCGTTGCGGGACCTGACATGCGACGGGGCAGGCCTCGGAATGGTAATAAATATCTTCCAATGTCTATACACGTACTTCTGAAAGAGTGCCCTCCTCTCCGGTCTAGGTACTGGGAGGCCAACGCTATTCCAGATGTTGGCGGTCCCTGTGCAGCCTGGTGGTCAGCCAACCAGACAGCCGGGCCAGCCAGCCAGCCAGTCCAGTTCGTCACTCCAGTCGGGTATCTTTGGCGTGATTGCTCGACATCATGGTCTTGACACAGCGGGGTGGGGTTCAGTATTTCCCAGCCATGCTACACTAGCTACCTTGGTGTATACATGTCTCTATACATGCGCACATTGCCGTGCAGATGCCATGGGACGATGTGTTGCCCGAAGAACACTGCCCTCTCATCTGCTAATGCCTGGTCTGTAAGCCCCGCAGCTCGGCCAGCCGTGCGTGTGCCTCTGGACCTCTCCATCTGCGACTGGTATAACTCCTGAATCGCATAGATTTGCCGGGCTGCGTGTGGGTGAGATGTGGCTGTTCAAAGTTATGTCGTCAATGGTGCGTGGCTGGTTGGAAGGATGGCAAAGGCAGCCTCGTCTCTCTTGGACTTGAGGGGCTGCGTTGAAAGGAACCTGTCCGACTGCTGTTACTCCGAATAGGGCACTCTCAATGCTCGTCGGCCAGTGTCTTCTCCTCAGTTCTGACCCCCATACCCTCCAACTCTGCCCGAACCCCCCAAGTATCTGCTGGGCATGATGCGACACATCTTGCCTCCGCTGGACCCCAAAACATTTCTGACTTTGAATACACACTCCTGCAGTGTGATGGCACGAAGCCAACATGCTCACCGTGTACCCGTCGTGGTACCGACTGCATCTACGGTTCTCGAATAGATATGACGGCCAACGAGCGGGCCGAGCTGGAACTGCTGCGCCAGCAGCACGAGGCTCCTCTGGAGGGGGTGGCGGCGGGGAAGGCGGCGAGGGCCTCCTCCACCGGCTCAAGACGCTGCCTGAGGACGAGGCCGTGGCGCTGCTCCTCCAGGTACGGTCCGAGACTCGAGTCAAAGAAGTAAGCTCGGCAGCCACAGCCCAGGCCCATCTACTCTGGGCCACTGGGTCTAGTCCTTGCTTCCCGAAGCGGGCCTCTAATGTTGGTCACGGTGTCTCTTTAGGATCTTGTCACCACTCGAAACATTCCTCTGCCCTCTCGGACGAGCGTTGAGTTCGAGCTGATGCACCGCCATCCCATCATGTACCCAGTCGTTGCAGCTCATGACTCCCCGGAGATACAAGTGTCCCATTTGAAAACACTTCCGTATCGCAAGCAGGCAGCTGAGACAGGCGCCGGCTCCAGCAGGTATGTCTTTTGATCACCACCCCGACCGTTATCCGAGGTGACCCCACGGGGCTGGACACATGGGCAGGTGACAAGCCAGCCAGGCCCAGACCCGTTCCCAGCAGCGCTGATAGGACCACCACTACGGAGCAACATCTCCGCTCCACAGGTACAGCTGCAGCTGGCTGACTACGGGGTTTCTTGTCTCAGGCTGTCTTCACGGCGACCCTCGTCCCCCCAATCGTCCCCCACAAAACCAGCTGCCCGGCAAGGCCCATATCCCGACCCAAGAGACTCCCGGGAGCGGCATTCTCTTCTCTGCGACCAGCGGCTGGAAGACATCGAGATCATCAACTGGACCCAGGTCCCCATATCAAACGAGCTAAGCGCACAGCTCATCTCGTTCTACCTGACTGTTGACCATCCGATTCTAGGGTTGTTCGATGCAGACTTGTTCCTTGGTGATCTTGTGACACTCAGGACCGAGTTTTGCTGCCCCCTGCTCCTCTCCGCGGTTCTTTGCTTTGCATGTGTACGTAGACAGGAAGAATACTCCGTCTCTAACGTGTCCATATGCCCCTCCCCCCGAAGCATAGGCTCTGGCAAGACTAACAGTGTCGATTTCTAATGACAGCAAGGTTACTCGTGCATCGATCCTACCACAGCAGCACTGAGCCATGCCTTCTTCAACGAAGCCCAACAACTGCACGAGCAGGAGAGTACCAGCAATCCGCAGTATCAATTCGCCATCCCCAACATAGCCGCGACACAGTTGCTCAGTCTCGCCGCAACCTGTAATGGCCGAAATGGGCTGGCGATGAAATATCTGGCCGAGGGCATCGAACTGGCACACCAGAATGGTCTTTTGGCGGTAGACAAGAAGGCGTCGGCCCGTAATTGGCTCGATGACCATATAGACTATGTGAAAGCCGCGTCACACACGGCATGGGGCACATTTTGCAGAGCTACGTAAGTTGTTGGTCCCATCCTTGATGATCCGGCCAATTTCGCTTCATTTTTCCCTCTCCAAATGTCTGGAGGGTGCCGAAACATCTGATCCAGTGGAGATGATTCCCCTCGCGATCGGCCGGCCTTGGAAGACAACCTGCCAGCCAGCGGCGAGACTCAACCTTTACCAGTGCCTGACTGCTAACTTCTATCTTCACCTTGGCAGGCTCCTCGGAATGAACTACCAGACCACCTATATCCGCATTCCCCCGTGGCTGCCAATCCCAGGCACAGGCATCGTCCGGTCCGACGGCGAAACGGAGCCTTTCGAACTCCCAGCTTACATGGGCCAGAGCTTTACGGAGCTGTGCGGCCTGGTACCATTGGTCAACGAAATGCTGCATGAATACTACGACAGCGGCGACGGCGTGGCCTCGTCGATCCGCGCCTCGTTCAGCTTCGCACAGGGTCTGTACAGGAGGCTGCTGGGCTGGGCCGATGGACTACCCGTGTGCCTGGCCCGTGGCGACGACATGCCTCACCACGCCGCCATCGTCCACATATTCTTCCACACCGCCGTCCTGGACCTGTTCCGGCCGTTCCCCTTCCAGCGGCTCCAGGCGCCGTTTGAGCTTGGTGGCTTGGCCGCCGACAATCCCACCCCGGAGGGCGTGTGCGACGCCTCGGTGAACCAACTAAAACACCTCATCCTGATATTCCGGTCCAAGTACGCCTGCGCCACCTCCACCATGCTGTGGCAAAATGCGCTGTTGTACGTCGCTAACGCGTGCCTGCCCCTGCAGGGTGGGCCGGCCCCGCGCCCGGTTGGCGCTGCCGGCCATCATGAGGAACATGTGGAGGGCGTGACGAGCGTGACGAGCACGACGCCGGGGAACCTGGACGGCGAGGACCTTGCAGATGAGGAGATGGACGAGTCCGAGGAGGCCGCTAACCGCCGCAAGTGGTTCACGGCCTGTATCGACGCCCTCCGCGCCCTGGCACCGCAGTTCGGCATAGCGACCGGAATCGTACAGGGTATCCTGAGCATGGCCATCCTCAAGGGCTCCATCCCCGCCGTCGAGGGCCGTGCCATCATGGACCAGCTCAAGGCCGACGTCAAAGTATCAAGTCGCCACCGCCGCGCCCATCTTGGCCCCCGCAGCGCAACGGGAAGCAGTGTCAATGTCAGCGGGGCGACCCAACCGGCGACATTGTACGGTGGTGATGAACAAGGCGAGGAGGGAGAGGAAGGCGGTATGGACGGCGCTGGGGGCGGCGGGGCCTCTAAGCGCGAGGGCTTGGAGGCTGCAGGGAGGGTGCTTTGGGGGTCTTTCGATGGCCTCGGAGCCGACAGAGCCGGACTCGACATCAGCGGGCCCGCGAACCTGCCCGGCTGGCGGCGTGGCGGCAACAGCTTCGTCATCGACCTCAACGAGGCGTCTGTGAACCCGAGTGCTGCCTCCTTGGACGTCCTAGCCCGGGCATTCGACGAGCTTGCCATGTTCGATGAATTCACGACAGGGGAGGACTGAGCTCAACATAGAGCACCTCAAATCCCGATGAAAGAAGATGGTGGATGTTAGAATGATATGGAAAGCTGGAATTGGATAATGTGCGTTCAAAAGGCGGCAGCCAGAGATGAGTTTAGTGAATGGGTATTAAAAGTTGAGCACCAAACACCCACGATTATCAACGGAGCACACCGTGACCCGCTCGAGCGGGCCACCAAGAGCACACAGCAACAGACGAGCACTCCATCCATGCCATCCTCGTCACGTCTAGCAGCAGACGCTCTTTTACCGACCATTTTACTCCGGAAAGAGGACGTGTACAATAGTCAACTCACACGCCCGTATGCAGTTTCCCTGTCCACCCACGGCACCGCTGGCAACAACACAACCACGACAAGCATGCGATGGGGGACAGACTACCACATGTTCGATTTCACCACTGGTACATCTGCAAGACCAAATAGGCCCGTGAATGAGGCTTTTCCGCCTCCTACCCCAGATTCACACGATTTTGGGGGGGCAAAGTGGTGCAGTAGCTTCACTACGCGCTGCCAGGGGTCAGGAGAAGTGAGCAGTTGCGTGCTGGACTTACACCGGATAAGAGCGTTCACCTCGGACTCAACGTACTTGTGGTGCCCTACACCATATGAGACGTGATTCCCACGGCCGTCAGAGGTCCTTCCATTTAGTTCATACCTTAGGTGAGTACTTACCGATTTCAATGATATCCAGACGTGGTAGCAACAAAGAATTCACTGCGACAACACCAGACCCTACACTTTTCAGGGTATGTCATAGTACACATTGTATGTTTGACGACACTGGTAGTGAAGGTGTCAACTTCATAGTAAGTAAATGTCAGTGACCACGCAACGCTGTGCCTTTTTTTCCCCCCTGCGGCCATGACGGAGACGGCTGGAAATCATCACTATGCTGCAATGTATGCATAGCGATGACCCAGGCGCAGACGAGGGGTAACCAATTAGGTAGGTACTGAAGTACCCAAGGCTGTCTATTCGCGGACAAGTTACGTCGGACTAACTAGTGGCATGACCCATTGAAATACTAAGCCCCAACACAACTACTCTGGACACCACAACTTGGAGTGTTGGAGTCTAAGTATAAATTGCACACACACCACCCTGCCCTTTGACTGGCCCTGGATACTTACTACAGACTGATCAACCGAACTCACTTCTAGTACGAGTGGCTAGCGAAACAGCTTAAGGACCACTACCCGCATCGGCCTGGAATGGCATTTGGATCAGACACTACTACCTACCTACGTAGCTATTGTCCACTCTCACAACTTCTTGAGCTATATGTCTGGTGAGAAGGTATATCTTTCTAAGAGGCATTGCGGAGCCCCAGGCCTCACTCAGACACTCTTCCCCTCCCCTCCTTTGAACAACATTTGAACGCGGCCACGCCTCCCACCACGGCCTGGCTGATGCCCAGACCCGTGTTTGTCGCATATATTTATTTCCTAAATGCCTTTCATCCCGGAAATGCATGCAATACACACGAAGCCACTGCTGGTTGGACGACTGACCTACCCCATACAGCCCCCACCCCAATGCCGCAATGATCATCATGACGAGGTGGCGATGCTTCTCTCTCTAGGTAATTGATAGACATTGGGTCCAGTCGAGAGCCTAAGGACTTCTGCATTGAACTAAGCAGGGACCCAATTAAATTGGATTTGTCCCCGGCCTCGAGTCGGCCCCCACACCTCGACGAGCCGTTTGTCACCCCTGACAGCCCATTCCAAAGCCAGAACCGCTGCGGGACAGAAGGGAGCGAAACAATGTAAAGATATTATTAACAGGGTTGAAGTTTTGATCAAACACCTTGTCATTCCCAGTTAGCATGGCCCTTACCAGAAGCCGGTTCTTGTTCGCCTCCATGCGTGTCCAACGGCACGGCGGGTCGAGCTGGGTCTCACCAACCTGCAGCCCCAGCGCTCAGGTACAAAACATCACGCACCGCCTCGCCGCCCTCGTCCATAGCGGTCACCGCCACCGCCACCGCGCCCGTGGGCGGCGCGCCCAGGTCGACCGAGCCCTCCCAGACCTGATACCCGGGGACGATCAGGGCAGAACTCGTGGCTCGCCTCACGTCGGCTGTGTACCTCGTGATTTTTGGCGCCAATGTCCCCTGCTGCCTTGCGGGGGCAGAAACGTTGACTTTCACCGAGGAGAGGTCTGATTTGGCGGCCAGGGCAAAGTCTACCCTTGATCCTTCCACCGACGTCTTGTTCGGCACGACGAAGATGCTGCTTTGGAGCGGGAAAGAGATTTGAGAGCAGCATGCTCCATCCTGGCTGACCTCGAGCGCTGTGTATGCCACGTCCTGGCGCACTGCGGCAGAGAATGAGTAGTAAATGGTCTGGCCGTACACCGAACTGCCCGTCGTGGGCTCGGGCTCCAGCGTGAGTGATTCCGAGGCGCCGTCTGATGCAACAATGCTTGCTTGCAAGGGCAGCGCCGTGGCGCTTGACTTGTCGAGGATCTAGGGGAGGTTGGTCAGCAGGAATGCTACAGGGCGGAAGGAGAAATCAACTTTGCATGACGTACACGGATCTTTCCCGACAGGACAAAGTGTCCCTGTCCATCGATGTCGAAGGTCACGTTGACTGGTTTAATTCCCATGGGCTCGAGGGGCGGTCCCAATTCTACATTGGCAGGCACGGTGTGTATCATCCGGCCCATGAGGTCGACGCAGGTGTTGAGGAACTCATCCCCGATGTCGTACAGCGCCTGCATGGTGTCGTTGCCGTCACTCTCGTAGAGCCGCAGGTCGGAGCGCGTCGTGATGTTCTCGGTCGTGACCAGTGGCCCACCCTTGCTGCCAGTCCAGTCAATATACTCGTGGACGACTTTGGTATCGAATATCGCCCGGCTCGTGTCGAAGTTGGAGCCGCCGTTTGTGTTGTTGGGTGTGACGGCGGACTCCGGGACGACATCGGGGAATCCACCCTGCCACGGTGTGTCAATACAGCATGTCATGGCTAGCTCATGTACAACAGCCGTGTAAGATGTCTACTTAACGTCTGGACAGGATGGGTATAGGGGACTTGCATGGTGAACGGAGCCCATGGTATGACCACACGCGGTCAGCCCAATGGAATCAACCTGATTGAACCCGGCCCTCTCAAAGAATAGCAGTGTCTCCTCGAGATCAGTCTCAGGCGCAGGCACGCCTGTCGTCGGGTCTGCCTGCAGCGCATCGATCCTGCCAGCCCGGTAGGGAACTCGCTGTCCACCACACAGCCCCATCGACATGACAGTCCCCAACGCAACGAGGTCGGCCACTGGTCGGACAGGTGTCAGTATCCGCAGACCACACACGCGCGTCAACGCCTCCCCCGCCGGATGCGAAGCCAACTTGAAGCTTACTAGACACGGCATCATTCACAAACGGGGCCCAGAACGTAAAGCTGTCGTTGAACGCGCTGCCCGAGTTCTCCCCCCTCGCCGTCTCGAACCCGATGCTGGCGTCGATGCCGCCCGTCCCGGCCCCAACATCCGCCGTGACAAAGTCGTGGAAGGCGACGCGCATCCACTGCGCCGCCGTCGTGCGCCCGCTGTTGAGCGCGGGCTCCCCGACCTGCGTCACGTAGTTGCTGCAGGGCGTGATGGCCGAGGAGAAGTTGGAGGCGTATGCGCCCCAGTTGTCCACGAGTATATGCTCCAGGAATGAGGCTTGCGGCGTCGGGTAGTAGAGCGCGGCGAGGCATGAATGAGCCACGAGAGCGGACATTATGGGGGCTGTCAGTCGGCGCATCCTGTCGGCATCGACGGAGTGCTCTCCTCGGGGCAGGTGTTTAGGAGGAGATTATTCGATGCCGCGTGCATAAAAAAGAAAAAGGCCTGAGTAGTGAACCCCCTGGATATGGGCTGGTGTTCGTAGTCTCGTGTGTATTTGGCTCTTTGTAGGCTATCACAGTGTTGCCACCTCCTCCTGCACCCACTGACATTACTAAAACTGCACCTAATAGTACTGATATAAGCCCTCTCTTATGTCACATCGCGGTGTTATGAATGCTACGACACTAGAGCAGCGTTGCAGTCAGGCGCTTACACCCGCATCTCCGCAGTCATGGAAACGATTCATTCAAGTAGGAGGGAAGAAATTGCGAATCAGGACCCCGGTCAGGTCTCAGTCTAAGAGAATACTTAGTACCCGGTCTTCGTTATTTGTAAGTGCGAATTAGGTTTATGCTGTGGTTGCTGACTGATACCACCCCAAGACGAGTTTAGTGCGTACAATAGTAGCCCGACTACTGAGGAATCATGTACCCGTGAAAGGCACCGCAAATACGTTACCGCGATCTAGAACACACTATTCAACATTCGCAGATGTATGTGAATGTAAGTGAATAGCGAATGAGGTCCATCACATCTATCAGAACCTAGGTATGTGGCGTCCAGCACGCGTTCCGCATGGCCTTATGACACTCTGGTTTCTGCTACTTTGCCTGAGTGAAAGTGGATAAGAGTCATCAAAACTTTTCTTGTATATTCCTCGGCAGGACTTGACAGTAATCTATGAATGCGGTGTCTGACAGCGATTATGGTGAGCAGCGCAGGATCGCTAGGGGACTCGTCGGGACTGTTCCAAGGTTTATGGCGAGCTAAGGGCCCTATCAAGACGAGTATGGTGGTCATGTCTAAACATCCCTGCAACAATGACCTCACAGCCTGCTTTGTATCATGTGTACGACATCTGGGACCCTTTCGATGTTGATATCTCTGCTGATATCATAGTAGTACTTGGGGCGATCACCCAAAGAAATTGTCATCAAGTTCGAAAAGACGTGTGACACGTGGGCTAGAGAAGTGAGTTGCCTCCTTGAGAGTCCCATTCCTTACTGCTAATGTGTTCCTCAATTGTTGGCCTCATCTTCTACATATCACTGGGCGTTGTTTAGCTGGGGCTCCTTGGTATATCAACTGGTTCACCGGTGCTCATTGAATGTATTCCCTTGCGTCGCGATGACACGGGGGTACGGCACTTCTCTCTTGCTTCCAAGGTGCAAATCATGGCTTGATATTCGAATGTGTCTATCGCAAAAGGTTGGGTGGCCTTTTACTCTAGTATTTCGGTCGACGGAAAAACAACAGACCAAGTACATAATTTTCTACCCATATTTCCGGCCTTCCGTGGGAGAAGCTTTTCAAAGAGGCTGAAGAAATCAAACACAAATATCAGCTTGAAAACCCGGGCTGGAGACGATACTATCGCTGATGGCCTTAAACTTCAAATCAGTGGCCTTGCATCTTCCGCTATTCCTATTACCTCGGGATCCAGCCAGAATTCAAGTATGCATCCTCAGGATAGATTACTATGGGGATAGAGTTAATTATAGGCTGCTTTGACAGAATATCTGACACCGCTTATGTGTTGCACTTGTATCAATGCGCTGTGTAGTAGTATGGCTTCGAACGCATACGAGATAAGAATGAAACCCGATATACAATTTCAGAGTAAGCTTCATCATATTTTAGGACATTACCTAGGTATGTGGTCGTGAAAATAGCATGACGATGACATCTCAACAGGGCAGATAGCATCGCGTCGGACACTCCGTATTATCAGCATTTACCTGATCGAGCCGTGCTCACGGCTAGCGTTCCTCCATGGTACTTTTGCGAGATCCTTCTTCCACATCCCCACATACCCTATCATTTCGTGGGAATGACGGTTCTTTTTTCACGTATTTGTGATTATTGCCTATATAAAGACATATCAATAGCTTGAATTACAGTCTCAACGAGCGAGCCAGGCATCTTCGAGCCCATCCACTCCTCGTTCGAGCGATCTTTTCAACTCTGAATCTCTGTCCTCAAATATCATAAGACTTAACACCACTGGAACAAACACTTTCAGACCCAAAAACGATGTCAAACAAACCTGTCGATCCCCAGGTCAACGGCGAGTTGTTTCCGCCATTCGATATCTCGGTAGCGAACTCGACACCCACGCAAACCCGAATACCAGCCATCTGGGCCGGCGGCTTAATCAAGAGGATAGGCGTTCCGCGAGCCAATGAAGCAGTATCGACCGAGGTGCCTGATGGAGACAGGGACTACACGAGACGGTTCAAGGACTACACCGTCCTGCAGCAGCATGTGCTGTTCTGGGACCGTGACATGGACGGCCAGATCTACCCGTGGGACACGTACAATGGTTTCCGCGAGCTGGGCTTCAACATAGTCTTCTCGCTGGTCATGATGTTTATCATCCACACGGGCTTTTCGTACCCCACGCGCCTTGCCTACTCGTGGGTGCCGGACCCGCTGTTCAGGGTATACGTTGGCTCGATACACAAGGCAAAGGTTAGTCACTTGACGACACGGGACGCGCGGCGTCCCCCCACAATCATTTTTGTTTCTGTAACCCCTTGAAAGATCAAGCCCATTCTGCTGGGCCATAGTGCTGACGCGCTGTCGGTTGCATCTGTATAGCACGGGTCGGACAGCGAGACGTACGACAGCGAGGGCCGCTTTCGGCCGCAACAGTTCGAAGACATGTTTGCAAAGTACGACAAGAAGGGCGACGGCACGCTGACCCTGACGGAGCTGTTCCAGCTGATGCACGGCAACCGCAACGCCGCGGATCCCTTCGGAGTGAGCACAAGTCACCTGCCGATCCCGGAAAAAACATGACAGGAGAGAATAGTGACTAACAAGCATTTGACTCTTCTTGCAGTGGGGTGCCGCAGTGACCGAGTTTGGCTCGCTTTGGCTGTTGATACAGAAGGATGGCAGGTGCTACAAGCAAGACGTCAGAGGGGTATACGATGTGAGTCGCGCAAACACGCCTGTGCATGTGATCATGGGACGACATCGAATGGCTGGCTAACGGTATGAACACGCATACAGGGATCGATCTTCTGGCGCATCCGGGAAGAGCGGGCCAAGGGCAACGGGTGGAACCAGGGCTGGGGCTTAAGTTAGGAGGGGATCGTTGCGTGGGTGGTGTCAAGATCTAAGCCCTGCATTACACGGTACAGCAAACAGTCTAGTTGGACGTTGTTAGGCTGAACTACTAATATGCACAATATACGGCCGCAGGGACTGCCCTGCACCTGGCACAAGACAGAACATCGACGAGATCAATTGAGTCTCATATCTGGTGCCACCTCCAGCGTTTATAGCCAACCGATTCAACTTTGACCAAGCCGCCCATGGGAAAGAATGTGTGTATCCGGGACTTGGAGGCTCTGAGCATGCAGATGGGCGATGTCCGCAAGGTTTCGTGTGTTGCAAGTACGGATAGGCATTCACCGGGCTGTGTCTCTCTCACATGCCATCGTCGAAGTCAGAATGGGCAGGTTTGTAGGTGGATTCCAAGGTGGATTCCAAGGCTGTTCTGCCTCATAAGGATTCGCCCGAGCAGGCACAGCCAAGTGTCAGGGCCCACCCCTGAGGACACCCTTCCAGTTCATACCGAGGTCCCTGTTCACTGCGGCGGGCCGGGGCGCTCTCTTATCACCAGCACGACATTTGTTATCGCCTGCATGTTTCGAGCCAGCTGCCCGCTAAAGCCGAAACAGTAAGGCTGTCCTGAGCCTATCGAGATTAGCAAAACCCCATCTATCAGATTCAACACCATATCACAAATGATTTTTTAGTGAAATTATAGTTCTTAATAATATTATATTACCTATTCTATCCTATATACTCCCTATATTATAGAGATTAGTTTTTATTATATTAAAGAGTAGATACCTTAAATATTCACTATATACCTCAAGTATTTACTATATACTTTAGGTATTTACTATATACCTTAAATATTTACTATAACTATCTATAAATCTACTATAAATTTATAATAAATTATTATTTAATAATAAATTTACTATAAATTAATTATTTACTATACTTTTATAATAAACCTTAAACTTTATATTTAATATACTTTCTTAAACTAATATATTATAATAGACTAAACTTTAACTATCTTTTACTACTTCTTATCTATACTTTATAAAATCTTCTAATAAATTCCAGTCTTTTATTAATAATTAATATCTTCTAAACCTAATTATTAAAAAAATCTATTCTATTTTAACTAATAATACCTTAATTAACCTATCTATTATTATTTAAGCTAATAAAGTATATTCTATATTAATAATACCTTTTAAACCTTTTATTATAATTAATAATTATAAATATCTATATATTATAATTTTATTTTAAATTAGATAATTTTAGAATTTATTAAGTTTATAATTTATATATTATTATACTTAATCTTAACTTTTTTTTATTTAAATTTACTAATAGTTCTATAAGAAGTCTATTTATAAATAATATTTCTTTTATTATTTATATTAAAGTAAAGAGTTCCACCTAATTATTAATATTATAACTATATCTTATTTATTAACTCTCTATTTAATTATTCCTTTAAATAACTTTATTATAAATATTTAAAACTTTTTAATTAATAATATTATTAATAAAAATAAATTACTTACTATTATAAAATTATCTATATCTATAAAGTAGAGAGTAAAGTATTTAATATTTTAAAATAAAGAAATACTTTATTTATAATATTATAATATTTCTAATTTAAATTTATAAAGAATTATATAAGTTTTAATATAATAAATATAATATTTAATTTAATAAATATTATAATAAATAATATAAATTTAATTTTTATTAATATAAATTAATTTTAATAAATTTTATAGTATTAATCTATAGTTTTAATTCTTTAACTATTATAGGACTTTATAAAAGATTTTATTTATTAACTATTTTAATAATCTTTTTATATATATAGTTTAAGTTAGTTAAATCTAATAATTTAAATAGTCTTTATAAATCTTTATATTTAAGAATTATTAAATTAAATCCTCTTTATTAATTTTATATTTTTTAAAGTTATTAAATAAGTTTATTAACTTATTTTATTAATTTTAATATATTATAATAATATTATTAATATAAAAGATTAAAATATTATTCTTTTATAATAATAGAGTTTATATAATACTTATTAATATTTAAGTTTAATAAGTATTTTTATAAATTCTTTTATTATAATAATAATAAGATTTATAATTTATATAATATTTTATTAAGTATTAAAATAATATCTTTTTTATAATTATAAGGTATTTTTATAAAATATTTTAATTAATTAAAGTATAAATAAATATATTTATTATATTATATTAAATTAATTTAAAATTAAATTTAATAATAATAATAATTAATATATAAAATAATTATCCTATTAAAGTTATAATATAAGTTTTTATATTTATCTTTATACTTATTAATCCTTTTAATAATAAATTATACTTTATACTTTTAAAATATTATATTTATTAAATTTATAAATATATATTTATATATAGTTTAAAACTTATTTTTATTATATAAGGATTTTTTTAAATTTTAATTTAAGATTTTATTTTAATATAACTTTATAAGTAGTTAATTTTAGTTTATTTAAATAAACTATTAAATAAATAGTTTATTAAATCTTTATATTATTTTAATAACTTTAAAAGTTATTATTTTAATATCTTTATTCTTTAATATAAATATTTTTAATTTAAGTTTTATTAAAATATTATTATTTAACTTTATTATAAATACTATTTTTATTTTAATTATAAATATAATTTATTATAATAAATTTATTAAAGATTTAATAATTAATAGGATTTCTTCTCTATTTAACTATATTTATATAATATATATTAAAAATATTAATAATAGTAATTAAGGTAATATAAAAATAATATAAATTTAGTATTTATATAAGGGTTATTTTATTAATCTACCTTAAACTATATATTTTCTACTTCCTTTATATCTCTTTTAAATCTCTCTTTTATTAGGTTTTTAAGCTTTTAGTTTTAAGAAGGTTCTCTCTTTTAATTTTAATATTTTATTATTATTTAAAAGTATATTTTTCTTTATTTACTCTATTAATTATTTAATATTTATAATAAAAGCTTATTAGTAAAACCTTTTAATTACTATTAAATATTTAATATTTATTAAAGATTATATTTTATATATTAATTATCTTTTAATAAAGGAATCTATATTTAATAAATATTTAATAATTAATATCCTATAAGATAGTTAATTTAAATCTATAATTCTAAATATTAATATCTCTTCTTTTAAGTTAAATATTTATAGTTATTATATAGACTTTATAGTTAAATACTTTTAAATAAATCTAATTAAGTTTTAAATTAAACCTTAAAATTCCTTACCTTTTAATAATAATAAAAAATTAATAATATAATATCTATTAATCTAAATTATAAAATAATATTTAATTATTAAAATAAATAATTATTTATTTAATTTCTAACTAAAAAAGTTAAAAACTTTAAACTTATTTATAAAGCTTATATCTTCTATTTAATTATACCCTTTAAGTACTCTACTTTATTATTCTATACTTATATATTAAATATAAAAGGCTTAATTTTAATATATTTTAACTTAAAGTAATTTTTAATAACTTATCTTTAGTTAAATATTTTATTATTATATTTAATAATTTTAACTTTTATATTATATTAAAGTTTTATTATTTTAAAAATTTAAATATTTTAAATATTATATTATTATTTTAGCTTATTATATAATAATCTTATATATATTTAAAACTTTATATATAAATAGAAGTTATAAATTATAACTATAAATTTCTAACTTATAATTATAAAAGTTTAATACTATCTTTTATTTTTATTTAAAATCTCTTTTAATAAGTAATAAATTTACTTTATAATTTTAATTAAAGTATATACTTTATATTTAATTATTATTAATTTATAAATTTATACTCTTTAAAGTATTTATTAAATATTTTAATACTTTAAGTTTAAAATATTTAAGTTATTTATATTATAGAAGGCTTTATTTATTAATAGTTTTTAATAAATATTATATATTTTTTAGGTATTAAATATAGTTTTTAATTTATAAATTAAGTATTTAATAATATATTATTTATAAATATTTATAAGTTTATAAAGGATTATTTTATTTTATTTTTAATATAATTAAATTTATTTTATTATTTTAAAATACCTTTTAAAGTTATTTTAAAGATATTAATATAGTTAAAACTTTTAAGTATAGAGTAATATTTTCTATTTATAAAATAGATCCTTTAATATAAATTAATATTATACTATATATTATAATAAAGAGTTATTAATTACCTATTTATAAGTAATTATTATATATAGTTAGTCTTAAATTAAATAGCTTTTATAATTATTTATAATTAATATTATATTTATTAAATTTAATATAACTAAATATTTTAAAGAGTATTCTTTTATATTTATAATAAAAACTCTTTTATTCTTTATATTAACTATATAATACTTTAAGAGTTATTCCTTAATTTCTTTAACTAATTCCTCTTTAAAAGGTTATAATATTTTTAACTTAAATTTTAATTTTAAGTCTTTTATAATTTAAACCTTTATTTATAAGTTTATATTATCTTTAAAGATTTTATATACCTTTTTTAATAGTTTTATTCTTTTAAAGTTTTTAAAAGCTTTTTAAAAAATATAATAATAATTTATAAAAGTATAATTTTAATATATACTTTATATAGATTAATAGGTTCTTTTACTTTAAATTAACTATATTTTTAACTTATATAAAATCTATATAGTTTATTTATACCTTATTAATTAAATTCCTTTCCTTAATAATATAAGCGTTCTCTTTATTATTATAATCTTTTAAGCTATTATAGATAGTTATTTATACTCCTTTATAATTTTTATAGGTCTATTCTATATATTTAAAGCTTATAACTCCTTTTAAAGAAGGTTTCTAATATTATAATATATAAAGTTTTTATTTATAATTTTCTACTCTTATATTTACCTAAATATAGTTATTTATATTAATAATATCCTTTATAAAGCTTATAATAA